GCGTCTCCAGGACTTCTCGGACAACCCTTCGGTGTTCCTCCAGGGTGGCAGTGAAGATCAGAATGTCATCCATGTAACAGATGACGACTTCCCAGTCGATGAAGTCCCGGAGGATGTCGTTCATCATCGTTTGGAAGGTCGCTGGGGAGTTACACAGGCCAAAGAACATGACAGTGGGCTCGAATAGTCCGCGGTTGGTCGAAAACGCCGCCTTCCACTCGTCGCCGTCCTTGATACGGATGTTGTTAAATCCCCAGCGCAGGTCTAGCACTGAGAAGTACTTGGCGTTTCGGAGGCGTGCGAGGACGTCCGAAATGAGTGGGAGGGGGTAGGAGTTTTTGACCGTGATCTCATTGAGCTTCCGGTAATCCTGGACCAGGTGCAACGTTCCATCCTTCTTCTTGACAAAGAAGACTGGGGCTCCCATCGGGGATTTGGACGCCCGTATGCGCCCGTTCCGCAGGTTCTCACGCAGGAACTTGTCTAGTTCCTTCTGCTCTGGTCGTGATAGGGGGAAGGTCCTCCCTCTCGGGAGTTTGGCGTCTGGCACCAGGTCTATTGCGTGGTCCCAGGGCTTCCGTGGGGGCAGCTGGTCGAAGGCCTCTTTCGAAAATACGTCCCGGAAGTCCTGGTACTGCTCTGGGACCAGCGCTTCGAACGGCGCGGGCTCTGCTTCTGGTTCGCAGGCTTCCTGGGCCATCCGCTGAGACGGAGTTGTGGTTGCTCTCAGTTCGTGCCCCCACCCCGGGGGAATGACAGCAGCGTAAATCCCATCCCCTGGTTCTACTACGGGGTCCTGGTCGGCGTGTCCTCGTGTCGACCGACAGGAGGATGGGCAGCGAGACATACTGACCTTCTGCCGCGTCCAGTCCACCTCTGGGTTGTGGTGCAGCAACCACGAATGGCCTATGATGAGGGACTGCTGCCCCAGGTTTGCGACGGCGAAGCGGGCCCGCTCTGTGTGTCATCCAAATGTCAGAAGGGCCTCTAGTTCTTCAGTTATGGCCCCGTTCTCGTTTGGAGTCCCGTCGACGTTGCGGACAGGGATGGGTTGGGGGAGCGGGGTTGTCTCGAGCCCGTGTTTTCTGACGAACTCGGGGCTCACGAAGTTCCCGGTGGCCCCCGAGTCTAAGAGGGCTGATACGGAGACAGTAGCGAGGGAGGTCAAGGTGGTCAGCTTTACAGCTAGGTTAAGGGATCTGGGGGGTTGCTTCGACAGCATGTAGATGGCGGGTGGCGGGACCGCTACCTCCGGCGCCACGCTTGGTATCTCTCTGTTTGAGGACGCGATTTTCCTCTTTTTCTTGGCGATGACTCGGTGGAATTTAGACATCGGCGCCGACTTAGGTGCCTCACGGTATCTACACGAGTTGGTACTATCGCCTGCAGGCAGCCGGGACGCGTCCTTCACCGGTCGCCTTCCTGAAAATCCTCTTGGGCTTCTGCTTCCTGCCCTTCTCCCTCTGCCTCTGGTCCGTCTACCAGCTGTCTTCTCAGTTCCTCCATGAGCGCTCTGAGGTCTTCGGGGTGCATCCGTCTGGCTCGGCGGGTTTTCGGTTGCTGGCAATCCCGCGCGATGTGCCCTGGTGCGTTGCAATTATAACATAGCCCGTTTCGCCTCTGGTCGATTCTCAAGCGGTCGAGGTCCATGGGTTGTGGCCCTGCTCCTGTGGCGGGGCACGGCGTGGGGGGTTGGGGCGGGGCGGCAGTGGGTGAGGGACGTGGCAGTGGGGGTCTCGCAGGGAGTGGGGGTCTCGGGGTTAAGAGTGGGGGTCTGGTGGGGGCAAAGCGGGGTTGCGTTGCCTGGAAACGCCGCCACTGGTTGTCGAGGAGGGTGGCCTCGCGTTTCTACTCAGCCCAAGTCGTTGGCATGGGGCGGAGGCGGTAAATGCTTTCGCGGAGGCGGGAGTTGATCGCCTGTTCAAAGCGGTCCACTAGCCCCACGTCCCCTAGCCGTGAGGCGGGTCCGAGGATCTCAAACTCCTGGATGATTTTATCCACGGAGTCGCTGCCCTGCCGCAGGGTGGCCAGCTTCTGTCTGGCTGTGGCCTCGCGGTTCGGGTCTTGGAACATGGCGTCAAGTTCCATGTTGAACTCGTCCATGGTGAGGCGGGGAGAGCCCGTCATCAGTAGCGCGATGGTGCGCTGCATCGCCCACGCCCCTGCAGTCCCTCCCTTCATATAGGACAGGACAAAGAGGATCTGGGAAAGGGGGTTGGGGAATTCCGCTGCCCGGACATGGAAATATATCCCGCATTCGGCCTTGAAGCGGTCAAGGTCTTCGGCTGCTCCAGAGAAGGCAGTGGGGGGGGCGACTTTAGGCAGTTTGGCTCTGGGGGCGGGTGCAGGTGTTGGTGCGGGAACCGGCACTGGTGCGGGCGCGGCTGGGGTTGGTTCTGAGCTTGGCTTTCTACAATGGCCTGGAGCTCGTGGAATCGGGACAGCAGTTCGTCATACTGCTCTTTGGTCACCATAGCGGGGGAGGCGGGGGAGATGAGGTTGAAGCCTTCTTCTGCTGTCAGGGACGGCTCTGAAAGCAGCGAGGTCCCTGCGCGCGGGACTCGGTGAGACGAGTAGCGGCTGTGCGTAGCGGCAATCCCGTCGTGGGGTGAGTGTCCCCGACCACTTAGTCTGAAGTGGGAAGTTGAATTATCATTAAAAGGGGGAGCTACAGTACTTACCTGAAGTGGGAAGTTGAGAAGAAGGCTGCTTCTTCTATTCCCACCCCAGGTGCTATTATATACATGCGGCTGAGGTCACGTGGGAGGAGCCACGTCATCCCCGCACACAGCCGCACTCCTCTGGGTATCTCCGTGGGAGATACCGGAGGTGTGCCGCTCTGTGAGCGGGAATGCGCACGGCAGGCGCGGCGATCGGGGGAGCGGGGTTAGGTGTGTAGTAATACATAGAGAAGGGGAAGTCGACCGTGGAACGGGAATAGAAACAAAGAAGGAAAAGGGAAGGAAGAAACAGGGAGTGGTAGCGGGGGAGCGGAGTGGGGCGGCGCGGCGCGGGGTCAGGTGGGGCGTGCCCTGACAAGCATCCACACATGGGAACCGAGCCGACCCGGACATCCGAAGTTGAAGGGGCTAATGACTTTGCCTCTTGGATGATGAAAATGCAGGAGGAGGCAAAAGCGGCACTGGAGCATGCAGTGGATGAAATGGCACAGTATTACGATAGGAACCGGAGAGCAGCACCAGCATACCAAGTTGGGGACAAGGTCTGGCTCAACACCCAGAACTACACAACAGACCAGCCAACCAAGAAACTTGATCACAAGTGGATTGGCCCCTTCCAGATTGTTAAGGTAGTATCCCCGGCAGCGGTAAAGTTACAGCTCACTGCCCAGCAGAGGGGAATCCACCCAGTGGTCTCGGTCACAAACATCCGCCCCTATGCCCCCGACAGGATTGCTGAACGCCAGACAGACCCACCCCCGGGCCTGGACATCGTAAATGGGGAAGAGGAGTATGAGGTGGAGAAAATCATGGACTCCAGGTACCGATATGGATGGCTCTGGTACTTTGTCAAATTTTCGGGCTGGCCAAACTCGGAAAGTGAATGGCTCCCCAGGGAAAACCTGGAGAACTCCCCAGACCTCATGAAGGAATTCCACCAGACCCACCCGGAAGCCCCCAAACCGTCAAGGACAAAAGAACCCCGCCAACCAAGAACCACAGCCACTTCAAGGCAAAGCGGCATAGAGGGGGGGTGATGTCAGGGCACAGCCCCTGACCCCACACACCCTCAGGTACCCTTCCCCCATTTTCTCCTATTTTTCCCTTCACTGTTCCACAATCCCGCATGCATGCAGACCATGGGAACGTTCTGGGCAAGTTACTCACCCAGAAACCATCACAGCCACAACCGTGGGAACTTTCTGGGCAAGCTGCTCGCCCAGAATCTTCCCACGGGGGGGTGCCAATTATGGAAAGTTGGCAAAGAGCCGAAAACTGTATAGTTCCCGGCTCCCATTTGTAGTGGCTTCACAGGAGGTTGAGAAGGTTACCCTTCTTCTCAACTCATTTCCTGTGAAGGCTGGGGCTAGCCCCTTCAGTGAGTTTGAAGACCTCGGACTGGGACTAGATACCCCAGCGACTTGGAGGATCCCCTTGGGCCCGTCACGGAATGAGGGCCGGGCCCTGACACCACCCCTCTCTGGACGCTAACAGAGGAAGATGGAAAAATAATGTCTGGAAAAACCAGAGCCCTAAAGATCCTCCTACTGGAAGGGGCATGGCAGATATGGAAGCTAAGATGCCACAGAGTGATAAACAGCTTGGAGGAAAACATCATCGAAATATCAAAACACGAGGCACACAACACAATAAAGTCTGCCCTAAACGAAAGGCTGCAAAGTGAGAGAATCCTCACCAACAGCAAGAGATATGGAAAGAAGGCCTTACCAGAAAATCTAGTCCTGGAAACCTGGAAAGACCTCGTAACCGCACCCGAAAACTGTTGGAGAATGGATATCTGTTCCCATCGGTATAGAGTTTAACAGCCTATACCGGCATGGTCAAACGGGCGAGTTGTGTAATGGTAGCACACTGAGAGGTCCTGGTTTCGATGCCAGGCTCGTCCATGATTTTATGTCCTTGTCTTGTGACCTTAACTGTATCATTCAGTTGGATCTCACGGAGTAAGTCCCGCGGGGCAACGTGAACTTTCTTCAAAAACATCCCTGCTAACTGGCTATGTACCAGTGGGGTTTTAGTGGGTATTCCCGATCCCCCAGATCAGAGCCCCACACTCACGTGACGTTCAGTGCGTAAACGCATTTGTAGCGGAGTTGTCCGAATTTATTGTTATATTGTTATATTCCCCACGGTGGAGTTACAGGTTTGGCTCGATACAACATCCCAATTTCACTCCCGTCCCCCCTAAACCCAAACCCCCAGGTAGAAATCTGTTCCACCAATAAAAATAAAAATAAAACACCGCAATTTAGAAAAAACTTGGGCTGCATGGGTGATATCTTCTTCCCACTGTGAAGTCTATATCAGGGGTATTTAGAATGCAGTGGAGCGAAAATTTGCAGGGGTCCGCTACGGAAGAGCCAAAGAACACGGGTCGCGGTCTCTCGTCACAGGCCGGCCTCTAGCTTCTCGAAGCCGGATTATTCATCAAGGTGTTCAGTTGGGCCTTATAGAATCACTCGACATGCACCCTCAGCATTATATATAGCTGTATCGGTGTTATCGCACCTTTGTTTGCACGCCGCCATCCTCAGAAATTCTTCATCATCGACTCTTCATCGTTCAAAATTCCGTTCTTTCAGAAACTACGTTCATCGATGCGCAAGCACCTAGGAGGGAAAGGTGCGAATGACGGTGCGAGCAGCGGCGCAAGCAGCACGAGCGTCAAGCCAGTCGTTGCGCTAGTCGGTGAGGCCCTCATCCCTGCGGACCATAGTCCTTGTTGAGATGAGCTTGCGATGTATGTGACATCGCTTGCTAGGTTCGACTGGGTACCTCGGGAAATCCATAGTTCCAGTTTTCGCCAAGGCCGCTAACGAGGGTCAGTTCGCCGCGTTCAAGATCCTGACGAGCTCGACCCCAAAGGACGAACTCAAGTCTGCTGCATCGGATAAAGTGACCATCGTACAAGTTGATTATGCATCTCCTGCATCGTTGGAGAGTGCATTAGAGGGTGTCGATGTCCTGGTAAGCGCCTTGGGGGCAAGCAAATCAACGGAGGCCGCTCAAAAGAGTTTGGTTCAAGCCGGTAAGTTTCGATCGATCTCTCTCATCATTTCATGGATACACTATAGTTTGTTCACCTCACTCATCACACGTGTCTCACCCAGCCGTCGCCTCCAAAGTAAAGGTGTACTTCCCATCAGAATGGGGCACCGACTTGGATGTCAGCCCATACCCCTTCCCGCCTCTCGACGCAAAGACCGAACATGTCGAAGAAGCCAGAAAAGCCGGGCTTAAAACAGTCGTCTTTGTCGTCGGGGTGTTCTCCGATATAATCCTCTTGCCTATCTCTGGTACGTATGAGCCAACATTTGCCAGAGGATCGAAGGACTAAATGTGGCTCACGCCTACGATCAGGATGGTTCACTGCGCCGAACACGGTGCACATACCCGATTCCGGCAAGAATAAGGCTGTCTTCACTGCCAAAAAACACATTGTGCAGTATGCACTCCAAGCCGTCATCCTCGCTGCTCAGGACCCGGCGAAGTTCCCAGATAAGGTTCGCGTTTGGGACGATAATAGGTACGATGAACGGTACTCATTTGGTAGATGAATGACATTCCCCAACACCCTCGTATCCTTGTTGGCTTTTCCTTTAGATCCTGGGATGAATACACCGCAGAGCTCGAGCAAGTCCTGGGAAGAGAACTCATCAAGAACGTCATCCCTAAGGAACAACTTGTGCAGGATTTCGCCGCCGGACCCTCCATCGGCGGCCTTGGAAGGTTACTCGCTGCCGATGGCCTTACCGATTATTCGGACAACCATAACGAATTGTTGAACCCTGGCGAGAAGTATTTCAAACGTCAGACTGTTGGGGAGACTTTGAAGGAGGTACGTTATGATGCGATAACGTATGACGTTGTGAGTGGTGACTGATGATTGCATAGGTGGGATTCAAGCTATGATGATATCGAGCAATATTGTAAGACTGCAGAGAGATGGCATGACCATACTCTTTTTCTTTTGGCCTTTCTCGGCGCCAATGTATGTGTAGAGACCATGTCGTGAACGTGCGCCCGGAAGATGTGTTCCGGCCTATTTGAAGTTGTGGCTAACTTTAGCAGGGTCATCTGAGGATGTGATCCCAAAGGATGAATTTTCACGGTCAAAACAGATTGAGAAGACGGCGTGCGAATTGCATCAACTATATTGATTTGTACGGCTCCAGGGACCGACAACAAAAAGAACGATACTGTCACGCGAGATCACCTGTGCGTATAATGTGGGCATTCGCTTACTGGCGGCCTGCCGGTCACCCGTTGTACCTTTTGAGGCGATGTTGGATTGGAGTGACAATACCATCAAGGGTAGAATCTTCCCCCCATCTATTCTTGATCCCGTTGTCTCGATCGCCAGTCATTCCAGCTTTTCCTCGTTCGTGTGTAACAGCCGATGACACGCTTCCACAGTATCGTGGCCCATCCCTTCTTTTCCTTTTATAATTTGTTAGCTTTTTATGGTCCCAGTATGCTTTTTCCCTGATTATTACCGCTCACACTTTGACTTTTGTCCACCGCCACGGGCACTCTGTATTGTATGTGCCTTGGTAGATCCCTGAATCCATTAATTTGGGTTTCATAGCATGGTTCAGCGTCGATGAATCATCAACGGAGCCCTTTGAAGTTCCTAGCATTGTAAAGGGTCGGTATCGGTTGTGCGAACATGGTGGGGTCTGGGGCACTGCGGCCTGTGGGTGGTGACGTTCCGAGGAATGTTACTTGTTGATCGTGTTGCTTTGCTATGGGCAAGCTTGATATCCACCTTGCCCATCTGCGATCGGTAGGTACTACGTAGGCAGTCCCTAATGACCGCGTGACAACTCCGGTCTGCATCTTCACCACCGATCACTCAGGCTAGGCATTAACAGCTTACTCTGTATTTCAACTGGTATACAGCTGTTGGGGCATCCCCGAGGATGCATCCGTATCTGGGACCAGTTTGAGAAACGATTGCTGGAGTCGATCGGAGGTTACCACCAGCACGACTCGAACGAATAAAGGCGACCTACCTAAACAATCCGTCCATTTCATCATTAGTGCCACCAAGACACAAAGGGCCTATTCCTCAACTTCATTATGAAACCACACTTTAGTAGGTAACATAACCAAGGTAGTACAACGTTGGCCCAACCATTCTTCCACATACGTCCAGTTCCACAGATCGATCATAAATCTACAGTATATAGTGTAGCTGGCAATACTCTACAAGCTCAGAAGCTTTGCTCTTGCTCCAAAAAAATGTTGCCACAAAGCGAGACCTATCCCAGCACGTTCTGACGGGATGTACAAACGCCTCGCAAGCTCGGCCAAACATGTCAGCATTCAATTACTGGAGGAACATATTTGCACCTCGAGACGGAAGGAGTGGAGAGGCAAGACAAAGGAAGGCGACATGGTAAGAGGTGCGACGAAGTTCGTCCAGCTAGTGTCATGGAAAGGTGGTACAAGGGTTCCACAGGCAGCCCAAGCCCTCGTGATGGAACAAATGATTGAATCACCTTTGCCGTCACACCTCACAGTCCAAACCACATGGATTAACACAGTAGTGTTGCCCCCCCCTCCCCCCTACAAGTTCAATGGGGACCCTACTGACACAACGACCGTAGCCGGTTAGCATCTCGGAAAGCCCAGAATCCCCTGCTTCCAGTGGGAACACAGAAAAACGACAACGGTACAGTGATTACCAAGCCCGCAAATACCCACGTTGAGGCACCCTGACCAAGACAAGCGAACAAGCGATACAGAGCAAAGATTTGGGCTAGATCATGATCAGACCGGGGCAGAATGATCTTCGGAAAGGCAGCCTACGCTTCCCTCACCGTCGAGACGCGAGCCAAGGCCTAACACCTGTTAGAGTGTCATGTTGTTTGGTTCGAGTCTCGAACCAAATAAATCGCGCTGCTTGCTCCTTATCCCACAAGTGCGAGCGCTTCAGGTCCCTGATTGCCAGCAACATGTTGCGACTATGCGCGGTTGAAGCGCCCGATATTGTCCCACTATCTGGATAACACCTTTGCCACGAGGGAGTCACATCCTTCGCTTTATTCCAATCTCCCACGTTTACGCAATGCTACGCATCATACGATACCCATGCACTCGGCGTTGCATGCATGGGATGCCGTGTCCAGCGCGTTTATCTATGGCGAACGGAGCCAGATGGGCCGTTGGACTATATTTAATCCGTGCCCGTCCTGCGATCAACAACGGCGGTGCATTACTTTGCATAATTCGAGTTTGCTAATGGTTCACCGGCGAATTCTACATTGTGGCGCTAGTGATACGAAAGCACCGCTCGATAGGAACGGCCAAATCGCGCATCAAATTTAACTGATCGTTGAGATTTTTAGTTCCTCTTACGCACTTCATGCCAATAATCGCGGCTTGACCCGGCGCCGAGTTAAATCAATATCCATTACCCACACAGCTATTATATTCCTAACAAACATATACACGCACCACACACGGGTATCAGCGTGTACCCCAAGGGCATGGTCATTCACATACTTTAATCCAAATCAAGAATAAGATAAAGCTTCACCCTGACCCCCGCCACTCACACTCACACACCCGGGCCTCGCGTGTCCGTAGTTACAGTGGTGTGTACAATTAATGAAATCCCGATCATGAAGGCGTCGAAAGAATGGGTGATCATTATAGTACCCCAAAACTCATTATCAACCTTTGAATGATCGGGTGTTTGCCAAGATATCTGTGCCACTAACGCCGACCATCGCTAGAAAGTTATCACTGCACCCAAAGACTATCAAATAGCCATCTTTCTATGGCCCTATCGCGATCATCCCGAGTTATCTTGCGCCGGGCAATCCTACGCCACGTGAATCTGACGACAGGAACGTGCGCTTTGGACTGGGGACGTTTCCCGATCAAACGTACGAAAATCTGAAACCAAAGTATATTATATACTCAGCTAGGGACGATGCTCGATTCGTCGTGGGGGGACGTGTGGATTCATGGCCGCCACCCTAACTCCAATGCTTGACCTAGGCTACCCACTTCCGAAAATATATAACGGAATAGCTACAATCCAACAGGAGCAATCATGCGCACCGTTCTTCTTGATTCTGGCTTCAAGTTCATACAGCAGTCACAGCATATGTCTGGACGGTCGTTGTTTAGGCAACTGGGCATTATGCCATGCCGCCTGCATGCTTTCACTCCCCGGTGATCGTTTAATGTTGATATCTGCGTGCGGCCTAGGTGGCGGAGTGATTATTCCTCCGCGGTCGAATGTGCCAACGTAACAGTGCAACTTTCCCTACTGTAACATACAAAAAAGTTTCGCGTATCGGAGTTCCAAAGGAAACTGCCCCTATAAAATCCGAGCAATCACAGACAGGACTTCTGCTGCAACGGCTCCCAGTGGTCATTGATAAGGCGACGTCCTTCATTTGCTGGATTGCACTTGCTAGGTTAGCGCCTTCCATGTCCGTATGATATGAAAAGCTAGCTGCATATACCCACTACCAGCTAACACACAGGCACATAACGCGCAAATAAAGATATATCCGACTTATCGGAAATAAGAAAGACCAAACACATCCTTTCTTGCAGTGAGTCACAGGAAGATCGCGCCACGTTGATTCACTAGAGCTGGCACAATTTACACCTAGCATTTTCGATTGCAAGTTCGAAACATATCTAGCTATCTAGCTGCTTGCGAGAGACTCAAACGCAAATTCAGAACTGTACAAGCCCCAAAATGAATGATGGAAATGAAGGGCGTGATGATTCCCACATATGCAACAGAAAATACAAGACCTAAAACCACGGACATTGACTTTTCCCTTGTCGAAAGTTGCTTCATTGCCTTATGACTGGAATAAAAGATGGCCACTAAATGAAATTGCACAAATTAACGCCGCGCACCCATCATTGATTATTCTCCGCACTTGTCCACATCATGTTACCATTCCATCAGTACTAACTAGTTTGGTCATTTCCTCAGAGGAATTTGTCCGATACTCGCATCATGACTTTTTTTTACAGCGCTTCTGGCCAAAAAACAAAAACAAGGTGCCTTAATCAGGCAGACGTAAATCAGTGCGACACCAGTGCATTAGCCCCTATGCTACGTACTTCCCCCCCCCCCAGCCATCACTACTTAGCACAGGGAAACCATCAGCAAACATGCAATGCTTCGATATTCTGTGCTGAGGGCGTTTCATACATACCCAAACGGAGCCACGATCAAAACACAGATCAAAAAGGACGACAAATGTTTTCCTTACAGAGCTAAGCTTGATATGCGAACGGTACTATGAACGGCTAACCCTTGCGGCGTCCGCCTTCTACTGCGCGACCGGCCATAGACTGATCAGGTATAGATTATTAATTGCACTGCCAAATGGTAATTCACATTATACTGACCCAATGTTATCCCCCGCCACGGGCAAAGCGCACAAGCTGGAGAGTCTAGGCTGAAATCCGTTTCCGATTTTTTGGGAGGACCAAAAAAAAGAGACCGTGCTGTTTTCAATGCGCGCCTCTTGTAACTTGCTGACTCAGTTCAAGTCGAGCTAGCAAATTGGGTGACTCTTCAACGCGTCTAAACAAGTTTCATTTGCCACGGAGGGAAATGACAAAGCGGCATTAAGCGCCCATGTTATCATGGACATTAAATTGGTGTTTCCCCCCCGAATGCTAAGCGGCGGGATATGATCATATCAGCGTCGGAGAAAGGCTCCGGCCATTGTTCGATGATTTTATCGAGGGCTACACACAGAGCGACTACGGCCATGACCCTCTCTGGTTTTCCTACAATGGCAATTGCATACACTAAGTACTAATTTTGCCGCGGTGCGAATGTGTGTGACTTACTGCCAAAATAGGCATGGGTGGCCAGCGATTCGGGTATGCCATAAGTGGTCATTGGAAGCCTGCAAATGACGCCACTGATATGGGACCCCATCCAAGACCCTAAGCCAGAACGGGCCCGGATTACCGGTATACCATGTTAGAATTTCTCGGGAATTACTTGTACTGGCCACGAACAACCATGTGATTGGCAGTCTCCGGCAACTCCCGGAGGCCGGTTGCGCGATTGTTGTTGCACGGACGTTTTCACTGTAGATTTCTTTCTTGGAGTCTACCTTGATGGACGCAGTCATGGATGGCTTAAAAGCTACTTCACTCTCCTCTCTCCTCAGTTGAACTGAGCGCTGATATGCCCCTGGTTTATTCTAAAATACCGTTCCTATGACCCACACTCAATTACCATCAATTAACCGCCATAACATGACATACGCACCTGATCTGCCAAGATCCCCATGTCAAAGATTACATACCTGCTCCGTACATCCAAAAAAATCGATAATATGACGAGCGCCGGGCACCAGCCACTGATCGAGCGACCTGGAAGCAGCGTAAGATGCATGTTGTCGTGCCGGGTCGGGAACAGTGCTTCAAAAACTTACAGCTAGTTTACGAATTCGATTCAATCCACCCCCGAGGCAGACCCTTACCGCTGTACATATTGGAATCGGACGCAACATCGCCCCCAGCTTGCTCGGGCAAGTGACTGTCCAAGGTATAGGCGGGCTAACAAAAGCCGACTGCCGACGGCACCGCCGGCGACCCGGAGGATGGTTTGTCATCATATTATATCATACAACGATAAGCCATGTGCGGCTGTGCGGACGACGTTGTCATAGTAATGTTCATCACTGGTTCGCGCGCAACTTCGATTGAATAAATTCTATTGAGTAGTACTGTGAGCAAAGAAGTCGCCGTGCGAGATAATAAGATTGTGCATGTGGAGGTTGGATGTAGAATGAGATGGAAGTTGTTAGACTGACCATCCGATGGTTGGACGTGCGCGCGGAGCCGAGGTGTCAAGCGAGAGGTTGGAGAATAATGTGCAAAACAGGTTGGGTTATACCACCTGAGAAGTTCTGAACTTGACCCAAGGGCGGGCAGGCGGAACGGAAATGGGTGAGTGTCAATGAATGAATGCAAGCGAAGCGATATCACGGAGCCGAGGCCGGGGCCCCCGAGGTGAAACATGAAGTGTCAAACTATCAACCTAGCTATTCGAACAATGAAAATTCAACACGGAATCTTAACCAAATATTTTATCTACTCTTGTGCCTTAGATACACTCATTCCTAGCCCTGTGAGTACTAGTTCTGTCTGACAATATCGCTGGATCGGCTTTCAAAAGAAGGGTGTATTAGGCCACTCAATTCAGGTCTTACGACCATCGTCCATCACGCAGGTTATTAATGTGTGCCGCAACAAAGCGCAGCTAATAATGTGCTTGTAGCTTCTCGGCTGGTCATCAAATGGACGCGATTGCTCCCATGCACGCGTCAGCGAATTACTACAAGGAAATCCAGTTTGCAAGCGAAGAATTCCAGGGACTCATGTTCAACCCAGAAATACCCCAAACTTCTTCCCATCCCAGAAACAAACGAACGAATCTAATTTCCCATCTGCTTACAATACGAGTTAGCAGAGTGTAGTGATATGACGCATCCTCCGATCGCAGCTTCTCGAACAAAACCCTCTATTGTACCAGCGTATATCACGACCCAAATTCATACCAGTGTCTCCCGGCCCAACGCCCACATCAAAGGACATGTACGTCTTCTGATCCGAATTATATGCATTTCCATGTTAGTAGTGGGTACCGTGTGCGTCCCCGGTCCTCATCCTCCGTCCTCCATTCCCCCCCTCTTCACCGGTTTTAATTCCCGAATCGGGGAAAGATTTGGAAGAAGAGCTTTCGGCAGCAACGATCCGTACACGCCCGTCAGCAACTCCACCGCCCGGACGAACGGAAGGGGAAAAAAACAGCGAGTGTTCTAATGGATTCCCTCACTGGCACACGCAGAACGCGGGGGAGGACATAGTATATTGAGATTGAGAAGCAGTTTCTCAATGTCATGTCATGCGTTTGTTCCTGCGCGAAAGGGGACTGCTATAAGGCTAACTGTCGCGAGTTATAGGGATCTATTCGAGTGTCGAGGGGCAACTTTTTCATGGGCGCTTGTACAGACCTGCTTATCTAGTAGTAAGCATCCCCAGCTGCAAAGGAGGGCACGTTTGTAGAATGGGACAATGCCGTGGACATGGGGATTTCCCTTACCTTTTTTTTTCTTGTTGTTGATAGAAATCATATATTTTACTACTCACTCACTCACTATGGTATAAAGCCGTCGCGGAGCAGTGATGCCTAGAAGCACACTGACACGCGAATTCGGAGGATCCCGATCCCATGTGTTAATCGCTGGTGGTGGCACACGCGAGTAGTGAGTACTGTGGGTCAAGAACGGATCGCGCCCCCCGCGCCGGGAAAAGATAAGATGATTTGCAAATGAAGTTCGGATCCAAACTAGATGAGCGAATCACCAGAGGAACAGTGTTCCTCCCGGAGTTGTTGTTGAGTGAGTGAGTGAGTGACCGTTCGAAGGGTCGTTCATGAATTAACTGAACTGGTAGTAAAAAGGCCTCTAAGGCTGCAAGGAGAAACAGGGGGGGAGTGGTGGGATTTCGGGTAACGACGCGAAAGGAAGAGCGGCCAGGGACCGAAGTAAGTACTGTAATGCGCTTCGATCCATAATGCTTCTTCAAGCAATACTAGAATAGGAAAGTTGTTTTGATAGGCGCCCATGCAAGCACCGTGGTGCGGAACTCCTCCCCCATAGAAGAAAACATTAATTAGCACATAATGTGATTGTTCGCCAAGTCATACGGGGGGGTTGGAGCCCGGGAGAAATTGCCAGTTTGAAAATATCGATATATCTGCACTGCACTATGTAGTAGTGTTATTATGTGCAATAAGCGTACTTTCATGCCATACGCATGTGAATACATGCACAGCATGTGGTATGGACGCGGTAAGAATGGGCTTGGCGGGGCAACGGTATGATACAATATAACACACATTGGTATTACAAATCGTCTTGCTGCAACCTGCACCTCCCGCGCGGGGGAGAACTCGTTGGGAATCTAAAACATAGTCTGCATGCGATCAGGTTTGTTCCCAAATTTTTGAACAGTAAAAATAAAAATCGCGTACATAATTATGGGGTGGTTGTTGATCTAATCGAACAAGCCTAGGCGAAAGAATCCCAGGGCCATTTACAGCGGGAAAAGGGAGATAGATGGGCGTCTCAGCCAGTGGAAGCTGTCGCCCGGAGTAATCACTTAGTATGTCGGCAATTGGGGGTTAATGAATTATATTGTATGCTGTGATACAGTATATCAATAGGACTATTGTACAGACAGGCTAGATCCCAGTTGTGTGGATGGGGTAGTGCCCGAGCAGTGATCCGGGTCAGCCAGCGGAATCGAGTATGGCGTGTTTACTAGAGCGCTCGGTTGATGTGGAGGGATATACAGAAGCGCGTGATGAGTGTGATGGGAGGAGTTGTGATGATCAGCGCGAAGCCACGGAAATCGAAGCTAGTTTGGTCGTTTGGTGGGAAAAGGGGAGAAGATGAATCATCTAAAGTCTAGGACACTAGAATATGGAATGAAACAAGATGGTTTCCATAGTCATGGGCAAGCGAGCGAGCGGTACAGCAGAGCGTCACCCGAAGTTTGAGCCTGGGAATGGAAATACCGCCAGAATTGATATTTCATTACGGATTATATTGAAAGCTTCCCGGGGAGGAACATGAGCGGTGGATCTTGGTAAGCCGTAGTGCCTCCGGGTGATGAGTCAGAGTCGCTTTGGAGGGAATGATCGTTAAGCTTTGCTGGACCTGTGCAAAAAGTGTATCATAGCGGATTCAACCCGGAGGACGATCGATTGGGAGAGTTCAACAGCACCGGATGACGCAAAAGTGTATAGAAAGATAAGCGAAGAGAAGCGAAGAAGAAATAACCCAGTTTGGATTTGGGCTACCCGATATGTAGAAGGATCTAGCACAGTGTGACTGGTTGAGCCTGAGTATCACTCAATGTTGCAGCATTTGGGCTACGGAGCACAAAACGCGACTTCAACGTTATCGAAAGGCTGTGTCGATTCAACTTATGGAACTTGGATTACGCGCGTAAACACGCTGAGTAAGCTAATTGTTGTTGAAGCGGGTCGTGGCTGTGTTATCCCTTCGCTGTATTCAATGCGATAACGTAGGGCAGGTGACCAGGATTTCAGGATCGACATTCAGTCCGGAGGACATGACCCGAAAGTTAAGCGCGAAAGGGAGAAGAATTTCAGAGTCGTAGAAGCATGTGTGTACTTTTCGGAAGTGACTCGATGGAGATCAGTTTCAACTTTCATTTCTTTTTTGGGTCGTTTTCCGTTTTGTTTTGTTGTTGTGCATGCGTGCGCGGGCGGCGGGCGGGCGAGGCTGGCGCAGTTGCAAATGATGGGGGTGTATTCCGAGTGAGTGGATGGACACAATGAAAACGGTGGGGAATTTAACGAGAAAAGTGAACACGATATTGTTAGCGGGAGCAAGGGAAGTGACTGAATGGGCTAAGGGCAGAAGTGAAGGCCGACGGCAGCTACTTAGTGACCTCTCCGCTAGCTCTAAGAATTCGGGCAGGTGTGTGTATAGGGAGATTTACAGTTATCGTACCCTGTAGATCGAAGAGAGCACATTGCGGGAATGTGCGCAGAATCCAGACTTTTCCTTTACGGAAATGCCGCGGAAGCTGGATTTTATTTGCTAAGAGCTGGATGTTAGGAAAGGGAGGGAAGAGCGGGCGGTCATTGGGTGCCGGGAAGAGTGTGAAGCCCTAAACGGTCGAGTGCGGTAGTTGTCCCACGTGTGACAGTGAGCGCTCAATCGCCACGTTATACGGCTCCATGATCAATTGTGTGCGCGTGGAATGGAATGTGAGAATGGGGACCCACTTTGGACATTTGCAGGTAACTCATGTGAGCATGAACAATGCCGAAATAGAACATTGGAAGGGGGAGAACGGAAAACGTTTTATAGACCGGATGAGAACATTGAATCATGAGAAGGGACCTGCCGAAGGGTGTTTGTGATTATTGAGAGTGCGGAATTACAGGTTTACAAATTAGAGTTGAAGAGTGAATCGCAGTGGCGCACGTACATACGTGGAAGGGAGAAAAGTAAAGTAAGAAGACGCCGGGATGGATAGATTTGTCTTGGGGCAAGGCAAAGAATGTTCTGTCACAGCCTTCGGATCGGGAATGCCCTGTGGCTGCGCACGCTCGATGTGGAGGACAAATACATAACAAATATGTTTATTCAAAGCAGAATGTTACATAATATAAATTTTTCCTAGGTGAATTACCACCAGTTTGGGTTTCTATATATAATGGTCATGTCCCGACTGCTAGTGTCGAACGGCAAGAATATCGTGGTATAATTACCTCCTTTCACTCACTTCCCTGGCGTCCCTCTCGTCCTCCCCTTCCATCTTTCCTTCCGCGGTAAATACTTTCCAAGAGGTGTAGTGACAACTCTTCGATCACAACATTGAATGCTCTCCTCCCACAAACCTCGACATCTGACTCCGTCTTCCATTCTCTCCTCCGCTTGTTCTACTTCCTCCTCATCTCTCAGCAGCGACGACCCTCTCATTCTTCTCGACTTTCCAATGTATAACCCTACTCATTCTCACTACGATGTGCACTATGATCCACAACCACAGCAACAACCAACGTCGTCGTATGACAATCCTGCTCCTGGTGCATACAGCATCCCAGGCTCTCATCCTCACCCTGCACATTTTGATGACCAGTTGATTGCTGCTCATACGCTTTTCAACACTCAGCAGCCCCCCCAGCCTCAGTCGAGTCAACAGCAGCAGCAGCAGTTTGACACTCAGTCAATATCAGATGGTTCGGTACGTGAGCTTATCCATCGTTTTTGGGAAAAGCAGCATCCACTCACAAACTCGATCCCCCCCCTCTTCTTTTTTTTTTTTGACTGGCTATGACCGACATCTTACGGACTCGTTGCTTAACGCGCGCCTTCGCGGCGCATCTCTCCCCTGTTAACCCTATCTGTCTGTCATCTCCCGTTTTGTTCAACAGTATCACTCCGCGGGCTATCTGAGCGATAATAACTATCAACCACAACATCCCTTGCAGCACCCTTCCTCATATGATGGTTCTGCGTCCGCTTTACCTCCTCCCCCAACCACAACCTCTCACGACGCTAACGGCTGGCCTTACCAGGTCCCCCAGCAACAGCAACAGCCCCATCATCAGAATCCACACCAACTGTCACCAGATCCCCATACGCAATTCCGCACTCCAGGTTCGGATTGGGGTGGTTCATCTGAGGGACAATCTCCATACTCTTTCTCGTCTTCTCTTCCAGATTTACAACCTATGCCCCCTTCTCATCCATTCTACCAACCACAACCACTACTATCTTATCCGCCGCCACACACACAGGGACAACAAGGACAGCCACACGACCCATCCTCCGCATCCCCCTACTACGCAGACATTCATCGACCAGGTTCTCAGTCTTCGCTGTCTGGGTCGGTGTCACCCGCTAGCTTTCACGATCCGTTAAGTCCTGTGCCGATGCAGACTTTCCCCAGTGCGACTGCGGGAGGAACGCCAGGTGCGGGTGGGGGGTCCTCGAATTATCCCTCCCCGTATTCCGATGGCCAGATTCAAGGGAGTGGAGGGCCAACGCATTTGAATCAAGTCAGTTCGCAGCTATCCACGTTGAGGATTGAACAGCAACAGCAGCAGCAGCAGCAGCAACAGCATGGTCAACACGCTTCTACTTCAACGTCTGTCGTCCCTATGTCTGTACCCATCTCTGCTCAACCAGCGACGGGCTCGTATAATTTACCACCACCCGCTTCGCCAATGTCGCCCAAGGATCGTCCAATCATTCTCATTCTCATTCCCATCGTTCGTACGATTCGTTCGAACTTGAGGCTCCTTCGTCACATCCCCATTCACAAGCGCAACCACTGCAAGCGTCGCCCAGTACCCATTCGCATTCCTCCTTGTCTCAACATTCACATCCCATAAATGGAGGAGCAGCATCCCGATCACGCCAGGCCCAAATGTCCATGTCCGAGGATTTATCCCATTCTCGTTCGACTCATTCTCATTCACATATGCATTCTCCTCGTTCCCATCATCATTCCCATTCGCATTCATCACGCTCACACCCTTATGCCCACTCAACCTCAACCACATCATCGCCTCATCCCTATCCTTCGGCCTCCGCCTCGAACTCAAACCCAAACTCTTCAACATCTCCTAGACATCCAAATGCTAACGCCACTTCGACCACAAACAACACCTCCGCCACATCCGCGTCCACCTCCAACAACAACTCCATGCCCACTATGTCGGCATCTGTTCCAATCCCCATCTCGATCTCAGCGAGTGGCAAACCCCTGATGCCTGGGACACCTACCCATCCTGATATACCCAGACCTGTTAATGTGCCTTCACCGGCCCCTGTCCCTGGGTTGATCAAGAAGAGTAGAGGGAGGCAGGTACCCAGTGTTGCTGGTGTCGGGGGGAAGGGTGAGGAGAGTAGAGAGAGAAGTGTAGATGTGGGAGGAGTTGGGCTTACGAGGAGTGGGAGTATTGGAAGGGGAGTAGGTGGGGGTGAGAGGGGGAGGGACGGAATGACAGGTGCAGCTATGAACATTTTGGCTCTCGGTGGGACTGGGGGTGTCGGCACGAGTTTTGGCGTCGGTGGCGCTGGTGCTGGGACCAAGATGGGGAGGGGGAGAGGGACGGGAGTTGCGCCGGGGAGTGTGGGGAATGGGAACACGATCGGGATGTTGAGTGGTGGTGGTGGTGGCGTCAACGGTGTTAATGGAGCGAGAGGGTCGTTCTTTGTTGATACGACGACCTCGAGCCTTGAAGCATGGGGGAGAGGGAACGGAATGCCAACGGATCCGTTATCTCGGTCAGTGAGAGCTTCGAATGCTCATGGAGCTATGGGAGTAGGAATGGGAATGGGAATGGGAGTTGATGTTGGTGTCATTGAGACGATAGACTCGTTCAATGCCGCTATGCGGAATCGTCATCCTCCCTCTCACCCCCACCCCCCGTCTGGTGGACTTGGCATCGACCTCAATGGTGCATCCAATAATGGCCATAGTGGTGCAAATACCATTCCGCAGTCACAGGGGATCATGACAGGTGTGACGATCACAACGTCGGACACCGATATTCGTTCGAGACCGTTCGTCTGTGAGGTGGAGGCCTGTGGGAAAGCTTATATTCGGGCTGAACATCTGAAGAGGCACATCCGAAGCATACACACTAATGACAAACGTAAGTTTCGCAGATCCTTGTCTTTCGTTTTTTTTTTTCAAATGCTAATAATAATGATGATGATGGTGTGTTTAGCGTACGAATGCCCGTTTGCTGGATGTGGACGGGAGTTTAGTCGGTACGATAATTTGTGTCAGCATTATAGAGGTGTACATGGGCCTACAAGTGGTGGTATTGGCTTAAGTTCGGGGTCGGGGCCGGGGAGTGGCGGATCGAGAGGGAGGCAGCGGGATGGAGGAAAGTCGTAGTGCATCATCATTCCTTCGCAGTCCCCCCTCCCCTCCGTGTCATCACCCAGTTCCCCCCCCCCCAACTCCAGATGCATACACCTGTATCCCTCGCTCCGTCTAATTTCCTTCCACCCCCTCTTCTCCCTTCGAAGATGGATTCAACTAGTAGAACTTCTCCTTCGATCTCATCATCTATCTTATCTCGATTTTGGGAACCGTCTATATCGATATTTCCATTTTTCTCCTCCTTTCTTTCCAGTCGGGATTTTTCTTTCAATGTGGGTCAATTTTTGGGAAAAGGGGGAAGGTTGAGGCTAGCCACAAGGCGATCTGGAATCTTGGAAAGCTTGAGCAAAACAGGGACTGGACCCTAACCTGGAACTAAAACTTCCCGGCGGTTCGGATTTGTCCTTCTCTCTTCTCTCGCCCTCTCTCTCCCTTTCACGTGCAAAGAGGAAGTTCTAGCCAGGATCTCCGCGGAGATCTGGACTTTTTTTGAAAACTGGGTTCCCGCTTGTGTCTTTAAATCCCGCTCTTCCACCTCCTTTGCCCCTTTGCGTCCCCGCATTCTGGTATACATTTGGAATCGCTTCCTCGCTGGCCCGATTTACATAGGATCCTTTTGCCTTAGCCTCTTAGGCACAAATACTCGCCGTTGATATTCTTCTCCCTCCCCCCCCCGTAATGTTTTCCGCCACTTGATTTGTTGCAAGTTTCCCATTTATCGAGTATTCACTCGGAGACCGCGGTGATATCTGGTGGGTGATTTGATGGTTCGGGAGGGGGGTCCGGGGGTCTGATTACCGCTCCATTCACATCCTCATCGTTCACCACCGTCTTTCGCTGGTTACAACACTATTTCTTTCAAGACCGCCTTGATCCTAAACCTCGATCGTTGTATCGTTATACACATTTGCCTTTTTTTCCCTCTTCGCTCACTTCTTCGGTTCCATCCCCGCTCTTTGACTACTGCTAAAGTTCCCCCCTTCTGCCTCTCCAACTCTCGCTCGCCCTCCTGATCGGGACTGCTGCTTGCTTTTCGCTCTTCATTTTCCTTCCTCCCACTCTTACCTCGTTTCGTTTCATCTTTTTTTTTTCCCTTTCTTCTCCTTTGGGCCTACTGTACTCCCATGGTGTGAATGTGTGTTTGTAACGTACTGTATGCTTTCCTTATTTTCTGCGCGTCCCTTATCGACCCATTCTGTTTTTCTCCCCTCAAACTAGCCGTATGTTTCACCCATACTCAGTTCGGCCGACCGATCGACCGATTGATTCTTCCGTCTGGCTGTCAGGTCGTCTGCTCGCGCGTTTTGTTGTTTTTGTGCTTGATCTTTTTAGCTTGTTCGGCGCTTGATCCAAGAGACATGGAGGTGACAAGTAATCGTTTTTCTTTGTCGTTTTTTTTTAGTAGTTGTCTTGATGATATACACAGGTCTGCTGGTCTGAACTTTTTTTTCTGCTTCAAAAAATCCTCGGTTGCTGTTTCTTTCTCTTTTTTTTTACTCCCTTTACTACTATAGCATGTCATATAGTCCAGTTGAATGCAACTGTATGATCATAAATGACCCCAAGTGTGTGGAATTACGGGGGTGTGAGGTTGCATGAAGGAGATTCACAATATAATGCGCAACGGCGGCATGCATATACGTAGCATACATATCAGTCCTTGATAATCTTTCGAGAGCCGGCACCTCCTATCTGGCTACCTGTTCGCGGTATATATTGCGTGTGCATGCAATGTGTAGGCATAAATTACCTCATGATACCGATCAACTAAGAGGACTAATTGTGCTGATCGGACAGCCCATTTTCTTCTTCGGTGTGTGTGCATGTGTAATCCAATGTTAAATGCATAGCTACTGCGCAACTCATGGTACTACCGCGCGCAGTGGCTGCGGTGCCAGTGGATGGACATGTATATGCATATTGTTGTAAGTGGAATAATCACGATTACGTGAACGAGTGTTCCCAGGCCTAAGGTGTTTTCCATTGATGTAGGGATTACGCGTGTGTGTGTGTGTGTGTGGCCCCAAATGTGGGGTGCGCGCGCGGTGTCGACGTCGGATCCTAAGCATCAAACTGAATTACGCCAATGCTGATGTTGATGCCAGGTCCGGCGTTACCCGTCGCAACAAGGCAAGTTTCATTACACCATTTTTGTCCCTTTTTTTAAAAACCATTGTAATATGCTTGATCCATCTATTGACACCGCGTGTTTGGGCGCTGTCTGATGGATTAACTTGATGCGGTCGAGTTTTGATCCTTAGCAACCTAGTAGCGGCCTCCACACATATATTGCACACAGCCAGGGAGACACCTATGAGTTTTTGTACGTGCACGTCCCGCGCCCAAGCCGTGACGATTACGCATCGGAACTAGGCGCGAGAGCGGCACCCGATCGCCGCGTGCCGAGTTGAAAAATGCAGAGGATGGTTTTCTGGAGTGTAAAGCGTCGAGTCATCTACTGTACATGAATGCGCGCAGTCGATTCCAGTTGATTGTGGGGGTGTGGGATATGGTAACAAATCCAATCAGACGCTCCTTGGCCGGGTTTTCGTTAATTGTATGCACCGAGCGGGCCCGAACTGCTGTGTGAGTGGGAGAGTGGCGGGCAGATCGTCCTTGTGTGTATGTAAGGTCCGCTCCGTATCTCGGACTTGTTCTTGATTTGGATTAGAGTTTTTGTTTTTCTGAATTAGGTTGATACACTCAACGAAATGATCGTTACGTAGTACTGGTGTCCAGATCACGGAGAGTCACTGCATAATTGCTTGTTGCCCTGCCCGCGAGAGAATGCTCCCACATTAATCAATGCCCTCAAGCTAACCCCACGTGTGGGGGGTCGCGTGTGTTTGTGGGGTCGAAATATAATGTTTGCCGGAGGTTGTTTTTTTGAGATTTAAATATCCCAATAGTCTCCCTTTGATTACATGACTTGGCCTGTACCTATGGATTAATTTTTGCGCCATTTTCCACGAGGTGGAATTTGGTCGGGCATGGTTACCGAGCACACGAGTCAAGTTTTGCTTGTATCAATGGAGTTGTAATAAACCCACATCTCCACGGCAGACCCCCAGACCGAGTGCAGCGCCCCTCCGTCCACATGGCCACATGGAAAAAGGCGTTTAGCAAGGGCGGTGTTCATGTGTTCGACCCCGGGCATTTGAGAATGTCGCGCAGAGCATAGCAATTACTACTCTATATATAATTTCGAAAGATCGGAATGGAGCTCTCCGGTACCGGTAAAGGATTATGGCTTGAATATCTTGGATACACACCTCGCCAGCACTCCAGTTCATTTCACCACCCCTATACCTCGTACCTACATGCATTCCTTGTGGGGTGAATAGATGAGTGGGAAGATCATGCGTGACCTAAGCCCCTACTGTAGCCGAATATAGCCGTGTGTTACCTCCTGCACTTCCCGATCATTCTGGGATCCCTCAGTCGATTCTGCTTGTCCCATTTGCGGCGATTCATGAGCCTCCTGAGTATCCCACCCACGATCGTATTGACTGTTTTGTTAGGAACTGAAGACACAAAGGGCGGCTCTTGACACAAATGGAAGGCAACTTCACCCACATTCAGATTGGCAGATGAATAACCCAAATGGGATTCCCACAATATTATCGCTGTTCAATCTTGAAATGGAAAGCATAGTCAAGAACCAGTGAATTATACGGCGAAAGATCGACCATATATAGTTGCATAAAGGCAACGACACGGCGAACCAGGAAACATCACTGTACATTACCGTGTGTGCGCATGGTGGGTACAATACCCGGAGCACATGTATGCGCATCATTGGAAAGTTCTAATTCCGTTCACTTAACCCATCCGTCACTCTTTTCGCTTCCCTTTGTATCGGATACGTACGGTTACTTATCCGTTGAAGGTGGTCACCGTGGAATGAGGGATCACGCGAATACACTAGGACGAGCCTGAGTTCTGCCGGGCCATCGTTGAGCATGACCTATCAACGGAGATCCCCCTCCCAACACTCATACTCCATGCTTTGAATGACCTGTGCAACGCTGCGCGCATCGCACAGTTGCAGTTTCAGGGCCACAGTGACGCCTTTACCGTTTCCCTCAACGTGCAATTAGCCGCTTTATGTGAGGGAAATAGGTGGCGCCACTTGGGTATCCCATACTATGAGCTGATCTTGTTGCCTTTTTTTTACATCTACAATCCGGTTGTGATCTCCCGGGGATGTTAGAAACTATATATATATATCCAGGAATTCAAGCACAATTCGGATTCGTATACGGTACCTTTCACGCATGCATGCACCCATTGGATTGAAACAGGCTAGGGATACTGTAGCCACCCCAATTCATCCGTCTGGGACCTAGTTAGTGCTGTATACATACATGCATAGTATGGCGATCCATCGGTTGCGGCGATTGAGCAGATTGGGTGCTCTCAATCGCTTCTCGAGTCGAAGTGCTCGGCGGCGGGTGTGCCGGGGCTGCGGTGAAGGTCATGGAACACAACGAAGACCGCCGGGCTAGATAAATAAATTCCACGTCACTATCAGTGTACCGCTAACGATCGTCAAGTCTACCATGGCTACACGAACGTGAATAGAGTAAGAAGTGAGGATCGTTCCATATGATATGAGGGAAGATAAGCGTTGTAGGTGATACAAGCTTCTCCACGCGAGCGCTAAGTTCCAACGGTCCCGAAGTGGTTGATATGTATTATGCACCAACAAAATAAGATGTGTTCTTGATTCATTTTGCCTTCGTTTCTGATGGTGTTCCGAAGCGAAATTTGCGCTGCACCCGTCGTCAATCACCCCTGCCGACGCAGTTCCAACTACCTTCTTCCGAAGTGTGATCTCATTCTACGTACTGAATGGCGCGGCTAAGGTTGATTCGATCTCCGGGGTTGACCGACAAATTCATGACCGCTGCCCCTGGCTCGATCTAGTGACAATTTCCGACTTGACAGATGTACCTGAGCTACAATCACTTCCCAGCTCCAGTTATATACTTAAACGAAATAACGACAATAGAAAAGAGGCAATTGTGCTTCTGGATTTTAGCTTCTATGCGCTGATTGCCGTGTGTGGTTGCCTGGTTCTTAAGTATTATAAGTTGTTGCGCTACGCGTCTTCATTCCCCGAAAACGAGGCTGCTTCTGCGCGGTTGTTGCCGACTCCAAACTGAAAATGACCAGTTGGCGTTCCACGGCAAAACCTCGCCCGCAGAGCAAAAAAAAACACACACACACAAAACTTCACATTGCCATTGCAAAACAGCTGCCCAGTAGATGGGCTAACAGTTCTTAATGATCTCATTAACTGTATAGGATAAGAAGGGAGTGCCTAGTGAACATTAAACGACAGTAGCAGGTCCGCCATCATGTGCGCCACACACTTTCATTAGCCTGCTGCTGTTGTGGTGACGGCAATTGAAGAATGTGTGGTACCTGCCAGCCCCAGCAGGAACCAAGGGCACAAAGCAACAACGCGGATTCGGCTGATCGGAAATAGGAAGGCCATCGTTCCTTACTCTGTCTGTATCTAACCCAGAAAAACGATCGCCTATTAGTTATAATTAATTCCCAGGCCGGTTGAAATGAATTTACTTCCACTTCATCGTGAGCTGGATCTTCAATGACACTTCATCACTCAAACAGCCTCGGGCGCACATATCTGCAAAGTAGGGACTTCGGGATTAGAACGATCCCGAAATGGAACACAATGGTCATGAAGGGAATCATGCAGCGGCGCAGTGGGTACAATTGATATAGTACAGCCTACGGCCACGGAGTTCATTGCAAGGCGTTGCTACATTGCCCCATGATATACGCGGAATTCATGGGCCCATCCTTGGTTGCTCAGCTTGCTGACCCACTCCGCCATCCTATCCCTTACCTTGAGTGTGGGTTATAACTCGCTTCGGTAACATTTGGTCGGACCCCTTTGTTCCATACCAGTACTATGATTTTTTTACAGAACTTCCATGTGTAATGGCCCCTAGCCAGACTCATATAAACACGAATTAGTCCAACCCTAATATAATACAATACCCATCTGGTCAATATTTCACACCAAAGTAATATCGACGAACTTCGATATTCTGCAACACAGCCAGAAAGGGCCATAATAAACCACAGAACATGATCGATAGTAATGAAGCACTTTATTTCCAGCGCTAGGGCCGGACGAGCCCAGGGCACGGTACCTTGCTGCATCGCGCTCCGATGAGCGGCTATTATTTGAGCGCCCGTCATAGCCGGATGGCTTTCCCAAGCCCATCCACTGATCAAATGAACCCCCAAAGGCGCCCAGCGAGTTGCCACGAGTGTGAGATAGAAAAAGCGCTCATAGCATCGTGCGCTAATGGCCAGGCAATGTATACTTCATCGTCGGAGAAAGAACCCCGCGTTTTTTCCGGCGCTGGTCGATGAATAACCACTGCCACCTGGCCTGGATGTAAGATATGTCCTGTTGATGATTGTCAGATATAGCAAGTGATACGGTTTCGCGTGACAGTGCAGCTTATATAATTCCAAAATAGGCCTTGATGATCCACAACCAGTCAATGCCATAACTGGTCAAGGCCCAAGCTGTACTCTGCTGGCACAGGATCCATCTAGTATTCCTGTAAGGCGCAGGCAAGGATCAAGGGACATATATAGCCTGATTGAACTGCGACGTACTGCAATATCAGACGTGCACCCACCTGCTGAATTCCCCACGTTAAGTCATAATTTCCGACGTCCCCCAGCCACCTAAGTGAATTAGTTAATTGATACAGCAGACCGGCTACTGCTTATTTGAGTGATATGGAGAATAGGTATCAGCAAAAGAACCATGGCCGACTCCACGGTACCTCAAACACGGGTCGGAAACACGGTGAAAATCCTATGTATATTCAAACTTGATGTGTGCCCCGGTCGATATCCGCGGGCCTCCATCAGGGTGGAAACAGTCCCGATGCTCCGGCCGATCATGAAACTGGCATACACTAGCTCAAACCTAACGACGAGGAAGACTATAAGGTGGAGGAAGGGAAGGAGGTGATGCATCCGGTATGATGGTGTGTGATCGACAGTTGAGTTGGTAGGCAATACCGCTGGTGATCCGCTGCTCCATGCATTTTGACGACCCTGCCTTTCAACCCTCACACTATGCAGATAAGCCGTATTGGCATACCGAATCCACGCTATAGTGGCTATACTATATGTATGCCATGCGTCGATTCGGTGATTCCGGACATGGGGATCCGCCGTCCTATTGGTCTCTCCGTGCCCAGACTACCATAGACATCCAGGTTGCCACATGGGTGGCTAGTATTGAAACGTCAGCCATGCGTGGCTCATTGGTTCATTCCCAACCTGTAAGAAAACCCCTCCCCAATCACCCACCAAGAAGGGAAAAAAATGACATATCCTTGGAACATGCGCGGTGTAGGTTCTCATCAAAGAAATCATCAATTCAGGAGCATCGTCCTCCATTCGTTTTCGCACCGCCGGCCCCCAAACAATCACCTCAACAGACAAGCTCTTAACGGGGGGAAATCTGCCGTCGGCCTTTGGGTTTGAGACGCGCGTAAATTTATACGATACCGCACTTGTTGATCGAGAATCGGGCTGTCAAGTCACGTTGTTTCGTTCGAGGCTCGAACCAAATAATGGCGCCACGCGACCGCGCACGTCTATCACATCACGGCCAAACTTAAGCACGACCCTTAGATTTGCAGTAGAATACACTCCTGCCCTCCGACCGGCTCCTTGGTTATCTGGATAACTACGACGTTTGCACGGGTGCACACATGGGTGTAAGATATCATATACGAATTCGAATCGTGCTGAATCCCTGGATATATAAACATATATGGTTTCTAACATCTCCGGCCGATCTCAACGGAGTCGTAAGCGATGTAAAAAGGCCACAGGATCAGCGCATTGTATGGGATACCCAAGTGGCGCCACCTGTTTCCCTCGCATAAAGCGGCTGACAACGTGATGAAGGAAAGAGCTTGAAGGGCGTCACTGCAACTGCGCGACGCGCGCGGCGCTCATTTTCCCATAATCAAAGCAAGGTATGAGTGTTGGGATAACTCCGCTGGTAGGTCAATCCTAGGACATACTCAACGATGACCGGCCGACATGCACGACACAACTCGTCTTGCTGTATACGTATTTAATCGCGTGATTCCCCACTCCACGGTAACCACCCTAGGCGCTTTCAACGGATTCAACGAATAACCGTACGCATCCGATACAAAGGGAAACGAAAAAAGGGAGAATCAGAATTTTCCAATGATGCGCATTGGGCCATCATGCGCGGACAGTGATGTATGGTGATATTTCCTGGTTCGCCGTGCCGTTGCTTTACGCAACTTGGCCGATCTTTCGCTGTAGAATTCACTGGTTCTCGGCTTGCTTTCCATTTCAAGATTGAATAGCGGGAATCCCATTTGGGTTATTCAACTGCCAATTTGAATGTGGGCGAAGTTGCCTTCCATTTGTGTCCAGCCGCCCTTTGTGTCTTTAGTTCCTCAAACGGTCAATACGATCGCGGGTGAGATACTCAGGAGGGAATCGCGGCAAATGGGACAAGCAGAATCGACTGAGGGATCCCAGAGTGATTGGGAAGTGCAGGAGATGTGAGACATAGGGTTGGTGGAATGGATAGTAGATCATGTGTGTGCGGCGTGTATCCGAGTCCACAATGGATTTCATTAATCGGCAGTTCGATGAATGAGGGTCAGGGGTAAAGTCAACAATTCGCAGCGCCACGCTGCACATATCAAGGCTGATCCTTTCAATTCAACGTATTTCGTCTTCTCGTTCTTTTGGTGCAGAGTGCAGTTCAAGGATGAGACCAGCATACCTTCGCGTATCAGTCTCTCCGAAGACATGGAGCATGTGGATACCAGTTTTAATGGTCTGATTAACCGAAGAAGCGTCCAACCGTGAGTTTTCGTGATATTGAAATATGGATCCTAGAGCCGGTCGAAGTGTTCTGTAAATGAGCGGAGAACTAAGATGGATCCCAGCTGTTCCATCCGTGTGTTATAGTTGGGGATACTTAGGAAGTCGAAGCTTGGAGACATGGCAATCGTATCCATTAGTCAGAGCCCTGGGGGATGCAAGACCGAGCTGGGAAAACAGGGTGGGACTATGGAACTAGGTGGGACAGCGTGCAAAGACCCGGTTAGGAGAGGGTAAAGATCAATCCCCAAGAGCACGAATCTCACGACGCCGAGATCCTGACGGTGGGTGGGTGCATTGAATAGCAGTGCGTGAGCACTTCTTTGTCGCAAACCTGGAAACCAAGTATGTATTGATAAGAGGAAGACTGCCTAGTAACACATCACGTCGGATTGCTTGTGTCAGTCGCACGCGTACGGATTATGATGTCCTACGGCAGGGATCCGTACCCCCGGAGCCATACATAGGAGAGGCGATCAATCTTTAAGAACTTCCGTCGGAAATAAGTAGGTGCAAGCAAGACTCTGAGGGTGAGAGCAGATTGTCTTTTCAGGGAACAAAAATGATGAGAACATTGCATCGGGTCATAGTGTTATTCAAAGAACCTGACGGGCGCTAATCGATGTCGCATCAGACCGTCCGAAATGATTGAGCAGAGGCTAGGATCCTTCCTTTCGATAGTATCGCAATGGGCTTCTTATCTGTGGTACTAATAGAGGCTGGTAACCTGCCTAATCTGTGGTGGCGTGGTCATGATAATCATCATCAAAATTGCCGCAGCGACGGCGCCAAAGAATTGAAGTACCCTTCTCAATACTTCTAGTCTGTTGATACTTATGTAAAGTGGTTCAACTAAAGCACCGCGATGAAGCGGCTGTTTACACTAGTGTGTCTGGAGACCACGTGCGTATGGGTTTCGTTTTGGATACCAATTCCAGTCGGTCTACATAAACTCAACAGCGACTTCCCACTCGTTGGCATTGAGAGATCAGGGGTGATTCACTTGGGCGCGGCTCCCAGCTGCGATGTTCGAACGAACATTGTCCGACCTTATTAAGGGATTACGAGCCACGGATAAGAAAGATGAGGCCAAATTCATTGCTCTTGCAGTCAATGAGATCCGCAAGGAAATTAAAGGCGGCGATATGGAACTAAAGGCTGCAACTCTGCTAAAACTTGTTTATGTGAGTGAGTAGTTGCACCCTTGTCATCGGAATGACTGAGAGTGTCAATCGGCCTGAAAGCTTGAAATGCTTGGATATGACATGTCGTGGGCGTCCTTCCACGTTGTAGAAGTAATGTCATCTCCACGTTTCCATTTAAAGTCGGTGGGATATCTTGCCGCCGTGCAATCGTTTAAGGAGGGGACTGAGGTTTTGATGCTCACTACCAATACTCTCAAGAAGGTGTGTCAATCTGACCAGCTAGTCCTTATAAACACATTTCAATGGAACTCCACTCTATCTCCAGGATATTGGCTCTCCTCATCCACACGAAATTTCCGTAGCTTTGGATGGTTTATCGCATATAGCTACTACGGACATCGGCCGTGACGTATCAAACGATCTTATTGGGATGCTGAATCATTCTCGGCCGCGTATACGGAAGCGGGCTGTACTGGCTGTCTATAAAGTCAGTATCAAGTATCCGGAAATACTTGTACATGGTATCCCAAGATTGCAAGAAAAGCTGCACGACCCTGACGATGGGGTCGTGTCAGCTACCGCCAATGTGCTTTGTGAACTTGCTGGGAGGCGCCCTCATGATTACCTGGCCCTAGCCCCCCATCTATTTGAAATTTTGACAGCCTCCTCAAATAACTGGATGTTGATCAAGATCATAAAATTAGTGCGTCGTCGAAAGTCTTCACATTCTTGATGTGACTGTGCCAACAGCTCGACTGACTGTAGTTTGGAGCACTAGCGCCACACGAGCCGCGCCTGGCGAAGAAGCTGCAAAGGCCGATGACTGAGTTGATTTCGATGACACCAGCTGTTTCTTTGTTGTATGAATGTGTGCGGACGTGCATCGTAGGTAACATGCTAGAGGGGACGGCAGGAAACAATCTTGCGAAGCTATGCGTTCAAAAGCTGTCGGCTTTTCTGAAGGATGAAGATCAGAACTGTGGGTCCCCCTTATGCCCATCCAGTAGCTATTGAACTCTAACCGCGAACATGACAGTGAAGTATATTGCGTTGTTGGCTTTGGCGAAGATCGTCCCCTCCCATCCTCATCTTGTTGCAGCGCATGAAAATGAGATTCTTTTGAGCCTAGAGGATGAAGATATGAGTATTCGTGTTCGTTGCTTGGAACTTATGTCATCCATGGTAAGTACAACCTTGCTCATTTAATGGGACGCCGCAGCAAAAACCAAAACGCGCCTCTAGGTTACCGATTACAATCTCCAGTCCATCGTTCAGCAGTTGCTCCAGCATTTGGTGGCCAAGGAGAACAGTTCAACATCGTTGCAGAGTGCCGCGAAGTCTCTCGCTCGCACGGCCGCAGCATCTGCTGTTAACGGGAGGGGGCAAGTATCCTCATATGCGGACCCAAGGAACATGGCCTCTCTCGGCAACACATTGCAGCCTCGTATCGACTAGAAGTTGCAAAGAGGGTCGTCGAGATGTGTTCACGGAATACTTATGAGAACATAACAGACTTCCACTGGTATTTGTCTGTTCTCATAGATCTTGCTTATGTGAGCAATGTCGGCGGAATTGGTGCTTTTATTCGAGACCAGTTAGTCGATGTTGTCGTTCGTGTCAAGTCTCCGGAGACACGCAAATTCGCTACCGAATTGATGATTAAGCTTTTGGGTGATGACGGTCTACTTGAGAACTGCAATGACGAGACTAGCTGTTCAGAAATTCTTTGGGCTGCTGCGTGGATATGTGGGGAGTATCCTCAGTAAGCCATGAACTTCACTCCATCGCCACGTTGAGCAAACCTCATTTGGTCTAGGTACCTGAGTGATCCCATTGGGACACTAAAACTTCTTTTCAAGCAGCAGGTCTCGCGTCTTCCTGGAGAGATCATTGCAGTCTATTTACAAGCGACGTTGAAAATATTCGGGCACTGGGCGGCTGAATTATCGAAGCAGTGGAGGGAAGATTCTCTCTCAGAAGCTCAAAAACAGGTGGATCAAATGTTATCGAGTATCACCTTATTCATTAGTAGCGACAATGTGGAGGTTCAAGAGAGAGTACGTAGAACTTAGGTGCCACCTATTTCTTCCTGACATTTCTCGTTCTCCCCTAGGCTACGAACATACAACAGCTTTTCACTTTCATTAAAGCTGATTTCTCTAAACATGCAGAAAGGCCTGCACAGATGTCGAAGAGATTGGATACGTCTGAACCAGAGTACCCCAAGAGCTTGTATCTGATCCGTCCGCTTCATGCCAGGGAGCTCAAGGCGGTGGCTAGAAATGCTCAAGCCAGCGTACAGGTCCCGATCGGTCTTGACATTGATGCTTGGATTGTTCACCCATCTCGCTTGAAGGAACTTGCCAGCGATCCTACCGCAAGTGGAAGCGAAGGTGAGACGCAGGATACTCCTTTGCGAACTAGGAGGAAAGGAAAGGGGCGGGCTGATGGGTCGAAATCGAAGGGCTCAAGGCGAAAGGGGGTACAGGCAAAGGAGGATGCCGAAACGGTCGATTCTCTGAGGAACGTGCCGCTCATGAAAGAGTGAGATTCATCTTCCAATCGTGGGGTGACAAAAGCTTAGTGGCATGTTGTAGCGGCGTGCTTTACTTGCCGCTGAGCGCGCCGGTGATCCGTTCTATCTCGTAGACAAGAAACCATCTCCAATCATTCGGGACGACATAGACGATATTCCGATTGTCAGACTTGACGATGTGCCTTCACCTATAACCAGTAAGTCTTTTTAGAACCAAAGCAAGTCCGCCCACAGACATTTTCTGCAATTTCCAAAGACCCAGCATCATCTTCCATATTTGCCGCCACCGTTCCACTAAAGTCCCGTCCATCTTACACCTCTCTGAAAAGCAGTCCGGCAGCGTCTCCTGGTCCTGTGGAGATCGACAGAGGCGGCGAAATGCCACCGGGCTCCATGTCAAAGTCCCATTCGCCTCACCTCTATCACCCCCATCTCCCACCTACGAGGCGCCCAATCAATCCTCACTCCGTCGTCTCTACCCTCAAGTTCTTCAAAACCCTCGCTGCTAGGTAGGGGAGTTGCGCCATATGAGGAAGGTGACGCCGCGGATAATGATTTGACTGAGAGCGGTGCGCCAGTTGCGAGACAACCAGAAGCGATGAGGAGCCAGTACGAGGAAATCGAAGGGGGAGTGGAGGTGCGCCGGAAACCATTCAAGTAACGAAAGTTAAGAGGAAGAAGGTAAGTTCCATTTCATCATCCCAACGCGAGTTGACCTGCGTGTATCAATTCCTAGCCAAAATCTTCGGCGAAATCATCTAAGAGCTCGAAGATAAACCGGGAGTAAGCGATGGGCGAGGGAGTGCAGCTTGTGCATTTGCTCGCCGAAGCTTCGCATGATGACCGGACGCCTCTTGGAATTGAAACCGTTTCCTGCGTTGTGATGGAGAGTCCAGCCACCTCTTCGAGAACACTTATCCCAACCCGCAATGCACTTGCTCTGCCAACAAACCTGGCATAATGATTTCTCAGAGAAATGGTGATGGCACTTGGGACAAATAAGCACCCTTCCCTGAATCCCTCTCATCAATGTCCAGGGTGCTCAGACGCCGCTGTACGCTAAATCACAACATGCCCCGCGCGTGACCCGCTATCACGATGTGGATTTGATTGAGTTCACGCCCAGCTGGTTTAGATATCCGTGTGAACACACGTCGGGCTCTCGACGAACCACCACTGAAATATGACTGAGAATTCGACGGAGATGAGCACTGAGGCTCGAATTAGATCAGAATGCCTGCACGCATTCATACAATTCACGAGCGACTCTGGTAAGGAAAACTTCTGCACAGGCGAGAACACCAGATGTATTTCATCGACAAAGACAGAGCGGGTTTTTGAGCTATATATAATGTTCTGTCGGCTAGGTGAATTGGATGATGAGCACTTGGGCGAAAGTGGGCGATTCGCACATCCGGAACCAGACCACAAAAACCTTGAAGGGCCAATGCTACCCTAGGGGCTCGAGGTGCGAGAAGCTGTGAGACACTTAATCCCTAGCAGCCAGTCGCAAGCGCCAACAGATCGAGCACTCCATAACGCAATTGTCAGTGCAGACGCCGAAATTGATGAGTTTAGGCTAGCTCTGAAAGAGTAGCTCAGTTTCCCTTTCAATCATGGAAAAGATCTCCAGTGAAAATACGAACACTTGTTCTCCTTTTGCGAAGCAATGCGTCTCTGGGAACCAAAAGGCACATGATTCATCTGAGCAAGAGCAGGCTAATAACATGGGCACCCAAATTAAGCATGAATGGGCAAATAAAGCGGGTTAAGCCGCAACCTCATAGTTGGCGATCCACCTCGTAACAACTGGCTGCACCCTCTTATTTCATAATAAATAATCTATCATGCAATAGATCCATATCATTCGAAGCGCAGTGATAGCATGAAGATTAACCACGGCGTTAGACGTGCTATAAATACACCAGAGGACCGATCGACTTGACAAAACTGGGCGATGACTAGGTTGCGTTTCTGATAACCCCGACCCAAATGTTCTTCACCGGAAGAGCAGACATACATCATGAGAAGCATGGGAAACAAAAAATCTCCCAGGGCATCTTGCAGGGTACAGCATAGCTTAATCCCGAGGCATCCGGAGTCCATTCGACCCTCGAAAAAACATCCAATTGACAGATATTGATGGCCTCGAGTTGTGGAGGTGGAGTTCGGGCTGTGGTACAGCCGCGGAAGGACGAGCTTGGAGTGCAAGAAGCATCCAAACTGCCATTCGTGCCCCTTTGGAACGGAATGCCGAAAATACATGAATGACGGTGACTTTATTACATAGCTCAACAGCACTCGGTCTCAGGGCAGAGCGGCGGCAAAGATTAGCAATAATCCGCACAATCGATAGCACTGAGAAAGGACACCGATGCGTACGGTGGTTTTATTCGAAGCAAAGCGTCTGAATGAACTCAGTATCTCCCAGCGGTACACTCGTAGTCCAGATGTCGGAGGGAACTATAACTAATGCACATATTCACATACATACGGGAGTGAATCAATCAAACGCCACATGTGTGCCGGATATCTCCGGTGACTCTCCCAGCCCAGAACCTGTTCGCAGCGCGCGTCCACGAGCGAGGGCAAGGGTCTGACACTGCGGGGTTTCTGTTTTTCGGCCCTTGCCTGTCGTGTTTTTTTTGGCTGCTTCCGTTTTCTTGCGGCCTAGCTTTGTCTGTGCGGTCATCTCCTTCGTGATTACCCTCCAGTCCCATTTCGCTTTCCTGTGTATTCACCGGGTCGCCTTCTATTCAAAAAGTCTCGATGGTTATCAGGGTTGTTGCTATCTCTCTGGTGTGCTCGTCCAGTTGCTCACAAATGGGCTTTTGTTTGGCTTTCGTTGCTCGCTTCCTCGGGAGGCTAACCTAGACCATGGGAAATATGGATTACGCTATGGTCTGGCGGGCGAATAATGATGATTTCTCGGACTTGCTTTGACAAGACACTCGGCACTCAAAGTATTCGTAATCCATTGATTTGGTGACCTTCAACCTTTACCCTTATCTCTTATAAGAAAATCTTGTGAGGTAATCCAGATGTGGAATTTGTAAGGGACCATTGTCATGATTCGCTGCAAACGCCGATGCCCAATGATATGAAACTGAATCCAATCTATCATGAAACATCCTCAGGCAGGTGACCAGCCTCCCTTTAACGGGAAAAACATCGCGCGTTCCTGTGGTGCGCCCAAGCTTGGTGCATCTCATTGCTCCTAGGCCTATAAACTGCCCAGTGACCAGTATACGTGCAATGATTGCAAGTTGTGATTTCCCAGAACATTCCGCCAAAACACCTCGCTGGAGATTCTCGCCGCTTCTTTTGTTGACATTTGCCACGATCAAATTAGTCTGAGTCATGATGACTTGTGCACCTCCGCATCACGTCATCATTGTGACATGGTGACTAAGCTCTACTTGATCATCAAGCATTCATAAATAATGGCTATAAATTCCACTCACTGTCCCACAGCCCTTAGTCCTCCGACCAGTCCTCCAATTCCAGTCGTAGTCAATGTCTCAAACAACGGTCAAACCTGCTGTGGCATTTGTCGGTACGTAACCCGGCTCGTCTTATTCGTCCGTCCGTACGACGACTCTACTAGGATCTACGGGTCTTCTTGGGAAAAGCATGGTCCCAATTTTCGCGCAAGCTGCGAACTCAGGTGAACTCAGTGAACTTCGCCTCCTTGTTTCTTCAACCCCCAAGCTTTGGCTCGAACGGCTCATCTCGGACACTGTGAAGATCGTTCAAGTGAACTATGCAGATCAAAAGGCTCTTGAGAATGCATTACAAGGAGTTGACGTCGTTGTTAGCGCTCTAGGAACTAACGGGACAGAAGTGGCAAGACGGAATCTGATCAATGCTGGTATGTGCTCAATCTCTCTTCGACCATCCTAAATGCAACTCACAATCCCCACCGTTGTAGCCGTTGCTGCCAAGATAAAGGCTTATGTTCCCTCTGAGTACGGCTCTGACATGGACGTAAATCCGTACCCCCTTCCAATGTTCGAAGAAAAGCAAGCACACCTAAGAGAGGCCAAAGCAGCAGGACTCAAAACCATCTCCTTGCTCACTGGTTTCTTCCTGGAAACTATCTTTTCCCCACCTTTCGGATTCATCTCCGCCACGAACACATGGAACCTCCCTGATTCGGGAAGTAACCGCTTTGCTGTTACTTCGATGGCTGATATCGGACGGTATACTCTGCGAGCTGTAATTTTGGTGTTTGAAGAGCCCGAAAAAGCCCTAGAAAAGCTCCGTATTTTGGGCGATAATAGGTATTATCTTGCCTTCCATATTACCGTTCATTTGCTGATGGCACTCGGTGAACGAAAACAGTACTTTGGATGAATATGCTGCTGCCTTCGAAAGTATCTCCGGAGAGCCCCCCACCAAGAACACGATTTCACGAGATCAACTCAAAGCCAATTTCGACGCTGACGGAACTATCGTCGAACTCGTTAAACTTCTGGTTGCCGATGGACTTGCCGATTTCACGGAGAACGACAATGAGCTTTTAAACCCCGGACAGAAGTACTTCAAGCCTAAGACAGTTGCGGAATATGCGAAAGAAGTTGGAGGGAAGCCATGGATTACGATCCATTCGCCTGAAATTGATGCGTCGTGAAGTACTTCGAACCACACGATTACTTATTCCAATCGCAAAGACATCAAGTTCTGTTGGCGAACCTTTGCCGTTGGACAGACAACCAATATGGCCTCATAACTGCCTTCCCTGTATTCTTAGTTTTTCTATCCAATGTTACGACGTCATAGTTCGACTTCACGATATGGACTTCGCGCCATCGCCTTGTTGACAATGCTGAAAATTATTCACGAAGCAATTCGCCAACGGACCATCCAGGTATATATACCAGACGACTGGGTAGGAGTCTGGGTATATACGTGTCAGTATTTAGACAACTAAGCCTATAATATGCGACTTGTTACAGATATTACGTGATATTTCATGCATTTAACAAGAACAACTTGCACCCCCAAACAAATAAGCTCAATCCTACACTCAACCGATTGCAGGCATGATAATGTAGGAGAAATGCAAGATCAAACATTATAACAATTTCAACTTCTTCGAGGGTGCCGCCCCATTTGCCCGACCATGGACACTGGTGGTGGTACCATTTGCACCGCTGCCGCCTTCCCCGGAATCTGGGTGCTTCCTCTTCCTCCTTAACTGCAAGATGCCTACTTCGACCTCTTGTCTGAGTTTTGTAGCAAGAATTGCGACAGGATCTAGAGGCCCATTGTAAGTATGTGCGTTCTTCTCCAACTGAATGGCATCGGCGACTACGCCGTCAAGAGACTCGTATTTGTCGCTATCAATCTTGGTTTTCATCTTCCCAAGATCTCGTGCATCCTTCTTAGGAACGATGTTGTAGTAATCTGCAAGAATCTTGGGATCGACAGGGTCCTTAAACCATATATATTCCTCCATTTCACGCAGCCTCTGGAGCATGTGCGATACCGCACGTTTTTCCGATGGGGAGATACCCTTTGGCATAATCCGAGACCACTCCTTTGTGAACGCACGCTCGACAGCTTGGGCGAGGAGCACAGGCTCGGACCCTGGCGGATTGAACTGGCGGCAGTTACGAAAGATGAGATCGACATCGTCAGCGAATGCCTCCATTGTCTTATAGTCTCCACGATTCAGTTTTTCTCGCATTGTGCGGAAGTCCATGGGATTCTTGATTTCATCGTAGTATCTGTCATACAAATTTGCTGCCTCATTATTACTACGGTTTGATAAATCTTAAGATGAACTTACGTGGGGCAACCCGCAGCTACCGGATCGACGGGAATCAAGAATAACCAAGACTCCGGGACTTTACTAGTATCTGTGATATGCTTGAGCAACTCTCTGCATTTCCTTCCGTCGATTGGAGTAGTCTTGGGAGGAGGAACCGGCGATTCTCTCGCTTTGCCCTTTGTTAAAGCCACGGGAGCACGTTTCTTTGACACAGGCTGCTTCGGAGTAACAATCGTTGGGGCATGCGTAGGTGGAGTACTGGAGCCGGTGGTGAATGGATCGACCTCGTTGGGCGTGGCAGCGGGAGAGGAAGGTTTTTCTTTGGATTTCCTTTTCCCATTTAGCATCTTCTGCGCCACTTGGGCCTCGATCTCAGCAACTTCCTGCAGCAGCCAGTCATCGGGGGATTCCCTTATCTGAGCCTCAGAAGCTGGCTTCGGCGGCTTTCCCTTAGATGTCACTACAGGCTTGGCTTTTGCGGGAGCGGATGTTGTTCCATTTTTCGAAGGTGAAGCTGAAGGTGACTCTCGGGAAATTTTCAATTTCAGGGACGGTGTCGTTTTAGTGACACTGATAGGCACATGATTTGTGCCGGCAGTTGTGACAGGGGCTGGGATGGCGGCAGAGGGGGACGCTCGGGTAGATAGGGGGGTGGGGGAACGTTGGGGAACTGTTGACGACACTTGGGAGGGAAACGACACGGAGGTGTGGGCAGATAAAGAAGTAGGGGCCTGAATAGATGGGCGCATGGGGCTGGACGATGGAATGGGAGTAGACGGAGAAGTGGGGGGTGCAATAGAAATTCCTGAGGAGACGAGATCAGTGGCAGGGGCTGTGAAATGAGTTGTAGGGGACGATCCATTTAGTGTTGGTGTAGCAATCGGGGGGCTGGGTCCAGGTTTGGCGCGGCCATTTGCTTTCTTAGGCGCAACTTTAGACGACACTTCGGGAGTTGGAACTGAGGGACTCGAGACTTTTGGGGCCGCGAAAGGCTCAATCTTTACGGATGGTTCCGTAACAACGTCTGCAGCAACGGGGATAGAGGTGTTGACCGGAACTGAAGCTGGTTTACTTTGACCCGCCTGGTTAGTTAGCTTCTCCCAGGCTATGTGAAGGTAGCTGATAAGTACACTTTCGCGTGCGAGCCATAATGCATCACCTACTTTTGTCAAAGAATGCATCCAGAGCTTCAGCATCCATGTAGGGATACGATCCTGGGAGGTTGTAAGTTTGAGCGTTGCTGATAATGAGCTTGAAATCTTGTTTAAAACCATCTCGATTTTTGTAGTGCCCGTGGGATAACCTATAATCTATGGTACTTAGATCCATTGGATGGGCTATTTTATCAAAATACCTATTTTTCCCATGAGCTACCAGCTGGGGGGACAGAGAACTAGGACGTACCCGGGGGCTCGGTCTCGTACGGGATCCACCGGGAGCTTGAAGAAAAGTGCGGATTTCTGCTTGCCCAGTCGACGAAGAACTATGGTGCAAGTTTGCACTTCCTTGGCCAACATACCGCCGCTCTGTGCCGTGGGGATTGGCCTCTCTTTCTTTTTCTTTGGCTGAGGAGGCGCCGCTGCGGGTACATCGGGATTCGCCGTGAGTGGTTTGGACGCCACAGGAGCTTCCGGTGCGGCCGGAGGCGGAGCAAGAGCAGGCTCAGGCTCAGGCATTAGTGTTGATGTTGGTGTTAGAGCTGGAGCAGGGACAAGAGGCAGGGACAGGGCTTCGGGGGGAATAAGTAAACTTGGTGCACCCTGTTCAATAGCAAAAACTCACACGTTGCGTCGACAATGTGGCCAGAAAGAGGGGGTCCAGAATCATCAATGTCTACGATAGCAGTCTCCTCAGCAACCTTGATGGGTGTAAGAGGTAAATTAGATGAGCGAAGAGGGTGTGGCTTCTTGAGCTGCTTCCTAGGCTTATCGACTATCAAGGTACCATCCGAGGCGGCTAGTTTCTCCGGCGTCGAAATGATGACATCCATGGGGGTCTGTGGTTCTGTGCCTGGGGTAGAATGAAGCCGTGGGACAGGGGTTACCCTGATGGAGATTCTGGGCAATGGTTCGGCATCTGGTCGGAATAACAGTTCCCCAAGCTTCAGCAAACACCACCGGACCTCATACTCCGATATGTTATCCCTACAATGACATGCGTCAGGTGCTCCAAATGGACTAGCATCGAACTTACATGTACATAGGGATGAAAGCATCACGGATGCCTTTCTGTTTGCCTGCTTCCTTCCTTATTGCTTTCAAAGCTAGATCTACCTCATTCCTTCGCCCCTTCGCTGAGGTTTGGGGGATGGATCCGTCTTCCTCAATAAGGACAGACTTCTCGCTGTCTTTTGTTGCAGGCTTGATATCTCCAACAGCCTCGAGTATCCCCAGGCTTGCGATAGCAGCACGCGCGACGACGCGACGGACTATCCGTGACGGGTCATGCGAAATGACAGCAAAGATGTACCTTGCCAGACTTTTCCGTGTGAACCACTTCGTAAGAAGTAATGCATCGAATGATGCCAGCCGAACAGGGATATGATTTCCTTCGCTGGACACGCCAAAAATTAAGATCAAACTCGCCACTAATTGCGAAACGAACATACCGACTATACGCCACAAAAAGTCGGATATCTTGAGGCATCAGTGCGCTCAGCTGCATAATTGATGTCCACTGAAGGAGTATTGAGTGAAGTTTGGGGTGCTGCAAGAAAGCTATCACCTCAAGGATGGCAATCGATACCACATTATGTGGGGACGGATTCAAACGGTCCATTTCCCTGTAACGGTCCATTTCTTCCCTTGCCAACTCCAGAACATCTCGATCTTCTTCGTCAAGTTCGGGCTGCCACACAGTGCGCGATAACTCGGACATCTCCGGCATCCTCAAAGGGGTCAGAGAACGAGCGAGGCCGGCGATAATAGTGGCAATGTATAGGGCATCCGAGTACTGGAAAAATACAAATGGGTGCCGGGGATGTGCATGAAGGGCGACATGACTCTTACCTGATTTTCAGAGTTATCATTATAATGCAGCTGGTCAATCAGGAAGCGTTTGGTAACGGGCCCCGACTTCCCATCAACATCACGATACTCTGCAATAGCTGTTACGATACTCTGTTCAAGGTGGTCAGATCGTGAGGCACGTTCGCATTGTGTGTGCCTGCCTTGCGTACGAAGTACTCCGCGAAATCAGAGAAGTCGTTAGGGCGTGGCACAAATTTTGCCCGTAACGGATCTGACAGGGACTGAGGACGATGACAGTATTGACTGAACAGCTTGAAGAGATGCAATAGTCCGATGTCTTTCAATGAGGGAGTTGCACACTGCTCAGGAGTGCGTCAGAAGTATTGAGCGAAAGCAGGAAATGTTCGCACATAAATGAGAAGCCTTGCCGCCTCCGATCGAATTCGATAAAAATAGTTTGTTACTAGAACTGTCCTCGTTAGGTTACTTGATACAATAGCAGTGGGTTGACGTGCTAAGGCTTGCAACGCCTGAACTCTGGTGTTAAAATGATTTCATCGCGCGTGTACTTTCCGTAGCTTACCTCTAACTGGGCCACGACGTCGCGATCACGTTGCAACTGCGATACCCACATGTAATCTGGCTGTTCGAAATCGAGTATCGAGATCCAATCAAGATCTGCATCCAACCTGATCCACTCATAGGCAGCCCCATTCATCTGAGCCTCGTCTTCTTCCGTCCAATCGGCCACCTGCCACCACGCACGTTTGGCTTCATCTTCCCAGAGCTTCAACTCGAAGCCTGAGTCAATCATTTCCATGGCCTCAGCTGCATCTGGGTCACCAGCTTCAGCGGCAGCAGCCGCTGCTTTGCGCGCAAGATATCGCTTCGTATTTCTGCGAACACGCTTGTACTTAGTATTGAACAGAATCTCATACTTCTTTTGGGGACTTCGTATATCGAGAACATGTTCATATGGGGTTCCGTCGGCCTCGTGAATGCGGATTGTCATGGTTCCCTAACATCGAAACATCGAACTCTGCGCCTGGAAAGGGAGAAATACCACCTACCTCAAACACTTCCACAGGTTTATACAGGAGCATACGACCCGGGTCATGCTCATTATAGATGTATGCAGGTGTATGTTGGGTCATATAGAGTTCAACCGCCATTTTTTTTTTGTTGAACGTAACGCGAAATTTGAAACTAGGACATCCGCTCCCAAATATCCATTGGTCCGAAAACGATCGGATGTCAACCCCACTGACTTTGCGGCAGGTCCGCAGAAACGAGTGAGTGGAGATGGCATTACTTGCCATCTCGCCACTAATTGCCGTCAGGAACACTTTGGGGAGTACCCGAGAAAGTCCTAAAGCCGTTCCTGACTTCCCAAGTCGTCGATCAAGGATGTACATCACAATTGGAGCTTTGGCATTGATGAATGCAAGCACCGTGGAATCCGGAGGTTCAGAAGATGCAGGCATGCACAAAGGAGGCATGTTTCCTGTGTCCATGGACACCACACGATCCATATCCTTTCGGAGGCGAAATCGATACTCGTTATTACCAAAATGACGGCGAATGAACAATGAAGCAATGTAGAATCCGAGCCCGTTGACCAGCCAGAGATCAGACCATGATTTGGGAATGATATTCACGCCAACCCATTGGCAGGCGAGAGCATGAGCAAGCGCCTGTCGTGTGTCGAACACCTGGTCAACAGCCATGTCGTCGTGGAGAAGATCATTGGTGATTAATGCGGTTGCAGACCCGTCGAAGCGCTGAGTGGGAAGTTCGTCCACGAAAACCACCTTGAAAGATCCGAAAGGGTAGGAACCGTATTCAGTTGTGAAAAAACTCATCGCGGAACGGTAAAATGAGGTTGAAGTTCGCAGTGAAGGCTCCAAACCAGGCAGACAGAATGTATGGATTGGAACACGCGAAGATGTTAGACCGCCGGGAGCAGAACTAGCCCCATTGGCATTAGCGTCCGACACGGAAAGCTCGAGTGGGATCGAATGTAGATGAAAGGGTCCGATGGCGAACGCGATATGCTGGACAGATGTCGGGACGCTTTGGGAGTACACAAAAATGGACTTCTTTGAGTCATGTGGATGAGCAATTTTTTCTACCAATTCGCCACTGCACACAACAGCAATCGGGATCAATTCACCATCAACACTAGCTTGGTCGTCGTCAGAAGTGACTTCTAAGGCATTCGGAACGATGAACTCGAAGTCCCATGTGCACCTTTCCCACAAAGCATCCACGCACGGAACCCAATGCCGCGCAGAATCAGGAGATGATGGTGTGGTGTAGACATGAGGCACTCGCTATGGCGATTGTTAACATACGAGACTAAGAAGATGGATGGCACTACGTACATATGGGTATGCGTCAGTCGGAAGGACAAATTGTAGCCCATCGTGAGGATGGTGAACCGAATACTCGATGACAAGACTGATGGGCGCAAACTCGTATCCGCCTGACCCCGGATCGGGTGTAACGGGTCTGGCACTCGGAGGAGCACCAATACTGAAGGTCTCCGTTTCAGAAATCGGCCTCGGCAGCTGATCATCGGGTATAGCAATAGAAAGTTCTCCTTCGTCTGCCTCAGAGAGTGCCGAGAACAATTTGCGCTTCATCTCAGGAATACTGTGAACATCATCTGGCTTCGAAGGAGCTAGCCCAGTAAATGGATCAACAAGAGAGAAATCAGCAGGTTGGCCTCCGACGGTGATGCTATGGATATCGCATTGACGGGAATGGAGATGGATTGTCCGGAGGGTCCGATTCGTTGGGACGATGACGATTTCAGTATATCCCCTTAAATGGCCAGTCAAATCCACATTGAGAACCGCTTTCTGACTGTTGAGAACGAAACCACGCTTGGCGGACTCGCGCTGCATCGCGGAGTCCGTACTAGAAGCACGAGTCAAGTTCTTGAACCAAGAGCGAGGGTGGCGCGTTGCCGCTGTCAGATGCTCAATATCAGCAAGTAATGCCTACCACGCAATTTTCGTTCAATGCAAAAGCCGGAAAATGGGAAGTGACGGCAGCAGAGCGATAGACGATGCACGCCGGCTTTGCGGCGGCACGAGAGATGGTGTCAACTCCTCGTTTGCTTCCGAACTAAATGAGTACCCCCGATTCATCTTCATCGACCCCTCAAGCCTCTCAGGACGAAAGGACGTTTGAGCGATGGAGGAAAACATTCTCAACGTTCACAGGCATTGGACTTACCTCGGAAGAAGCTGAAGAAAGACGCATAGGCAAAGCTGACAGATTCCTGCATGCCCAGCGGCAGAATTGTCTGTTTTGGAGGAACGACCTACTGAAATCTAGTGAGTAGGGATGCAGCTGAACTTCATGAAGCCTAAGATCCCTTTTTATTTCTTCCTTTCAGGCCCTGCTGTTACGTTCATGGTCCAACATCTTGGCCAGAATGGCGTCCGTGTGAATTCAACCAACATTATCTGTGAACCGTGCGACATGACTCGTTCTGGCGGATTCAGCCCAGAGTTACAAGAGGTGTTACTGTGCCAGAATGGCTTTTCATCAAAGCAGCACATGGAAGACACCATAGTTCATGAACTCATTCACTTGTATGACCATTCCAAATTCAAAGTCAACTGGACGGACCTCCGTCATGTGGCCTGCAGCGAGGTATCACCGTCAATCAATCCCTTGAATATCATCTGAACCCCACGTGAAGATTCGTTCCGCCAACCTCAGTGGCGACTGTAAGTGGGACAGGGAGCTGTTCCGAAGAGGGGTGCTAGGTTTCACTAAACACCACCAAGTATGTACCCGTTTTATCGCACGGGAGTGTGTTCAACAGCTGTTTCAGACATGCGTCCGAAGGAGAGCTGTTTTGTCTGTTTCACAGCACCCAAATTGCAAGAGTATGGACGAAGCCGAGCGAGCTGTCAATGAGGCTTGGGAAAGCTGTATTAGTGATACTAGACCTTTCGATGAGGTGAGTCAAAACCTGGGTGTATTCGTGTGATATGTCCTTGCTGATTGTTTCCTAGATCTACTGACGAACAATAGGCTGTCCTAGAGACGAAACCGCCGCCTGAACCATCCACTTGACATACATCACCCGACAGTCTATCGTACGAGAATAAACAAGCGTTGTTACATTATCAGTGATATTAGACTTATTATATGTGATCATAATCATCCCAAAATGACAAAATGACCCTCCCGATATCTCGAAATGTTGCAGGTGCCTCCACATGACATTCGCTGACGAGGATGGCTTGCTTTTCCGTGACGTCCCAGTCCGCCGTGCTTATCCGCTGTAGAAAGTTTAAGCGTACGAATGCTTGCCCATGCCTTATACTTGACACGAAAACCCGTATGCGAAGCGTTGGTAGTTTGAGAGGATAAACAGCACCGGCTCCCTCGACGACAACGTCAGAATGAACATGAAGATAAGACAGCAAGGACGAGATTCCAGCAGACCCGCAGTTAACATCAATCCAAAGGGAGCCAGTAAAACGACAGAGTGGGAGGATCCGGTGCCCTGAGCGGAAGAAAACTTGGCCTATTCCAGTGGTCCTACACCGTTGTTCACAATGTTCTGCAGACACAGTGACGCGAACCCCATGTTCGATGTCGTCGAGAAGGGATACTTGAACGGTTTCAATGTGTGGAGCGACTAAGGTAGCTTGAGTATCAGAAGCCAACGAAAGGAACGAGTGGCTATTGTGGGGAGAGAACGAGAGATTCGGCCAAGAGTCTAGCGCAGGGGAAGTTGGAGGCTTTCCGAGGGAGCTTTGGTCCTTAGGCGAGAATGCAGGAGAAGCCGAAACCGGGCCATGTGGAAAAGAATCAGAAAAATGACTGACGGACATAGACTGAGTCTGGCTTGTAGAGACGCTGGTCCGACTGATGAATGAGTACTTCGAAGGAGAACTATTGATGGGGGGCATCGGCCAAGATTTGATGCTCCGTGCAGTGTCAACAAAAGAGTCAGAAGAGTGGATATCCGATGAAGATGAGCCTGAAGAGTACAATTTTTCTATTTTTAATGCAGCGTCCACTTGAAACGGCAGAAAATCGTCAATTTCTGAAAAGACATCGGACGGAACGCTGGGTGAAGACTCCATGCAAAAATGGCTGGATGGTTCTAATCGTAGCTGGATTTCACCCCACGTCGAATCCTCGGCTGGTCGATCAGCGACAGAATCTGTTTGGCAATCGGCATAGTAATGAGGGGTTTTGTGGCTGAACTGAAAGTCGTTTGTACTAGGAGCCTTTTGCTCCGCGGATTTTGATTCATTGCTAATAACTCGACGGAGTAGAGGGGCACTACTGGAATGAAGAAGCTTCTTCAAGTGGCATAAGCGTGGGAGAGAAGTATCTCTTGCTATGATTACTCGCCTTCTCTGGGTGTGTTAGGTTTTTGGCCACTTGCGCGGGTTTCGCCCCAAGCTGGCTATGTCCAGAAGCGTGATCTTGGGTGATTGTGAAGGGGTGATCCCTGAATGAAGCACTACACGCCCCCTTATGCGACTGGAGGACGTTAAGTGAACTCCCAGGATCATCTACGGGCACTTTCCGCACAGTGATGGGTGTGGAGATGATTGGACGAGGGGTGGGGAACCAGGTCTTCCTGAATGACGCGACGAACTTGGGGAACGACGAAGAGGTACGCTTTCTTCCCTCCTCCAGCCGTGCACTCTTATTCTCCACGGCCGTCTGAACAATTGGGCTTTGTGTTAGGCGCGTTTTAAGGCGTGCTTTGGCGTTCTGGAATAGCGACACGTTGCCTATGCTGCCAAAGTACGAATTTCCATAACCCCGACTGTCAGCGGTGCCAGCGGGACACTTGATGCCATCGACCCTGCTCATCGAGTCATTCATGAAGTCTCATCATCAAGCGGACGTTGTGAGCGATTTGCGTTGGTCGCACGTTCTCGTGATAGCAGTCCCGACCAAGTCCACACAAATTTTTTTGCAGTTCGTTGTGGCTATATAAACCATAATCTGCAAACTCCAAGTGTTACAAAAAGGAATGCTGAAATTGTTTCTGGATAGGCCCTAGCTCGAAATTAACTTCGGATCAAGTTCAAGCCCAGCCTGTAAACTTGGATGGAACACTACATGTCTAAAGACTACATACAATAAAAGTACATTAGAGCGTGTGGCGAATCTGGCCGTCCGTGAACCCCCTTCTGCAACCATCACTGCCGTATGATCCATGCTGCAAAGAACGATGCGAGTCTTCATCTAGCCACTATTTGGGATCACTCACAGGTTGTGTATTGGATCACTTCCCGACCCAGGACAAGTGTCGCGATTCGTAGGGCCATATTATGCAGGTGATGGGATGTCAGAGACATGATCATTCGAGTCTAGCTGTGTTCCTGAAGCTGACCCAATCCTCAGGGATTGGGATCAGACACTGCAACATGTGGCATGTCGTTATTGTTGAGACTTTATGACCGTGCGTCCACTGCTGTAGTAACCGCTAAAGACGGAACTAGCATTTAGACTCAACGCCGTAAATCATGAGACCTTGAATTCCCCTTCTCGAGTTCCTTCCTCATGTCCACCACCCCCTACCGAGGAGGGGCACAGATGTTAGCTACCCGGAGCAAGCTAACCCGAGAACGTCACCTAGTAAAGGGCCATATAAGTCTAAAAGAATATCCCATCCCCCATCCGTGCGTAATCCGAATGATCTGGTTATCAATGACAGCGCGAGAGGTATCCATACGGTCAGGTATCTAGAACGAGCTGATTACTCGTGGGGTGATGGCATGAATTTGTTAAATCCACCTCCAAATTTGATAACATGCCACGAGACATTGACTTCCGGAGAATGCTTTAAGCTGGACAGGCTCACAAATAGGAGGGCCCGTGGTATCGCGGGGGCAACAGAGACAATTTCAGGCTGGCAGAACACAGTGAGAATGCAAACCGCATAACCGGGTGCACACGCGGAGACCGAAGAGAGGAAGATGAAACTGCCAATGAGTGCCGAGATGCAAGCCCACAGAAATTCAGGAGCTGACACCTGCGAATCGCAACTTCGAGGAAAGCACGTCGGAATACACAGCATCGGGAAAAGCTGCATTCCGTTCTAAAATTGTCGCATCATACGACAGAAACATTCTGACGCCAGTGTACTTTACTACAGAACAGTGATTGCAAAGATAAACGAATAGCACGACACTCCGACGAATCAGATAATATTCTGTGCCAAGGAAAGATGCCAGCAATGTCATGAACAGAAGGAGGCACTAGAAACACATCAGCCGCTAAACACAACGGTGCTACTGCTTTTCCAACGCAATTAATTGAGACAAGCTGGAAGAAAACCTCATCAAACTTTCGAAGCCCCACTACAAAAAATTCGGCGCGTCCGATTTAGATGACGCTATAAGCATATAAACCTCCATATTAGCAGGTCTCCACAGGCCCAAATGGGCTAAACTCGATTGCCAAAGTATCCTTACGTAAGCAAGGTTGCATAGGTTTGTTCCTGCAGACAGATAACGGTCAGCATGCTTCCACAGAGTTTGGGGCGCTTCCCTTTTTCGTCCAGCCGTGCACGCACTATTTTACATCGCAACGATAGGGAACGCGGTCGGTTAGCCAACGGTTGGCCCCTGTTTTCAACCCGTCACCAACTACTCGAGTGCGCAGTACTGGAAGTATGGCTGGCTATAAAGCTGTCACCACGTATCCGTGAGTAATAGTGCTTTGAATATTCCCAAGACTCGAGCTCGTTTTCCACTGTGAGAAGCCCACTTCTTGTGATGTTCTGCCAGCAGGTGGTCGCAATTTCTCTGAGCGAGAAAATCCTTATCCCGACGTTGACACAGTGCTCATTCATTATTTTTCTCCAGTTCTGCGCTTCCATATGCACAACTCGTGCACGACATTTGAGGCCACAAAGACAAGTCATAGCTTGCATTATTGGAGAGGTCCTGAAAGGCATCGAGCTAGTGGGCTCAGGTGGTCTAATTGATTGCCTAATTTGCTTGGGCTGCCGCAGATCTGGCCAGTGCATGGCATACAAGTCAGGGCTTCATTTCTGCCTGACTACATACCATCCGACCCGGGACTTGACGCCTCCGTAATGTGGCATGGCGCTGTTTCAATCCGTACATTCACCTTGCTAAAGTTATCACAGGCCAATGTTGCCCTCCCAAGCTGCTGTGGCACAGTGTACTGCAGCTGCTTCTGTGCTCAGCCTCCAGAGGGGAGAGTAGACTAGCTGGCGCAATGCTGTTTTCATGCAGCACCTTGCGCAGGAGAACCAGTGTCATATTGATATGGATTTTGCAGTTTCGAATACAGTGCACGGTCTATAGTAACTGGGGCTGTCTCATATCATCCATTCGGTAAACCTCTTCGACAACCCCAGATCCGTGGGTGACCAAACTGGACTCATTCTCATGACGGATCTCTGATTTGAAAGGTGAGCATTGCATTGATTGACCGTGCTTCAAGTTTCTCGATAGACCATTGCTGTTGCGCAGCTTTCGAAACGAAGCTTGAATACACATGATATGATATCACAATGGGAACTTGATTGATCTTCAGTTCAGAGAACGTGGCAGGGGGCATAGCGCCGATGTTAAGTAGAGTAACGCCAAAGTGTATATCATGACGTCTCCCGATCCACCTCATCGTTGAGGTGAGCAACGACAAGACAGGCCCACCAAATGCCAAGTCCCAAAAGCAGTATCATGGTTATGACCAAGAAAGAAAAGTCTAAGACCAGGAGACCTTGCGAAGGCAGCCCCAATGCCGAGGATAAGAGGCGACAATGTGATGTATTCAAGAGCAATCACTTGATAGATGCAAAGCTGAGTTCCAATTGACCCAAGGTAGTAACACGGATTTTTCGCTCATATATGACAACCCACTGGTTCCGTTCTTCCGAAGACGGTCCCCGACGCGAAGACGAACGCCAAGTCGTAGGCAGGAAGTGGCCGTAGTGTGCGAAATCTCCTTTTTTGGCAAGCAAGCGTCATCGGATTCTCCACTGGCAGGTGTTGTAGATGGTCACACAGCGGGATTACTGCCGAAACCGAACGGTCGTCACGAGCATAGGCTGCTCAGGGGACCCGGAGGAAGGCTTTGGGATGGGATTTATCACAAGCCGGGATATGGCTAATCTTAATGAAGGCGGTGCCAGTGAGACATCCATCACCTTGTGCATACAGTGCAGCCATGGCGCTGTATACTGAACTTATGCAGATCACTGGTGGAGGGGTTGCAAGTCTTCACAACCCATGTATGACTCAAGGCTGCCCCGTGAACACACATTAAATGGCTCTGTTGTACACCGGGCACAGGGAGGAGCAGCCGCGGGTAGGTATACAGCCCCTAACCGTGGCAGGAGGAATGGTCGATTTTGAGAGCCAATCCCAATTCGCCGTCGAAATCCTTTGGCGTAACTGAAACCCCTGAATAGCATGCTCGTGCGGCGCCCTCCGGGCAGGGCAACGCAGAATATTGTCTGTGGCTTTGAGCTGTCGTCCTAGTTGAATTAGCATCACAATTATCCATTTCGACTACGACATATGGGGCCACGTAATTTTTATGACCAAGGTTTAAAACAGCAGCTCACACTGGAAGTCCACGGTGTCCGCTCCATATCGTGGATTTTCAATTCCCCCTCCTTCCGCTGGAAGTGCATTCGTCATGAGACTCAGCACCGGTCCTGTGGTTGCGTATGCGGGCGACGTCCAGACAGGTAATGATGGATGTAAAATGATGCAAATCCCCTGGGGGTCATAGGAGATGAGGAGTGGAAGAAAATGGCACGATGGATTCGCCAACCACTGTTGAGGTTGGCTGCTGGCGGATCTGAGGCTGGACTTGGCCATTTTAAGATCAACGGACTCGCTGAACCCAGACGAGACCAGTGTGACAACTAGAATGTCGGCCATTCCAGCCTGGTGGGTGGTTTTCAAAGGCGTCATGACCCGGAGGATCGCGAGGGGAGAGTTGAGCATTGTCGCGGAATACTATTGCGAAAACGGGATTCAGCATTCCAGTTAGACGTAATTCTGGCCCCTGCGAAAATTTCCTAGGCGGCCTCCACCAGGCCGCTGAAGCGGTTCAAAACAAGAGGCCGGGGGCTAGTAATTAGCACAATGCTATATACGCCGTACCCACCTGCATTCCCGCCATGGGGAACACGGCCAATTGGACACTGAAACCACCTGAGTACAGCCCTTCTCAGTCCTGAACTAGCGGCCGAGAATTCATTGTAGCACCGCTTCTGTTGTCTTATCCTGGCCTCCCAGGAGAGGTGCCTTCATCTGAATAGGCACTGATACTCCCATACATATTAACTGGGCTGGGGAGCTGAGGGATGGGGCAGATGGAGTTTACAAAGAATGCAAGGGCTCAAGAGGAAATTCTCTGAACAGAGCAGCCTAGGCGACACAACAACTTCATTCCCAATTGTCAGAATGAAGAAAACTCCACACTCCACAGCGATGGTGTCAATACAGCGAGTGTCTCCCATGAACAGAGATCTATCTGATTTAGGTCAATGCCGTAATGTAGTCAATGGGCGAGATCGAGAAGGACGATAGCAACCAAGGACAGGTTGCAAAATTTGGACTTGACACACACGGACAAATGCGAAAAGTGGGAGTTCAATCTATGCACCACCCGCCAGGGGACTGCATCATGCGGACGGATCGGCGGTCTCCACTTCTCATTACCGTGGCTGCGATGGGCAAGAACCCCCCGCTGGTGATAGCGTCATAGATGATCGGATTCGGCGGAGAAAAAGCAGAGAGTCCCAAACTGATAACGCGGGGTCTGGTGACCGACTCTGCTCGACGATAGCTGCAAGTGTTCACTATCATAACGTCTCTAACGAATGACACACCCCAGAGAGCCACGATATGTCAGGATTACCGGCGACCCGCAAGGATGGAGCTAGTGTCCACCAGACCCGAGATACCAGAAACGACTGGTAACATTGATGAGAGTCGCCGAAAGCGGAGATAAAGTACGTACAGGCGCTTCTTGCTGGAGAATCACAGAGCAAAGTGAAAATAGACAAAGACAACCCTGGTATGGATTGGCATGCCCTTTTTGGGTGGCCTTGGGCCACCAGGACAGGCCTGAGGCGAACAACAAGAATTTCCCCTCACGTGTTCACATTTTGTTTAAAACTGCGCAAGTACTTTTGGCCACAAGGACACGGACGGTTCGTGGACATTTTGTTTACCCGTGCGGCGTAGACACACAGCGATATTGCATATCCAACCAACCCTCCCCCTCTCAGCCATGCACTACCACTCAGAGGTGCCTGATTAAATGTCTGTCTTGGTTTCTGCAGAGTGCCACCTGTGTCAACATCGTTCCTGTGTCGAACCGCTTGTATTCGTCATCCAGGTTACTTAGCAACTGACTCGACTCCATCATTGCCTTCCGTTCTTGAGCGTCGTCTTCGGTGCCTCCTGACCACTGCAAACTGATAGTTGACACTTTGGGGAACAAAACTTCCTTTGGCGTTGAGCTCCAGTGGAATGACCTCCTACGTCCCACGTGCGAACGTGTTTCGATGCAATTTGTATTGTTTTGCACTGCTCTGAGGCACATTTGTCCTCATCCGTTATCAGTCTTTTGTGTATGAATTGCGAACGAAGTTCATTAATTCCTGACCATCAGGGATGCTAAGAACGCTTCTCAATGTCCCTACACCGTTGACCTACACACGTTTAGTATTTCGGCACACACATGCACTACATAATCTCCATCGATGTATCGACTTGTTTCATACTACGTATTTGTCCCTCTCAGGATCTGAAGTGCTTTCCTTGCTTCCTCGCCAAATTCATCAAGTGACGGTGCGCGTCTTTGCTATCTCTTTGGGAACACAGGCACGGGAAGCTTATGTTGTGGCACGAATTCCAGCTTGCCGCTCCGAATGCCCCTATTTGGTCCTGCGCCCAAACCTCAGCTAATTCAGCCAATCTTCGACGGGCAAAAGGTGCTCAGCGCGTCTCTTAAGCCCAGCCTTCGGGCTCAACAACGCCCAAACTAGTACTTCAACATCACTCGACGGGTTTTTATGTCCAAAAAGGAGACATTCTCCGCTGTGAGTACAGACGACTTCGGAGTCACTTGCTGAAATTGCCGTTGAGCCTCAGTAAGTTCGTCAGAAGAATTCGGTCGCCAACGTGGTTCGGACATCTTTATCGCCACGGAAGTCCGAGGCGGTTATTGGCTGAGGAACTATTCGCTCCACCATGTGTACAGTGGGTAAGGTTTTGGACGTGCTGTGTTGTTCTTCACATTCATTTTCTCCTGTACATGAATATATTCTTGTTAACGCTCCACCTTGTGGTGCGTCTCGGTGAGTTGACCTCAGTCCAATTTGGCCAAGGAAATTACTGTTTGCGCCATTCTACGCTTGTAGAAAGCCTAGCTTCTAGTTCTGTTTTCAATGTCTGGAGGGCGAATCGTCATCGTCATGCTGTAATGGTTATCTCTTCCGATGCCGTTGTACCTCTAAAGCCCACCTCTTCGACCCTGCATCATTCGAACACGACTCCTATCTCAAAGACATATCCACCGCCCATTTGGTCGCTAGTCGTTAAACCGCATTGCATCGCGGTTCGGCATCTCGTTCGTCTCCATTAGTGATCCTCGGAATCCGTGGTATTGTAGGCGCGCTGGCATTGCAAGACGGCCGCTGTCGGTGGATTTGGGGTCTGTAAGGGTGTCATTCAAGCTTGAAGTCCAAGACCTTCGGATCGCCTTATCTGTGTAGTCCAAGGATCAAGGGCTCCAGCTTATGTCATTAGTCATTGGGAACACGTCCATAGTGGATGGCTTTGGGGCCAATGTTGTGCCCTCGCTGGTAAGTGGACATTAATTCTTTTCACTTCCTGGGTCAGCAGGAAATGAAACAAAGGGGCTTGCCATCGTACTGCGTTGCTGCCTAATCCGTTTTCCTTAACCAATATACCCATAACTCTGGCACGACGGCGCACGTTTTGTCGCCATGGGCCCCTACCCCCTAATGAAACATGTGTTGCTTGCCGCCGAACCCTTTGGACCAACCCGGCATGGGATCTTAATCAGGTCATCCGTAAATCGCCTTTCCCAACCCGCTCACTTCTTACTAAGCCATAATGACAAGCTGTAAAGCATTTCGTCATTGTTCGAGAGATCCTCCAAATTCAATACGCCACCTCTCCTCGGATGCCGATTTACTTGGAATTTTGAGATTCCATCGGTAGTGGGTCATTCCCATTGCCCATTGCCCATTGCTTGTGTACTTCGCGCCTGGAACTGTTCCTTGACAACAAGTGGTCTCGTCATGTTCTCATTTTCGCCTGATGTTGCATACTGCAGTGCTTCCTCAGGCTGGCAGAACACTACATCCAAAGTAATTGAGAATCATCGGAAATCAAAATTTGGCGTCAGGGGGGGGCTTGATTTGCTTATGCAGCTAAACCACTCAGCTGTGCAACTCGCCCAAGGTGCTCTTTTCGCGCGCCCATGGATCTCGATGCCTTGGAGTTTACCAGTCGGCTATATCGGCGGGTTGGCGAGCCAAATGACCACTCGTCTATGCGTCATTTAAAGATATCGAGCGGTTAGTATTTTATTTTCTCGGATGGCATACGATTGCTTTTCGAGAATTGCAATGCTAGCCCTCCCGGCTATTCAGCCCTCGGCCAACCGGTGTGATCATAACAAGCATAAGCGCACGGATATACCGGACCTGCGGCGTAGAGACCGCTCTCATTTGGCATTCCGAAACCAGATACGTGTTCCCGCACGGCATATGGCGTAGTTCTTTTCCAGTTTCGAGCGATTTGCAGTGTTGAAGCTTACCGTTTCACATGTGTTGTTAAGTACTTCCGATTGGGTAAACTGATTTGTCATGGTGATATGCGGGGGGTGGAACTGACGTTGTTTCATCATCGGCTACCCGTGCGGTACAGTCGAGAAATGGAAATGGTCATGGGAGGACGTGAGGAAGATGTTACTTCCGTGTGTCGAGCACTTACGTGTAGGATCGGATTTTTCTGGATCTTCCTCGTTTCGGCCACCGGGCGCTGACACCCTGGATAATGAAGTGGGCGCCATCTACGACGGACTCATGAAGGGCCTTAGGGTCGAGTCTCTTGCTGCAGGTCTGGATTGAACGATCTGGTCTTAGTATCTTGGCTTGTCTTGGACTGTGCAGTGCAGGTGGCCCGAACCTTACAAATTTACGTTTCTTGGACGGGTGACCTGGGTGTTTTGCCATTAGACGGCCATGGGGGTCCTTGGCCTGGGTCGGCGGTCTGGTTCGATCTAATATTGATTGACCGTGTACTTTTGTCCGTTAAGGCTCGCTTCCTCCATGGACTGTACTCGGCGTGTGTGCGTACTGCGCCCCGGATTGGTTGATCAGCTGTATGATAGCATGATTATCACAGTTGTATGTATATTTACGTTGTAAGACGTCTTCACTTCATTTATACTGAGCGCTTGTTGCAATGCTTGAATTTGTGGGCGTGGGGGCGGGAATGGGAAGGATGCCAGCTTTGTTCCTTTGTGACGAGAAAGGGAAACACACTATGCGAGGCTAAGAAACGTGGATGTTGCGCGCCTAAGCAGAGCCTTCCAGTCTTGGTTGTTTGGAAACACATTAATTGGGTGACTGGAGAGTTCTTGGAATTCAATTGGTGCTATGCAACAGGTCGAGAAGCAATGATAATTAAAAAAATTATTTGATCATTTCGATCGGCGGAGATTTGATTATTTAACTGGAACTCGATTCTTTTCTACTGGCACTGCAATGGAGGCTGCACATTGCACCAGTACAATGTGTTTGTGAGATGGGATCAAAGAGAAATGATTTCTTCCCCCTGCAAAGGCCATGTGGAACGATTTCTGGCTCCTTCGCGGCGAGTTTTAATTTTCTTGCGGCATATACATTATAGGTAGCCGGAAATTGAACTTTTTATGGAAATGAGTATAACGAGTCCGATTCCCAATCGGGCATCATCAGGCTGAATCGATAACGCAGCGTTGGACCATAGTTGCCTCAGTGGGCTGGCTGCGTTCGGTCGCCGTATCACGGGGGAGAGCGGGTTCGCTGCGAAACGTGGCTGTTTATGGGTCGTGCTGCGGCGTCCAGAAGCAAGGAGAGCTCGGCTGTTAACCAATAGAGGGGAGGGCGGCTAAACTAACCAGATGGTTCCCTCTTTCCTTTCCGTTTTCCTCTCCCTGGAGCGAAGCGCCTACTTATTGAGTTGATTGACAAATAAGGAAACAAACATATACCCCTACTTGACCACCATTCCCTCGTATCTGTATAAAGCTCCTCCTCTCCTTGCCTTTTACTATCCTCCTCGTTTCTCGTCCCCCGCCCCTTCTTGCCACGACCCTTTCCCCTCCTCTCTCGAACGCACCCTGAAGCGCGCTTGTACCAGTGACAACGGCATAGCCTTACCATATACCAGTCCAGTTGCTACCACGATCATTGCGATCTCCGGGTAGCGCTGAATACCCCAACGCATTTCAGTCAGCGCTTAGGTACGTTTGTCTGTCATAGCCTTTGTCATCGGTGCCGAGCATTGCGTGGATCGATCTGACTCGTTGCCAATTTCTTATCCCACGGGCCACCACATCTCACCGCAGCTCGCACTGCCTTTATAACCATCACGCATATCCCAGTCACCTCTTCCTTCTCTTCCACTTTCCCTTCCCTCCTGTATGGCATCTTATCCCGGATCCGCACCCATTTCGATGCCTTCGGCATCTAACTCGACTATGTACAATCACACCTCCACCTCCGTCTCGTTGCCGCAATACGACTTCCTGAGCTACGACTTGGGCGCGGTCAATGACTTGAACGACAAACGCATCCCCGTTCCTCCACGCGACCGCCATGGATCGCCATCTTCCCCTGCTCTCTCCGACACCGACACCTTTGCAGGCAGCGGCGGTGCGAGCCCGTCGCCCTCCTCCGTCTACTCACCACCTTACCCGTTCACCGCAGTCATCACACCCTCCTCCCTTGATGCACCTCTGCCTGCTTCACCTGCCATTGCCGGGAGTCACACCGAGAACGCAGGAGCATGGTTGTATGACGTCGATGGGAACTCAAATGCCCCGGCGCTCATGCCTTCTTCCTCCGCAATCATGATGACCAACTTCGATGATTGGTATACGACTTCTGTCGTGCCTACCACAAACAAGACCCAAGAGGACACGTACGCTACAGTTAGGCCAAATTTCCAACATTTGTCAATTGGGGGAAACATTGCTCCGGTGGCCACGGGAGTCCTCAGCGCGCTTTACTCATCTGCTCCACCAGTGTCTCAAGCATCTCCGTCGTACACGAACTCCCCGCTTGACCATCTTGCATATCCGGACGCCTCGACATGGCCTGCGGTCACAGACCTCCACTCTACCCAAGCAATATCAGCCGGTAACCCGGCGCAAACATTCGACCCGACCGATATCACCTCGTCGTACAATCCTTTCTCCATCCCCGAATTTACCTTCAGTGCTCCTGTGTCCGAAGCTTCCCAGCAGCCTGGTGTGAGTCAATCACCTATGAATCAGCCCACTCAGCCCCAAACACTAGCGCAGCCCTCACCATTCTACCCCCCGACCCAGACGCTCCAGTATTACAATAACACCTTTCAGAAACTAAGCACCGCTATCGGACCCATGACCTACTCTGAGGGCGTGGGTACCAATTATACCCAGACTCCGAACCAGATGTCTATCGCCCCGGCGCTCATCGATCCATCTGATGCCGCACAGCCCAATTATGGTGAATGGAATCAAGCGGAAATTGACGGTGTTGACGAACCTCCTTCTGCTATCACGGCATTCAGTGAGCATGCAGTGGACAGCGAGGAAGATTATGGAGAAGGAGAAGTAGAGGAAGAAGATGAGAACGACGACGATGACGAGTGGCACCCATCTCCTCGATCGCTTACCCATCCTTCTTCACTACCAATTTCTCATACAATTATCGCCTCTAAGAATCGTCGAACAGCCTCGTTCTCGGGGACAAATGGTGTGGCGACGGACATGCTCACAAACGACGGATCCCGCACCATCCGACCTCGTCATCGACGTCCTGTTACGCATGCATTCGTGCAGTCCTCTGGACTGGAGCTGGTGACTTGGCCTCCGCCCTTCAGGATGGGATATCCATCCTGTCAGCGGCTCGTCCTCAGGTGCAGCACCTGCGACTGAGACATCTAACACGCACCTGTGCTTATGAAGCGAAGTAGAGGACGCCAAGTGCCCATTGTCCGTCTATCACCCGAGATTCCCGGGTCTGAGGAAAATGGAGCAGACGACGCTGAGAAAGAGCGGGAAACAACTGGGATGAGACGGTCTCGGAGACGCCCTTCATCTTCATCGAGACGTCTGTCCTCTGGCAATGTAGTATCGGGCATGGAGGACGTAGGCGGGCGCACGAGAAACTACGTGTGTCGTATTCAAGGATGTGGGAAATGTTTTCAGCGTGGAGAGCATCTGAAGAGGCATGTGCGGAGCATACACACGAACGAGAAGCGTAAGATCGTAATTTCCATTTTTGTCTTCTAGTTTGTGGGACTCAGATGTTTTCTTTGCAGCTTTCAAATGCCCATATGCTGGCTGCGGTAAAGATTTCAGTCGAAGGGATAATCTCTTCCAGCATACCTCTATTCATGCCAAGTATGCTGCGAGGTAAGATGGCCCGTCCCTCTAAGTCGGGTAAAGCGTGTCACTTCCTGATCTCGAAACGACATCATCTACGTTGCCGCTATGGCGGTACTTCGTATATTCTGCTTTCTCACTGCGCTGTATCATAAGATGGCGATCATTGGCCCAGAGCCTGCCCCTTGCATTTTTGTGTGCACTCTCTCCCCCCCGTGTTGCATTCCCTACTTGGTCGTTTCATTCGAGATCTCTTTACATTCTGACGCTTGAACCTGATTGTGTTTTACCTTGGACTCGGTGCTCCGGATTTTTTTTATTGTCATTCTCTCGTAATTGGCTACATTTTCAACAAGTAAGCCAAATCACGACATGCTACGACTTCACGTCCACATCTTTCGTACCCTTCTGAATGGGGAGGAAAGATGATAGGCAATGACCTTTTCCTGTTCGGGTTGGTTCCTGGTGATGATCGCCTCTATGTTGTTACATTTTATTTTATTTGCCTGTTCCCCCTTTGGTCTTCTAACTGCCATCTCACCTAATCGCAATACGGACGCTCTTGGCACCACTCGTTATCATTCCGAGTCCCGATGGCACAATTTCGTCCACCTGTTTTCCTGATTCCCCCCGATTTCGATTTCCACTTCCTCTTTTTTATGTGTGTTATTTCCTCTTCTGCACCCTCCTGATCTGCAACACTCAAACCTCTTTGTATGACAAACGACAAAACGATTCCAATAATTTTGATTTTGAAATAGTAACCACTATTGTTCCTATGTACAAACATCCTTTTATCTTTCGCTTCTATTATCTTTGTGCTTGTTCTCTCATTCGGCCTTTTCTTTTTCTTTTTTGTACGCGTGACGAAGTTTGTTATTTGCCTGGTCATCCTTGCTGGGCCCTAGCACGTCGCTTTCATTTCTTCTACTATCCTTGTCCCCCTGTTCCCTTTGCTTCTCGTAGTTTCGCGACGTCCTAGTACGGTCGTCGACCTCGTTCATTCTTCCCAGTGTCGAGATCACCTTTCCTTTCGTAATGGATTTCCAAGCGATCTTTCACCAGTCTCTCTTCTTTTGCTCTATCGCGTAAGACCTGTACTACGTGATAATCTGGACGTGGTTGCAAACCCGCTCACTCGTTCGCTCTGGACATGCATGCCAAGTGCCGCGCCGCGGATCGGAAGAAGCGTTTGGATGGTGACGCTGGGCGCGTGGTAGCCACGGTGCGGCGGTGGAACAGCATACGCGTATAGTTTGAAGGCGAATTGTTGCGGTCGAGTCAGATTTTTGGAATGGCGCCACTTGATTTCGAGGATGTTCTGCGCGCGAGGCGGTGCAATTGCTATACCTCATTGAATGTGATCTTTTTTTGCCACTTCCCTGATGCGCGTTTGTATTGTGTGTGTGTGTTCTTCGGCGTCTAGCGGTCATGAGGGGGACGTGGCGTCCCTAGATTGATGAATTTCAGGGAACGAGTAAGGAAATTGATTCTTATCGTACCGCCCAGACACGTTATATAGCGCCTAAATGAGTTAATGATAGACGTATAGAGGCTGGCCACCTGCCCTGCATCCAATAGACGCTCGGGCGTAACAACTTGCGTAGCCCATTACATTAGATATTCGGCATCCGAGCTTCCTTTTGTGTGGCGACATACGTGTTCAGATAATATTGATCATGGGGTGTTTTTTTTTTTGTTACCGAGCGCGAGCGCGCGCGCGCGCGGTTACCCAATCCAACGTCCGAGTTACTTAACGGATTGTGGAAACCGTTGGGGGGGATTTTCTTGGGCGCCTCCGGAACTCCGTGCATGTTCGGGGCTGTGTATGTAATTATTGTGAGTTATGTAAATTGGACACTTTTGTTTGGTAAACAAAGATTTACATAGTCACTGCCCCAGCCCAACTATGTAACCAATCATGATTTCGAGGCTGAAAAGCTGCTGCTCGGGCTGCTGTCTGTGGCCGTGAGATATCGGCGTCAGAATTTGCTTTAATTATTAGTTGTTGTTGTTATATATGTTGTGTGGCGCTGCGGCACCGGCGCCTCTGATTCGTTGGCGTTCGGCCCTCTCCTCCCGTCTTCATCGTCTTCTAGTATCCGATATCCTGATATACAGTGTAACCTATCGGACGCTCCGTCATAGTAGTATGCAGATACGGTGTTGAAAATCACACACACACATGCACACACACATGCTTACATGTTCGGCAATGCAGCCCCATGAGTCCCGGTTTCAAAATCATTGCCCCCACATAATTTGGACCGTCTGGGAAATGGATAAGGTGTGGGTCTCGAACTCAAGCTTTGGTCCCCATTGCGCATTATTTTCTTCCTTGATGATGATCACAATATTGATTTGTGTGAGATTGATAATTAATGAAGGTTCTGGGGACCGCTCTGGTATTAATCGTGTGAGATCATTGATCCTTCAATGTGTCATCATGTAGAAAGTCCCTCTTATCCCGGTACTTCGATGCTCCCCGGTCCCATCAACAGTGTGGACCTCTTGTCGTTCTGAAGCAAGGACGAAGATCCAGAGGATACGAGATTTAGTTTCGAATATTTACTATGGCGTATATGCATGGAGAGCAAGAGTGGTGACGGACCACACAGCTAATCAGCTGTGTCGTAGAGCAACGTACGTATAAGTAATTAGCACCGAGTTGCTGCATTTGTAAAGTGGGCCGCTGGATTCACCGCCCGAGGTTCTTCCTCTGCATGGGACCGTTTCCAGGCTGTCTTTACCCGTGGCTAATCGGGGTTCCCAAGCCACTATGAGAAATCGACTCGGTGTCTGTTCCCCTGCCATGATTACTCAGCGGCGCAACTTACATTGAGGGCGTTATCAGTACTATCGCCTTAGCACTGAGAAGGCGCGATGCTTCCTTGCAATTGGAAATTATGTGAAATACGGACGGATCCGATACTTGAGCGCAAGATAAGTGTCAAGCTGGACGAATTCCAGCAAGGCTTTAATGGCACGGCGCCAGACTTGAGGTCCATTGCATGCTGGTCTACATCACGAGAACCGGACAGGTGCTTGAGGTGCTGTGGAGTGCTGTAGAGGTTGTAGAGCATTCCAGAGGAGGACCTCGCTGTGCAGCCGGTCCGGTGTTCGTGATGCATGTGTCTCCCCGGTTTGGGTCCCATGAATCGCTCCCATGACGACCACGGACTTAGCTTGGCCGTAATCGGACTATACTATCTGAAAATCATGGCATGCATGCATATGTTTCGACGGCCCTAACGTTCTAGTCGTGTGCGCGATGCTCACCCTCTACACCAATGACCCCAGGCACAGGTACGGACGTCCGCGAAGCCCCCTGGGCGTAACAGGGGTGGGGCGCTTCGTTTCTGCGGTTAAGCTTCATGATCGAACAGCTTCCAGTCATCCGATAGCTTGGGGGCTGCTGAAATGACCTTTCAGGGGGTTAATGTTGAGCTGCCTCCAAATGACTCAGAGTTCGGTTTGCTAGTCCCGGCATGTTGCGGGGATCGTACCGGATCGTGGCGGATACGGCCCGATTGGATCAGGGACAAGTGATCACGAGCTATTGTCCTTGACGCTTTGTCACTTGACTCTCTCTGATTGGACGGACGAGGTGTTGGACATCTTATAAGCTTCTGCCTCAAGCTGCCTCGCCTCCTTGTTGCCCGATCCTTAGTGCTTGCAACGATGCGCTGAACCAAGTGGTCGATCGTTGGGCATATGACGTAGATGACGTAGCTGTTAATGAAGGATATGAGTGCACTATTTGGGTCGTTGCAGCTGTAGTACTACTACTAGCACTTGTTCAGCAGGAACACGCTCTGCACGTGATGCGGTTGTTGCTTCTATCGTTTTATTATTTTCAAATGACATCTTTCATATCTCTAGAATATATGCTACATCCCTGAACTCCATCACAGAGTTCTTCCCGATCTCATGTCATGTGTCGCCTTAATAATATTCGGCGACAAATTGCCATTTTTTTCACCAATCTAGTGCAGCTCCTTCACATCTTTTAGGGAATTTTTTTCCGGATTACAACAACCGCTACCGCCAAATTTGTGCAATCAGCGAGTTATCAGTAAGCTTCAAAAGATAAACTAAGGAACCAAAGAGCCGTGGGAAATTTCGCCGCGCGCGCTGTTCAATACCGTCAATTCATCCCCTTTGCCTCCTCTAGTCCGTGCTTGAGAGTGCGTCACAATCCGCTCCCCCCAGGGTCCCGCGCCTCGTGGACATTCACCTGCTGTGCGCTATATCTGCGTAAGGGCTCGTGATGATGAGCACCAAGGTAATCTCCGCCTCAATTTTGGAGGGACTTGCCGTCGTTACTGATATATATGATGAGCAGGCAAAGATTCAGGTCAACTCCCCTCCATAGCCCACAATTGACGGTATTCTTAATCCCCTTGAACGAGGTTTTAGGCGCTCCTTTGAGCATCACCACCTCGCACCTTGGGTTCTCCAGTTAACGTCGTCCCACAATTACAATACTCCACCATCCAATCTCGTGTTTCGCCAGCGCTTAATCCGAAGCCGATTCCTGAGTTAGCGCTCAAGTCAAAACCTTCTGCAATCCGTCATTCTCTCGATCCCCCCCAAGATGGCCCCCAGTGATCCGTCTGTGTCCTCGATGAACTCGAATGAAGACACGGAATGTCCTTCTCCATCGGAAAGGACGCCTCTTCTTTCTTCAACGCAACATGATATCCCCCAACAGACCCCTCTTCCATGGGGACCCATATCCGTCCTTCTAATGCTCTACGCAGTCGCCCCACTCGCATTCGAACTCATCTTTCCTTTTGTCAGTGCGTAACAACTTCAACAGGCCAAAGGCTCTTGAAGTGACTAACCATGCAATAAATGAATGTAGATCAGATGTTGGTAGAGTTGAGAGTCGTAGACGACCCTGAAAAAGTAGGCTTTTATTCGGGTTTTATCGTGAGTCGATCCCTTCTCAGTGGAACAACTTGCTCACGGGATCTCCAAAAAGGAATCGGCGTTCAGCATCCTGAGCCTAATCACCGGTATGTTTATCTCCCTCCCTCCCTCCCTTTTCACCGGAATGAAATAGAAATTCGTGGGGTTTTTTTTTTGGATCGTGTTAACTACCTAGCGTTACCCTCAAGCTATGCGGCTGATCATTTTGGTCGTAAACCCGTCATTCTACTTGGGATGACTGGTCTTGCCGTTTCAGTCGTATGTTTTGGGATGAGTCGTACTTTCCCAATGCTCGTGCTGTCGAGGTGTATTGGGGGTGCTTTGGGTGGCGGCTCGACGTACGTGTTTTTCCCTCACTCCTCCCCCTCAGTTTTTTGTTTTTTGTTTTTTTTAATGAAAAGTTTGACTTCTCTTGAATATCCTTTAGCGCAATCAAAACCATGCTCGGAGAACTGACCGATCGGACGAACCAAAATGCCGCCTTCTCCGCATTATCTATAAGTTATCGTATGGGTCAAATCATAGGCTTACCTCTCGGCGGATCTCTCGCGCATCCTGAACGCCACTTTCCTAGCATTTTCGAAGGTCCTGGAGTCTGGGGAAATTTCTGGCGCTCGTACCCGTTCGTTTTACCATGTCTAGTGGGTGCTGCGTTCGCGTTCGTGAGCGTCGTGCTTGGAACTTTACGTCTCAAAGAGGTCTGTTTTTTTTTTCTTCTTCGCCCTTTCATTGAACTCACCCCTCTCTCCTGCCTCGGCATCGACATTCTTGAAATAGACTTTACCCTCAAAGTCGCCCAAAAAATTGCAAGATTTGGAAGATTCGAACGATTACTCGTTCGAAGGCACTCCAGCAGGAGTCCGGTCCTTCACTCCTCATCCCCCTTCTCCTACTCTTTCCGAGGAAACGTTATGTTCTCCCGGGGATGAGACGGACACGGTCGCTGTTTCGGAGTTCCAATCCGACGTTGGAGGGCCGGATGCTGATAGCACTACCACCAGGGTTCCTGGGACTCTCAAGGACGAAAAGCAAAGTTCTGCTCCGGCGAAGCCTCGTTTCCTCTCCGTCATGACCAAGGAAGTCATGTCTCTGATGATTTCGAACATGATCCTGTGTCTCGTTGGGGAGATGATGTTTGGCGTTTATCCCATCTTCGCGTTCACACCCGTTCATTCAGGTACGTTCGTTTCGTTCCGTCAGTTTTCGTTGATCCGCTTTGTGCATCTTTCTCTCTCTCTCATCTTCTTCTCGGGATGCTCACATCGATTCATTCATTTTTTTTTCTATCGCTCGAATACCGAAAGGCGGACTTGGATTCTCCGAGTCGGACATCGGAGCGTACCTGGCTTTACGCGCCATGTTACAAATGGGCTTCATATTCTTCTTCGTACCCATACAATCCATCGTCAATCGGACTTTCCGATCGATCTTCCGCTCGACTCATTTCAATCCTCATACTCCCTTGCCGCTCTATCAAGTCGGGATGGTTTGCTGGCCGTTGAGCGTGTTGTTTTTCCCTTTCTCAACGCATTGGCGGCTAGGCGACAAGCTGAGGGCTTGAACGTGAAGAGTGGTTTGTCGTTCAATATCTTCATGTTCCTTTTCTTTTGCGTGTGGAGGTGAGAGACTTTCCAATTCAATGGATTATTAATTTTAAAAAAAAAAACTTTTCCCTCACAGTATGGCTGGGTATAGCTGGACGTGAGTATCCTTCCAAACTTCTGTTCTTGACTTTCAGTAACCCCGAGTCATCTAGGGCCATCCACATCATGGTAAATGATGCTTCGCCTTCGGCCGAAGCGTTGGCAGTGATCAATGGTGAGAGTGTAGCAAGGCCGAGTTATCCCCGTATTCATGTGTTGGAATTCATATCGTCCCGTACGTAGGAGCATTCCAGATGGGCACCCTTCTCCCACAGGCTTGTGGACCAGCACTCGCGACATCGCTTTTCGCGTTATCTGTTGGAGATCAGGTGATGGGAGGACAGCTCATTTGGGTGGTGTTGCTTACTTTATGTTCGTCAAAAGTTTCTTTGTTTTTTTTTTTTTTGGTGCGTTCTTGACGTGTTTACCCCCCTCCCCCCCTCTTTCAGCATGTGCCGGGGCTGTACATTCCTTTTACCTCAAGGATGCCACGACCGATTGGCGTGCTAATAGGACCGTTGAAGCTGGGACCGGTGGGTCTGCCAGTTGTGCTTGATGATTCGAAAAATTGCTCCAATGACTCGGAGGGAACATGAAAAAGTTTGGCGCTGCAGGACCAGTGTTGGAAGAAGAAGAAGAAGAAGAAAGAAAAAAAAGCCCCTCCCGCCCCCCTTCAAGGATGGGCTGTGGCCTCATCATTATACTAGGCCTTCGCATCTCGAAAATCTTTTTTTTTTCGTCTTGGCACGTTTTCATTTGTATACCCACAAGCCCGTGGTTGTAAAAGTAGACATGTACAGGATTGTGATAAACTTGTTGTGATGATGATGATGATTTTAAACTCCGTATGTGTGCGCGCCAGTGGCGCATATATATATATATATGACGGAGCGTACAATGGACTACATCGTACCAAGTGTACATGGGGCCGCCATGCTAGTTGTGTCTACCATGTTGCCAGCTCTCCGACTACCGGTCAACATGCCCTGGCTAGCCTCATGGAGTCGAGTATATACGTGTGTTTATCACCTGGTCTGGGCTTCACTCCAATTACCAACATGATATGTAGGTAAGTCATCGGACAGCAGTATGTGCTATATAGTGAAAGCAATTATATATATGTCCTCAGCTGATAATGACCTTTTACCCGGATCCGGGAAGTGTGGTTGAACATAATGCCCGAAGGGCGATAGAGGGACGAGCGTCGACATCCATGATACACCCACGGTTGCCGCGGTGATAATATAACATATACTGAGGGTAGAACAATATTATCGTTCAGAAGAAGTTCGAGAACCAAAGTTAATTGCACGACAATTGAATCTTCCTACGTATATTAGTTTTGTTGAATACACATTCTAATATAACTACCACAACAAATAATTTTCCAGCAGCGTATATCGCTACAAATGTGAAACTTTGAGATCTAGAGCGGGGTTCACTTTAAACAGTCGAGAGCCATTCTTGAAGTGTGGACATGTGTACACAAGTTGTTCCTTTTCTCAATTGTGAAGGTGGTGCTCTAGCTCGGCAAAGTTCCTTCTGCCGCTAGAAACAGGCAGCGGCTCCAAATATGTTGGTCAAGGAAAAGCCTAGTTGATTCCATAATCCTAAGACTGAAGGTATAGAGTGAGGACTGAAGCCAAAGTCATATATATATATGGGGCCGTGCGTGCTGGTATATCGCAGCGCACTGAATCAAGGGGACGTCCCAAAAGGGATTTTTATCGCCTCTCCTAGTGGCTTCAGTATGTAGCGCTTTGTTAGGATCGGTGAACTTCTGAGTTCGTAGTTGCAGGCATCGTCCTTTGGGTTCTCTTGACGTACTGCACTGTTCCTGAATTCCGTTTCTAGAGCTAGTATGTCCTTATCGTGTAATACTTACTCCATGATGACATCCTTCGTTCAATAAATAACAATCTGCATTCCACAGATGGTTTTGACGCAGTGATCGATGTTTTGCTGTTGGACCCGCGCGGGCCCTTGTTCGGTCGGATCCGCCGCCACCGCGTCCGGCTCTAAATCCGGCTCTCACATTCACACTAGGCGTCAGTACAGCCATCAAGCCGCCCAAAAGTGTTGCACCCCCGACAGGCATACTGAAAAGACGCTAATAATCATTCAATGTCGTGTACTAAGTCTGGTGTCTTGGCGGTTGACTCTGCCACCTAGTAATCGCTGCTTTTATCAGGGATAAAACAGGCTCCTCGATTGCCAACAATGGGCTATGCGGAACGGATTGCAGATGACTGTCGAGTTTCATCTCGAACAGTCCATCGGAGATGTAAGTTGAGGTATATTACTGGAGGGCAACATGTCTTGGTGAGGTTAACTGGTTGTGATTGCCACTTTTATGACTGAGATGCTTTTCACACAGTCAACATGACCCCCTATGTCGGACCCCTTAAGCCATCCAGGAATGGCTGCTAAAGACGCGGCCTGCTATGAAGCGTGTCTGGCATTGGGAATCTCTAGGCCTCCTCTACCACTTCTTTTCGATCCCAGCTTCCTGATTGAAGAGAACCTCTAAGATACCTTTTAAACCACCCTGATACTTTGGATGTAAATGTGTACCCGCTTGATAGTACTGTAAGACTCTTCACCTTCATGCCAACTTTTGGCCTCGAACGGGCTAGTATTTTGGGTCGAATATCTGGAAGTCGAGAGTGAGTCCTCAACAACTAGTTGCATACCCCGGACACGATTAAGCTAGCTCGGTTATATAACAACAGCTTGTCGCAGTTGCAGTGCTAGTTGGTATACATTCCTCGTCATTGGCTTTCCGTTCGTCCCTGCTGGCCTGTACAACGGACCTACAGACGGGTAATATCTGGAGGAATGTACAGCGTTGCATGATTACGTGTTTCGTCGCGTCACTATGGGAAACCCGGATGAGGGGAAACAACTGCTGCCAGAGCGAGAAGCGAGATGCGATCAATCGATGTCTGGTGAATGGTCGTTCAAGTATGAGGTAGGCACCTCCGTGTATAAAAACAAATGAGTCAAATTATTGAGGGGTGAAGATCAACCATACCTGAAACCGGCAGCGTTGAGAGCGAAAATGATAACGAACGTACCTCCGGCCCCGTTTGCCGTCTTTGCCATCGAGATGAACGGTAGTGCAAGTCAAATACACAGAAAATGCGCCTGCAAGGCTGGGAGCCTGAAATTATACAGGTATTCGTTCCCACAAGTCACGTCGTCCGTAGAGCCCAAGGGATGTGGGACAAGAGCTGAAAGCAAGGGGCCTAAAATGAGATAGAGGTAAACCATCGAATTATTAACTAGGGAAGACTTTCAGCCAGCCCTAGAGATAGTCAATTGGCGATGAGACGTGACAAAACCTCGTCGTGTGAAATGGAGTCCTTAGGATCGATGTCTCCGTTGGGCTTCGTGTAGGTATCGAGAAATGGCTGTCAAGATGCTTCTCGTTGTCAAGGCCAAGCTTCTCATCGCCCTCAGGCTCTGCACCGATATTAGCCATTCCCGACTTGTTCCATCATTGCAAGCGCCTGAGTGAAGTGAGGGATGAGGTGGGGTCAGCAGGTTTTGCTGGTCACCGGGTGATGTTGAATTGTCAGAAACAGTCCCCGACAAGGCTAAACAACAGTAGCCTATTCGCGGTTGTAAAGTGTTCGACCGCCTGGCCGACGAAAAAGGAATACACCACAAAGGATCCTGAACCAGCGTTCTTTTCCTTTGCGGTACAACAGATATGTGAAGGGGCATTCACGCATATTCCTCCATCCCCATCTCCCTGTACGGTACTTTGAGTGGTTCTGTGATCTTGTAAGACACGAGATCGCAAATGTCATGAATTTTCTCAGCACGAATTGGTTCTGTGACCGTGGCAGAAGACTGTAAATCATGAATGCACGCATCTACTGTGTCTTGCAGCAGTTTTCGTTTATGCCCAATATGTGTTTCTGCCGTCCTCGTAGTAACTCGCGACTTTTGGAATAAGTCAGATGTCAGGGTATATCGCCCGGAAATAACAGGGGCCCGGGGAGTGGAGGCATCAGGTGGAACCGAGACACAGAGAAGACAATGAAAAAGGAGATTTCTAATATTCTGGAAGGCCGGAACTGAACATTGCTCTCCTTGGTGTATGTGAAGTGATGTCGTGGCAATGATCCAACCGTCGGGCATGATGGAGACCGGCAGCCGTGAAAAACTGAGGATACCATAAGAGGAAGTAGGCAACCAGCGTATACCGAATGAGAGGAGCCCACGTTAAGGTGATTGGCGCATAATGAATAGCTGCGGTGTTTCACTCGATCATAAGCCCGACGGCATTAATGAACCGAATTGGCGCTCAGCTTAGAGCAGAACCTTTATGGGAGTGGGGCTCGATCCCTTGGGCTAGATCGGGCTGGCGGTCGCTTCTAGGTCCCGTGGATACTACGGTGATCGGCATTCTTCTTTCCAGAACCGGTTTTTTTACGTTGAACCTCATTAAGGCGATGACGCCCCACTCTTACTTGAGTGGTGCGTTTCTCGGGGATATATATTCCTGGTAGTAATAAGCATGCCCCAGGGGTCCATGCAGTAGCAGCCCACGATGAATGACTCGCTAGAAAAGTAATTGTCTGCTTATCTGCTCCCTGCCTACCATGCGGTAGGCTGAAGAGAATGGGGATGCCGTGAATCCGGTTGTGTATTCATGTACCAGAATCTGATTTCCCCTACCATGATTAGGGACATTCTGTGTTTATGCCTGGATGGCCTCAGGAGATTAGAAGACGCAGAAGCCCAACGGAGCGGGACCATGCGAAAGATCAGCTAGTGGCCATTCGAGGAGGACCAGCCTATTCCAGCACCCCAAGGCTCGAAAGAGAGACCCTTTGGCAGCTCATGGCAGATCTGATAAGAAATCCTTCGCACCGTTCTATCATTGCTTCAGGACACTCCACCAAATTAAGAACACACTGATCCACCACAGCTAGAATAGCTCCGCATCTTTCCTGACCATGCCAAACTCCGCACATTCGCATCAACGGTGAGATTCAAGGTAAGCCGCAAATGAGCAAAAGATGCCATTTTTGTGCGTGTACAGCCTTCTCGATGATATGGCCAACCACGGGAAAGGGGTGGATTGCCGCTCGGACGGGGTTTTCCGTTTCGGTATTGACGCGTCCCTTTACCCAGACAATGAAAGGGACGGTCATGGGAACACATGACAGAAGCAAAAGCGTGCAGTGGATTCGATGCGGAACATCATGATGGGTACAATTGAGATCCGTAGTGCAGCTCCAAAGGCCTGACGTCCCTACAGAAGTTTGCATACAGAATAAAACAGTGTATTGCACCGCGGCAGCAGCATTGGAAAGTTGGTTACTCTCGCTCTAATTCCGCTCCAAGCAACGAGGCTTGAACAAGTTGCGCATGAGTTCCATGTAAGAGCACAAAAGCGGAATAGCGGTAATGTCAGGAGAAACCCCTGTTATGTAGAAGACCCCGACGCAGCTTCTTGTCTGCACGGAAACCAGCTGTCAATCAATAACAACATGCATCATTGATGACGCAAATCGCAAAACAATCACATCGGCAACTTCCGTATTCAACCTCAGGCTCTGCGCTTGAGAATCCTGCTTCTGGTTGTTTGGATGAAGAGTAAAGGAAAGAACAGTCAGAGTCTCAATACTGGCTTGCGCTCTTCACTTGGCTGCTATGCCATGAAAGTGTTTCTTCGAAGTGTTTTATGAGTTGACGACTGTCAGGGCTTGACAAGTTGCTCGGGAAGGGCCATCTCGATACCTTGCCTTACACATTCTCAGGACTGGACAAAAGGATTACTTAATTTATCTCGCTTTGTGCCATTCTTAGCTGACTTCCATAACGACCCAAGGTAGGTAACGCTATGGCCGGGCTTGTGAAACTCTGTCCCTCTAATCGCCGCACTCAACTCAACGCTTTTAAATGCTCTCTCCTCTCCCTTCGCTTTCGGTTTCGGTTTCCCAGATCTGCCACCGCTTCCATTCTCAGGCAGATCATCCAGCAATGGCAGAAATCAGCTTCGACCAGCTTGGTCTTCTCTCTACCGAGTGAGTTGCCCTATCCCTATTGTAATATGTGCATCAGTTGGAAGCTGACAATTGAGGCCCCGTTAGCCTTGATGGTCGTATTAATTTTGGCCTTGAGGGCCCCTCATCTAATTCTGCGCTTGGCTGGCCCCAGCAGTGCTATGACGATTCCTTCCTTTATGACCACACCTCATACGAATTAAACGAATTTTCCCTTGACCCTCTGATGGCCCAGTACTTCCCCTCGGATGACACGGGATGTGAAACGAATCCCCAATCAACGTCCACAAATAACACCGTTTCGTTCGATGGTCCCGTGAACGACTGGATCCATACTTTGGACCCTACGTCGCTGTCTGGGTCTCTCATGCACGGAGCTGCAGATTCGGCTTCCCATTGGCTATCGCCTTCGCAGGCTTCACAGCTTCGATCAGAGGCTAACGACGCTGCAACCCAGATTCAACCTCCCAGCATCCCCCTAATGCGACGTGCCGAAAACTATACACCGTATCTTTCCCCCACTCCCTCTACTTCCACGCCATCGGTCCATCGGTCCCTTCCCCCCACTCCCAGACTTCAACAAACCGTGAAACTGGTCCCTCCACCCCAAATCAGCGGTTCGAAGCGTAAACTCGACGGCGATTCCGATCCCGAACGCCGCTACGAAGAGTCCTCCCAAGGTGAAGCTGGGGACGACCATCGGGCGCGTAAGCGTCGGCGGACGCGTACGACCCCCCAGGTCGATAAACCAGCTCCCAAGGGCACCTCTATCGTGCGAAAGTCCTTGTCTGGCAAAGCGCCTGTGAACAGGGTTCGCAAGAATGCCAAGGGATTGGGCGAACGACGTTCGGAGATCGACATCGCCCCGGACTTGAACGGCACCCTTCCAGGATGGATTTTGAATGCCATTTCAAAGTCCCATAAAGAACGCGTGCGCTGTGAATTGTGTACAGGGAGTTTCACGACATTGGATCGTCATATTCTGGGAGTTCATCGGGGTCGTCTGGTGAGGGATCTGATCGAGAAGCCCGATCGCGTTCGCCCCGCAGCAGCGTATCTCGACATGTTCTACTTTGTGATCGTCGAATCGCGGACCTGTCAAGACTATGAGATGTCGCCCGCCGAGGAAACCGAAATCGACGATTTCCTCCGACGTCATGGAAACAAACAACAGGATGAAAAGGAGGAGTTCGATCTTTCCCTGTATCCGGTTTTGAAGGAACGATGCATGGATCTTTGTAAGGGTGTGTACGACTTGTTCCCGTGCGATTGTGGACTGCGGTTTTCTCGTGAGGATGCTTTGAGAAGGCATCAGCGTAAAAGTTGTAAAGGAGAAAAGATACCCCTCCCTTCCGGCTCGTGATTAGACTTACGATATCTTCGCCCCCCCCCCCCCCTTTCCGTTTAATACTTACTTTGTGTATGTTCGTACTTTGCTACATAGAACTGACCGTGTACGTAGCTTCGATCTCTCCACGATCCGCACGTATTATCCAGTTACTGTTGACTTTGGGAATTTGAAAGGGGGTTGTGTTTTATATACGCGATGGCTGATCGATGTCACATCACTGTGTCACATCTGCTTTTGACTTCAGACTACACTTGAATCCGCAATTCGCCCCCTCTCAGTGGGTGACGGGCGGAGGCTTTGCAACGTCTGGAAAAGCCAAAAAAAATTATGTTTACTGTACAGTGAAATTGCGTCCAAGGATCAGAGAACCCCGTGTTGCTTTTTAAAAGGGGTGACATTCCCAATCAGCTGCAGCACCCGCTGTGTAAGTAGTGGGGAATTTGCTCAAATCCCACACACATACTTATGGAGTCAAAGATTTCCACCAGTCGGATCCCAGAATTTTTTTTTTTTGCTCTACCCGCCAAGCTAAAATCTGAGGGCAAACGGTTCCCAGTTACTTCCTGCCAAAGCTTTCATCTCGTGCAGGTCGATCTTGCAACTCGCACTTGGGGCACAGGGGTTCTCTTTATCGCATTGTTACGATGGGGCTTTCTTCGGGGATTTGAGTTGCGCTGGAGCTACGTGGGAAGGCGCAACGCCGAGATGGAAATCCAACTGAATTACCGACCCAGCGCATCAAACCACACAGCGGCGCATCGCGCGCGCGCGCGAATAAGCACAACAATCCCTATAAGGAGACAAAATCCCAATAAACCCTCTGAAACCGACATGCGTTCTCAGCTTTGCCGCAAGTTGGCCATTTCTTACTTGAAAAGGCCATATCTGTGTCTCGACCTAAAAAGGTTATGGAACACGCGAAGGATGGTTGCTTGCAAGGGGGAAATTCACGATTAGGATAATGGTGTGAGGCTGAGGAGAGTGTCGAGGTATGGCTACTCTGCTAACAGCCGGGTTTCCAAAAAAAACTGGCACTCAAAACCGCGCGTAGTACCGCGTAGGATTTGAGACCATGCTTTCACCACGTTGCAACGTCACATTGGAATTTTTCGCCCTTATCCGTCCTATTAGCGACCCTCATTATCCTCCTGGTGAGGGATTCTTCGCATCAGTGACTGTGCTTTGCCCCCCCTGTACCATCCGGTGCTTCACGTTACTATACTCGTCCTTGCCTAATTGACCCACAGCGAGTACAACGAGCTATGAGCACCCAAATTCCTGACCCTCACGATCCTGCTTCCGCCTCCGACATCCTCATGCCCCCGCGGTGGGGTGAGAATAAATGCGAGTTGAGCACGTTTTGCACTGGTCTCCGTCACAGCTCACTAGCGGAGACAACGAGAGTGACTTCTTTGAGGCGCTACGCCGCCATGGGGAAGATCAAGCATCGCTTCCTCTTGTTGGAAGCCATAAGAGAAGGAATTCGACTATGCATCCGTTTGGATCGCTACCCTGGAGGGCAGGGTAATCAGAAATTGCTGGCGAGTACCTATTCGCCCGCAGATGATTCGGTGAGTCTCATCAATATTGCTGGAGAATGAATGTTTCATCCATACTTGCCCAGGTTCGTCTTTCTATGATAGAAGAGGCACTGGTCCAAAAAGGCGACAATCGCGAAGCCGTGATCGACTTTGATGACCCCGTCCCCCTCAACCGTTTTGGAAGGGTGTTCGATGTCGTCCGAAATGAGTCCATGTTCTATACTATTACCAAGGTGTGTGTGTGTGGGAAATCTACCGGATTGCCAGCCTATTGATCGATGCGCGCCAGAAAAACTGTTGGTTTTTTTCTTCCGTAATTCAAGAGCTTTCAATCCTCTTCTTCGGAGGCCGTTTCAATCAGGGAGCGGTACTGAATCATCCTGAGCTAAACAAACGATGCCGCAAATTAATCAAAAACAAACTGTATGATGTGCTCCATGTTTCCACCTCAATCAGAGATCTGGAATCCCTGGTGCTTGCGATGCATGAGAAGTCGCTTGTTGGACCCGTTCTTCGGCTGTTGCGCATTATGAAAGCTCAAGACGTGCGTCTTTTTCTACTTTCTGATACACGGACTGATTCGCCTTCGCAGAGGTTGCTATATTGTTCCAGCCTCAGTGATTCCGTGGCCATGCAAGGGTAGCGTCTTGTTTGGAAAGGATATTGAGCAGTTGGAAAGACGTGGTATATGAGCATCTGCGTGCGTGTAGTGGTGTGCCTGGAACAAGAAAACTTGGGGAGGGTTTTCCACAGTGAGCCTTCCCGTTCTTTGTCAAGAGTCTTCACCCCATATTTCCTGTGCAGGGCATTAAGTCAAACTCTTCACTTGTGGGAAATTCTAATCAGCGTGGACCCCGAAAGAACTACAAAGATCCTCGGAACCGAAAGGCTCGGTGCGCTTGAGCAAATGCTTGTCCAACTTTTTAAAGCCGAGTCAACTTGGGCTTCCGTGCGCAACGAGATTCAAGCATATCAATTCAAACCCTCCGCTGATGACTATCAGCCGTCGAATAATCAAATGCGGCGTTCAAACACGGACATCGAATTAGCAGTCAGGACACTCGAGCTTCTTTCATCGTGCCAATCAACAGAGGATTTGGCACGGCAGCAACGCTTCCGGCTGAACCAAGAAACAACTAATCTCAAGGCTCGGCTTGCTTGTACGCTGCTGGAAAGCGCTCAATTCGCCTGCAGAAGCTGGTCTGTACTGGTCTGCCGAGTCGACTGTGGGGACGCGGATGTCATGCAAGCTTTAGAGAAATTCGCCGAGAGTTGGCTGCTGCACTGGGTAGCAGCGATGGGTATAATGGAGGAGCTTGATGCAGCTTGCCTCAGTTTGCATCGGATTGAGCAGTGGATGGTATGTCTTACACATGCGTTCGGTTTGGCATGCGAACCTCATCTCGTGATTGCAGCGACCGTGCACTGACAAGAAGGAATTGCGCACATACATTTCCGACGTGTGCCGGTTTATATTACGCTACAAACAAGCCCTCAGACAGTCCTCTTTTTTCATCCTCAACGCCCCTTTACCGTTCAGTCGTTCAGCCGGCCTAAACAGTGTTGGATCATCATCCTCTAATCAGCCAGCACCTTATAGCATCACGTTGTTGACCGGGGTTGGACATTCGTGGAGTCAATCACCTGTGCAACTTCGCGGACATCCGGGTCCTGTTTCCTCCGTCGCATTCTCACATGACGGAGATAGGATAATATCCACATGCAGGAATAACCAGATTTGGATCTGGAACGCGGCGGTGGGTAATTTAGCGCGTACCCTCGATTTGGATTCCACTTGCATTTTTGCCGTCTTTTCCCCCGACGGCACGCAAATTGCATGCGCGCTGGAGGACAACACCAAGATATATATTTTTGGTGCAAACGATATGCCTGGCCAACCCCTTCGACTTCACGGACACACTAATAGGGTCAACTCGTTGTCATTCAGCCCCTATGGTTTCAAATTAGCTTCCGCTTCAAGTGACGGAACGGTACGAATCTGGAACTGCGAGAGTGGCAGTAGTGAAAGAATTTTGCGTGGCCATACTCATCCCGTGGTATCCGTTGACTATTCCCGCGATGGGGTCCTGCTCGCCTCAGCTGGTGGCTGGACCGTCTGTCTCTGGGATGTACTCACGGGTCATATGCGGTTTCAAGTCGATTTGAAAAGTGCAGTGTACTCTGTCTCGTTCACTGCGGATAATACGCAGGTTCTTTTCGCTGCCGTTGACGGCTCTGTTGGTCTCTTGCAAGTGGATGGGAATGGAGAACCTCAGCTTGTCGGCCAGCACCGTGGCGCCGTGTATTCTGTTTCGTGTGCCCCGGTCGGAAACTACGTGGTTTCCGGATCAGCCGACAAGTCAGTCTGCCTGTGGGACGTACGGAGCCGCACTCTTGTCCGTACTTTCAACGGGCATGTTAGCGATATCTATTCCGTAGCATTCTCCCCAGATAGCGAACGTGTAGTATCCGGGTCACAGGATGGATCCGTCCGCATTTGGGACAAGCCTAAGGCCCGTGCCGATATGACCACTAATTCATTCGTAATCGCTTTCTCCCTCGACGGCAAGCTTACTGCATCTACTAGCGAGGACAAGATTATTCGCATCAACTTGCGTGGATCGTCTCATCCTCCAGTTCTATTAAGGGGACATACTGACATGGTGACCTGCGCATGCTTCTCTTCGAATGGTCGTAACCTTACCTCCGGTTCGCGGGACCTGACTGTAAAGTTGTGGGACACGAATTCAGGGAGTTGTTTGATAGAAATGGCGATTGGCGACGCGACGCAATTTCGGGATTTTCAATGGGCACCTCAAGCGCCATACCATATCGGTTATTCGTTATGCAATAGAGTCCTTTGTGTAAGGGGATGGGGCATTGCAGATAAGTTTGGACGCTCATATACTCTCTACCTCAATTCCAAGAACTTGGACGATGACCCGACTCATCTCCCCAAAGCCATTTTCCCGTCCATCTCTGTCCCTGATCCTTTTCTTCCCATCATTCTCGATCAGAATTGCTTGTGTGTACGAAGCCGAGGAGCGCTAAAGTATGTCTGCTGGCTCCCGGATGATTTTGAGCCAGCATCGGAAGTCATCCAGATTGGGAGACGCGTCACCGTAGGCGGAAAGGGTGGGGAGATCATACATGTTGACTTTAAAGAGTTCGACCTCAAATGGCTTTAAGCAGGTAGATCCCCGACGGACGAGGCAATCTGCCACCGTTCTCGTGTTGTCCGTGGTTTGTTTTCTCTGCAGCTTGTATGTTTTATGTATATCCCAAGTCTGTATCATTACTTTGATTTGTAGCTCACAAATTCCCGACGGTTGAAAGCGATGTAGGATGATATGTCTCAAATCAAACAGTCGTCTTGGCTCGCTGTCTCCGCCCACTGCCCGCACTGGAGGACCCATGTGTTTCCAGCCCGGATGGATGAACGCGTCGACTGGGGTATTCACTTTTATATCGCGCTCCGGATTGTCTGGCAGTAGGTAAATCAAGCATTTCTATAGACGGAAATGGTTGCTAAGCTCCCTCAGTCGAAAGTGCATCCACTTGGGGAGCGATTTGATACGTACTGGATCGACAATCCTTGGAGGAGGTGGCTTGAAATTACGACAAGCATCGTCAGTTAAACGGCTCGAAGCTTGCAGTTAATAAAAATTTTCACCCTTATAGAACTGGGTACAGGTGATACGGAGTTTGGATTGGGGTTCTGATGTCTGGGCACAGTTCCTCCGCCGGGTTCGGCAGACTTGATGAATCAGTATAAAGTGATAGCCATCATGAGTCTTGTGTGAAACTTGCAAATGAGTCATGTGCGTCCTACATTATCAGGTTTGCTCGAAAAACAGCCCATAGACCTGCGAGCTACGGCGCAAACGTACTCAAGTGCCCAGTGGTGTTGGTGAGCGTCCTACTCAAAATACTATAACAACTTGAACAAGTGATGTGCAAGTTCACGTGGCGCGTGATTAACAACATATTCTCCTGAAGCTTTGTAGGTGAAAGCGGATGAACTGTTAACGTTAGGGTCTGCTAGACTAGTCGTCTTTCACTTCGTGGCTCGCCAATTTTGTAGCGAAGCTGTAGACAAATATCGGAGAAAGAGGACTTCGGTTGGCAAACTGCAAAGGACTCAGCCATGTCCTTAGATGGCAACGGAAATCAAGTTAGTATTGCTGCTGAGCGCCCCAAGGACTGTGAATAGGAACAAAACAGAAGCAGTGCAATGCAGTGACGTCACTCATCCTACAGGCAAAAACTCCCACTGTTCTAGTGTTCCGGGTCGATCCTGTAAAAATTTCCACCCGTGCTCAGTCCTCAAAGTTTTTCAAATAACTAGTAGACGCCACCTGTCGTGGCGAGTTCCCATTTCTTTTCCGGTTAATTTCTCGGATTGGTTTTTTTTTTTTTACTTCTTCTGGGGGGGGGGGTTCCACGCAGCGCTTTTTTCGTGCCGAAGGTAGTCTTTTCAGATGTGAATGGATGCACAGAGTATGGAATACTATACTAGTGAATGTAAATTTGTCTTTATAATTAATAATCCATGAATTATGGCGGCAGAGGAGACTGCCAGAGTAGTACTCAAAAAAAAGAAAGGCCAGAAGGCTGGATAGATATTGGATTATGTGAGTTAACCCATGTATCAGAAAAGGACGCACATCTTGAGCCTCCGTGATGCGTAACAAGCGGAGAATGGGATCAAAGAGTGACTTCTCGCGCATCGTAAGCACCAATGGCTTCCAACTCTCTGATCGACGTAGAAACATAAAGCCATTCGCCCAAAGAAAACTGAACCTCATCCCCCCCAACGAAATCTCCGCAAGGAGATTCGTTTTACTGTGGAATCGGTGTCCTTCGATAGGAGCATTTGAAATATTTGATGAAGGGATCTGACAGACTCGTGTTAGAAGCACTAGCTGCTTATGTTCTGAGGGGTTGATTAGGAAATAGTCTTTGCGGTCGGCGTCGAAACGATAGCAGATGATTAATGGAAGAGAGAGGAACCTTCGACCGGAGGGTCGATAGTGTCGACGCAACACTTGCGATCGAATGTCTAGACGCGAGGATTATTCTGTCGGAGTCAAAACTCGCCATGGAGGACGAGATTGAGAGGGGCCTCAATTGTTGGAGGGACAAGGCGTCCACGTGCATGGGATTGGGTCTGCAACTACCTTCGGCTGTCTATTCCAGTAGTGACTGGGACCAAAGAAGGCTAACATATGTCTTGGCGCGCATCTACGCCTGATTCTGACCAATAAGTGGATGAAGCTTAGAAGTAGTTCCATTTAAGGAAAAGGACCCCCTGTAATTCATTTGAACAGAATGTTTACGCGTTCAAAGTGACTTCCTCCGAATTATTGGTGAACCGCGTCCCAGGTGCTCTGGGCCATGGAGATAACTACCATCCCATACGAGATACTCTCCCTTATTTTCGAGTTTGCTGTCTGGTCTGATCCATTTCCCTCCTTTCCGTCAATGCTGCCGCCTGTACACGGGACATCTCGATCTGGTTCATCCATAGACCGGTATGACCCTGAGCTTCGTATCACTATCGGGCTGGTATGCAAGAGGTGGAAGAGTGTGCGCGATGCATCTCCAAGGTTATGGAGTCGCATTACTGTTGTATATGACCGCATTGGTAAGGCACCGACGCAGACACTGCGCTGGCTCTTAGCGCGCTCAGGCGCGCTTCCTTTGGATGTATGGCTTTCCAGTGCATCCTCGGAGCGTTCTATTGACACGCCTGGGGATTCGACGGTTCGCTCCTTCGTCAGGCTCAGTCAGGCGCTTACGCAGGTCATCAACGTCCTGCAACACTCGATACCTAGATGGAGATCGCTACACCTTAATCCACGATCGCGCTCGGAGGCTTATGTCTCCTTTGTTCGATTCAAGCAACCCGCTTTACGTCTGACAGAGCTCACTATGTCTGCCCAAGACGCTGGTGGCACTGTCCAAAGCCTCACAACTTTACACGGCGATGGAACATTCCCAGTACCTACCATTTTCAATAATCAGACACCCGAGTTACGTTCCGTTTCCATTGAGCCCCTCGCTTTCAGCATCGACAGCCAGTTCATCAAGAATTTGCACGACATTCGCCTTAGCCGGGGATGGACAACGCTCAGTAGACTTCTTGACGTTTTACGGTCAAATCCCAATCTCGAAACCCTAGTGATCATCATGGTGGAGTTCGAAGATGTCCTTAGTACTTCGAATTCTCAAATCTCCCTAGAAACGAAACAGGAGGCACTCACACTCCCGGCTTTGCACACAATGCGACTCGACTTGACAAGAAAGGAAATGACAAGATTATTAGAGTCTTTAACACTCCCTTCTCTGGAATCACTATCTTTGTGCCGGAGCGAGGAGGGTAATGCGTCAGAGACGCCAGCGAACGATGGTGTTACTGCGACCAGTACACTTCTTCGCGTCATCGGCGATCAGCGACGGAAGCAGAAGATGCCTCTTACGTCGTTTTCATTCACATACGGGTCAGTCTGGGAAACGAATGCGACGCAGGGCGAGGAGGGTACGGATGCGGCATTGGTTGATTTGTTATCTGCTTGCGGATCCTTGGAATCACTGGAGGTGCACAATTACTCTCATTACCACTCTACCCTTCTCGATGTGAGTATATTCCGCCATCTCTCTATGAAAGCCGTTCTTAGACTCCTCCAGGAACTGACACGTAAGAATGGTGATATTCCCCTGATCTGTCCATCATTGTCGAGTTTACACATCAGTCGTTGTGAGGGTCAACAACGACATGCCGTCAGGCGCTTTGTCGAGTCGAGGCTGATTAATAAGCAGGTAGAAGAGCCAGGAGACCCGAGCCTAGGGCACGTCAGAAGTTGCACGCTCAACTCTCTTGTCATCGAGGCTAGCCATGACAAAGTCGTATGTGGTTCGGAGGATATTCGGTGGATTCAGCAGCATGTGCCACATTTTCAGGTCGAACAGTTTGGATTATTGGTTCATCGGCGTATTGTCCTCGAAGACGATTTTTAGAAGGCAGTGCATTGGATTATGGATTAGATTATACTGGATGGCTAAGATAGAACGTTTTAGGATTGTTAGGAAGTCATCGTGAAATATAATTAGGAAAGGAGAGCAGCGCCTTTGATGCTTTGGGCAAAACGTTTGAACACGCTCTTTGTGGATGAGCCTCTAGACTCATTCCCTGCCGGCATGCATGGACCTGAGGCTCCGATCCCGGCGCCGTCGGGGCGAGGAGCTATAGGAAAGGACGGTTCGAGCATCATTAGTTCTGGGCCATTGGCAATTTTTCTGGGCGGTTCCAATGCGCAGCCGAGATCAACCTCTGTTGAAAGCAGGGATGTAACAATAGCAGCCGTGTCCTGATTTGCAGGCTGCTCGGGAGTTTGTAGTATGACTGACGTGAGAGATGACACTGAAGGAACGTAAGACCCTCCCGGTTGCGAGGGTGATAACGGTGGAGGGCGCAGTGAGGAGTGAGATCTGCCATAACAGCTTGGATATGTAGGTGCTGGGGGAACAAGAAGAGTGTGGTCCATTATAGCATGGGGGGGAAAGGTTGGTGAGGGACATTTCGTTCCCATGGGTTGTTGCCCAGTTCCAGCGGCGGCAAGGATTGCAGGGTCAAGGACAGCTTGAAGGTAAGGATGATTTCTCGGTGAAAGGTTTGGGGAAGGGAGTATACATTTGCGGTCACGCTGCATTTTGACGAACTTGAGAATGCTTCTCGACTGATCTTGATGGGTTACGAGGTAATCACAATATCGTCGTCTTAAATTGACAGCTTCTGTTGTGGTGACGAAAAAACGACCCATGCTGACGAGAGAGTCTCGAAACTCTTGTAAGGTCAGTCGCTGTTCAGGATTATGCTGAAAAACGCCGGTAAGTAATCTGTGAGCCTCGATGGTAATGTTGCGACTCCTAAGGAAGTAGCTACTGCGATCGGCAAGGTATCCGAAGAAATGAGCGTCGTTGATCGATGCTTTCTGCCATGGCTTTTCGTGAAACATTAATATGTGAAAGAGGACTGTTGAGGCGTCAGAAAGTGGGTAGAAGCACGACGTCGCGAACCCTCACTTCCAAGTGACCATACATCGGATGGACCATTCATGTACGGCTCGTAGTTACGACTCATGTGCTCTCCAAGACACTCTGGAAGTGTTAAATAGTTCGGTCAATGGCCTGTAGTAGACATTGTTTGCACTTACCCGGGCTCATAAACTCGACCGTCCCATCGCGAGGCTTATGAGACAGGGGATGTTTCATGGCCAATCCAAAGTCCGATAAATAAATTTGACTTCGAGTTCCGTCCAGTAAGATATTTTCGGGTTTCAGGTCTCGATGGAAGATGTTTCGAGCATGACATCGAATGATCACGTCGATGAGCTGAATCATTAGGTCCCTCTTGCGAGCGAAGGTGGATAGACAAAGAGGGTTGCCTCGTAGAGTGCATATCCAGTCGCAAAGGTTCCCTCCACATGCCATATCCTTCATCATCAGGAAAAATCAATCCGTCACGTCAGCGTTTATGGAGTATTATTATTTCGGGACTGCATGTGCGAACCATGATGATATAGGTGTACGACCCGTCCTTAACAGAGCATCGCATGGTGATTACGGATGGATCAGCCGACATGCACCAGTGTAGGAAAATCTCATCTTTGAGTCTCCAATACTGCCGACCGTTTCGATCGTGGGGGACAACCTTGACGGCAACCGTCGATGACGTAGGCAGAAATTTTGCCCGATATACAGCGCCGAAACCGCCCTTCCCAATACAGGATTCGAGTAAGATGATCCCATCTACGAGTTTCCCTGAAAGTTCCGTCGGAGGTAAACCGTGCATATCAGACAGGTCACCCGAGTCGAGGAGACGAGGGTGAGGGTAATGTGTCCCATGTTATAAGTGTGGAGCATACTTATAAGCTGTTTTGGCTGGTGTAAAATGTTTGGAAGTAGCGCGGTTATGCCTCAGTAGTGTCTTATGTCGCAAGTCTTGATCGTGTTTCAGCCAATGCAAGTGTGAACCATTGCAAGTACTGCCAATTAGTTTATTTCGCGAATCCAGTTAGAATCTGGGAATGACAAGTCCCATCCACAGCAACAGCTCCCCGTCCCCATCGAGAGGCACACGAAGTGGGTCTCTTCCAACGAATTTAAGATTACTGCATGCATTAGAAGATGTAATGCGTGAGGCCTTCCGAATCGAGCTTAATGACATGAATCAGAATCAAGATCTCGGCCACCCGCCCCAACTCGTGAATGAAGTTTTGGAACAATTCAAAACCACTTCGAGTCTAGACATAGCGCACGCGCGACGCATCCTGGAGCATGGGACAAACTACAGACTCTACAGCTCCCGTGCAAATTGGAGGTCCGCGAAGGAGAAAGCATAAAGGAGAACACCCGCCGTTTGCAACAAGGGATCTAGCCGCCAGAGCTTCCATATGAACTAGTCCATTAAGCGGCACCTTCCAGACAGTGACCAGACAAACGGTGAAACTTGTGAGTCAAAATGACAGCGACGGGAAGGCGAGAACGAGGTGTAATTGGATCAGTCATGTAGACTCAAGCCTTGTGGATCCATCAATGCCCGTTAAACCTACGGCACATTAAGAACAACGCAGCGCCAACCGTCACGTTCGATAAACGGGTCTACGTTACACCCAATGAGTAATCCTCCATCTCTTCTCAAGTTTCCCAACCCCTGTGGCCAACGTCTCACATCCGATTTGCTACCCGAAGAACAGATCCACGAAGTAATATTCCGACAGCTCCCAACACAATGTCTCCGAGGTTCTGAGCTTCCAGTAGAAGGGACTACTGATTCCACCTCAGCTTGCGCCGGCATCAAACTGGTGGATGGCAATCCTGCAACGAAATGTACGTTATGGACGAACCGAACTACAATAGCAGCTAAAATTGAATCATAAGTCATGACTAGCAGCAACTCCAAAATTAAGGGATAGTAGCCAGACTCACCAGACTGACCCACTTCATGATTAGATATCAGATGCTAAGTGGCACTGCTGCGGTCTTGACCGAAGTGTCTACGCAGGCGGTTCCAGGCCTAAATCGACCTGCGCATCAGCAGACACGCGATGGACAGGAGTGCCAGTCAGAGCGCCAACGCACCAAACTTCTTGAGCTTGAGATTGTACTTCTGAACGCGGCTGGCAACTTGCCGCCCAGTTCGAACACCACCCATAGCCTTGCTGATCTTTATCCAGCTGGCCACGTGGGACGTGAGAAAGCAGTCCTAAGATCAGGATTAAATCGCCACGAACCGCTGCTTTTCCGTTGATGGGATCTCGAGGAGGCATTTCTCCAGTAATCTCTGCTCTTCAGCTGTCCAAGGGACATTAAATAGTTCCGCCTTGGGCTTGGCTGACCGATTTAACTAATGGAAGCGGGATGCGTAAATATATCTGATCTCTAGTGCAATGCAACAAACGAACCCTGTTCATATCTGTTTGAGGCGGCGGAGTGGATGATGCAGAAGCTTCGTCATGGAGCCTATGGGAAATGAAATGTTCTCGCATTAGCGCAACACTCTTCGTGATTCTGAAAACGCACGTTTGGTTATCGTCAGACTTAGATTCTGGATTTCTTTGGGGGGATGCCGAAATATCGTCGTCTGAGGGAAGCTCTTCTAAACATCTTTTCCGTCTCTTGATCCTCTGTGGCAATGCAATGTGTGGAGTGTCTTCCTGTTCCACGGGGCACGGCTCGAGACCAAGCGCATTGATACGGGACCGATACTCTTCCAATATTGGAGTAGCTTGGCGGCGGAAGGAAGATTCGGAACAAGTACTGTGAGGCTCGGAATGGAAGTGAAGCGGAGGAATGTTCATTTGGTGAAGGATCGCAGGATCTGGGCGCGTTGACTCAGGTTTGTTGCCAAGGCATTTGTGGGCTCCAAAGAAAACCGGCGCACCTGCACGTTTGTACAGCGACCAGTCAATATAATCAGGCTCACGTTTACCATATTCCTGGTCAGTGCGAAACTCTTCTAGCTATGTTTCCGCCGAATGTAAGCAAAATATGCCACCGCCAACAGCAATCAACAGTGCCGACCTCCTTGCCAAGATTTCCAATAAATGCTCGAGGATTTTCTAGCGCTCGCTGTTTGAGCAATTCCAACCTTTTGATCTGCAAGCGCGCTTGGGCAGCACTCTCAATTTGTGTCTCGATGAATTCTTCTAATGACTCAAGTCTAGAAGAAGCTTCAGTTAACAGAAACACCTCTTCTTAATGTACTTGCGTTTTCGAAAGTGACATCCATGCGTCCAGAAGTTGGCCCAAGAAAGCACGGGTCACGTGGCAAATGCAGTTGTGTCGGAAAAAATCTTCGGAAAATTGCGTACATATTATGTAAACGCGCGTGGTGGCGCGTCACATTACCCTGGACGAGGGCCGAGGGTACTTGAGTGCGCGATGGGGGGCGATCGGCCTAGTCCGGCTTGAGACGGCGCTAGCTTCGCGGTCAAATGAGACACGTGACTTCGGGGACGCTGACCGATGGTTCGCATTCCTAATCACACTCATTCTGCTTCCAGTTCTAGGTGACCTGGTGCTGGTTTTCGCTGAGTAGACATAGACGAGCCAGATCATCATCGTCCCGATCACTTAACCAGTCCAGGTCAGGCTGCCGCGCGCGCCAGAATTCGCATTAGATTCAGGGTCAGAAGTTCGTCGACTAAATGCTTCTCGTCAACTTCCATAATCGTACAAGGGCCTCGTGGCTCTGAGCACACGTGTATTCCCAGAGCTCTCCTCCATCATCTCATCCGTTATCGACCATGTCGTTGCGGCAAAAGGCTGAAGCTCTCAGGCAAACGATCGATGATCTCCTCGTAGCGGGAGGTGACATAGCGGTTCCGATCCTCAGAGTCGTCAATGCTACGGCTAATTGGTGTCCCCCTCTAAAGATGGCGACTGGTGGTGCACTCTCCATCCTCGATGAGGTTAAGGTTGGCAATGATTTGTGCTTGGCCATGAATGAAAGCTCACACTAGTTTGCGCCACGTAGAAGTTCAAGGAGAACGAGAAGGAATGGGCTGATTTTGGTCAATACGTAGTGGACATGGTGGCCGAGGTGATTTTAGCCATAGAATCCTATGATACGTCAGCAGAGGAGGCAAAGCCGTGGGTGGAAAATGCAAACAAGCTTGGTGGGTGAGTTGTATTTGTATTTGATGCTCTTTGATATCGTGACTTACATGAAGTCTCAGCGCGCTACAGAAGGTTAAGTCCGAAATCGAACGAAGATTGAAAAAAATCGAGAGACGAGCGACTTTCATAAATACATTGTCCTACTTGAAAGACCCAGGAAGGATCGATGGTCTAAAGAAGGATTTTGACAAATCATTGGCATTGTTTCAGGTAGCTTTCTCCACAATACCGTTCCATAGCCATTCTGATTTTCGGGTGATGCAGCTCAGGACGAATTTAATAACTAGCTCCAAATTAGCGGCCATAGAACGTCGTCAACAGGACGACAAAATTCTCGATAGTCTCCGATACCCTCATGTCGCCCACGATGATTCCACTCAGGCATGCCTAAAAGATACTAGGGTTGATCTCCTAGAGCGTATCATGACATGGTGTCACAACACACGGGACAGCGAGAACCGGCTAATGCTGTTGACTGCTGTTGCTGGCGCTGGCAAGACTGCAATTGCACTCACGATAGCAGAGAGATGTGCCAGTGACGAGGATGTTACCCTATTATTACACTACTTCTTTAAAGAGGGCGAACGGTCGCGGCCCGATTTTGTATTCAGCGGCATAGCTCGAGCGCTTGCAGACCATGATCCTGTTTACCGCACTTTCATTACCTCTGCTCTTCGGAAAGACCCTAGTCTCTCAACAACTTCATTTACAATGCAATTCAAGAAATTGGTCGCTCTGGCTCTTCTCCACAAACCTCCGCCTTATGATCATCTATGATGATCATCCTCGACGCATTGGATGAATGTGATAAAGAAGTGTTCGAGTCCCTTGCCGAAATTCTTGGGGAGGAAGTGCCCAAGCTACCATCTTCTGTAAAATTCTTTCTCACATCGAGACAATTTGATCTCGTGAATCGCTACCTCTCCCCCGATTACCCAATCTATCGCCTCACTATCAATCTCTCGGACGAGACAAATGTGCAAGACTGTGCTAAATACATATGCTTCCAGCTGCAAAAGCTAAAGAAATTGCATCGGGATTATGGTTTAATCTTCGGGACGAGGATAAAACGGTACAGGAGATCTTGGGACGAGCAAACGGCCTGTTTATTTGGATCAGCACCATCTTTCGCTACATGAAGATGGCGAACAAGGATCCTATGAGGACACTAGAGAGCCTACTTGACACAGGTGCTAAACGACCTGATGTCCCTGCTGAGAAGATGATGGATGACTTGTATACAAGTATCTTGAAGAAGTGTGCTTGGGACGACGAAGATTTTGCGGATGATTACCCAATCATGATGGGAGCGATCTTCCTTGCACAGCAGCCTCTATCGATCACAGCCTGGGATGCAATTTTGTCGCCTTCCCTCAAGTCTTCTGTGCGATATATGTTGGCTGAACTTGCTCCTCTCCTCTCAGGAGTTGAAGATTCTCACATTCCGATTCGCATCTTACACCAATCTCTCCGAGACTTTGTTGTTGATCGGATCGATTCCCAAACGATCAGCTCTTGTTGCAGTCCAGTAAATGTGGGAACAGAAAATGCCAGGGTTGCCCTGCGATGCACCGAGATTCTGAACGAGGAACTCTGCTCTATAAAGGGCTTAGGACTGATTGAAAACTTGTCCAAAAGCGATGAAATGCCACCTATTGCTCCAAAGGAGTTGTCTGAGCACTTTCAATATGCATGTCGCTACATTGTTCATCATCTCAGTGGGGTCCAGGAACCATCACAGCAGCTTTCTGGATCAGTTGGCATGTTTCTAAGTCAGCAGGCGACTCGCTGGGTGGAAGTCTGTGTGAGAATGGGAAGCTATGTCAGTATTTTGTCACTCCCTGAGTGGGCTAAGGTATGGGTTATCGGTAAATTGTGTTGATGAAACTACCTCATGATCTTCCAGTTGGCTGTTGATCATAGGTCAAAAGGCTCTGTCAGCATGCTGGCTAATGCACTTGCCGAGCTTCCATGGAATTTGATATTTCTTTCAAGATTCCAGGAGGCATGTGAGGCAGCGAATGATTCCGTTGTACTTTGCCGTTACCTTTTTTCCGTGGACTCAGGTTTCTACACCGCACATTTAGCCAGGTCACTCAACAGTCTATATTTTGCTCTTTCCAACATTGGACAACACTCGGAGGCACTCCCATTTGTTGAAGAAAGCATCAAACTCTACCGTCAGCTAGTTGACATTCACCCAGGATCACACACCTGGGAATTGGCCGGGACACTCAACAATTTATATTTGGCTCTTTCCCTTCTCGGACGGCACTCGGAGGCGCTCCCATTCATCGAAGAAAGCATCAAACTCTTCCGCAGCTAGTTGCTGTTCACCCAGGATCATACACCCCAGGATTGGCCATGTCACTCAGCAGTCTATATTTGGCTCTTTCCAATCTCGGACGGCACTCGGAGGCACTCCATTCATCGAAGAAAGCGTCAAACTCCGCGACAACTAGTTGCTGTTCACCCAGGATCATACACCCTTGATCTGGCCATGTCACTCAGCAATCTATGGACTGCTCTTTCCAAACTCGGACGGCACTCGGAGGCGCTCCCATTTATTGAGGAAAGCGTGAAACTCCGCCGACAGCTAATTACCATACACCCAGTATCATATACCCCGCATTTGGCGAAGTCACTCAACAATTTATATTTGGCTCTTTCCGATCTCGGACGGCACTCGGAGGCACTCCCATTCATCGAAGAAAGTGTCAAATTCTTCCGCCAGCTAATTGCCATTCACCCTGGATCATACACCCCAGATCTGGCCATGTCACTCAGCAACCTATATTTGCTCTTTCCAATCTCGGACGGGACTCGGAGGCGCTCCCATTCATCGAAGAAAGTGTCAAATTCTGCCGCCAGCTAGTTGCTGTTCACTCAGGATCATACACCCAGCATTTGGCCACATCACTCAGCAATCTACATAAAGCTCTTTCTAAACTCGGACGGCACTCGGAGGCACTCCCATTCATCAAAGAAAGTGTTAAGCTCCGCCGACAGCTAGTTGCTGTGCACCCAGGATCATATACCCCGGTGTTGGCCATGTCACTCAGCAGTCTATATTCAGCTCTTTCTGATCTCGGACAGCACTCGGAGGCCCTCCCATTCATCAAAGAGAGCGTCAAACTCTACCACCAGCTAGTTGCCATTCATCCAGGATCATACACCCCGGATTTGGCCAATTCACTCAACAATTTATATTTGGCTCTTTCCAATCTCGGATGGCACTCGGAGGCGCTCCCATTCATTGAGGAAAGCGTCAAATTCTGCCACCAGTTAGCTGCTGTTCACCCAGGATCATACACCCCGGATTTGGCCATGTCACTCAGCAATCTATGTACGGCTTTTTCCAAACTCGGACACCACTCGGAGGCGCTCCCATTCATTGAAGAAAGTGTCAAACTCTGCCGACAGCTGGTTGCTGTTAACCCAGGATCATACACCCCATATTTGGCCTCATCACTCAACAATCTATATTTGGCTCTTTCCAATCTCGGACGGCACTCGGAGGCGCTCCCATTCATCGAAGAAAGTGTCAAATTCTACCGCCAGCTAGTTACCATCCACCCAGGATCATACACCCCAAAGTTGGCCATATCACTCAGCAATCTATGTACAGCTCTTTCCAAACTCGACAGCACTCGGAGGCACTCCCATTCATCGAAGAAAGTGTCAAATTCTGCCGCCAGCTAGTTACCATTCACCCGGAATCATACACCCCAGACTTGGCCCGGTCACTCAATAATCTATATTTGGCCTTTCCAAACTTGGACGGCACTCGGAGGCGCTCCCATTCATCAAAGAAAGCGTCAAACTCCACCGCCAGCTAGTTGTCGTTCACCCAGGATCATACACCCCGAATTTGGCCGGGTCACTTAACAATCTATGTATTGCTCTTTCCAACCTCGGGCAGCACTCGGAGGCGCTCCCATTCATCGAAGAAAGTGTCAAATTCTACCGCCAGCTAGTTGCCGTTCACCCGGGATCATACACCCCGGGTTTGGCCTCGTCACTCAACAATCTATGTTTGGCTCTTTCCAAGCTGGGACGGCATTCAGAGGCGCTCCCATTCATTGAAGAATGTGTCAAACTCCGTCGCCAGCTAGTTGCTGTTAACCCAGGAGCATACACCCCAAGATTGGCCAAGTCACTCAAGCATCTACGTAATGCTCTTTCCAATCTCGACCGTCATTCCGAGGCACAAATGGTCCACATTTAAGTGTGCTCTCCATATCTCGCTTTTGCTACCTGCACATATGGTGGGCAAGCTTGAATTGGATGTTCAGATCAGGGACACCAACAAATTCAATTCTTCTGATTGAAAACTAATCAATAATATACACGGAATTCACTGGCTGCTACACCCGTAAAATCACAGTCGCATCATGATCTTACAATTCCTGAATACACATTCCTTTCTCTGGCACATTTTTCCTCTCGTCGCTCATCACTGATGTACTGGTCCAAGTTTCTGCATTCCACCACAAGCGGTGACTCCCGTTGCGGTTTGGGTGGATGATGACTTGGGGATATCCAACTCCAATACGGAAGACTACAACAAGCTTGATTTGGTAGTACTATTATTCTTGTCGAATCGACTTTGTAATGGAGCGCAAAGTCCGAAGTGTGCGATATCAATGGACGCCAACGGTGGCATCGACTTGGCGCAGTCCCCTTCTGCACCCTTCGGAGAGTCTGTCGCTTTCTCTGGTTCAATCCTCCAACCTCTTTGTCGTTTGGTTCCGGGCCACCCGTACTATCGTCCACACTTCTTCGTTGGAGTTTTTGGTTTTTATCTTTGTGATCGGGGACTCCACTTCCAGAGGAGGCGGAGCACTCCTAGTGACGTACTGGACGGATCTGGCTCGGTTCCTCCTTCCAAGTCCTCCCGTAACAATAATATCGCCTCCCTCTGCACACCCCGCTTCCAATCCAAGGTCTAAGACCCAAGTGACTGGGGGATAGATTGAAGCTTGTCCACTTTTTTTTTTCTCATGAAAGGCGGGATGCATGTTGCAACATGAAACCCCCTTGTCCGCCCCGGCCCATCCTTGCTGCCAGCCACAAGCGTCAAATTTGGCAAGGATTCCTTGCCCGCCAAACCTGCCACTTTGATGTCGAGATGTTCGATCTGATTTGGACATGCAGCAACCTGCCGGTGGGAGCCATGACCTTTCTGCTTGTTCCAATAGAGGCTGGCAACCATCTGCAACGAAGACCCACTCTAGTTGGAGCTCTTGCGGGTAGCATGCAGCTTCTAATCGATGAATTGACCAACCACCCAGCAGCACAGGCATTAAATGCCACCTCGGCGCTGGAAGTCCAATGTTCCAACTCTTGAATCATTTCGATGCAGAAGTTTATGCAGCATCTTCACAAGCAAAATCCGAGAGTGACAATATTATATGGCCGATTGTCATGCATCGAATATATTCGACTGAACGTCGATTACACTATTTGGCCTGTCCAGAAATTAGGCACATTCACATTCGCGGAGGCTATCCGGGCCCTCAGTACATACGGACGGCTCAGTCAGAGTGAATTATGAACTGGAAGATCAGGTTTTAGCTATCGCCATTTCTCGCCACAGGCGTTAGTCGAGCCTGTGAATGCTTGGTCATTCATCATCCTATTCTGTTGGCCCATTTTCCTAAGATTTCTATTGTGTGATAGTACCGACTGCAACATACCGACACGACTGCCCAGACATTAGCATAATTGCAATATGTGGTGTTTCGTCCCCTGCCCGAGTTGAATATTGCGAGGGACAGATTAGAATCCATTCCAGTACACTTGAGGTTGATAGTTCACAACAGTTCAGGGATAATATTAGACGCGAAATAGATGGTAAACGTAAATAGGCGATTATTGCGAAGAATAATTCTGTTGTCAGGCCCGCAATTGGCTAGGGATCCAAACGGTTGGCTCTACCGCAATCGACCCTTCTTTAGCATGAGAGGGTCGCTCGGAGGCGCTTCCAGCATGGACTTCCGCTTCAGTCCGGATCGATCTTGCTGCTGCTGGGAAGCCTGGCCCTGGTTCTGAGCAAGTCTGCTGGTCGGCACAACTACCTCGACTATCATTCTTCCAGCGCTTGATTGTGGCATCAAGTCCTACCTCTCCCAAGATGAGACCCTGCGCTATTAAGAGAAAAGGGCTGACCCACGCTAGAGACCGAAGACGAACAAGAAACTGCGGGATCATCTTCAGCCTTGCGCTTGAGAGGCCGATCGAATTCGGAACCAATAGTCCAGGCATTGGTTTCCCCCCCTGCGTCTTCTCCTTGATCTTCGCTCTCATCCTTCTGACCATCGCGCTTGTCAGTAGTTAATGCCGATTTGAGCAGATCCCTAGTGACTCGTCCCTCCTTCCAATCCCGTTCATAGACGCTCTCCGAGTAGAAGTGATCCTCGCTTCGCCTCCGTTCCATCAGGTCGTGCATGTTCTCGTCTTCTTTGCTATCACTATCCTGTATCTTCTCCCCTGTGACCCTAACTACAAAATGCTCCAGTGATAACGCGCTCATGTTGAGATCCTTAACATCAGCATCCTCATTAATTCTCCTGCTTGAATTTTAGCAGTTGGCGTGCTCCAGTAAATTCTACCCATTCCCATGGTCGAGCCTGGACGGGATCACCTAAGATGAGCCGAGTAGGATTCGAACTGAAGCGGCCCGAGCGTGGAAAAGGTTAGCTGTATACCAATCTGTAGGTCTGTATGGCGAGATGAAAGTGATGTAGGAACGGAGAGATGGTGGGGTCAATGGTGAAAAATCCGAAATCTCAAGACATAAGTCTTGTTCCCCAGCGCCAGGTCTGGGGCCCTTCGTGGTGGGATCTGGATAGAGTTGTCGGTGCAATGCCGAATACAATCCAGTGGGTACTCACTCAGTTGGGAAGCTGTGTCGAGGATAGCGAGGAAAAGGATTGAAGAAGGGGTGAGTCTCATTGTTTCGTGGAACGCCTGGAGATCAGGAAACATGTAAGCACGAGTTAGATCTAGATGAGGTGGCTCGCCTACTTGAACGGTATTGATGAGCATTGCAAAGCGCTTATCCGCTATTTCTCTGGCGATCGGCGTTTTTACGCTCCTGAACACAATCTCGAATTGGAGCATCCGTACGAGCAACAGGACGAGCTGTAACAGATCATTTGTCAGAACTAGTAATGATCTTCCCCCTCTTGAGGAGACCTTTGCGGTCGAATCAACTTTAGCGCTTTCTCAAAACATCTGTGCAGTACATCACTGAATGTGTCAAGCACAGATGGGTCGAGTGTTGGCACGGAGCCAGAGTTGTAGTGTAGTGGCCTGAGCACATTGGGAGGCGGTCGCAGGACCTCCCCTGCTTGACTGTTAATAGAAACAGATGAGGGTGATACGAAATCGTTTAGGAGTTGGGTTAATCGCTTCAACCCTCCTCTCAGGAACTATGGAGGGGTGATTGAGCCGATGGTGAAACAATAGTGAGATGAAGTACCTGCTCCGCATTTTGCCATTGATCCCGCGGAGGATGTCGGCCACCAAGTCCATTTCTTGGACGTCCAGTTGGCGTTCAAGAACACTTGAAAGCCTCAAACTCAGCTTCCGCATTGGGTCTCGTCTCATCGTGAGAGAGCGAGACCGATATTTACTTCAGGGTAAGCTGAAGCTCCACCTTCGCATGGGAGAAGTTCCACGGGGTGATATGACTCATGATCGCCGAAAACATGTAATTGGCGGGGTGTACACGCTCTGAACCTGCTTTGCTTCCCAACATTGGATGGGATTAACAGTTCAAGGGGCAATATAAACTCACAAGGACGGGACGAGACCATGAGAAGTTGGAGAGCTTGTACCAAAGACGAATCTTCCGTTGGTAAAGGTGAGCCACCAGAGAAATAATCGCGAAAAACTTTGTGGATCGTCACGAGACGGCGTGAAGCAGAGACCGGAAATAATTGCTGGAACAGATATCGTGCAGTAACTCGCCACAGGATATCTTAACAGAATCTCCCAGATCGACCGTGGAGCCCAGTTTGGCGAGTCTTGCGATGGCTTGTAACAGAGGCTTGAGGTTTTCCGTCCGACACAAAACGATTCTTTGGCCCAGAAGCCGCTGAGTCGCTCCGAGGTCAATCGCTTTCATCGATGGATCATCGAAGAGCAATAGATCCCGGCAATGGTATTGACTGCAACAACGGATTGAACCGGGGACTCTTAGCTGTCGTTGGAATGGACTTCCACGTTTCACCGCAGAGATGTATGACAACGCGGTCCGTAGAAAGGACGTTAGAGATAACAAGTTGAATGAGGAGCTGGCTCCATGACTGTGCGCTGACGAAGTCGACCATGGTGATTGAATGATCTTATTTCTCCCTCCAAGACCAAGCCATTTTTCAAACCGTTCCTCCATGGGAAGATCGGTGGACTCTGTCAAGCGATTGGCGACGTTGTCGCAAATGAACCGAGCCAATACGTCGACTTGAACGCTCTGCGTGTCCGATTCTGACTCTGGTATGCGCTGTATTTGCGATAAAACCGCCTCCCATAGGTCGCGACACCACCCTGAACTTTGCGCACAGGTCGAAGCCTGCAGTGACAGCATTGTCCATATTTAGCCCATTCAAAAGAGGCTCAAGCCTTTCGTTAGGATCCAAACTTGAAGGCCTCTAGAAGCATAATAAATCGCATAACGGCCACCAGTCACAGATCAGATTAATGGTTACGTACTTGAAGTGGTGCGGAATCATATTCAGAAGCTACAGCAGTCATGCCCCTGTTCGTATCTTTGAGGAATGCGGAAATTGACGCTGCAGAGAGATAATTCCCCATTTCTTTCGCCGACGAGGCGCAATTAAGTAGTGCTTGCCGCTGGGTCTGTTTCGTGTCGGTGAAGCACCATGTTCATGATGCACACGGAACACGTCCAAGATTGACAACTAAAAGGTCCGATACGTTCTTCCTCGGAAGCAGAATTCCCAGCTAGGAGGGAATGTATGAAGAGTCAGTGATCATCGGCTTTGCCGAGGACGGATTATCAAACCTCGGAAAAAGCGGGAAGACACCGCGTTTGACTCAGAATGATGCTGAGCGAGCAAAATGTTTCGACTTGAAAGGATCTTGACCGACGGTGTACTATAGTGGTGAAGAGTATAGGATTTTAGCACGGTAGAAAACTCTAGCTCATGGATGGCATACTTGTTGTAAATATTGGAGGGAGAAGCCACGTATGAACCAATCTCCACTGATCGAAGATGCTAACATTCGTCGGAGGGGAAGCAACGCCCGGTTTATCCAACGCAGCTGGATCTACAAACATTCATACACCGTCAATCCCAGTATGAGACACATCCACACTCGAGCATGAGCACCTGGGTTGAACTCTGGCAATACACGGACCCATTCCTGCTGAAGCTTCAAGATAGTTTCATCATCTTCATGATCAGTGACACCATAGAGCGCTGCCGAACGGGCGTTGCATGTGCCTCGGGATGATGTTAACGGGATAGCCCGCAGCATTACTGCAAGATGAGACGGTCTATCCGCTCTATGTAAGCTATCACCCCTGGCGATAATTCTCTGCACGAGCTTCGTAAACGAGACAAGGTCCCTTCGGACAAGCTCCCCGTATAAGAACGAAGTGTTGGCCAGGTAATTGATCTCTAGCTATTTCCGACGTGTCCAGCCACGACAACAGGGAATCGTGTACGAATCTTTTCGGATCGGTGTTCTCCTGGGTCCAGTTTGTGCTAGCCAATCCGTAATGTACTACATACTGCAACGTATATCAGGCTGCTCCCCTGATCGAGCCGTGAACACTCCAAGTACGGAGAATATTAAGTTTCCGGGTAAATGTTTGCGACCAAGTCTCGTTTTCTTGTTCTGTACTCAGAAAACGGACTTCGCGAAGGTTGGTAGTTGGGCCGATAGAGTTGAGCATTTGAATATCAACGATGGTGGATCTAAGAGAGGCAGCCGCCCGAGGAAGAGATCTAAAGGTAATAGCATCGTTTCGAGAAGAAATAGACTCGAACGATTTGCATGAAACATTGCTGAGCGTGCGGTAGGAGTTTTAGGGGTTCATCTTTAAGAAGACGCTTAAGATGAGAGTATGTTGATACCACATTTTTGGATGTACGAAGCATTCCGGTCGCAACCTGAAGGATAGCCTCCAGAACCCCTTTATTTCCCGCGAGGTTGTCCTTGAATGGACTAGACTCAATTTCAGAAAGCTTTCCAGGCAGCCTTCAAGGAGAGGCGCAAGAAAGGTGCGATTTTCCGCCAACATCTCAAAGTATTCCTGAACAATGACAGTAGCAAAGCCAAGTTGAGCCAAGTCCACTCCACCGAGAAGCTGGAATAGCCATTTGAGAACCACTTCATGGTCGACAAGTCCCTCCGCAACGTATTCTCGCAATAGCGAGAGCCTGTGCGCACCGCGTCATCGCACGGCCAATTATAGAGGGAAGGAACTCACGCATAGGAGAAGTCGAGCGCGTGATTCTGGGTCCGTCAAACCCTTGAAAGCTCTGACGTATGATGATGCCCGGACGATGCGGTGTATCTCCGATAAGTTTCCTCAAATGGCTTGCAACTAGTTGAATTGGGCGTTGAGCGCATTACATAAAGCATGACAATTACATAATGTAATTGAATGCACGCCTGATAACGGCGCTAGCTTCACGGCCAAATTAATGAGACACGTGGCTGCGGGACGCTGACCGACCGGGTGCAATACTTTGGACCTTGTACACTTTCAACGCGCTATCTGGGAAATTAACGATCGGCCCCCTGCGGCCAGGCAAAAGATATTTGCATGCGAGAACGATTTTAATCGAACTGACGATAAAAGTAATAAGCCTCTATACTTGCCCATTCTTTGGGCATTGACGCGTGCACACCGCCGCCCACTTGCCTCCATTGATGTACGTCGCGTACGTGTACCATGCCGACTTGCCACCGCCTCTGTACGAGGCGAGCGCCGCGACTTGTGCCTCCTATCCCATAGTGTCCTTGCTAGTTCATATCTGGTTCGCATCCCTAATCACACCCATTCTAGGTGGCCTAATACTGGTTTTCCTCAGTAGATGAACCAATCATCACCGTTCCGATCACTTAACCAGTCCAGGTCGGGCTACCGCGCGGCTAGAATTCGCTATAGATTTAGGATCAGAAGTCCGTCGACTAAATGCTTCTCGTCAACTTCCATAATCGTACAACGGCCTCGTGGCTCTGAGCACACGTGTATTCCCAGAGCTCTCCTCCATCAACTTGTCCGTTATCGACCATGTCGTTGCGGCAAAAGGCTGAAGCCCTCAGGCAAACGATCGATGATCTCCTCGTAGCGGGAGGCGACATAGCAGTTCCGATCCTCAGAGTCGTCAATGCTACGGCTGATTGGTGTCCCCCTCTAAAGATGGCGACTAGCGGTGCACTCTCCATCCTCGATGAGGTTAAGGTTGGCAATGATCTGTAGCTTGGCCATGAATGAAAGCTCACACCAGTTTGCGCCACGTAGAAGTTCAAGGAGAACGAGAAGGAATGGGCTGATTTTGGTCAATACGTAGTGGACATGGTGGCCGAGGTGATTTTAGCCATGGAATCCTATGATACGTCAGCAGAGGAGGCAGAGCCGTGGGTGAAAAGCGCCAAAAAGCTTAATGGGTCCGTTGTATTTGTTTTTGATGCTCTTTGGTATCGTAACTTACATGAAGTCTCAGCGCGCTAAAGAAGATTAAGTCCGAAATCGAACGAAGATTGAAAAAAATAGAGAAACGACCGACTTTCATAAATGCATTGTCCTACTTGAAAGACCCAGGAAGGATCGATGGTCTAAAGAAGGATTTTGACAAATCATTGGCATCGTTTCAGGTAGCTTTCCCACAATACCGTTCCATAGCCATTCTGATTTTCGGGTGATGCAGCTCAGGACGAACTTAATAACTAGCGCCAAATTAGCGGCCATTGAACGTCGTCAACAGGACGACAAAATTCTCGATAGTCTCCGATGCCTCATGTCGCCCACGATGATTCCACCCAGGCGTGCCTAAAGACACTAGGGTTGATCTCATTGAGCGTATCATGACATGGTGTCGCAACACACGGGATAGCGAGAACCGGCTAATGCTGTTGACTGCTGTGGCTGGCGCTGGCAAGACTTCAATTGCACTCACGATAGCAGAAAGATGTGCCAGTGACGAGGATGTTACCCTATTATTACAATACTTCTTCAAAGAGGGCGAACGGTCGCGGCCCGATATTGTATTCAGCGGCATAGCTCGAGCGCTTGCAGACCATGATCCCGTTTACCGCACTTTCATTACTTCTGCTCTTCGGAAAGACCCTAGTCTCTCAACAACTTCATTCGCGACGCAATTCAAGAAATTGGTCGCTCCGGCTCTCCTCCATAAACCTCCGCCTTCCGACCATCCGATGGTGATCATCCTCGACGCATTGGATGAATGTGACAAAGAAGTGTTCGAATCCCTTGCCGAAATCCTTGGGGAGGAAGTGCCCAAGCTACCATCTTCCGTAAAATTCTTTCTCACATCGAGACAATTTGATCTCGTGAATCGCTACCTCTCCCCCGATTACCCTATCTATCGCCTCACTATCAATCTCTCGGACGAGACAAATGTGCAAGATTGTGATAAATACATACGCTTCCAGCTGCAAAAGCTAAAGAAATTACATCAGATTTACGGTCCAATCTTCGGGACGAGGATAAAACGGTACAGGAGATCTTGGGACGAGCAAACGGCTTGTTCATTTGGATCAGCACGATCTTTCGCTACATGAAGATGGCGAACAAGGATCCCATGAGGACACTAGAGAGCCTGCTCGACACAGGTGCCAAACAACCTGATGTCCCTGCTGAGAAGATGATGGATAACTTGTATACGAGCATCTTGAAGAAGTGTGCTTGGGAGGATGAAGATTTTGCGGATGATTACCCAATCGTGATGGGAGCAATCCTCGTTGCACAGCAGCCTCTATCCATCACAGCCTGGGATGCAATTTTGTCGCCTTCCCTCAAGTCTTCTGTGCGATATACGTTGGCTGAACTTGCTCCTCTCCTCTCAGGAGTTGAGGATTCCCACATTCCGGTTCGCATCTTACACCAATCTCTCCGAGACTTTGTTGTCGATCGGATCGATCCCCAAACAATCAGCCCTCGTTGCAGTCAGTAGGTGTGGGATGGAGAATGCCAGGGTTGCCCTGCGATGCACCGAATTCTGAACGAGGAACTCTGCTCTATAAAGGGCTTAGGACTGATTGAAAACTTGTCCGAAAGAGATGAAATGCCATGTATTCCTCCAAAGGAGTTATCTGAGCACTTTCAATATGCATGTCGCTACATCGTTCATCATCTCAGTGGGGTCCAGGAACCGTCACAGGAGCTTTCTGAATCAGTTGGTTTGTTTCTCAGTCAGCAGCGACTCGCTGGGTGGAAGTCTGCGTGAGAATGGAAAGCTACATCAGTATTTCGTTACTCCCTGAGTGGACTAAGGTATGGGTTATCGATAAATTGTGTTAATGAAACACCTCATGATCTTCCAGTTGGCTGTTGATCATAGGTCGAAAGGCTCTGTCAGTGCACTGGCTAATGCGCTTACCAAGCTTCCGTGGAATTTGATATTTCATTCAAGATTCCAGGAGGCATATGAGGCAGCAAATGATTCCGTTGTACTTTGCCGTTACCTTTTTTCTGTGGACTCGGGTTCGTACACTCCGCATTTGGCCAAGTCACTCAACAGTCTATATTGCTCTTTCCAAACTCGGACGGCACTCGGAGGCGCTCCCATTCATCGAAGAAAGCGTCAAACTCTCCGACAGCTAGTTGCTGTTAACCAGGATCATACACCCCGGATTTGGCCTGGTCACTCAACAATCTATATGGCTCTTTCCAATCTCGGACGGCACTCGGAGGCACTCCCATTCATTGAAGAAAGCGTCAAACTCCCGACAGCTAGTTGCTGTTAACCCAGGATCATACACCCCAGATTTGGCCAGTCACTCAACATCTATATTCGCTCTTTCCAATCTCGGACGGCACTCGGAGGCGCTCCCATTCATTGAAGAAAGCGTCAAACTCCGCCGACAGCTAGTTGCTGTTAACCCAGGATCATACACCCCGAATTTGGCCATGTCACTCAACAATCTATATTTGGCTCTTTCCAATCTCGGACGGCACTCGGAGGCGCTCCCATTCATTGAAGAAAGCGTCAAACTCCGCCGACAGCTAGTTGCTGTTAACCCAGGATCATACACCCCAATTTGGCCATGTCACTCAACAATCTATATTTGGCTCTTTCCAATCTCGGACGGCACTCGGAGGCGCTCCCATTCATTGAAGAAAGCGTCAAACTCTACCAACAGCTAGTTGCTGTTAACCCAGGATCATACACCCCAATTTGGCCATGTCACTCAACAATCTATATTGCTCTTTCCAATCTCGGACGGCACTCGGAGGCGCTCCCATTCATTGAAGAAAGCGTCAAACTCCCGACAGCTAGTTGCTGTTAACCCAGGATCATACACCCCGATTTGGCCATGTCACTCAACAATCTATATTGCTCTTTCCAATCTCGGACGGCACTCGGAGGCGCTCCCATTCATTGAAGAAAGCGTCAAACTCCGCCGACAGCTAGTTGCTGTTAACCCAGGATCATACACCCCATTTGGCCATGTCACTCAACAATCTATATTTGGCTCTTTCCAATCTCGGACGGCACTCGGAGGCGCTCCCATTCATCGAAGAAAGCGTCAAACTCTACCGACAGCTAGTTGCTGTTAACCCAGGATCATACACCCCAATTTGGCCAGTCACTCAACAATCTATATTGCTCTTTCCAACTCGGACGGCACTCGGAGGCCTCCCATTCATTGAAGAAAGCGTCAAACTCCCGACAGCTAGTTGCTGTTAACCCAGGATCATACACCCCGATTTGGCCATGTCACTCAACAATCTATATTTGGCTCTTTCCAATCTCGGACGGCACTCGGAGGCGCTCCCATTCATCGAAGAAAGCGTCAAACTCTACCGACAGCTAGTTGCTGTTAACCCAGGATCATACACCCCGATTTGGCCATGTCACTCAACAATCTATATTTGGCTCTTTCCAATCTCGGACGGCACTCGGAGGCACTCCCATTCATCGAAGAAAGCGTCAAACTCTACCGACAGCTAGTTGCTGTTAACCCAGGATCATACACCCCGGATTTGGCCATTCACTCAACAATCTATATTTGGCTCTTTCCAACTCGGACGGCACTCGGAGGCGCTCCCATTCATCGAAGAAGGTCAAACTCACCGACAGCTAGTTTCGTTAACCCAGGAGTAATCACCCCAAAATTGGCCAAGTCGCTCAAGAACCTACGTAATGCTCTCTCCAATCTCGGGCGTCATTCAGAGGCACAAATGGTCCATATCTGAGTGTGCTTTCCTTATCATTGCATTTCTCAGTTTCGCTGCCTGCACATGGCAGGCAAGCTTGAATTGGATGTTCGGCTTGAGGACACACATCCAACCTCAATTTTTTTTGATTGAAAACTAATCCATAAAATATATATGGAGTTCACTTGCCGCTACACCCATAACAAATCACAGTCGCATCATGATTTTACAATTTTTACTATCAAGAATACTCACCCCTTTCTCTAGCACATTTTTACTCCTCATCGCTGACGCATGTACTGGTCCATGTTTCTGCATTCCACCACAAGCGATGACTCACGTTGAGGTTCGGATGGATGATGATGTTGGCGCAGTGGTAGTGACTTGGGATATCCAAACTCCAATTCGGAAAAGACTACGAGGAGCTTGATTCGATAGTGCTATCTCGATAAGCAATACACGTACCTGTCGAATCACCGCCACTATCACTGCCACGCCCTTCTGCACCCTTGGTTCGATCCTTTCATCGAAGCGATCATTGACCAATGAGTCGTCCCTCTCCCACCTCTAGCCTCTTTGTCGCCTGCTTCCGGGCCCTCCGTACCATCGTTCACGCTTCATTCCAATTCGTTAGGGTTCTAGTTTTCATCTTTGTCACCTGGGGACTTCACTTCCAGAGGAGGCGGAGCACTTACAGCGAGTTGTAATGGCGGATAGGATCCTGGGTTCATGTAAACGTACTGGACTGGCTTGGCTCGGTTCTTCCTTCTAAGTCCTCTCGTAGCAATAATCGGCCTCCCTCTGCACAACCCCGCTTTCAATCCAAGGTCTAAGACCCAAGTGACCGGGGGGATAGATTGAAGCTTGTCCACCTTTTCTCGTGTGTTGCAGTTTTTTTTTTCTCATGGAAGGATGTTGCAAGCTACACAGGCAACAATTTGCGATATTGCCAAGCCTGCCACTTTGATGTCGAGATGTTCGATCTGATTTGGACATGCATCAACCTGCCGCGATGGGAGCTATGATGCCATATCCGCTTTCTGCTTATTCTAATAGAGGCTGGCAACCGTCTGCCTGCAACGAAGACCCACTCTAGTTGGGGCTCTTGCAGGTAGCATGCAGCTTCTAATCGATGGATTGACCGGCCACCCAGCACTGGCATTAAATGCCACCTCGGCACTGGAATCCCAGTGTTCCAGCTCGTAACTCGCTCACTCTTGAATCATTCGATGTAGAAGTCTGGGCAGCATCTTCACAAGCAAACCTAGGGCTCGACAATCGAGTGACAATATTCTATGAAATATATAGCCGATTGTCATACATCGAATATTTCGACGGTGAACGTCGATTGCACTATTTGGCCTGTCCATAAATTAGGCACATTCACATTCGCGGAGGTTAATGTCACTATCCGAGGCCTTCGGTACGTACTGACGGCTCAGTATAATCATGGACTGGAAGATCAGGTTTTAGCTATCCCCATTGCCACAGGCGTTAGTCGAGGCTGTGAATGCTTGGTCATTATCTTATTCTGTTGGCCCATTCCCTAAGGACCCTATTGTGCGATAGTACCAAGTTATCAACATACCAGACATCAACACTGTGGGTGGCGTGATTAATTGAAACATACGGTGTTTCGTACTCTTTCATTGCAGCCCGAGTTGACATATTGCTGAGGGACAATTAGGATTCCATTCCGGTACATTGAGGTTGATCGTTCACAACAGTTCAGGGAATAATATTATGATCGCGACATAGATGGTAAACGTAAATAGGCGATTGTTGCGAGGAATCATTTTGTTGTTAGGCCTGCAATTGGCTAGGGGATTCAACCAAACGGTTGGCTCTACCGCAATCGACCCTTCTTTAGCATGAGAGGGTCGCTCGGAGGCGCTTCCAGCATGGATTTCCGCTTCAGTCCGGATCGATCTGGCTGCTGCTGGGAAGCCTGGCCCTGGTTCTGAGCAAGTCTGCTGGTCGGCACAACTACCTCGACTATCATTCTTCCAGCGCTTGATTGTGGCGTCAAGTCCGTACCTCTCCCAAGATGAGATCCTGCGCTATTAAGAGAAAAGGGCTGACCCACGCTAGAGACCGGAGACGAACAAGAAGCTGCGGGATCATCTTCAGCCTTGCGCTTGAGAGGCCGATCGAATTCGGAACCAATAGTCCAGGCATTGGTTTCCCCCCTGCGTCTTCTCCTTGATCTTCGCTGTCACCCTTCTGACCATCGCGCTTGTCAGTAGTTAATGCTGATTTGAGCAGATCCCTAGTGACTCGTCCCTCCTTCCAATCCCGTTCATAGACGCTCTCCGAGTAGAAGTGATCCTCGCTTCGCCTCCGTTCCATCAGGTCGTGCATGTTCTCGTCTTCTTTGCTATCACTATCCTGTATCTTCTCCCTGTGACCCTAACTACGAAATGCTCCAGTGATAACGCGCTCATGTTGAGATCCTTAACATCAGCATCCTCATTAATTCTCCTGCTTGATGTTTTAGCAGTTGGCGGTGCTCCAGTGAATTCCACCCATTCCCATGGTCGAGCCTGGACGGGATCACCTAAGATGAGCCGAGTAGGATTCGAACTGAACGCGGCCCGAGCGTGGAAAAGGTTAGCTGTATACCAATCTGTAGGCCTGTATGGCGAGATGAAAGTGATGTAGGAACGGAGAGATGGTGGGGTCAATGGTGAAAAATCGGAAATCTCAAGACATAAGTCTTGTTCCCCAGCGCCAGGTCTGGAGCCCTTCGTGGTGGGATCTGGATAGAGCTGTCGGTGCAATGCCGAATACAATCCAGTGAGTACTCACTCAGTTGGGAAGCTGTGTCGAGGATAGCGAGGAAAAGGATTGAAGAAGAAGGGGTAAGTCTCATTGTTTCGTGGAACGCCTGGAGATCAGGAAACATGTAAGCACGAGTTAGATCTAGATGAGGTGGCTCGCCTACTTGAACGGTATTGATGAGCATTGCAAAGCGCTTATCCGCCATTTCTCTGGCGATCGGCGTTTTTACGCTCCTGAACACAATCTCGAATTGGAGCATCCGTACGAGCAGCAGGACGAGCTGTAACAGATCATTCGTCGGGACTAGTAATGATCTTCCTCCCTCTTGAGGCGACCTTTGCGGTCGAATCAACTTTAGCGCTTTCTCAAAACATCTGTGCAGTACATCACTGAATGTGTCAAGCACAGATGGGTCGAGTGTCGGCACGGAGCCAGGGCTGTAGTGTAGTGGCCTGAGCACATTGGCAAGCAGTCGCAGGACCTCCCCTGCTTGACTGCTAATAGAAACAGATGAGGGTGATACGAAATCGTTTAGGAGTTGGGTTAATCGCTTCAACCCTCCTTTCAGGAACTATGGACGCATGATTGAGCCGATGGTGAAACAATAGTGAGATGAAGTACCTGCTCCGCGACTTTCCCATTGATCCCGCGGAGGATGTCGGCCACCAAGTCCGTTTCTTGGACGTCCAGTTGTCGTTCAAGAAAACTGGTCGTGAAAGCCTCCAACTCAGCTTCCGCATTGGGTCTCGTCTCATCGTGAGAGAGCGAGACCGATATTTGCTTCAGGGTAAGCTGAAGCTCCACCTTCGCATGGGAGAAGTTCCACGGGGTGATATGACTCATGATCGCCGAAAACATGTAATTGGCGGGGTTTACACGCTCTGAACCTGCTTTGCTTCCTAACATTAGATGGGCATCAACAGTTCAAGGGGAATATAATCTTACTAGGACGGGACGAGACCATGAGAAGTTGGAGAGCTTGTACCAAAGACGAATCCTCCGTTGGTAAAGGTGAGCCACCAGAGAAATAATCGCGAAAAACTTTTGGATCGTCACGAGACGGCGTGAAGCGAGAGACCGGAAATAATTGCTGGAACAGATATCGTGCAGTAACTCGCCACAGGATATCTTAATAGAATCTCCAGATCGGCAGTGGAGCCCAGTTTGGCGAGTCTTGCGATGGCTTGGAACAGAGGCTTGAGGTTTTCCGTCCGACACAAAACGCTTCTTTGGCCCAGAAGCCGCTGAGTCGCTCCGAGGTCAATCGCTTTCATCGATGGATCATCGAAGAGCAATAGATCCCGGGCAATGGTATTGATGCAACAACGGATTGAACCGGGGACTCTTTAGCCGTCGTTGGAATGGACTTCCACGTTTCACCGCAGAGATGTATAACAACGCGGTCCGTAGAAAGGACGTTAGAGATAACAAGTTGAATGAGGAGCTGGCTCCATGACTGTGCTGACGAAGTCGACCATGGTGATTGAATGATCTTATTTCTCCCTCCAAGATCAAGCCATTTTGAAAACTGTTCTTCCATGGAAAGATCGGTGGACTCTGTCAAGCGATTGGCGACGTTGCAAATGAACCGAGCCAATACATCGACTTGAACGCTCTGCGTGCCCGGTTCTGACTCTGGTATGCGCTGTATTTGCGATAGAACGGCTTCCCAGAGGTCGTGACACCACCCGGGATAAGCACTGAACTTTGCGCACAGGTCGAAGGCTGCAGTGACAACATTGTCCATATTTAGCTCATTCAAAAGAGGCTCAAGCCTTTCGTTAGGATCCAAACTTGAAGGCCTCTAGAAGCACAAATAAATCGCATAACGGCCACCAGTCACAGATCAGATTAATGGTTACGTACTTGAAGTGGTGCGGAATCATATTCAGAAGCTACAGCAGTTATGCCCCTGTTCGTATCTTTGAGGAATGCGGAAATTGACGCCGCGGAGAGATAATTCCCCATTTCTTTCGCCGACGAGGCACAATTAAGTAGTGCTTGCCACTGGGTCTGTTTCGCGTCGGTGAAGCACCATGTTTCATGATGCACACGGAACGCGTCCAAGATTGAACGAACTAAAAGGTCCGATACGTTCTTCCTCAAAAGCAGAATCCCCAGCTAGGAGGGAACGTACGAAGAGTCAGTGATCATCGGCTTTGCCGAGCACGGATTATCGAACCTCGGAAAGAGCGGGGAGACACCGCGTTTGACTCAGAATGATGCTGAGCGACAAAATGTTTCGACTTGAAAAGGATCTTGACCTGACGGAGTACTGGTATAGGATGTTAGCACGGTAGAAAACTCTAGCGTCATGGATGGCATACTTTTGGACGTGTTCAAATATTGGAGGGAGAAGCCACGTATGAACCAATCTCCACTGATCGAAGATGCTAACATCCGTCGGAGGGGAAGCAACGCCCGGTTTATCCTGACGCAGCTGGATCTACAAACATCCAGACACAGTCAATCCCCAGTATGAGACACATCCACACTCGAGCATGAGCACCTGGGTTAAACTCTGGCAATACACGGACCCATTCCTGCTGAAGCTTCAATATATTTTCATCGTCCTCTTCATGATCAGTGACACCATAGAGAGCTGCCGAACGGGCGTTGTATGTGCCTCGGGATGACGTTAATGGGATAGCCCGCAGCATTACTGCAAGATGAGATGGTCCATCTGCCCTATGTAAGTTATCACCCCTGGCGATAATCCTCTGCACGAGCTTCGTAAACGAGACAAGGTCCCTTCGGACAAGCTCCCCGTATAAGAACGAAGTGTTGGCTAGGTAATTGGCATGATCTCTGGCTATTTCCGACGTGTCCAGCCACGACAACAGGGAATCATGTACGAATCTTTTCGGATTCGGTGTTCTCTTGGGTCCAGTTTGTGCTAGCCAATCTGCAATGATACATACTGCAACGTATATCGGCTGCTCCCCTGATCGGGCCGTGACACTCCAAGTAAGGAGAATGTTAAGTTTCCGGGTAAATGTTTGCGACCAAGTCTCGTTTTCTTGTTCTGTACTCAGAAAACGGACTTCGTGAAGGTTGGTAGTTGGGCCGATAGAGTTGAGTATTTGAATATCAACGATGGTGGATCTAAGAGAGGCAGCCGCCCGAGGAGGAAGAGATCTAAAGGTAATAGCATCGTTTCGTGAAGAAATAGACTCGAACGATTTGTCATAAAACATTGCTGAGCGTGCGGTAGGAGTTTTAGGGGGATCATCATCAAGAAGACGCTTGAGATGAGAGATATGTTGATACCACATTTTTGGATGTACGAAGCATTCCGGTCGCAACCTGAACTCTTTTGAATGATAGCCTCCAGAACCCCTTTATTACCCGCAAGGTTGTCCTTGAATGGACTAGACTCAATTTCAGAAAGCTTTGCCAGGCAGCCTTCAAGGAGAGGAGCGAGAAAGGCGCGATTTTCCGCCAACATCTCAAGGTATTCCTGAACAATCACAGTAGCAAAGCCAAGTTGAGCCAAGTTCACTCCACCGGGAAGCTGACATAGCCATTTGAGAACCACTTCATGGTCGACAAGTCCCTCCGCAACGTATTCTCGTAATAGCGAGAGCCTGTGTACGCCTCGTGAACCCACGATCAATTATAGAGGGAGGGAACCACGCATAGGAGAAACGAGAGATCCATCGAGCGCGTGACTCTGGATCCGTCAAAACCCCTTGAAAGCTCTGACGTATGGTGATGCCTGGACGATACGCTGATGGAAGGTGTATCTCTCCGATAAGTTTCCTCAAATGGCTTGTAACTATATTCGCCCAGTCAATACTGTACTGAGTTGGGTTGAAGTTCGGGCGTGAGCGCATTAAGTGCTGAGAGAGAGAAGAGTGTTAGCCCAACACCGAAGCGCTTTCCTGAAGGCTGAAATTTACTGTCTCATTTGCTCCAAGTACCCTCGTGTACCATACCGCTCTATCAATGGGAATGTGCTTATTGTGCAGCATGTCGAGAAGGTCGTGGCCTTTGAAAGGGTGGGGCACGGGGCTGTTGGCAAGTTTGCTGAGCGGCACTTGAGGATCAGCAAGGTCCGCAATCCAGGCATCACGTTTAGTATCATGCACTGTGACTTTTGCAGGAAGCTTGAACGTAGAATGGCTTGAAAAAATAACATCAGTTTAGATTAATCCACCACGAAAGACGAGTGGAGAAACTACCTACCCGACTTTAGGCTGTAATTCCAACTTGCGAACAGCAACATCGTGCATTAATTGACCAAGAAGATGTAGATGGATCTGCCCATGTTTAGCAAATCCATCATGGATCAAACTATGCGCATTGAAGTCTCAAGCTAAGTCAAGAAGATATATGAAAACGACGCTCTTTCATGAGTCTGGGAAAATTTCCAACATTGGCGCTGAGAAGTGAGCGACTCTGAAACCCATTTTTCGCAGTTTCCTCGTTCATGTCATCATCGGCATCTCCAGGCCGTGAAGGACATAGTCCGGATACCCTAATAGATCGTTAATAAAATATTCCTCTATTTAATGATGAGGAACAATGACGAACCCATGTCCGCCGTGCGATGCCACGGTTTTCGCCACCCCGGAGGCGCAAACGGAGACATCTCAGCAACATCTTCATCAGGAACTGGAGGGTAGCGAGGCTCCGCAGCAGAATTACGACTTTGCCGAGACCTTGAGGTCATCAAGATTGCACTTTAAGTGTCTTTACGCGCTTTTGGGCAAGGTTGACGTTGACTTTATTGCCATCTATTGACATCAAGGCACTTATTGACTTCGGCTTCGGACTTAGAGTCGATCGAGTGCAAAGCTCGCGTCTCAGCCCTGCGGTACTCAGCTCCGTTTTTTTTTGCGAGGGGTAGAATCGCGATATAAAATGTCTCTTTCCGATGAAAGTCTCTCGAGAATCTTGCGATTCTCTATAAATCTGGCCCGTCAAGCTGGTGCCATAATCATCGATGGCTCGGCATCTGTTCGAGGGGAGGCCATTAATGAGAAAAAGAACGCTGGTTCGCATTCAATAAATATCAGGATTTATTCTATCTGTTCTTGCTGAAGGGACCCGTGTTAGTGGACCTTGTCACCGAATGGGATGTCAAGGTTGAGACGTTTGTCCGACAAGAGATCTCTCGTGCTTATCCCACATTCAAGTTGTGAGTTTAGTTTTGGGGATAGGACCGTTTAAAATTATAGTAGCTAACGATGAGGAAGTATCGGAGAAGAAAGCTTTTCTGCTAGTGAGACATCAGGTCTCACCGATGAGCCCACTTTTTGCGTCGATCCCATCGGTACGTGGCACCAACCACATCATCTTCACCATCGATGGCATGGTAATCGATAATATCCCAAGATGGGACAACAAACTTCGTGCATGGATTCCTTTTGCCTGCAGTACGCCCACTTTGCCCCACCACTGTTGTCCAATAACGCATGTTCCTCCCAGTCTCCATCGGCTTAATTTACCTGAAGAAACCAACTATTGGGGTCATTTACAACCCCTTCCTTGATCACCTCTATAGTGGTCTCAGAGGCCACGGCTCCTACCTCAACGAAAGGATCAGGCTCCCCATCCATCCTCCCTCTCCTTTGCTTTCCCTTTCATCTGCCTTAATCGGACTTGAATGGGGATCAGACCGGTCGAGAGAGATCCTCTCTAAGAAGGGGGTTCCTTTACCCGACTTGCTGGGGATCCTAGCAAGGGAGTCGAAGGGGGAAAGATGTGTCACAGCATCCGGAGTTTAGGGAGCGCAGCTTTGAACTATACTCTTGTTGCCAGCGGGAGTCTGGATCTTTACTGGTAAGTAACCCAGTCATTTTAACCATCCCTTCTCGTCAATCAATCCTCGCTCATGCAGGGAAATTGGTTGCTGGTGAGTCCCTCAAAATTTAGTGCCCTGAATGGATGTCGATGTTCCGTCTAGGTCTTGGGATGTTTGTGTACGTACGTTTTTCGCCCAACGTCCTTTCGGTTCCTCTCACGGTGTCGTAGGCAGGAATCGTGATCGCTCAGGAAGCAGGAGCATTTGTGGCAGGCTCCCACATCTCCAAATTCCAGGATGAGGTTACTGAAGACATCTTGATTGGTCGCAAGTATATCGTAGTAAGGTGAGCAGAATATTATTGACATATATATTTTTGGCAGTATCTTAAGTTAATGTTACTTCAGGGCGATCGCGGACACAACGGTACGTGTGACAAGAGGCGTACTATAGCTGAGGACAATATTGAGACACTCTGCTTACACCTAGAATGAAAGCGGAAAGGACGCTCAAAAGCGGATAGTGCGAGAGTTTTACTCTGCAGTCGAGGATTATGAACCCAGTTAGAGTCAGCGGTCACGACCATGATGAACTCCAATCTGTTATTGGGCCTGATGCATAATTTTGTCATGATCAGAATAAGCCCATACGTTGTAAATTAGAGAACAAATCAGAATACGTAGCAAGTACTTGACTCCGAACGCAGCTCTCTTAGTCTTTTGGAATGTAAGCGCACGCTGTGGTCAACTCACGTTTTGTCGGTTTGCGGCGTCCATGATTTCCTTCTCTTTCCTGTTTTGGATTACTCGTTGCCAAAGTCAGTTGCACATTCATCGCGCTTGACTATAAAACATAATTTTTGTACCATTACGACTTCCCTCAGTTCACGTACAACGGGATCGACTGAGGTGAGTCTCCTCTTTTCCTTATGGCTTTGTAGCGAATCTGTGTACACCAGCGAGAACGCGGTCGCTAGCCCTTATTCCCTTATAAACGAAGCAGGCCATTGACGCCACTGTGGCACAGCTAGAGAACTAGATCCTGGCTAATGCAAGTTAGTGTATGTGCAACTTGGACGTGTACGTTGAAGGTAGAGCCTTGACGCTGAAAGTTAAATCCGTGCCGTGTGGAGTAATTACTGCGACAGTTCCGGAGCAACAACCTTTTGGTCTCCAAGCTGTGATGGTCTTATTGGTTTACGTCACCAACCCGGAGTGTACCGCGTTCCATTCAGGCAACACTCGGTAAACACGCCACAACACTCTTGCTCGTCTTTACGTCTCCACACAAAGACCCAGAATCTCAACCGTCCTTCCTCTCCCACCTCTCGTCTCTCCCTTGGATTCCATTCCGATGATGCCTTTACTCACTTTTTTAGTTGCTCTTTCAATCTTCCCCATTATTCTCCCCACCCTTGCACAAGACGGAAGCGTTGATGGCCCCAGCACGAGCACCGAGGCCGCTGGCTATAGTTGTGACCCATCCAAATGCCAACTTCCTACCTGTCGATGCGCTAGTACAGATATCCCTGGAGGCATACCTCATGACCAGACCCCTCAGTTCATCGTTTTCACTGCGTAAGTTGTGCCCCTTCGCTTTGCGAGCCCACATTTACCGTCCATGCGCCACTATCACCCAGTGATGATGCCATCCAATCCTATACCATTAATGCCGTCAACAACCTCCTTGCCCATCGTAAGAATCCAAACGGATGTACTCCAAAGATGACCTACTTCACCCAAATATCATACACTAATTTCACTTTGGTCACTGACTGGTTCGTCGCCGGAAACGAGATTGCTGATCACACGTCAGTACCATCATTTTCTCCCCTCGGAGCGATCGCCTTACATGTCTATCACTTCGATTAGGATGACCCACCCCGAACTGGGTGGTCCAGATGAGATCAACGGAAACTTGGTTACCCTCAACGCCCTTGCCGGAATCCCCCTGAAAGACATTCGTGGTTTCCGAGCACCGTATCTCAATTACTCTTCGGAGATGTTAGGAAACCTCGTAAAGGCTGGATTCACATATGACTCCAGTGCCACTGCTTCAATCCCTGTCAATCAGAATGGCACGGATGCGTTTTGGCCGTACACACTTGATAACGGGTTAGCCAACGATTGTTTGACGATCCCCGGTATCTGCAAAGGGCAACCCAAACTACCCGGTTTCTGGGAGGTCCTGATGTATGCCATCTTCGATGAGCGAGGTGGAGTTGGCACGCATTTGATGGACCCTTGGATAGATGGGAATAATTCGGCAGTGTACAAATGGATGCAGAATACTTTCGTTGCTCATTGTAAGCCGTTTCCCAGTTTTCTAATAATATCTCCATTCACTACCGTGTTTAGATAACGCGAACCGTCAGCCCTTCGGACTTTACACACACCCTATTCATATTGCGGCAAGTACCCACTTATCCTTTCCTGCACTTCCCAATTTAACAAGGAATGTTCTCTGCAGACTGGCTACCCAGGAGTTGCGGACCCCACAGATACGATTAACATGATCAACAGTTTCTTGGACTGGGCTCAACAACAATCCAATGGTGCGTAGTGATTTGCCCCCTGAAGTATGATATTCACACCACTGAAATGGTGGCACTAGTCTGGATTGTTTCGACTGGTCAACTGCTGGACTGGGTCATGAATCCGGTCCCCGCTTCACAGCTGAATTCGATACAGTCATTCCAATGTGCATTGCCTGTTGTAGAGGCCAAGATTTGCAATGGTATCCCTTCCAATGAAGCTGGTTTGTTATCTCACTGCGCGTTCACCGACTTCCCGTTCTACACATGTGTACGTTTCACCTGTTCTTACTCGTGGGTCCGAGTCCTGACAAACTGGGCGGGCTTCTATATCAGTATGGATGCCCTGCTACGCAGCCGAGTCCTTCCGATCCAAATCCAAGCCAGCCAGCGGTATCGGGTAAAACCCGAACGAGATGTGAGTATTACGACTTCTTTATCCGCTTCCAGAAAAATTTGCAACTTTTTTTTTCAGTGCCTTCGGACTGCTATACCGCCTTCTGGGACCCTATCAATGGCACTTGTTTATGCCAGAATGGCACATCATGCCAGTTCACAGACCAAACAAGACCTATTGGGGTGCGCTGCATTTCCCTGATCCTTTCTTCCATATTTCAAGTCTGACGGATTTCTCGCGATGTTAGCCCAATGGGGCCAACTTGACAGGGGGTGGAACGGGGGGCGGGCCTACCTCGTCACCATCATATGTCCCCTTCAATGGTGGATCGGGCGGTGCGTTATCGAATGTTCATCTAGGAGCGAACGTTTTACTGTCGGTGGGGCTCGGGTTGGTGGGTGTTGCCTTTGGTGTTTTGAGTACCATGCTGGCGGCTTAGGGGGGTAGGAAGAAAGAATTTAAGCAACCGTTCGAGCTGGTGGTGTGGTGGTGTGGTGTAACGGCGATGTTACCATCCATCCCTCTTATTCGACTTTTTTTATTCCATTTTTCCTTGGTTTAATTTCTTACACTCACCTATCTGTTCTCGATCAAAATGTTCCTACTCTACTCCATGTCACACCTCCTAAACCCTCGTCATGCCAGCGCGGTCATTGTCATTTCATATCACGAGTCATGGACTTTGTCTTTCATACTGACATAATCGATCTTCCAATGATTTCCTGCAAATTGACGCACACATCATGTCACTGTCAGGCATATGATTAGCGGCAAGTGCTATCGTTTTCACGGGCATTGTTGTATATCATGAAGCTTCTGTCTGTTTGATCGAGCGAGTAGGCTTCCCTGCATGCATTCCCCTCACGTGTCTCTTTGAAGGGTCGTGTTCTAGAAGTGTGTCTGAACTAGTGTTGCCTTCCTTGGTTGGGTTTTGGGTTGTCGTTCGTTGGGTCATCCACTCCTGTATTCATGGAGCAGAACAGAAGCGGATACCTTCCCTTAGCCAAGTCGGAGTACCAAGACGAGGGGGAAGTTGACAGGGAATTCGAAGAGATTCTAGCCCTCTTACCTGAGCCTGCAGTTTTTCAACAACAACAACGAGAACGGCACTCTTCTAGTGCGTCGGGCAAGCGGGCTTCAAAGTTTCTCTGCAAGAAGTATTCCTTGAAATGGCTCGTCCTCGCGTACTTGGCTGGTTTCCTTTCTTGCCCCATATTGCAATTCTTCTTCCCGTCTCTCTGTCTCGGAAGACCTGCAACGTCAGAGCCTACTTCACGTAGTAGTAGCAACACTGGCACTATCGATGATGATGATGATCTTAACGTCCTGGCATCATCGTACGCGGGGGAACGCACTTCCAACGTCTACCCACCTCCTTCACCTACGAACAACTTTCCGTCGTACTTCCCTACGGATGTGGGGTATCCTGGTAACTTTGCCACGGGTGTCGAGGCTGGGATTGTCGCTACTGCTCCTAGTTATCCGGTGCAGAGTGGGGCTCCGAACTTAGTGGGTCCTAGTACACTTCCAAAGGGAAAAAAGAAGAAATTTGATATATTCAGACATTGGGGGAATTTGAGGTACGTGCCATTTCTCGAAACTGGGTACTCCTTTTCCTCTAGAATGACTAGGGAGGGGTGGGGGGGTCTGTCTGAATGATGGTTCGTCATTTTTAGCCCGTGGTATTCTGTGCCTCCAGAGGATTTTGGACTCGATACTACACCGGACGCTCCAAAGGGTTGTCGGATCACTGGCTTACATCTCCTTCATCGACATGGTGCTCGTTATCCTACCGAAAGATGTATGTGCTGGATCATTATATTTACCTTTATTGTTCCTGGTGATCTAGACTTGGACTGATATAATTCCTGTGTGTTACCAGCCACCTATGGGGGTCCTGAGCGTTTCGCGGAGAAAATTCATGCATTGGCGGCAAACTGGACTGCTTCTGGAGACCTTGAATTCCTTAACGAATGGTAAGTGCACTTATCTCCGTGACTGTGCCCCAATGCGGAGGTTTTCCGCACGCTGATCGGGGTGGAAATTCCAGGACCTATAAGCTTGGAAGGGGCCTTCTGACGCCATTCGGGAGACAACAACTCTGTGCGTCAATCTGCTTGGAACTGGAGCAACGTCACTTTGTTTCCTGACGAGCCTTTTTTTTGTTTTTTTTTTTTGTTTCCCTATTGGTAGTTGATCTCGGCGCAGCAACTAGAATCAAGTATGGATTCCTACTTCAGAATTTCACTGAGCAAGCCGCCCTTCCCGTCTTCCGCACCACATCACAGTTCGTGCAGTGATTATTCTTACGGTATTCACAGCATCTTAAGCAGAGCGAACAATCTAGGGACCGCATGCTTTATTCAGCTCTTAATTTTGCTATTGGATTCTTTGGCTACCCTCATCAAGACCAATACCTACAGAGTATCACGATAGAAGCTCCTTCGGTAAGTAACACGTAGTTGACCCCCCCCCCCCTTCCTCAATAATCTGAAGGGAACTCTCCATACATTTCTTTATACTAGTTCAATAATACCCTCGCGCCTTATTTTACGTAAGTAACCGAGTCATGCGAGACAGCGATTCTTGGCATCATCGCCCTTCTTGGTAGTTGTCCCAATGCACTCAATGCTTCCAAGGCTGAACGCGGAGTCCTTTATGTGGAAGAATGGACGGCCACATACCTCCGGAAAGCATTGAAGCGGCATCAAGCACAGCTGAAAGGCTTAGAATTGACTATTGAAGATATGTATACTATGCAACAACTCTGTGCTTATGAGGTGGGTATCTTTTACTGGATTCCCACTTCCCAAAGATTGCGTCTGGACAGTTTTAATTCCTTCGCTGTTCTTTTTGATTACAGACTGTTGCTCTTGGGTACTCGGCATTCTGTGACCTTTTCACTGAACAGGAGTGGGAGGGATTCAATTATGCGTAGGTCACATCCTCTTCTAGGATGTCATTCGTCAGTCAAGATCACTAACTGTTCTGCCATCTGCGCAAGTCTGGACCTCCACTTCTGGTACAATTCAGCATTCGGTTCTCCAGTAGCTCGTATACAAGGGATAGGCTACATTCAAGAACTCGTCTCACGTTTGACGCAAACTCGGATCCCTGTTCATAATACTTCTACTAATGCCACGTTGGACGACAACGATGAAACATTCCCCCTCGGTCGGAGTATCTACATTGACGCGACCCATGAAGTCGTGTTCTTGAATAGTGCGTCAAACCTTTCCTGTCTCCTCGTTTCAAACCTCTTAAACCATCCCAAGTCATCACGGCGCTAGGTCTAAATAACTTTGCCGAGAGCGGACCGCTTCCTTCGGACCATATCCCGAAGAAACGTCCATTCCGGTCATCTCATTTATCACCATTCGCAACGAACATGCAGTTCCAACGTACGTTGAATTATATACCCTATTGCAAGAGACACGCACATCTAATATCAACGTGCGCTGCTTTAGTCCTTGCTTGCGACAGCACTCCTGATTCAGAGCAAATCCGTATCGTCATCAATGATGGTGTCTCGCCACTTACGAGTCTCGAAGGATGTCCTCACAACCCTGATGGATTGTGTCCCCTCAAGGAGTTCGTTAAAGCGCAACAGAAGCACATTGAGACTGCCGATTGGACTTGGGCGTGCTACGGTGATTGGGACGTTCCACCAGGGACGGCATGGAATACCACTACTGGAGACCCTCCAGCTCGCAAGGCTTAACTCATTCTTCTGTGATATCTTGGACAAGCATACTATTTTGTTTCTTGGTAAGGTCCGTGCTTTCAGTGGTTGTGCACAAAGACCTGTGCAACGGTTCGCCCAATATATATATCGCCTCGAGAGTATCCGATTTCGTAGTTTTCGGAGAGGAAAGATTAGCTTATCATTACATTAATCCATCTATGTGCAACAATCATGATGAGGTAGTAGTAGGCTCCCCTCGTGGAGCTGTCGTTGGAACCCAAGTGTTGACCTTGGGGCGAACAGTGTTGTATGGTCGATATGCGCCTCGAGTACCAGTCATGTTCTCAACATGAGGCTATAAACAACGATGAGCTAGAAGGAAACGAGACGAGCTGAGATAGAGATGAATATCTCTATCTACTCACAGCTTTCCAGGGAGGGTTGACAGCTTGGACAATAGGGTCCAAGTGTAGTGGTTCTTTACGAATATGTGAGAGCCAAGCATGCCATTCTGGAGGGACTTGAGTGGCGTCGTAGTCATGCTGTTAAACCGATAAAATAGCGTTCGTCAGTTCACGGTCATGGCTCGAGGGAAAGGACGAGCAGACTGGATTTTGGCGGAACATACCTGCGCAAGATCAACCCATCGGTGACGGCCTAAGGATAGCGTTGTATTAGCATGGAGAAGTCAAAAGTCCCGAAGGTTGGGTTAGAGCATACCGGGAATCTCCTCCTCGGGGTTAAGGTTCTCAAAGTACTTATTCCCAAATCTATAGAAAGTAGGATGAAACAAGCAGTGAGTCAAGATCCACTCCGATGCAAAGGGATTCCGAGCAAGACAGATCCCACGAATCATATCGGAAGTTCAGCCTCAGTAGCCAAAAGTAACGGCCAGCACAACACACAGTCATCTGCCTAGAAACCATCGAGCTTGGACAGAGCTGGAAAAAAAGCGCGTAGGGGAGAAAGAGAGAGAGAAAACTCGAAGACTAAGCAGCCCAACAGGGAGACAAAACTCACTGATCCGTTCCAACACGTTGACCAAACTTGGCATCACCGTTATAGTACGTAAACCTCCACCATTGTGCTAGGCCTGCCCTACGAATGTTCCGCAATGTACGTATAAGCGAGACCATCGTTTTGAGACGACGGAATCCGTCAGAGACTCACGAGCGGCTTCACGTGATGCTGCCTCATTTGTCAGTTTTGTTATCTTTTCTTTACCCTTATTTTACAATTGCTGGACCGTACCCTCTGTTGTCTGCATGCCTTTTTATCGTGATCGCTGCGCTGTAACCGCTGAACGCCATCGATCCGTTGCGCCGACATGATGACGGAGGAAGTCTCTTGTGGTTTGCATGCGCAAGCATCGGATTGTCCGCGTTCTGAATCAGCCGGTTCCGTTACGCTATGATGCCATCGGCAAGTCCTTTCGATGAGGGAAGCCCCGTGCAACATCAATGGACCCTTTACTTGAAGCAGGCAGCTCTCTATGCCACTAGTATACACTACGTTTGATTGGACAAGTTGTGTGTATACGGGCTTTACGCTGGGAAAACACATTATTTTGTTATCTGGAGCGACCCAGTTGCTGCTTACCGATCACCGCGACAGTCGTACTCGGAGCCCCAAGATCTCATAAAATACGTCGCGTCCCTATATAATGCATCCCCATCGCACATCACGTCATCTGCTAATGCTACTCATGCTGGCTTTCTCTTGTTATCAGATAACGCCATTGACACTGAGCACTTGACACCACGCAGTAGTGTCTGTGCCCCTTTATGGAGTATCAATGGCTTAGATATCGCTGCATATTCTCTGGAATTCCTCACTCGCTGTACGCGCGTGTATGCGCAAGTGGACCCTCCCGTAGCCCAAGGAGCCCCCATCATTTACAAACAGGTTATGGGTCGACTGGATGGAGGAGATCTGGTTCACCATGAAATGGAAATACTCGACCATATCCACAAGGATGGCTATATCGCAGGGGTTGTTCGAGGCGTTGAGTTCGATGGGGAATCCATTACTATCGACGTTAGCATCTGGGACTCGGATGAATTGAACCAATGGAATTCCAATGAAATGCATGGACAAGTGACCTCCCGAAGGAGTTCTGGAATGATCTACTTGGACACTGGTGTGCCAATCTCGAAAGGGACGATTGTCTTAGATCTACTTGCAGGATTCTTCGATATTGTGGAAGGGTTGCGTTATATCGTTGAACGCCATAAAGTTGTTCACCGTGACACCAGCCCCTCAAACATATATATATATGCAAAGAGCGTAACGCCCCAAAACCCAGCTGCTCTTGCTGAGAACATCCTGAATCCTTCGGCTAACCAACCAACCTTCATAAACAAATACCTTGACCCTGACAACCCGAATCATCCCAGGGTCTGGTTTGTGATCTGCACCTGGCTGCTAACTACTGGCCTGAAACCACTGGTCTGATAACAATCAAGCAGCAGAGATTTTGAGACAGTTTTGTGGAACCCCACTGTATTCCCCCCGAGCAATTCTGTCAAGGTCTTGGACCCCTGTGCCTCAGAGATTCTGGCCCATGCCCGAGCTTCAAGGTGAGGTGCTCCACACGTACGGTATGCTATTTGGCGCTGGCGCATATGAGGCTGGTCAGGAGGATTATGATGGAAACAACATTCACGGATTGGGTTCGCTGCAACATCATATCGCCCACGACACGATATCGAGTCTCTCTTTTGGGTCATTGTTGACACTCTACTCCGCGCAGAGCCTGAAGGGAGTGATGATTCTGAATCAATGCAATTAGCCAGGTTCAAGCAGATATTCAAGGGGAGGAGGTACCGTGATATCGACATGTCGACACCTTTATTCCTTGCGCCTTTGGATTGGTGGAGTAGAGCACTTCATCCAGAAATGGGGCCAGTTCTTGGTGAATTGCTTAATAACATGGGCTTGCAGGTCGGTCCAGAATATAATCGAACCGAGGAGTTCCGAAGATTGCTCCTTCAAGCAATAGTGACCTTGAACCAGCAACCTCCCATTACTTTAGACTCAAGTCGACGAATTGCCCGGCTTTCTCCTTATGGACCCTCAGTCTCAGTGAGCTTGGCTAATTCGGGTAACAGTGCCGAATAGGGTGGAGATCGGCTTTAAGCATATGTGAACTTTTTGGCACCCCCACCATGTGTCAAAATGGTGTTTCTTGTTCCCTTTTCTATCATCAATAGGAGTGACCTAATTCCCGCTACCCCGTACGAATCTTTGCGACGCGAAAACCCTATGGCCGTGCAAGAGGTTGGGATTTAATCGAGCCTTGCCGGTCTGTTCTCTCGAAGCTGTCAGAGATCTACAGATTGGTTGCGTCTGACGAATTTTGTATCGCTTTCTTTCAGTTTTTTCGATCCATCTGAACGTCTCTGTGAGTATTTCGGTCGTCAGCTGTTCATGACTTTGCAGTGGCCCTCTTCCATGCCTACGGCTACACTGGGCGGGGAATCAACAGCTGTCCGAACAAGGAAGGACATACCTCTTCTTATTTGCGGTGAAAACAGACATGCAAAGGCAGTATTTGGACGACAGCAGCATTCTCTTACTCGTTCAAGAAGACTCTTTTACGCACATTGCCTTCATGCTTCGTGTGGGAGTCGCGCTGACCTTGGAGGGCCAAGAATAAAACCCCGTTGCTTTTCAGCCAGTTCTCGGGTAGGCTGAGCTCGTCGTGGTGCATACTTTTTCTGGCTGGCGACCTCCGGTACGTAGTTCGCACATTTTCACAGACCTTCAACAGCCAATTTCGAACGGCTCGACTTCAAACTTATGAAAAGAAAGTTCTTTATACATGTTATGACAAACACAGCATCGATGACGCCGTGGCTCAATGGCTGGCAAGCAGAGTTGGGTGAAAGGCTGGGCAGTGCAAGTTCGAATGACATCAAGGCCATGCCGATTTGTGCTGCACTCTGAGTGGTCGTCGGGCTGTTGCGCTCCAAGCGCCGTCGGGCATGTTCTACCCAAGTGCGGCACTTCATGAAGGTCATTCCTCTGTGTCCTGAGCACTTGCTGCTGTTCCGGCATGGACGAGTATGGGATGTAGCGTCAATTTTGTTAGTAGCTCGTTTCACAAAACCAATGCGGCGAAGCATGCGTGGTGTAAAATTGTAGTTAATTATACTCTTTCGGTAACTCCGAACCCGCAGGCTTATTATCAATCAAAGAACCGTGGGTTGGAAAACGTGTCTTTCGCTGCCATCGTACTTTAGGTCCTAGTCTCCCACGCGAGTCGAATTAGTATGTTTCTGTCATCCATCCTAACTTCATTCCATCCCAGTACGTTGATCAACAGATGGAGACACGTCGTTATCAGTTCCATTATTTCTTTATTCGTTCCCCACAGCTGATAGACCCTTTCTTTGCAAGCATGCGATTTCTTGGTTCAGTTCAACGCATAGGGCAAGGGCCACAATGATGACAGGCAAAACAGAGTTATCATTCGGCGCTTTGGCGCAGGGCAAGCAACAAACAAGCAAGCAAGCAGAGACAATTTCGGAAAATATTTTAGGACTGAGATGTGAGTCGGAACAGGAGTATACAAACGGGACATCTCCATGCTATCTATCCTGGTCCCACATCACGAACCATTCCTCTTACCAAGTGCGAGTGTTGAGCAAGAGATCACCCTCATGCTGCAAACCAAGACAAGCCTTGAGGAAGTTTTCGAGGGCGAGACGCTGACGGCCCAATGAATTGACGACGCTATTCAAAGTAGAACACAACCCTTAGTGTTAGGGATCGTAACGCTGAACTCGAGAGGTAACGTACTCAGTGCCAGGCTTCACGAGAGGAGCCTTGAGCATGTAGCTAAGAAGAGAAAGCACACTGTACAAAGACTGGAACTCGGTGCCCTCAGGAACACGACGGTACTGGACACGAGTAAGAAGCTCAGCGAGCACAGTCAAGTCAAGGATAAGAGGGGTCGCGAGAAGCGAATCCTAGATAAACAAACCATTATTGGCTGTATGGCTCAAGCTGAACGAACCAACAACATACCTCACACTCGTTGAAGATATTAAGCGTGTTCCTTCCACCCATCATGATCTCCGAATAATACTCATCGATTGCACGCTTGCTGTCACCAACAGCAGGGACATATTTGATCACGACGATGTGATCAGGATGTTCGTTCTTCCTTTCGCCGAGGCTCTTATCGGCACGTTTGAACAACAGGTGGTTGGCATCAACCATGTCATCCACGACAGACGACTTGCTGATCTCCTTGCTCTTGAACTGAGCCTGGCTGCTGAGGTTTCGACCGTCGTTGTTACCCAAATGGTTGTAGGACGAGATCGAGAGAGGCTTGATACCCGCATTGACGAGGAACTCGGCAAGGACAGACTTGACCTTAGTCTGACCGGACTTCAGGTCATCACCACCAATGAAAGCACGGTGCTGCTCCGCGAGCTTGATACAACCCGGGACGAATGTGTTCTGAGGGGCACCATTGATGAAGGGCGCGTCCTCGAGGATAGAAGCAACGGCGAAGATGGTCGAAGGAGACACCTCTGAGTGATTATTCTCGATCGCCCTCAGCAAATTCTCGGCAGTGTCATTCACTCCTTCGACGATGTCGCTATAACGTTCAGTATTGGCGGTCCAAAAAACAATGACGCGGTCAAGGCCATTCTCTTCCTTGAACTTGCGAATATCGCGGCGGATATGTTCGACATGGTCCTTTTTCAAGCTGGCAGGAATAAGATTGTCGGCCCGCTCACTCTGGTTTGCAGCGATGTAATCTGGATAATAGATCGAAGGGAGAGGCTTGATCGTTGCCATGTAAGGAGCAACTTGACGCTGGAGGTCCCAATCAAGGACTTGAGCACGGTACATAGCTTTGTCAAGAGGCAAGGAAGAGATGTCCCATCCACCGATGACAAGGTCATTGGGATGAACCATGGGAAGGACATCAGAAACGGGGATATTGAAATCCCTACCCGTCTTGGGATCCACTCCAAGACGCATCGTGGACGCACGAAGAACGGAGCCAATGTAATTGGGAGTCTGCAGACCTTCCTTCGTCCTCCAGGTGATATTATGCCTATTCGCAAAGATAGTGGCAGTCAACGTGGTGCCATTGTTGCCGCCAATGCCGACCATCAGAAGACTGAAATGAAAGCCAATCATCAGACTGCCCTAGCAGAACAAAATTCCATTCCACTCACCCAGTTTTCTGAACCTTGCGTTGAGTTCTAAATTCAAAATTGTTCACGGTGGGAGTGACCTCGATGCTATTCTCGGTAGCAACGACGTCCGCACCACGATACTCAAACTTAGATGTGATATATTCGTCCGTGAATTGAGACGTAGGCGAATTCACGACGACAGGAATGTTACGACGCGCCGCAGTAGGATGGACAGGGGCAGCGGCGGAGGTCCTATTGAAAGAAACATCATCGACAGGAACACGGCCTCCGTTAGTGGCACCATTGGTGTATGGTGTGGTAGCATGTGGTGCCATGTTGGGGACAGAACGAGAATGTGATGAAGTTGGGGAACTAATCGTTTAGTGCGAAGCTCTACTAGGCGCGTCTGCAGCTGAGGTGTGCCTTCCACGGTATTGGTTATGAGCACTCAGTAATTGGTTACTAAACATGCACGTTCAGAAGAGTGCAAGAAAGAGAAGGAAGAGGAGATGGATGTTGAAAAGAGGGAGATCGGACGCGTCTTTATAGTACGATGGCGGATTCAAATTCATATCAATTTTGGAAATTCTCACACCGGATTCCTCATTTTCTCATTTGGCGAGATCAAGATCAGCACCCCAGGAGGCCTTATCCGCACGCCCGGCACGTAGTTCTTGAATGAGTGTTGAACTGTGATGGAGGGAAGGAGAGAAGGCGTGAGATATGAGCAATGAATACGTATCCAACGGGGTTCGGCCATCTCATGTATGTCACTTGCCACATCAGACATAGACTCAACCTTGACAAGCGCTCATTGGGTGTAATCGAAATTTTGTGTTTACATAGAATCCTAGAATTTCGATATTACCCCAAGACAACATCATGCAATAATATTAATTACAATGTGCACATTGATCACGCATGTTGCTCGGAAAGTTGGATCGGTACGATATCGATCTTATACTCGGAAAAACAACAATATTGGTCAAACACGGAAAAAAGATACAACAACTCGATCAGGGTGAAAGAAAGGGTTGAATATATCCTGCGTCATAACTCCCAGAACCGACAGATCTGGTAATGAAAAAATCACAGAAAACCGGCTGGCGGAGGCGGGTATCTTTGATCACCTTCGCCAATCGTTCCATATCCACCACACTCGTACCGGTTGCCGGTTACTCTACACGCCACCGCCTCCCAGAATGTACTCAATCGCGGCGTGCACGTTGCCACCCGTTGCTAGTAATGCCCGAATATTCTGCTGCGCGTTGGTGAAACCCATATCAGTCAATTGCTAAAACGAATCGTTAGTGTAGGAACAAAAGACAACTGTTTGGCACACCTGGAGCTGCACCTAAATGGGGTTAGATTAGATTAGTTAACAGGTCGAACGAAACTAAGGTGGACACACCTGGAATCGTTCCTCCACTGGACGAGTATCAGCCGGTGCACTTGGCGTACTCCCTGCACTAGGGAATCCACCAAAGCCTCCATATCCTCCGAGCAATTGCGCCATCAGGTTTGGATCCACCACGCCAAATGGGTTAGGTGGCAGAGGCGACCCCGCTTCGGCTCCCGTACCGAGGCCCGTGCCCGAAGTTGTACCTCCTGCTGCACTAGCGGCCTGGTTGAACAAATTCGTTGGTCCACCTCCAACTGTGCCTCCCGCTGCAGTACTGCTCGTTCCCGTCCCGGCGCCACCGGCATCTGCTCCGAGGCCGAATGGGGGAATTCCGAACGCACCCAATGAACCAAGCCCGTTTGCAAGCGGAGCAGTATTCATAGGGTCGATGCCGGCCGCACGCATTTGTGCCGACATTCGGAACATTTGTTGAAGAGATTCAGGGTTAGAGATCATCTCACGAAATCGAGGGTTGTTGAACATGGCACGCAGCTGAGGCGCCATTGGGGCGAGGCTAGGATCCTGCATGAGAAGCCAGGCATAAATTTTTCGGCCGCGAAGAAAAAAAGGGGGGACAATAAACACACAGAGGCAAGGACTTGTTCCACAACCTGCGGGTTTGACATAATGGAAGACATCTGTTGCATGAATTGTGGCGAATCAAGCAATCCTTGCATCTAGATCCCGATAATCAGAATCACACATTAGCAGAAGATTTGCACAAATGTTCCTCAAGCTCACCATATTAGGGTCGTTGGTGTTAACGCCAGTCCCCGCGAAGGGGTTGAATCCGGCAAGAAGTCCGTGGCCCGCAGGGCCATTAAGCTGAGTTAGAGGATCAGCGGGATTTTGGCCGGCTTGCATGACAGGAAGCTAGCATTCAGTCAAAAGGTCCATGAGAATACGTCATGGATTCGCAAAGCCGAGCGAACCTGCTGAGGGGCAGCTTGTGCAGGATCCGATCCAGCGGAACGTGCAACTCCTTTCACCATATGAATCGTATGCGACCTGTTGACCATAAATTAGGCATAAACAGAGTGGAATTATCAAATGCGGATTTTGGCGATTCGCGTAAAGCTCATGCGTGAGGAGGGATCTGAGAAGGCCAGTGAGATTACGTACGATTGGATCTTATAGTTGGACAACTTGTCCTCGTCCTTTAGCACTCTCCCTGGAACAAGAATCACAGCGAATATGTGTAAGCGCTTTCGTAACAGTCAATGCGGACGGGAACGCATTCGGCACTGGCGACCGACACCACGTCAGGAGGGCACTTAACATACCGCTGTATATGAGTCTTTGCCGATCGGCTTCAACGTCCGAACGCTCAGAAATGGCTTGTTTAAGATCCCTTACGGTCTTTTCAGGGCTGATCGAGAGTGTTAACCTGAGCTCCGATGGCCCCTTGATAGTTATTGAAATGTCCTCGGCAGACATGGCAAGAAAACCAGCGGTAGTATATAGGTAGAAAAAGGTAGGTCCTCAGTCCAAGAGGTTTCAGACTTGCTTGGTTCGTGCTGCGTTGGTGGTCGAGGTTAGGGTTTCCATTCTGGGTCACGTTCCGCTTCGGAGCTTATGTATACATACGTGTGTTCCTCATTCCCCATTCGTTTTATCGCATGCAACTGTGCCCCTTCATTCGAATTTCCCGGATCTTCCTGTCATTTTCCATACACAGATGGCCGTAGCAGATGCGCGGTGAACGGATTCTGTGCTGATAACACGACTCAGATCATGGCACAAAACTTGTACCGAGTGCGGCATCTATCCAGGAAGTCTTGCGACTTAGTCCGAATGACGCAGCAATAGCTCGATGTTCCCTGGCCCACCCTCGATGGATTTGTAATGGATTAACATGTTGGAAAACTGATGTTCTGGTCATTTTCGCCTTTTTCTTCTATAACCTGGCTATCATTGATGAACGATCCATACTGGTCACTCGAGTGCGAAGCGCAGCCGGCACGGAAGAGCCGAAGCGATTAGTTCGTTGACTTCTGCCGGAGAGACGAATGTAGGTTCGCCTTTCGCGAGTTGTGGCTCAAAAATTGGAAGTGGCCCCGGATCGGGCAGTTCTCCGCATCTAACATCCAACGAGCGTCAGCGATCCGAAAGATCAAAGTGTCACGTCTAGCACGAGATATGGGAGGTAACCAAGACATGACTAGGTTGCCCCCATATCCTTCGCCCTTGTACCGGTCGTATGCCTAGACGATGCAACTGGCGCTCCCCCCCCAGGTATCTGGGGAGGGGAAGAGCGGGAAAAGTCCCCAATCCAACTAATGGAATATGCCTACCTTGGGCCAACTCCGCGTGCTGGCGCTATACTAGCATCCAGACAGTTCTTCACCAATGCGGCCGCGCTCTTCAGCAGATCAAATTCTGATTTTTCTATGCGACCATTAGCCTGGGTTCAGGCTTGGAATCGACCCTAGTGGCCATTGGAATCTGTGAATGTTGTGTGCTTCATTCATCACGGGCATCAGCCCGAGGAATTCAAGCATCGTGTGTTCGCGGTGCCTTAATGTACCCCCGGCACGTTGCCATCCCTATACTGCCACACTAGACGTCATATACAACCTTGGCACATTTTATCGCTTACTCCTTAGAGCGTTGGTGCGTCGTGCGGGGGTCATATGATATCATATCGCTGCAGGGGCGCGAAGAAGGATCAACGCCCAAACGTTATAGCTCATGAAGAAGTATTCTCCGCATTATCCTATCGTGTAAATCCCGGAAAAACCTGGGGAAGCCACTCTCGAAATAGCCTAGACCTCAAGGGACACAAAAGATGGACTCCGACCGAATTTTTTCCTGAGAGTTCCATGAACGATGCAGGCTAAATCGGGTCCGTCACGACGATCAATCCTATCCATGATTTGCCTTTGTTCGGCTTCGTATCAGAACCGTGATTCGTTGGGCATGGGAGTGATAGGGACATCGATTTTGCTAGCCACGACCCTGATTGGTTGGCGATGTGAACGACGCTACTTCCAATCCCACCTACTTTGTCTCATTATTGATTCTGCTTGACCAACGACATGACCAACTTCGTGATAACGTACCCGCGTTATCAAGGTGGACTAGACACGGGTCACTGCTTTGACGGCATCAATTCCAGCAATCAGATCAAGGTCAGTACCGCTTGCCTCACCACGACCTCTGTCGCAGCGAAGATCGAAAATCTTGCAACTAGAATAGGGGCCTAGGCAAGACTGGTGACCACTGCAAGACGGAAGCATGATAGATGATTTCGACGCTGTATGTTGATCACCTATTCAGATATTTGCAGTCCCGGAGGCTCATATCTCTACCCTCAACGACAAAAGCCCCTAGCACTTACAATGAAATATCAAGCCAATGGAATCGCACGTTGGCTGGCTAATTATTTTGTGTGCAGGCCGAAGTGTTTTGCTTGACCTATGGGGGAGATCTGGAGATCTGGAAGACTCACCGCTTTAGATCCCAGTGTATGGACCCCCTCATCAGTATCAAGGCGCTTCTTAGATACCCGCCCATATTTATGTCTCCATGATCTAAATATCATGTCTTTGGCTCTGGTTTAATCGTTATCGTCTGCCAGATGCATATTCTAGTCCCGGCTCACTAGGAAGCGTAATTAAAAGGACCTTCTAGCATAACCAAGCCCGTGTTGAAACCATCAACACCCTGATGGTGCGCCGCATCCCCTTCGACCTGAAAGGTCAAATATTATGTTTGTTGTGGCCCGCGTTGCTGTTGGGGGATTCGGGATATTCTGACTGCTGTGACATCCTTCATTGGCGTGCCAGATGATCTCACTGGCTTTTGCTTGCAGTGTACTGAAAACTCCGAGGCCTGCGCAAACCCCCAATCCTCTGCCCTTGATGAATTATATGATATGTAGTACCATTTTGCATCAGAATTAGATGCTAACCACATGAATTTCCAATAATCGACATAAACATTGACATCGGGTGCGAAAGATAATAAGTGACTTCCCATTTTTTGGGAATGTCCTTGGTCTTCCAAGGACGTGGGCAATAATCCAACTCCTCCCTAGTATTCATTCGTTCAACTGCCGAATCCTGCACCAACATCGTTCCGGAACGTTCAATGAATGAAGTCCCTCCACTTTGGCTCGCGTTCGTTCTCGGGCACAACAAATTTTTTTGCCGTAGACTAGTTAATTTAGGCAGGACTCCAGTCTCTATGACTTCGTAACATTATGGGCTAGTGCATGTGGTTGCCGAAGGGATCTCTTGGCTTGCAAAGCTGAAATTGGGGCGGATTCTGAATAGGCCAAAATCCAAAAGAACAAAACGAACTCTCGCTACGCGCCGAGAGCGATCGATCGAGGAGTGCGTAATATTGACATGACCATGTCAGTGTTAGAATGACCAGGACTCAAGTGGTGCGTTGCATCCCGTCCGATCTGCGAAGCCAAACGTGGTATCTGCTGTTGTACTAGTTTGCGTTGCGCCGGCGGCCAAGGTTTGGGAATCCTAAAGGCTGATTTTTTTGGCATGTTAGTCAGTCTCGTCATGTCAACACAGTATTCTTGCTTGCGGGCAGCGTAAGTGACTCAAACATTTTACACTTTCAATATGAGTTACAAGGTATATCATTGACGCCCATACACGAATTTCCGATAATTCAACGCGCCCAACTAGTGGGAACTGACTATATCATATACATCCAGGTGTTGATGCTGCCAGTGTTCATATAACTTCCCATCGTAAACGCGGCCCCTATACCACATCTTCTTTCTGAAAATTCATTCCCATTACTCTGTTGCATGTAAATCCTGTTGCCTCAAAACATACTACGTCCTTGCACAATGCGCAAAATGTGGTGGATGTGTTGTGCAGGTTTCACGCGCCCTTGGATTTTCCTGAACTCAATAGTGTCCCTCATTCCATCCATAGATGATGCTTCAGCCTAGTCCCTCATCACTCACGAAAGCGAACCATTCGGGGGCAAGCGCCTTGCGCATGCGACGAAACAATGATAGATGCCTCCCACCGAACGAAGTTTAAATTCCACAAAGTTCCGCCACCGAGTCTGCACTTGCTTTCATCTCCGCACCTCTGGCATCATCCGACTTAGATCCTTCGATATTTCGATCTCATGGTTGTGCGATACAAATAATCTAATATTGCCGTGAAGGTCCAATCCGGGGTCACAGTCTAACATACAAGCGCTGCTATAGGTTAGAACCGTTCATGATGTGAAAGGCTCATATATATGGTCGATCACACGGAGAAAGGCTCACTAATGATACTTAGTCCAGTTTTTCTCGATATTTTTGTCGGCGCGCCAAGGTCTGGGGCAGTAGTCAGGTTTGATTTTCATACGCTCACTGACAGACCAGTGGTAACGCGGCTTCGAGCGATCCTCCAAGAACTTCACCCAACTATCTGAAAGGGCACCTTCGTAAACGTCTGGTGTTGGATCTCGAGGAATGTGGCGTGGCTGGAAAAGATTGAAGCTGGACATTTCATACCATTGAAGTCAGTCGGGCAAAGCTATGAAGTGACCAAATTCAGCATACCGAAACTTAGACTCCCACAAGAACGTGTGTTTGTTCTGCACAGAGGTCATCAAAGGTGCCAACTCAAGGAACCACCAGAAGAGCATGGATATGATGCCACCAAATGTACATTCATCCCACTTCCACAACTCATCGTACGCTGGTGCAGCCAGGTCCTTCTTGATAAAATCTCGGTCATATATGACGCCAGTCTTGAACTCCTGGTATCGGAGGAATTTTGCTCGCTCAGGGTTTTTTTTTAGTTCTTCTACATCAGTGTCACGAGGTTGGAATTTCCTGACGCTTGGATGTTGCACCGAATTGTTGCGTGTAGCGGCTGCCTTTGGGACCGTGGTGTTACAGCCGTCGTTAGTATAAGGAATTTCGGGTAATATGACGCCATAGCACGCCAGTCGAATAGGTCGCCAACGGACATTGAGAAAGTATTTCTCGTTCGCCTCATGCAACTCGCGGATCATCCAGCGAAGGGAGATGTTTGCGAGTGCGGGCGAGTACTTCGATTCGTCCTTATCACTACACTCATTCCCGGGCTTGTCATCCAATTCGTTTCCTCCACCGACATCTAGGATTGGGAAATGAGACGGGGCATTCGTGGGACGAAGGCAGGGCACCATACCGCAGTGTCCACCTGCAAACCAAACCTCCTTCACGTCCGGCGGGGAACCCTCTTTTGGAATCAGTACCCTCTTCGGCCCATTGCCACTGTGGTATCCGAGACGGTCCATTATGTGGCATAACCACCATTCAATGAACGAAGAGAAGAAAATGTTGATAATATCTCTGACTCTAAGTGTCCAAGAGACCGCGGCGTCGGTGGCGTTGGTATTTGAACCATGGCATTCCCATCCCTCATGTCCACGCTCTTTTACTGCGCTTGAAAGTCTCCAAGGTGAAGGTATGAACCTTATAACCAGCGAAGGATGGAGAGTCAGCGACCATGCGTGATAAAGGGCTTAGGTTAAGCGCTCTCACCTAGCTCGTCTCTCATCCAGAGCCATCGCATGCCTAAACACTATTACAGAAGAGTTGCTTTGGGAACAGGGCAGCGTGCTAGAATAAAGGAGGCCAACAGACGAAACAGTATCCCAAACTCCAAGAAAATCAATCTTAACCACACGACAGAGATCTCGTTTGTAGTTGAAGCTGAAGAGGGAAATGATTCTGAATTAAGGATGGCTCGGTGTGTTGTTATGCGAAGGACTGGCTTACCCAAGTTTGGTGCCTCTAGCCGTCGTATAAACCTTGTAGGCGGATTCAACTTGTTGAGGGTGCGAGGCGTACAGAAGCCCGACCTATCATGCAGGATGAGTCCAACACACCACCACATCGCAATCAATTCCATACCGTATGTAGCATCCCGGCTAGAGCCCTGGCAACATATGCACCCCTGGAGAAGCCGAAAAAGCAGATTGTGTCTCCTTCTTTCCAGTTGGATTGCAGAAAACGATACCCAGCACAGACCTGCCTCGGGCGCATCAGGATCAAGCCGAGAAATCCTCTATGCACGCCAAAACTTACGTGCTCTTCGATGTGCGACGCTACAGCTTGATCAGTGATCTTACAAGCCCATTTTCCAAAAGATGTGCGGTGGTAACTAGTGGGGATTGTTCCAATGCCGGTCTAACAGACTCTGAGTACTTAAACCGAAAGCACATCTATATTTCGCACCTGATAGTATACTAATTGTTTTGGGTGGGACTGCTCGAGGCACGAGAGGAGGCGAACGACATTCTGCAGAGCCATCGCGGTCAGAATTCGGTTTGAGGCGATGTGCCGCTTTAGATATCTTACGGTATTCCTTTCACCATACTCCTCCGCCGTCCCATCAAAGCAGAGAATCAGCGTACGGCCCTGATGAACCTTGGGTGTATCTGAAGTTTCTTCAAGTTTCCCGAAAGTGCGTTCAATTCCGGGTGGGCGTTTAGTCTGGGGGCTGCTGGAAGTGGGGAAGTTTGGGGATGCACCCATCTGGATGGTGTCTTGCGGAAGTGGAAGTCAGAGGATTGGAGTTACCTCCTGGTTTAATCTGGAGCAGACCTTGTGGATATCAAACTCCTGAGAGGACCGAATAGCAGCATGACTGAGTATGGACCTATGAATCTTCCCAGCACATTCTCCCGATAACACTCAATTGAATTGTCGCGCCATTCATTCGTAAGGGTACTAAGTAATTTGCATATCTCGGGATCAGCCATACTGGTAGTACACACATGACACAATCCAATGCGGGGCGAGGGTCCCGGCATGCATGGAGGTGCGGTCAGGCTATAGATGAAATTCTGTTTGTCGCAGGATTTCCTCCTTGGAATGGTTGCAGGAATTTGTCAGGTCTGAAGGATTTAGCATGAATCCCACCAGATTGCCCAGCCGGTTGACTGCTTGGGAGGATGTGGGCGCTCATTGGATGACCACATGATCTTCTGGGGCGCGCGATTCTTGTTAACGTCAGCCGTAAAAGGCAATGTGAGTGCGCAACATTTTTGCTTCCGGAGCGACGTTTGCGACAAAAAACCGTTAAAGTCCGCTTTAAACCCATGTGTAGATGCCAGTTACGTAATTGGGCCTCAGCGAAGTGACCCCGGAGGCTAAAAATATGGGACTAATTCTGGGTTGCTTGAGTCGAGCTCTGTCCCCAGACCCCATGATAGCTCCCTCCACATAAGTGCCACTCTCGTGTCCCATATTTTTTGCCAGCCATGATTGTAAACGTATTGTTGACCAAGGACTCTATTCTAATAGGGACTACCTAGCAAAAGGCAAGAGGACCACCTTATAGTGCACGGCCACGACTAAGCCTGATCGAGATTCGAAGCACCCCACGTTGGATCGTGTCATGTGTGCACGAATGAATGGCACGACAATTTAATTGAGAGACAATGCAGTGCTTTCAGGAAAATATGCTTGGACTATAGCAGACCTTTTGCGGACGATGGGAGAACCGAATAGTGGCACGGCTGAGCATGGCCCATAAGGAGACAACTCCAGTCCTCTGACTTTCACTTCGACGTACACCCTCCAGATGAGTGAACCCTCAAGCTTCCCCACCACCCCCCGGTATGAACACTCGCCCGAACGCCCGCCCGGAATTGAACGCATTTTCGGGGAACTTGAAGAAGCTTCGCCACCCAATGTTCATCGAGGTCGCACGCTGATTCTCTGCTTTGATGGGGTGGCAGATGAGTTGGGTGAAAGGAATACCGTAAGATATCCAAACCGGCGCATCGCCTTAAACCGGGTTCTGACCGCGATGGCTCTGCAGAATGTCGTTCACCTCTTCTCGTGCCTCGAGAAGTCCCACCCAAATCAATTACTATACTATCAGGTCCGAAACCTAGATGTGCTTTCGATTTCAAGTAGTACTGAAAATCTGTTAGACCGGCATTGGAACATACACCACCACTGGCACTCAACTTGGCAAATGGATGTCTGAGATCCTTGATCAAGGCGCAGCACTGCACCTCAAGGATCATGTAAGTCTTTGGCATGCATAGAGAGTTTCTCGGTTTGATCCTGATGTGTCCGAGGCAGGTCTGTGGAGGGTATCGTTTTCTGCAGTCCAACTGGAAAGAAGGAGACAAAATCTGCTTTTTTGGCTTCTCCAGAGGGGCATATATTGCCAGGGCTCTAGCCGGGATGCTACATACGGTACGGACATAATTGATTTGCGATGCTGGTGGTGTGTTGGACTAATCCTGCATGATAGGTCGGGCTTTTGCCGGCCTCGATGCCTGAGCAAGTTGAGATCGCCTACAAGCTTTACAAGGACTCAAATAGAGACGCCACGAGTAGAGTATCCAAACCTGGGTGAGCCAGTCCTTCGCGTAACAACACACCGAGCCATGCTTAATCCAGGATCCTTTCCCTCTCAGCTGGAAGTACAAACGAGACTTCTGTCGTGTCGTGAAGATCGATTTTCTTGGAGCATGGGATACTGTTTCGTCTGTTGGCATCCTTGTTTCTCGCACGCTGCCCTTTTCCCAAAGCAACACTTCCGTGATAGTGTTTAGGCATGCGATGGCTCTGGATGAGAGACGAGCCAGGTAAGAGCGCTTGGCCTAAGCCCTTTATCACGCATGATCGCTGACTTTCCGTCTTTCGCTGGTTATAAGATTCATACCTTTACCTTGGAGACTTTCAGGCATAGTAAAAGAGCGCAGAAATGAGGGGTGGGAACACCATGCTTCAAACACCAGGGCCATTAACTCCCCGGTCTCTTGGGCAGTTGGATTCGGGGGTCTCGTTATCAACATTGTCTTCTCTTTGTTCATCAAGTGGTGGTTATGCCACATAATGGACCGTCTCGGATACCACAGTGGCAATGGGCCGAAGAGGGCACTTATTCCAGAAGAGGGTTCCCCGCCGGACGTGAAAGAGGTCTGGTTTGCAGGTGGACACGGCGGTATGGTAGCCTGCCTTCGTCCCACGTCCCCGTCTCATTCCCCGATCCTAGATGTCGGCGGAGGAAACGAACTGGATGACAAGCCCAGGAATGAGTTTAGTGATAAGGACGAATCAATGTACTCGCCCGCACTCGCAAACATCCCCCTTCGCTGGATGATCCACGAACTGCATAAGGCGAACAAGAAATATTGTCTCAATGTTCGTTGGCGGCCTATTCGACTGGCTCACTATGGGGTCCTATTGCCCGAAATCCCTTATACTAACGACGACCGTGACTTGTTCGGACGGCATCCTACAACCTCAGCAGACAAGGCAGGTCTAGTTATTGGCTCGTACCCTTCATCGACAACGGACGGATCCCGTTCTCCTGTTGATGAGGTGTCGAATCCCAACTCACCACCTCCAGACGTTGGGGAGTTCATCTGGGATGCGGCTGAGGAAGAACAAAAAAACCACCCTCGACGAGCAAAATTCCTCCGGTACCGGGTGTTCAGCTCTGGCGTCATATATGACCAAGACTTTGCCAAGAAGGATTTGGCTGCACCAGCGTACGATGAGTTGTGGAAGTGGGATGAATGTACATTTGATGGCATCATGTCCATGCTCTTGTGGTGGTTCCTTGAGTTGACACCTTCGATAATCTCTGTGCAGAACAAGCACACGTTCTTGTGGGAGTCTAGGCTTCGGTATGCTGAATTTGGTCACTTCATACCATTGCCCGACTGACTTTGATGGCATGAAATGTTCAGCTTCAATTTTTTCCGGCCACGCTATATTCCTCGAGGCACAACACCAGACGTATATGAAGGTACTACTCTTTCAGACAGTTGGGTGAAGTTCTTAGGGGCTCGCTCGAAGCCGCGTTACCACTGGTCTGTCCGTGAGCGTATGAAAATCAAACCTGACTACCGCCCCAGACCTTGGCGCGCCGATGAAAATATCGAAGAAGACTGGATTGAAGCTGCTTATTAGTGTGCCTTTCTCCGTCTGATTGGCCTTTCGCATTATGAACAGTTCTAATCTATAGCAGCGCTTATATGTTAGACTATGACCCCGGATTGGCGCTTGACTGCAATATTAGATTATTTGCTCGCACAACCATGAGATCGAAATATCGAAGGATCTAACCAGATGATGGAGGTGCGGAGATGAAAGCAGGTGAAGGCTCAATGGCGGAACTTTGCGGGATCTAAGCTTCGTTCGGTGGGAGGTGTCTATGATCATTGTTTCGTTGGCGCTTGCACCCGAATGGTTCGCATTCGTGAGCGATGAGGCACACTGTTGAATCCAGGAAGATCCAAGGGCGCGTGCCTAGTTTGCGCGGGACGGCTGGCCCTCCCAAAAAATGCGAGAGACCCACGCGCAGCAGGCCAATCACACGAAAGCGGAACGCGGATTAGTGCACGTTTCGTCAATCTTTCCGTCAGCGCCCCAAGGTTTAGCGGTAGCCAGGTTTGAACTTCAGTATACTGGTTGCTTTGAGCGGGACTAGGTCGATTTCTGGGGGCTTGGGAAGAGCAGAACGACATTCTGCAGGGTGAGAATTAGGTTTAACGCGAGATATCTTGCAGCGTTAGTATCCCCATGCTCATCGGCCCCTCCACCGAAACAAAGGACCAGCGTACGACCCCGATGAACGCTGGGTGTATCCGGCGTTTCTTCCAGGGGGAGAAGACCGTGAGTGGTAACGCCGCATCACCAGTCTCGAAAACGCTGACCCGGCGTACATTCCGCGTCAATTTTGATTCTCCTAATTGAATTATCGCGCGATTCGAATTGGTGGCTCGATCATTACCGCGGATACCGGCATTCATTTTGAGGGCGCGACCGCGGGCATCTCTCGGGATCAGTCCCCCCGCGGGTAGTGTATTTATGACGCAATCTAATACCGAACGAAGGTCCCGCCGTGAGGTTGACTTCGCCGGCCACAGTATGGGTTCTTAGCATAGCATGTTCGGTGCTATTGATCGTGGTATGGCGTAAGATTTGATCATCTCGGTGGCGTAAGGTAGTACGTTCTCTTGCTCTTTTCTAACACGTTTACGATCATGGCCTAACAAACACACATCGGGCATGAACGTGATGTGAGTATATATACTATATAGTAGACGAGTGTGGTCTGATGTGTATTGCACGCGCCATCCAGACAAATGGATCAGAGTACCTGCAAGTGCGACTCGATCAATAAGCGATCGCGTGTGCGATCAAGGTGGCTGGCATGTATGCAAATGTATAACGTACTCAGCATTCAGACTAGGCTGAAGCAGCCTCTATAGATCATTCAGACCTCGACGAACCTGACATGACGAATCCTCTGAGCGATCAGTGGTCACCATGCATGGCAGGATTACTTGATTCGTATCACCTGCCTGCATGATTGGCCCTCTAAAGGCTAGCTAGAAAGTAAGGTCATGTTGTAGTTGCATGGAAATATACAAACAACGGGTGCGATCGAAAGCTAATAAGTGACTTCCCATTTTTCGGGAATGTCCTTAATGATTCAACTCCTCCCTAGTATTCATTCATCCGACTGTGCACCAACATTGTTCAATGAAGTCCCTCCAGTTCGGCTTCGCGTTCGTTCTCAGGCACAACGAAATCTTTGCCGTGGACCAGTGTGGTTGGTGAAGGGATCTCTCTGTCGGCTTGCAAAGCTGAAATTGGGGCGGATTCTGAAGAGGTCAACAATCAGAAGAATAAGACGAACTCTCGCCATGCGCCGAGAGCGGGTACCGGGTGGAGTGCGTGTTGACATGACCATGTCAGTGTTAGAATAACTAAGACCCAAGTTGTGCGTTGCATCCCGTATGCGTCCGATCTGCAAAGCCAAATGCGGTACCTGCTGTTATAGTTTGATGCGGGCAACGTAAGTGACTCCGAAGCCTGCGCAGACCTCCAGATCGTACCTTTAATATGACTGACAAGATATGTCATTTACGCCCAGTCGGAACTGGATGCTAACTACTACATGAATCAACGGGCCACACATGATATACAAACAACTGGTATAGTGGGAACACTAATATGTGAGTTTCCAATTAGTAGGAATGTCCTCATTAGGAGGAATGTCCCCAGTCCTCCAAGGACGCGGGTGGTAACCCAACCCCTTGATTTTTTTCCTCTTGACTACTGAATGATGCACAAGCATCGTTTTGCGATTGTCAATGAAGGATTTCCAGCCCGGCCTCGCGTCCTCGGGCACCTCTAATTCCGGGTGGTCCACCATTGTGGCCGGTGAAGGGATCTCTCGGCTTGAAAAAAAATTGAACTTCATTCTGAACAAGCCAAAAATCAGTACTCGTCACCAAAGATGAACCCCCAAATATGTGTCGAGGGTGAGGAAAGTTATACATACTTGAACCTAGATCGCCAAATGTGATTCGTCTCACGCCGTGTCATCCGAACGTATGGCCAATGCTCCAAAGCCCACCACAGCATCATCAGCAAAAGGGTTACAAGACTTGCAGAGACCCACTCTAAGAATTGCTTAGGATTGGGGAAACCTTTCCATTCCTTCACTCCTTTATAAATGCGATCCCACGTTTTGAATTCGTTCGCGATGGCGCTCTTGACATCAGCTTCATGATACTTAAGGTCGATGAGGACACCAGAGTCATATTTCAGACAGTCTTTGAATTCCGCTCGTCGAGGATCGTCCCCAAGTCTTTGTGTGACCCAGGGTGTAACTTCATGGTGGACCCTCATGGGGGGATTGGCAGAGGGTAGAGTCGGTATGAATTTAGGGTCGCCATCATGACTGCGATGATTGTAACAATCGCAATGATCGTGATCATTCGTTAGAGGGGAATCCGTGGGCAAGTAGATCCCAAAGCGGGCGAGTTGAACAGGAAACCAGCGAATACACAAGTTGTATTGTTGGTCCGCTTCATATAGCTCGCGAATCATCCAGCGGAGGGTAATGGTCGAGAGTGTAGGGACATACAACAACTTAGAGGAATCAGGGTCTTTGGCCAAATCCTTCGTATTTCCTCCTCCAATATCTGATGCAACTCTTAGCATAGCGAACTAGGAAAAATTAGTTGATATGCACGTACTGCTGTGTCCGCCCGCAAACCAAACCTCTTTGACATCCGGTGGTTCCTTCTTTAGGCACTGAGCAGGAATCAGTCTCGTCTTTGGCTTGGTGATCTTTGGTCTGGTGAAGAGTTGGTTGAATAGGTATATTCCCCCAAGAAGCGGGGGAAACAAAATGACCAAGATATTCAGTAAAAGTTCGAGGACGCCAAAGAACCAGTGCAGGACATTTCTAAAGGTGGACGAATTTGGGGCAGCAAAGTCTTTTGCGGATCTGGTAATTATCCAGTTATTCCTTCCTAATTCCGTCTGTTCTTCGACCGAAAGTGTCCAAGGCGAAGGAATAAATCTAATAATTTGTCAGCGACAATATTTTAGGAGGGGATAGCTGACATCTTGCCCACTTCACTCGTCGCTCATCCAGAGCAAGCGCCTGGCGGAAAACTTTGATGGTCTTGGATGACCGCGAGAACGGCAGAGATTGTGGGAAGAGGACTCCAACCGATGAAACAGTGTCCCAAACACCAAGAAAGTCAATAGTTACGGGTCGGGAAAACTCGTGTCTGTAGGGATGGCTGTCCAAGAGAACCTCAAGCAAGAAGACATGATGGCCCCAGTAAATGAATTACCTCGGGTGCTTGCTCGCATCAGCACTACGACCAAGGTCTATATAGAGCTTATACGCAAATTCGACTTGCTCTGGAACTGGGGAATATAGCAGGCCAACCTGGATATTGCAGACATGATAAATGCATAATGGAATGATGGAATGAAACGTCGGAGTACAATAAGATTGCTTACAATTTGAAGCATTCCTGCCAACGCACGCGCTGTATACGCACCCCGAGAAAACCCAAAGATGCATATTTTATCGCCCTCACGCCAATGCTGCTGCAAGAAGCGATATGCATCGCAGATCTGGAAATAGGCTCAGCAAGTCACAGAAAACGCCGTATCAGGTGACACACATGGTCGCCTAAATTAAATGCGATTCCTTGATCAATGACGTTAAAAATTCTTGAAATAGACATGAAGCGTGTTTTGATTGCAGTGCCTATCCCAGTCTAATTACATGGTTTGAGCTTGACAACCAAGGCACCGAAATAATGAACTTATTTCACCTGATAATAGACGAGCTGCTTGGGGTGATGTTTCTCAAAACATGAGAATAGTCGGACCACGTTCTGTGAGGATAATGATGATAGTCAGTTCGGTCACGTTGTGGTCTATATCTATCGTTAGTACGCACAGTGTTCGTACCATTATATTCGTTTGAGGTGCCATCGAAGCAAAGAATGATTGTTCGGCCTTTGTGAGGCGGTTGTCCCTTATCCCCTTCTCGAGGAGGTGGTTGTGGTCGTTTCTGATCCCTCCCTTTAGAATACGTGAGAGCGTCTTGAAGACCCTGGGGCTGTACTTCAGCCATGATGAGTTGCAATGGTCTGAGAGCAACTTGGAAGAGGACGAAGATTTGTACGGAGTTCCCAATCGCAAGTCCCCTCACTGGTAGTTAATTTCTGGCCGAATTAATGGAATCTGATACGGCCAAGTTAGGCAGGTACCGAGTGCCTCCAGGCACCCAAGGTCCCCACTGATGGAAATCTACTGATAGCCGATATGTAAATACCCATTGAAGAAATCGGGTCCAAACACTTTCTCTTTGACGTTCTTGTGCATCCCCAATCTGTAGCATAGCCCCGATGTACTATAGTCAGCCATAACAATAACTTAACTTTTGGTCTTACCTTTGTCTGTGCAAGTGTAGCTACTAGGGCCACTGCGCTACCTTGACTTTGCTTGCCCGTGGAAGGACACGGCGCATTTGCATCCGACTCAAGCACATGCCACTCGTCCACACTGACAGACTGCGACGTCGATTACATTGATCCTGGCCCCATGGGTTGAATTGGTGGTTTTTGGGCCATACGCCGTTATTAAAGCGGGATTTCCATTGCTTCCAGATAGAGTGGCGATCGCCCTGCCTCACATTTGGCACATTGCATTTATTCAATTATCTGGTCGAATCTAGAGTCATGTTCAGAGGTCATCTGGTTCTCATTTTGTTCGTCGGCCCGTTTGAACTTTCAGTCCTTTTTTGGTGTCCTTGGTGTGCGAGCGCCTTTGTGTTTTCTTTGTTTGATATCTGGTTTTTGTTTTTTGGGGTTGCTTTCGATCGGGTTTGGTCTTATCGGCGGTCAATGAGGTCTAGTTGTTTATTGTCATACATGTATATACGTAAGCTATCAATGGCCCTAGCACTGTCCTGAGGGTTTTGGGCACCATTTTATCATCGTCTCACCACCTCAAATGCGCACCACGCAAGTGCGCGTCACTCATTCTGTGTGTCAATTACGCGTATATAAGTGAGTTAATCATGCCATCAATGGTCCAAGCACTGTCCTGAAGGTACTGGGCACCCTGCTGCCCCATTAAAAACACTAGGTATTTTACACATCAGATATAGTTCTGTAGCCCGAAGGGTTTTTGCTTGGGCGTCTCAGGACACAAGTGTTGTATGTTCAAAGAAATCAAGTTATCATTCATGACGACTGTACATGGCGAAACGCGAGTTATCTACACGAGTAGGACACAATGGGAAGTACACAAAAGAAGTTTAGGATGCAGGATGCTGAGGGCGATGGAGAACTGTGTGAGAGAACTAGCGTAACAGTAGCGCTCAGTTCACGATAGTGCAACTGTAATTATTCAAAAATATTACCTAGCGTAACAGTAGCGCTAGACAATGAAACACGTTGAGTAAAAGGTCTAATAAGACCAAGAAATGAGATCTCACCTCAGTTCACGATAGTGCAACTGAGGAGAGAGAGAAAACAGTCGCGACGAGTGGCTTTTAAGCCTACAACGCCACCTATCAACAAGAAGGATGAATTGGGAATAATGGACAATCTTCTGCGGCTGGTGAGTCCGTGCGCCATAATGGTGGGACGTCGACCTTGTCTCTAATAAACATAAACTGATGCTGCCATCGGGTCCTGCGCCCATTGGTCATAGTTCTAGTTTGGCAGTGGGGTCTTCGACGTTGAACATGTTGGATCATCCTATGTCGGGCCCTCGTAGCCGGGAGGCACCTAGGTTTGGTGGAAAGGACATCCGGAGTTGTATTCACGAATTTGAGCTGCCAGTGAGTCCCTCTCAGTTGTTAAATAAACGCAAAGAAGTGCGGGTTATTATTGTTCAGAGAAAATTACCAAGGTCGTTCGGACCTTTCGCGGTTTGAGAAAGCAGCTGAAGTCAGAAATGTTGGAGAGAAGGTCTACCAGATGAATGAAAGACCTCAGGAAGTTTTGGGAAAAGGCCAGGAGATCGTCCCAGTTGGATGAACGTTCAGGGTTGTTACAACCTCACTTGAGGACAGGCAATGCCTGGACGAAATCGAGCATGATACTTATTTTTATGAAGGAATTAGGCCAAAGCGATTTAGGAAAGCGATTAAGAGGCGCTTGCACCCGAATGGTTCGCTTTCGCCGAATCCAGGAAGATCCAAGGGCGCGTGCCAAGTTGTTTGCGCGGGACGGCTGGCCACTCCCCAAAAATGCGAGAGACCCAGCAGGCCAATCACACGAAAGTGGAACGCGGATTGATGAACGTTCTTCAGTGCACGGTTCGCCAATCGTTCCGTCGGCGCCCCAAGGTCTGGGGCGGTAGCCAGGTTTGAACTTCAGTACTTATACTGGTTGCTTTGGGCGGGACTAGATTTCTGGGGGCGTGGGAAGAGCAGAACGACATTCTGCAGGGTGAGAAATCAGGTTTAAAGGGAGATATCTTACAGCGTTAGTATCCCCATGCCCATCGGCCCTTCCACCGTCTATAATAATAGAGGCTGGTAGCCTGCCTACTTCCACCGAAGGGACCAGTATACGACCCGGATGAACGCTGGGTGTATCTAGTGTTTCTTCTCGGCATATGGCGTCAATTCCAGGGGGAGGACTGGGAGTGTGGCACTCATTTGGAGTATCTCCTGGTAACGCCGCATCAACAACACCAACCAGTCTCGAACACGCTGACCCGGGCGTACGTTCGGTGGGTTTTCGCGTCAATTGTGATAATTGAATTGTCGCGCGATTCGAATTGGTGGCTCGATCATTAATCACGGATACCGGGAGGGTGCGCCGCGTGCATCAGTCCCCCGGCGCTGGCAGTATATTCATGACGCAATCCAATACTGGAATAGAATATATTTTATTTGCTTAGATTCAGGAAAGCTATACAGCATGGCGCGAGCGGAGCGCGGAGTGAATCAAACAAGAACAGGAGCGTGGGAAACTAACCTCGTGCCCCACTCGTCACGAACTTCAGGAGCAAGGTCCTCTGTTCCAGAGCGTTCTAGAGCGCTTGTCGGGTTTTCCTTCGGAAAGTGACCAGGGCTCACCAGACGCTCTTCTTGGCTGAATTGGTGGCAGTCACAATCGAAATGGGTTTTTCTGCATGTTCCCAAAAAAAAAAAAAGCCATACACCCCTTATGTCGACCATTTAGCCCGCCCCTCGATGACGTCTTCCAAAGCGCAAGGCGACCTTCTGGTGTAGGGAGGGTGGGTTGCTCAAATCAGATCAAGGAGCGTAGCAGCCTGCAGATATTTGGCGCAACTCATTTCCTCATTTTTATATCCGGAGGACGCCATGACCGACTCGAACGCCACCGTCCACATCGTCATTCCGGTTTTCCCCCACAACCGTAGCATAAAACAGGTGGCACGGTGCTCCGCTTACGATCGATACCTTCCGCAGTCTGTCACAGTGAGGGATGTGAGGAGTTAACCACAGCCATTCGTTTTATCGCATGCAACTCTGTTCCTTCATTCCCGGAATCTCCCCGTCAATTTTCCTACCCAGATGGCCGTAGCGAACGAATTCCGTGCTGATAACACGACTCGGTCCTCTTGGAGGCACAAGCTTGTGCCGAGCCCTCTCGGCCCGACGCTGGTGCAGCATCCGGGAAGTCTCGCGACTTGGTCCGATGTGCCCTGGCCCCATCCTCGATGGATGTGTAATAGAGTACCATTTTTTGGTAAACTGATTTTCTGGTCATTTTCGTCCTGGCCATCATTGATGGATCCAACGAACGTCAGCGATCCGAAAAACCAAAGTTTCCCGTACGAGATATGGGAGGTAACCAAGACATGACTGGGTTGCATCGCCATTGTAAGCATATACGATGCAAATTATGTCCCCTTGGCGCTCCCCCTCCCAGAAAACAAGGGAATCTCGGCCTCAGCGGGGAGGGGAAGAGCGAGAAAGGCCCCCCAATCCAATTAGTGGAACATGCCTACATTGGGACAACTCTGCACGCGTGCTGGTGCTATATATACTAGCATCCAGACAGTTCTTCACCAATGTGGCTGCGCTCTTCAGCAGATCAAATCCTCGCTTTTGTTATGCGGCCATTAGCCTGGTTTAAGGCTTGGAATTGGCCGTTGGAATCTGTGAATGCGGTGGGCTTCGTTCATAATTAGAAGGGACGAGCGTCAGCCCGAGGAATTCATGCATAGTGTGTTCGTGGCACCACTATATTGCCACACTAGATATCATACACAACCTTAGCACATTTCATCACTTACCCATTAGAGCGTTGGTGCACTATGCAAGGGTCATTTACGTCATCTGTGACATCATATCGCTTGCGAAGAAGGATCAACGTCCAAACATGATGGAGTATTCTCCGCCTTATCGTCAATAACTAACCTGTAAATACCAGACAAACCTGGGGAAGCCACTCTCGAAACGGCTCAGACCTCAAAGGATATATAAATTATCTATGGCTCAGACGCACTCTGACCCAATTTTTTCGTCATGTCTTGAGAGTCCCATGAACGATGCGGAGCCAAACCGGGTCCGTCACGACGATCAATCCTACCCTTTATTCGGCTTCGTATCCACTTATTCTTTTGAACCGTGATGCGTTGGGCATGGGGAGCGTCAGGGACATCGATTTTGCTAGGGATTGGTTGGTGATGTGAACGACGCTAGTAAATTGATTCTGCTTAACCAACGACATCATGCCCCAACTTCGTGATAACCTACCCGCATTCTCAAAGTGAACTAGACACGGGTCGCTGTTTTGACGGTATCAATTTCAGTTGTGTCAAGGTCAATATATACCACTTGCCCCAACCACGACCTCTGCCGCAGCGAAGATCGGAAATCTTGCAACTAGAATAGGGGCCTAAGCAAGACTGGTGGCCACTGCAAGATGGAGGCATGATCAATGATTTCGACGCTGTAATGTTGATCACCTATTCAGAAATTCGGCGCATTTACAGTCCCGGAGGCTCATACCTCTACCCTCAGGCTCGATGACTGGCACTGACAATGCAATATCAAGCCAATGGAATCGCGCGATGGCTGAGTCTGCAAAATCTTAGTTATTCGTGGAAGTATTGTGCTTGACTTATTTGTTTATTGAGGGCTTCATTATTTATGCGACAGTATAGTGTATAAACCCCTCATCTCGCGATTACTAGGTGTTGCTTGCGACGCACCGAAAACTCCGAGGCCTGGGCAAACCCCCACATCCGCGCCCTCAATGCATTATATGCCACATGAATTTTCAATAATCGACTGTGCGACATAAATTAATAACGGGTGCGACTACATGAATTTCCGATAATCAATGCGCCACATAACAACTAGCGGGAACACTAATAAGTGACCTTCCAACCAGTAGGAACGTCCTTAGTCTTCCAAGGACGTGGGCGGTAACCCAACTCCTTCGCATTTGTTCTATCGACTACTGAATTATGCACAAACATCGTTTTGCGTTTGTCAATGAAGGATATCCAGCCCGGCTGAGCTTGCTCAGGTATAGCTAATCTTCGGTGGTTCACCAGTGCGCCTGGTGAAGGGATCTCTCGGCTTGAAAACCCATTGGGAATCATTCTGAACAAGATCAGTACCCGTCATCAAAGATGAATCTTCAAATATGTGTCGAGGATGAGTAAAGCTATACGTACTCGAACCTAGATTGCCAAAATTTGGTTTGCATCTTATCCCGTGTCCTCCGAACGTATGGCCAAAGCTCCAAAGCCCACCACAGCAGCATCATAAAAAGGGTTACGAGACTTGCAGAGACCCACTCGAAGAATTGCGTAAGATTGGGCCTGGGGCGGTGTTCCGGTTTCCATTCCTTCATTCCTTCATAATAACGAATGCGATCCCACGTTTTCCACGCTTTGAGTTCGTCCGTGATGGCAGTCCTGGTATCATCGTGGTGATACTTAACGTCGATGAGGACACCAGAGTTGTATGCCAAACAGACTTTGAATTTCGCTCGTCGAGGGTTGGCCTTAAGTCCCGCTGTAACCTGGGGTGGAACATCATAGTGGGCCACCACGGGAGGATCGGCAGAGGGTAGAGTTGGGTAGAATTCAGAACCATCGTCATCAGACCCATCGTCATCAGAGCCACCATCATCATTCGTTTCAGTGGGCAAGTAGATTCCGAAGCAGGCGAGTTGAGTAGGAAGCCAGCGGATACACAAGTCGTATTGCTGGTCCGCTTCATATAGCTCACGAATCATCCAACGGAGGGAAATGTTCGAGAGTGCAGGGATATACTGGGACTCAGAATCAGAGACATGGGCGAAATCCTTCGCATTCCCTCCTCCAATATCTGATGCAACTCTTAGGATAACGAACCAGAAAAAATTAGTTGATATCTTGCACGAACCGTTGTGTCCGCCCGCAAACCAAACCTCCTTGACATCCGGTGGTCCCCTCTCTAGGCATTTAGCAGGAATCAGTCTCGTCTTTGGCTTGGTGATCTTTGGCCTGGTGAAGAGTCGGTCGAATAGGTATATTCCCCCAAGAAGCGGGGGAAACAAAATGGCGAAGATCTTCAGTAAAAGTTCGAGGACGCCAGAGAACCAATTCTGGACATTGTTCAAGGTGGACGAATCTGGGGCGGAAAAGTCTTTCGCAGATTTGGTAGTTTTCCAGTTTTTTATTCCATTTTCCGTCTGTTCCGTCTGTTCTTGGGCCGAAAGTTGCCAAGACGAAGGAATAAATCTAATAGTCTGTCAATGACAACATTCTAGGAGGGGATAGTTTAACATCTTGCCCACTTCACTCGTCGTTCATCCAGAGCAAGCGCGTGGCGGAAAACTTTGATGGTCCTAGATGACTGCGAGAACGGCAGAGATTGTGGGAAGAGGACTCCAACCGATGAAACAGTGTCCCAAACACCAAGAAAGTCAATAGTTACGGAACGGGAAAACTCGCGTTTGTAGGGACGGCTGTCCAAGAGAAGTTCAAGCACGAAGACATGATGGCCCCATTAAATAAATCACCTTGGATGCCTGCTCGCACCAGTGCTGCGACCAAGGTCTACATAGAGCTTATACGCAAATTCGACTTGCTCTGGAACTGAGGAATGTAACAGGCCAACCTGGAATGATAAATGGATGATGAAATGAAACGTCGGAGTACAATGGGATTGCTTACAGTTTGAAGCATTCCCGCCAACGCACGCGCTGTGTACGCGCCCCGAGAAAACCCAAAGACGCATATTTTATCGCCCTCACGCCAATGCTGCTGCAAGAAGCGATATCCGTCGCAGATCTGGAAATAAGCTTAGCAGACTACAGAAAACGCCGTATCAAGTGACACACATGGTCACCCAAATTGAACGCAATTCCTTGATCAAGGACGTTCAAAAATTTTGAAACGCCCCGGGGGGTGATGGAGGACGTTTCGGTTGCAGTGCCTATCCCAGTCTAATTACGTGATTTGAGTTTGGCAACCAAGACATCGAAATAATGAACCTATTTCACCTGATAATAGACGAGCTGCTTGGGGTGAGATTTCTCAAAACATGTGAATAGTCGAACCACGTTCTGTGCGGATAATGATGATGGTCAGCTCGGTCACGTCTATATCTATCGTTGGTACGCACAGTGTTCGCATCATGATATTCGTTTGAGGTGCCATCGAAACAAAGAATGATTGTTCGGCCTTTGTGAGGTGGTTGTCCCTTATCCCCTTCTTGAGGAGGTCGTTGTGGTCGTTTCTGACCCTTCAGTTTAGAATATATGAGAGCCTCTTGAAGACCCTGGGGCTGTTCTCCGAGATCAGCCATGGTGATTTGAAATGGTCTGAGAGCAACTTGAAAGAGGGATATGAGGGGAATCTAGTGCTAGTCCGCTTCATTTAAGCCAAGCTGAGCCAGTCACGGAGTTGAATTCGCGGGGAGTTTCCAATCGCAAATCCCCTCACCGTGACAACGCGGTTGAATGAATGGAATCTGACACAGCCAAATTAGGCAGGTAGTAGTAGTAGTACCAGGCACGGAGGCTCAGTTGTTCACTCACGTGAAACCAAGCCTCAGGCACCTGTGCACTGTCGCAGCCCTTTGACGAGTGAATGAGGTTCATGTTTACAACGAGCTGCACTTCTCAATATATAAGTATAGGAGCCATTCGGGAGGCTATCTATTGCCCGTTGCTTTGGATAGCCTACGGCATACGAGTTGGCCCATCTCTGCCCTCGCCACCATTTCCCCCTTTAACATGAGCTATCGCCTCTTGATATCATTGAGAAGCTCTAAAATGGCTGAAATTCCTCAGAAGACTCCGGTACCGTAGCATGTTGTGTATAGGCCATATCAGCAGTGCATACATACAAGGCTACAGCGCATACTCACTGTAATGCTGCGCCAAATCCGTCTCTTTATATGCATCCCCGTGCCAGTGGCGAGCCCGTCGTAAAGCAGAAAGACCAAAGCTTCTCCATTGTCCATACCTCTGTCGCCACTCGGTCAACTATAAACATTTTTGGTATTCCAACATAGAGAGCACTCAGTCCTTTATGAGTTGGGCATGAGAGAAAGAAAGCCCCGAAGGTGTTCTGTCTACTGTTAATAGCGGCTGGTGATGCCAACGGACTTCCAATTCCGGTGGAGCCGGGGATGACTCATTTTGAACTCGTGACCACTTCCGCAAGAGGCCCCGCTGATATAAATAGCTATTGACAGAAGAAAAGGGGACGAACAAACATGTCCATTTATGCAAACCATCTGTGTGCCTTGCGCCCCCTGATCTTCCTTGAATCTTGTGGTTACAGCCGATTCCAAAAAAATATTGATTGATTTGATTTCGTCAAACTCATTCTCAGAAATGGCAACTTTTGTGGTCCTAAAAATAAAATGCAACAAACGTGTGTGCCTCCATTTCTTCCCCTCTAGTCAGCGGGAAACAGGATCTTGAGCGCAACTGCAAAAGATGCTCTGGCAATCGTTGTTCTCAAAAAATAAATCCGAATTTTGTTTATCAACATCAACAGACACAGACTTTTTGCTGATCGCACATAAAGGCTGGTACACCGCATCACCAGGCTTTTCATCCTGATCAACTTCGCACGATTGATCTTCTTCAACTAGTGAGTCTGAATCGATATGCATTGCTGGTGGATGTATTAGAGTGGCCGGTAGCGGTCACTGAGTCCCGGAGTACGTGAACTGGAATGAAAATGTATAGTCAGGCGCTATGAATGTGCACTGACTTTGGCGCCGGGCCCCCAGGCACGGGGCCCACACGTGAAACTAAGCCTCAGTCCGCCACTCCGTCCTCTCCGCACGACTTGGACAGGCTGCTTGAGCACCTCATCGACAGCAGCTCCATATGGCTTTGCATCAGTAACGCATGGTGCCTGCAAGCGCCCATCCTCTCACGCTTTTGGAGCTACTTTTCATGAGTTGCAGTATCACTGTATTTTTTTGGACTTCTTCAATAGTACTACTCCGTTTTGGTCCAAGGATGAGGCGCCATCCGCCCTTGCTAACATTGCTTCAGCGGGACTCGAAGTCTGTAAATGCACGGATTCGACAGCTAATTTCCTTGATGCGGGTCCTGAAGAGCGCAAGGAACGACTCAGGATGGCATTTTTGACCCTCGTGTCAAAAATCTCAGCGTGAGGCAGGAGCAGGTCTGACCATTTCAGGTGGAGACGCATTGCTTGTGCATTTGCTCGGTGTGTCGTGACTTTTCTCGAGAAAGCATTTACCCAGCTGTACTATCGCAGGAAGCGTGGCCCTTTGATAAATGAATATCTCAAACTCATTATGCCATGGTCGTTCACAACATTGAGCTGAGTGCGACGGCATATCTGCCCCTCAATGTATAAACATAGGAGCCATTTCGTGAGGCTATCTGCTTTAGATCGATAGTACAGCATGCATGCATAGTGCTCCATTGTCCGAAGCTCTGTCACTACTCGGTCGACTGAAAACATTGTTGATGTTACGTTCCAACATGGAGAGCACTCAGGAGATGTCTCCGTTCAAAGTCCTCATGCATTACAATGACCAGCCGGCCGGGTTTGCTGATATTACCGACAGGCAGCAGGGAAGCCAAGCGTGAAAAGTGTCGGCAAAGGGTTGGACCAGGTTGGACTTCCAAGAGGGAAGTTGGTTGCGGCGGAGAATGTAACGTAACCCTGCGCTATTCATTTTGAACCCGAGAGTGTTTGAAGCCAGGCTCCTCCAACACCCGATAAAATAGCCAATGAAGCCGACCATGTCCGTTTATACTATGTTGTGCGTGCCTTGCGCCCGGAATTGCTCTTCCTTGAATCTTGTGGTTAATACTCTCCGCAGTCACCAGTGTTCTCTCAAAGGATTTGATATGGATACTATTAAACATCATAGACAATCCAAGATTCTTTCCAATAGAGAGCTCGAGACGCTCTGGCTGAGCCTTCTCCAGACAAGAGAAGAGGGGGACATTCTATTCCACATGGTCAGGATCCCCTCGGGTCACCTTCAAGGCTGTGTTGGTTCAGTTACGGTACCTGTACCACCAAGATGGAGAGAATCAACGCTCTGCTGTGGCGAGAAAATCTTGGCTTCATCCTGGATCTTTGTCGAGTATTGGGGTACCTGGAGAGCTCTGTCGCGAGGCTGAGTAATTGAGCGGCTGGAATGCTCTCTGGGCGTTCAGTGTTTGGCCGAATTTCCGCAGCCTTGACGGGGCCATTGTCAGGTCGTCATTAATTGGTTATGCGCATCGGACAAAGAGGTCCTATGAGTACAATTACTCCTCAATCAATGTCTAGAATGAGTGCCACCGAACTCGCTCGCTTAATGTGCAACCTTCCAAGTTTCGTCAGGGCTCCCTTTCTTCTTCCACTCTTTAGGCCAGGGACGAGGCCGATAGCCCAAGTCCTTGCGCCTTACACGTTGAAGGACAGAGCTGTGCACTTGAACTTTCCTCCGATCTTCAACAAACTCCTTCCAATGCCTAGACGCACCCTGAGGAAGAACTACCGATTCGAACTGCGGTATTTGACGGCCTCGAAACATATTAATGCCCATTCTGTGTAGGTATGGGCGCTCGACTTCAAACAAAAATGGGGAACAGACGTACTCAAATCTTGACTGCCAGAAATATCTAGTCCCATTCCGGACCCCCTTCACATACGGCCAAAGCTCGAGGAACCACCAGAGCATCATAGTCAACAGAGTGGTTGCACTGGCCGTCGCCCACTCTATCCGCCAATACGGATTAGGATGATCCCTCATCTCCTGCATACCCCATTTCCAAATTCGTTCCCACATCCATAGCTGATCGGTGATGGGAGCTGAAAGGTCCGCCTCGTAATATTTGAGATCAATCAAGACACCCGACTCATATTTGAGGCACCTCGTGAATTCCGCTCGACGAGGATCGTTCCGGCGCATGTTCGCTGCCTCAGGCGTTGGGATATAGTGAACGGTCACCGGTTCCTGCGTCGGAGGGGCGGGAATACCTGGACGTAGCGTTGGAGTCGATCCGTTCGAATGAGTCTTTGGTGACGTGGAACAACCAGCATATTCATTGTTCGTCAAGGGCAGTTGAGGTAGAGATATTCCAAATCTGGCAAGTTGTACAGGGCGCCATCGAATGTTCAAATTGTATCTCTTATCTGCCTCATAGAGCTCATGAATCATCCACCGCAACGAGATATTTGAAAGGGCAGGCACATAAGCAAGAGCGGGGAATGCAATACTCCCACCATCCACTCTCACTGTGTCTCTTGAGTTGCCACCCCCGACGTCTGATAGTGGTCTATCAGGATCGCAGACACAACCAATGCTAGATACGCACCGGCATGTCCACCAGCAAACCAAACTTCCTTCACATCTGGCGGGGACCATTTCTGAGACGTACTGCCAGCAGGGATCAGACATCTTTGCGCTTTGCTCTCTTCCTTGGGTTGGCTATTTGGTCGCATGTTCTTGAGCGGTTCCGGGAGCCAGCGGACGAGGCTGGAATAAAGTAACTCGAAGGGTAAGTTCAACATCCCCAAGACCCAATGTCGCAGGTTCTCGAATGTTGTGTAGTTGGGAGCAGCAAAATCGGCTGGTAACTTTGTCGTCCTCCAGGAACCATTCGCTAAAGTCCGTTCCTCGACCGAAAGTGCCCATGTAGAGGGGATGAACCTGATCGAATTCAACATTAAATTATTGCTTGGACGTACCATTCAACAAGACTGACCTGACTCTGCGCTCATCGAGCGCCAATGCTTGACGAAACACTTTAATAGTGTGAGATGTTCGTGAGAAAGGGAGAGACTGTGGAAAGACAAGGCCAGCAGAACCGACAGTATCCCAAACTCCTAAAAAATCTATGACAACATGACGGGAGAAGTCACGTTTATAGTCCCGGCTAAAGGGTTGAGCCAAGAGATACATGATCCACAGGCATCACGTAAAGCAATTCTAATTTGTAATACCTTATATGGTTGCTTGTTGACCCTCCTCGTCCAAGGGTTTTGTACAATTTATAGGCGAATTCCACCTGCTCCGGGACCGTCTCAGGTAGCAGTCCAACCTGCATAGAGACGGGATTTTCAACATATCAAACGGACAGATGCACATCTAACTATGATGTCTACCGTTTGTATCATGCCGGCTAAAGCTCGAGCTATGTAGGCACCTCGTGAGAAACCGAAAACACAAATCTTATCCCCCGGGCGCCAATTCACTTGGAGAAAGTGATATCCACTGCAGACCTGGATGGAACATGCAGAGACGATATATAAGATGGAGAAACGTCACAATACAACTGAACGGATTCACGTTGTCTTCGAGATGCCAAGCAATGCCTTGATCAATCATCTTCGATATCCATGAACTAAAACGTATCCCAAAACGGGATCTGGTCGAAGTCCCGATCCCTGTCTGCAATCATATTCAGCTTCCCTGCCCCGAATGAATGATAGAACGCACCTGATAATACACAAGTTGTTGCGATTCCCGCTTCTCCAGACATGAGAAGAGCCGGACGACGTTCTTGATAGCAAACCATCGAGGTTGGAGCCTTCAGACCGGAAGTGAGAAGATGGTGTATAACTCACGGTGTTCCTGCCGTGATAGTAGCCCGACGTGCCATCGAAGCAAAGAATAAGAGTCCGGCCCGTGTGCACCATAGACTCGGGAACGCCTCTTTCTAGAATAGTCAACGCCGTATTCAACTCTGCAGGCATGGCTTCAGCCGCGCTTTCCTCCGGTGAACCACTCGCTGAGGCCGAGCAGAAACGACTAGGAGCATGAAGGCGTAGAAAAACTCTGGCTCCCGAGCGTTCAGTGTTTTTTGCGAGACTATGTCGCGATGCAGTCGCCCAAGAGGTCCGAGCACCATTTCTGAGAAGGGTCAAAGTAGGACGTCCTGACACACACAGCAGCCCAGTCATCTCAGGGTTGTTCAACCCTACAGATCATGATAAGCGCTCAAAAAGTGATCGTACAGCCTCATGTTTCTCATGCATGAATGCTCCGCATCCGATGCACCCACCTCGGCGGTGTCCAAGAGCTTGTGGGCTGATCTATTTGACACCAATTCCAATAGAAGCTGGCCTGCCTACTGTAATTTGACTAGCACGCAAGTGGTTTACATATGTCAACTGCTTCGGTATAAATACACAAAAATAAGGGTAAAGGCTTCGGTAAGGATCATCGTGGTTTTCGTGATATTTCAAGTTTAAATCCTAACGAAAGGCTTGAGCCTCTTTTCAATGGGCTAAATATGGACAATGCTGTCACTGCGGCCTTCGACCTGTATGCAAAGTTCAGTGCTCGTCCTGAGTGGTGTCACGACCTATGGAAAGCCGTTCTGTCGCAAATACAGCGCATACAATCGGCTCAGTTCATTTGCAACGTCGCCAATCGCTTGACAGAGTCCGCCGATCTTCCCATGGAGGCACAGTTTTCAAAATGGCTTGATCTTGGAGGAAGAAATGAGATGATTCAATCACCATGGTCGACAGTCATGGAATCAGCTCCTCATTAACTTGTTATCTCTAACGTCCTTTCTACGGACCGCGTCATCATACATCTCTGCGGTGGAACGTGGAAGCCCATTCCAATGACAGTCAGAGTCCCCGGTTCAATCCGTTGTTGCAGTCAATGCCATTGCGCGAGATCTATTGCTCTTCGATGATCCATCGATGAAAGCGATTGACCTCGGAGCGACCCAGCGGCTTCTGGGCCAAAGAAGCGTTTTGTGTCGGACGGAAGACCTCAAGCCTCTGTTCCAAGCCATCGCAAGACTCGCCAAACTGGCCGATCTATTAAGATATCCTGTGACGAGTTACTACACGATATCTGCTCCAGCAATTATTTCCGGTCTCTCGCTTCACGCCGTCTCGTGATGATCTGCAAAGTTTTTCGCGATTGTTTCTCTGGTGGCTCACCTTTACCAACGGAGGATTCGTCTTTGGTACGAGCTCTCCAACTTCTCATGGTCTCGTCCCGTCCTAGCAAGATTATATTTCCCCTTGAACTGTTGATGCCCATCTAATGTTAGGAAGGCAAAGTAGGTTCAGAGCGTGTAAACCCCGCCAATCACACGTTTTTGGCGATAATGAGTCGTATCACCGCGTGGAACTTCTCCCATGCGAAGGTGGAGCTTCAGCTTACCCCGAAGCAAATATCGGTTTCGCCCTCTCACGATGAGACGAGACCTAATGCGGAAGTTGAGTTGGAGGCTTTCACGACCAGTTTTCTTGAACGCCAACTGGATGTCCAAGAGGCGGACTTGGTGGCCGACATCCTCCGCGGGATCAATGGGAAAGTCGTGGAGCAGTTCATCTCACTGTTGTTTCACCATCCGCTCAATCATGCGTCCATAGTTCTTGAAAGGAGGGCTGAAGCGATTAACCCAATTCCTAAACGATTTCGTATCACCCCCATCTGTTTCTATTAGCAGTCAAGCAGGGGAGGTTCTGCGACTGCTTGCCAATGTGCTCAGGCCACTACACTACAACCCCGGCTCCGTGCCGACACTGGACCCATCTGTGCTTGACACATTCAGTGATGCACTGCACAGATGTTTTTAGAAAGCGCTAAAGTTGATTCGACCGCAAAGGTCGAATCAAGAGGGAGGAAGATCATTACTAGTCCCGACGAATGATCTGTTACAGCTCGTCCTGTTGCTGGTACGGATGCTCCAATTCGAGATTGTGTTCAGGAGCGTAAAAACGCCGATCGCCAGAGAAATAGCGGATAAGCGCTTTGCAATGCGAAGTAGGCGAGCCTCCTCATCCTAGATCTGACTCGTGCTTACATGTTTCCTGATCTCCAGGCGTTCCACGAAACAATGAGACTTACCCCTTCTTCTTCAATCCCTTTCCTCGCTATCCTCGACACAGCTTCCCAACTGAGTGAGTACCCACTGGATTGGATCCGGCATTGCACCGATAACTCTATCCAGATCCCATCACCAAGGGCCCCAGACCTGGCGCTGGGGAACAAGACTTACGTCCTGAGATTTCCGATTTTTCACCATTGACCCCACCATCTCTCCGTTCCTACATCACTTTCATCTCGCCATACAGACCCACTGATTGGTATACAGCTAACCTTTTCCACGCTCGGGCGGCGTTCAGTTCGAATCCTACTCGGCTCATCTTAGGTGATCCCGTCCAGGCTCGACCATGGGAATGGGTAGAATTTACCGGAGCACCGCCAACTGCTCAAACATCAAGCAGGAGGATTAATGAGGATGTCGATATTAAGGATCTGAACATGAGCGCGTTATCACTGGAGCATTTCGTAGTTAGGGTCACAGGGGAGAAGATACAGGGTAGTAATAGCAAAGAAGACGAGAACATGCAGGACCTGATGGAACGGAGGCGAAGCGAGGATCACTTCTACTCGGAGAGCGTCTATGAACGGGATTGGAAGGAGGAGGGATCTGCTCAAATCGGCATTAACCACTGACAAGCGCGATGGTCAGAAGGATGAGAGCGAAGATCAAGGAGAAGACGCAGGGGGGAAAACCAATGCCTGGACTATTGGTTCCGAATTCGATCGGCTTCTCAAGCGCAAGGCTGAATATGATCCCGCAGCTTCTTGTTCGTCTTCGGTCTCTAGCGTGGGTCAGCCCTTTTCTCTTAATAGCGCAGGGTCTCATCTTGGGAGAGGTACAGACTTGACGCCACAATCAAGCGCTGGAAGAATAATAGTCGAGGTAGTTGACTTGCTCAGAACCAGGCCAGGGCCAGGCTTCCCAGCAGCAGCAAGATCGATCTGGACTGAAGCGGACGTCTATGCTGGAAGCGCCTCCGAGTGACCCTCTCATGCTAAAGAAGGGTCGATTGCGGTAGAACCAACCGTTTGGATCCCCTAGCCAATTGCAGGCCTGACAACAAAATGATTCTTCGCAACAATCGCCTATTTACGTTTACCATCTATGTCGCGATCATAATATTATTCCCTGAACTGTTGTGAACGATCAACCTCAAATGGAATCCTACTCAGCAATATGTCAACTCGGGCTGCAATGAAAGAGTACGAAACACCGTGTGTTTCAATTAATCACGCCACCACAGTGCTGATGTCTGGTATGTTGATAACTTGGTACTATCGCACAATAGGGTCCTTAGGGAATGGGCCAACAGAATAAGATATGACCAAGCATTCACAGCCTCGACTAACGCGTGTGGCAATGAGGATAGCTAGAACCTGATCTTCCAGTCCATGATTGAGCCGTCAGTACGTACCGAAGGCCTCGTATAGTGACATTAACCTCCGCGAATGTGAATGTACCTAATTTATGGACAGGCCAAATAGTGCAATCGACGTTCACCGTCGAAATATATATTCGATGTATGACATATATTTGATAGAATATTGTCACTCGGATTGTCGAGTTCCAAGGTCTTGCTTGTGAAGGTGCTGCCCAGACTTCTGCATCAGAATGATTCAAGAGTGAGCGAGTTACGAGCTGGAACACTGGGTTTCCAGTGCTGAGGTGGCATTTAATGCCTGTGCTGGGTGGCCGGTCAATCCATCAATTATAAGCTGCATGCTACCCGCAAGAGCCCCAACTAGAGTGGGCCTTCGCTGCAGGCAGACAGTTGCCAGCCTCTATTGGAATAAGCAGAAAGCGGATATGCCATCATAGCTCCCATCAGCAGGTTGATGCATGTCCAAATCAGATCGAACATCTCGACATCAAAGTGGCAGGACTTGGCAAGATCATCAAATTTGTTACCTGTATAGCTTGCAACATCCATCCCCGCCTTTCATGAGAAAAAAAAAACTGCAACGCGCGAGAAAAGGTGGACAAGCTTCAATCTATCCCCTCGGTCACTTGGGTCTTAGACCTTGGATTGAAAGCGGGGTTGTGCAGAGGGAGGCCATATTATTGCTACGAGAGGACTTCGAAGGAAGAACCGAGCCAAGCCCAGTCCAGTACGTTTACATGACTCCGGGACCCTATCCGCCATTACAACTCGCTGTAAGTGCTCCGCCTCTGGAAGCGAAGTCCCCAGGTGACAAAGATGAAAACTAGAACCCTAACAAATTGGAATGAAGCGTGACCGATGGTACGGAGGGCCCGGAACCAGGCGACAAAGAGGCTGGAGGTGGGAGAGGGATGATTCGTCCATCAATGATCACTTCGATGAAAGGATCGGGAGCGACGGACTCTCCTAAGGGTGCAGAAGGGATTCTGGGGATCTGGGGAATATCGGTGCCAGTGACGTCAACGGTGGCGTCGGTACACACCTCGCACCTTGTGCTCCATTATCATGGTGGTGATTTGACAGGCACGTGCATTGCTTATCGAGATAGCACTATCGAATCAAGCTCCTGGTGGTCTTTTCCGAATTGGAGTTTGGATATCCCCAAGTCACTAACACTGCGCCAACATTCATCGTCCATCCAAACCTCAACGTGAGTCATCACTTGTGGTGGAATGCAGAAACATGGACCAGTACATCAGCGATGAGCGATAGGAGTAAAAATGTGCTAGAGAGAGGTGAATATTCTTGATAGTAAAAATTGTAAAATCATGATGCGACTGTGATTTGTTATGGGTGTAGCGGCAAGTGAACTCCATATATGTTTTATGGATTAGTTAAAAAAAATTGAGGTTGGATGTGTGTCCTTATGCCGAACATCCAATTCAAGCTTGCCTGCCATGTGCAGGCAGCGAAACTGAGAAATGCAATGATAAGGAAAGCACACTCAGATATGGACCATTTGTGCCTCTGAATGACGCCCGAGATTGGAGAGAGCATTACGTAGGTTCTCGAGCGACTTGGCCAATCTTGGGGTGATTACTCCTGGGTTAACAGCAACTAGCTGTCGGTAGAGTTTCACGCTTTCTTCGATGAATGGGAGCGCCTCCGAGTGCCGTCCGAGATTGGAAAGAGCCGAATATAGACTGTTGAGTGACAAGGCCAAATTCGGGGTGTATGATCCTGGATGAATGACAACTAACTGGCGTCGGAGTTTAACGCTTTCTTCAATGAATGGGAGTGCCTCTGAGTGCCGTCCGAGTTTGGAAAGAGCGGAATATAGATTGTTGAGTGACAAGGCCAAATCTGGGGTGTATGATCCTGGATGAACGACAACTAACTGGCGGTGGAGTTTAACGCTTTCTTCAATGAATGGGAGTGCCTCCGAGTGCCGTCCGAGATTGGAAAGAGCCAGATATAGATTGTTGAGCGACATGGCCAAATCTGGGGTGTATGGTCCTGGGTTAACAGCAACTAGCTGTCGGTAGAGTTTGATGCTTTCTTCAATGAATGGGAGCGCCTCCGAGTGCTGTCCAAGATTGGAAAGAGCCAAATATAGATTGTTGAGCGACGTGGCCAAATCCGGGGTGTATGATCCTGGGTTAACAGCAACTAGCTGTCGGCAGAGTGTGACGCTTTCTTCGATGAATGGGAGCGCCTCCGAGTGCCGTCCGAGATTGGAAAGAGCCAAATATAGATTGTTGAGTGACATGGCCAAATCCGGGGTGTATGATCCTGGGTTAACAGCAACTAGCTGTCGGTAGAGTTTGACGCTTTCTTCAATGAATGGGAGCGCCTCTGAATGCCGTCCGAGATTGGAGAGAGCATTACGTAGATTGTTGAGTGACATGGCCAAATCTGGGGTGTGTGGTCCTGGGTTAACGGCAACTAGCTGTCGGTGGAGTTTGACGCTTTCTTCAATGAATGGGAGCGCCTCTGAATGCCGTCCGAGATTGGAGAGAGCATTACGTAGATTGTTGAGCGACATGGCCAAATCCGGGGTGTATGATCCTGGGTTAACAGCAACTAGCTGTCGGTAGAGTTTGATGCTTTCTTCAATGAATGGGAGCGCCTCCGAGTGCCGTCCGAGATTGGAAAGAGCCAAATATAGATTGTTGAGTGACATGGCCAAATCCGGGGTGTATGATCCTGGGTTAACAGCAACTAACTGGCGGTGGAGTTTAACGCCTTCTTCAATGAATGGGAGTGCCTCCGAGTGCCGTCCGAGTTTGGAAAGAGCGGAATAGAGACTGTTGAGTGACTTGGCCAAATGCGGAGTGTACCAACCCGAGTCCACAGAAAAAAGCTGACGGCAAAGTACAACGGAATCATTTGCTGCCTCACATGCCTCCTGAAATCTTGAATGAAATACCAAATTCCACGGAAGCACGGCAAGCGCATTAGCCAGTGCACTGACAGGGCCTTCCGAACCATGATCAACAACCAACTGGAAGATCATGAGGTAGTTTCATTAACACGATTTATCGATGACCCATACCTTAGTCCACTCAGGGAGTAACGAAATACTGATGTAGCTTTCCATTCTCACGCAGACTTCCACCCAGCAAGTTGCCTGCTGACTGAGAAACAAACCAACTGATCCAGAAAGCTCCTGTGACGGTTCCTGGACCCCACTGAGATGATGAACAATGTAGCGACATGCATATTGAAAGTGCTCAGATAATTCTGTTGGAGGAATAGACGGCATTTCATCTCTTTCGGACAAGTTTTCAATCAGTCCTAAGCCCTCTATAGAGCAGAGATCCTTGTTCAGAATCTCGGTGCATCGCAGGGCGACCCTGGCATTCTCTGTCCCAACTCCTACTGGACTGCAACGAGGACTGATTGTCTGGGGATCGATCCAATCGACAACAAAGTCTCGGAAAGATTGGTGTAAGATGCGAACCGGAATGTGGGAATCCTCAACTCCTGAGAGGAGAGGTGCAAGTTCCGCCAACGTATATCGCACAGAAGACTTGAGGGAAGGCGACAAAATTGCATCCCAGGCTGTGATCGATAGAGGCTGCTGTGCAACGAAGATTGCTCCCATCACGATTGGGTAATCATCCGCAAAATCTTGATCCTCCCAAGCACACTTCTTCAAGATGCTCGTATACAAGTTATCCATCATTTTCTCAGCAGGGACATCAGGTCGTTTGGCACCTGTGTCGAGTAGGCTCTCTAGTGTCCTCATTGGATCCTTGTTCGCCATCTTCATGTAGCGAAAGATCGTGCTGATCCAAATGAACAAGCCGTTTGCTCGTTCCAAGATCTCCTGTACCGTTTTATCCTCGTCCCGAAGATTGGACCGTAAATCTCGATGTAATTTCTTTAGCTTTTGCAGCTGGAAGCGTATGTATTTAGCACAATCTCGCACATTTGTCTCGTCCGAGAGATTGATAGTGAGTCGATAGATAGGGTAATCGGGGGAGAGGTAGCGATTCACGAGATCAAATTGTCTCGATGTGAGAAAGAATTTTACGGATGATGGTAGCTTGGGCACTTCCTCCCCAAGAATTTCAGCAAGGGACTCGAACACTTCTTTGTCACATTCATCCAATGCATCGAGGATGATCACCATAGGATGGTCGAAAGGCGGAGGTTTATGGAGGAGAGCCGGAGCGACCAATTTCTTGAATTGCGTCGCGAATGGAGTTGTTGAGAGACTAGGGTCTTTCCGAAGAGCAGAGGTAATGAAAGTGCGGTAAACGGGATCATGGTCTGCAAGCGCTCGAGCTATGCCGCTGAATACAGAATCGGGCCGTGACCGTTCACCCTCTTTAAAGAAGTAGCGTAATAATAGGGTAACATCCCCATCACTGGCACATCTTTCTGCTATCGTGAGTGCAATTGAAGTCTTGCCAGCGCCAGCCACAGCAGTCAACAGCATTAGCCGGTTTTCGCTATCCCGTGTGTTGTGACACCATGTCATGATACGCTCAATGAGATCAACCCTAGTGTCTTTTAGGCACGCCTGAGTGGAATCATCGTGGGCGACATGAGGGCATCGGAGACTATCGAGGATTTTGTCGTCCTGTTGACGACGTTCTATGGCCGCTAATTTGGCGCTAGTTATCAAGTTCGTCCTGAGCTGCATCACCCGAAAATCAGAATGGCTATGGAACGGTATTGTAGGGAAAGCTACCTGAAACGATGTCAATGATTTGTCAAAATCCTTCTTTAGACCATCGATTCTTCCTGGGTCTTTCAAGTAAGACAATGCATTTACGAAAGTCGGTCGTTTCTCTATTTTTTTCAATCTTCGTTCGATTTCGGACTTAATCTTCTGTAGCGCGCTGAGACTTCATGTAAGTTACGACACCAAAGAGCATCAAAAACAAATACAACGGACCCATTAAGCTTTTTGGCATTTTCCACCCACGGCTCTGCTTCCTCTGCTGACGTATCATAGGATTCTATGGCTAAAACCACCTCGGCTACCATGTCCACTACGTATTGACCAAAATCAGCCCATTCCTTCTCGTTCTCCTTGAACTTCTATGTGGCGCAAACTAGTGTGAGCTGTCATTCATGGCCAAGCTGGCACAAAGCATTGCCAACCTTAGCCTCATCGAGGATGGAGAGTGCACCGCTAGTCGCCATCTTTAGAGGGGGACACCAATCAGCCGTAGCATTGACGACTCTGAGGATCGGAACTGCTATGTCGCCTCCCGCTACGAGGAGACCATCGATCGTTTGCCTGAGGGCTTCAGCCTTTTGCCGCAACGACATGGTCGATAACGGACAAGTTGATGGAGGAGAGCTCTGGGAACACACGTGTGCTCAGGGCCACGAGGCCCTTATACGATTATGGAAGTTGACGAGAAGCATTTAGTCGACGGACTTCTGATCTGAAATCTATAGCGAATTCCAGTGCGCGCGGTAGCCCGACCTGGACTGGCCAAGTGATCGGAACGGGTGATGACTTGGTTCATCTACTGAGCGAAAACCAGTATCAGGTCACCTAGAATGAGTGTGATTAGGGATGCGAACCAGATATGAACTAGCAAGTACACTATCGGACAGCATACTGAGGCACAAGTCGCGGCGCTCGCCTCGTACAGAGGAGGATGGCAAGCCGGCATGGCACACGTACGCGACGTACATTAGTGGAGGCAAGTGGGTGGCGGTGTGCACACGTCAATGCCCAAAGAATGGGGCAAGTATAGAGGCTTATTACTTAAGTCAGTTCGTTCTCGCATGCAAATTTCTTTTGCCTGGTCGTAGGGGGGCCGATCGATAACTTTCCAGATAGCGCGTTGAAAGTGTACAAGGTCCAAAGTATTGCAGCCGGTCGGTCAGCGTCCCCCGGAGCCACGATGTCTCATTATGAAGCTAGCGCCGTTATTCCAGATCAGGGGTGCATTCAATCACATTATCTAATTGTCATGCTTTATGTAATGCACTCACGCCCAATTCAACTAGTTGCAAGCCATTAATTTGTGAAATCTTATCGGAGAGATATACCTTCCATCAGCGTATCATCCGGGCATCATCATACGTCAGAGCTTTCAAGGGGTTATGACGGACCCAGAATCACGCGCTCGACTTCTATGCGTGAGTTCCTTCCCTCTATAAGTAATTGGCCGTGTGCTGACGCGGTGCACACAGGCTCTCGCTATTTCGAGAATACGTTGCGGAGGGACTTGGCTTTGATACTGTCATTGTTCAGGAATACCTTGAGGTGTTGGCGGAAAATCGCACCTTTCTTGCGCCTCTCGAAGGCTGCCTGGCAAAGCTTTCTGAAATTGAATCTATTCCATTCGAGGACAACCTCGCAGGGATTCTGGAGGCTATCATTCAAAGAGCTTCAGGTTGCGACCGGAATGCTTCGTACATCCAAAAATGTGGTATCAACATATCTCTCATCTCAAGCGTCTTCTTGAAGATAATTTCCCTAAAACTCCTACCGCACGCTCAGCAATGTTTCATGACAAATCGTTCGAGTCTATTTCTTCTCGAAACGATGCTGTTACCTTTATATCTCTTCCTCCTCGGGCGGCTGCCTCTCTTAGATCCACCAGCGTTGATATTCAAACACTCAATTCTATCGGCCCAACTACCAACCCTCGCGAAGTCCGTTTTCTGAGTACAGAACAAGAAAACGAGACTTGGTCGCAAACATTTACCCGAAAACTTAATGTTCTCCTTGGAGTGTCACGACTGGATCAGGGGAGCAGCCGATATACGTTGCAGTATGTATCATTACGGATTGGCTAGCACAAACTGGACCCAGGAGAACACCGAGTCCGAAAGATTCATACACGATTCCCTGTTGTCGTGGCTGGACACGTCGCAAATAGCTAGAGATCGATTACCTAGTCCACACTTCGTTCTTATACGGGGAGCTTGTTCGAAGGGACCTTGTCTCGTTTACGAAGCTCGTGCAGAGAATTATTGCCAGGGGTGATAGCTTACATAGAGCGGATGGACCGTCTCATCTTGCAGTAATACTGCGGGCTATCCCATTGACGTCATCCCGAGGCACCTGCGACGCCCGTTCGACTGTGCTCTATGGTGTCACTGGCCATGAAGATGATGAAACTATATTGAAGCTTCAGCAGGAATGGGTCCGTGTATTGGCAGAGTTCAACCCAGGTGCTCATGCTCGAGTGTGGATGTGTCTCATACTGGGGATTGACTGTGTTTGAATGTTTGAAGAATCAGCTGCGTTGGATAGACCGGGCGTTGCTTCCCCTCCGACGGATGTTAGCATCTTCGATCAGTGGGAATTGGTTCATACGTGGCTTCTCCCTCCAATATTTGAGCACGTTCAAAAGTATGCCATCCCATGACGCCAGAGTTTTCTACCGTGCTAAAATCCCATACTCTTCACCACTATAGTACACCCTCGGGTCGGGATCTTTTTCAAGTCGACACATTTTGCTCGCTCAGCGTCAATCGCGGCGTCTCCCCGCTCTTTCCGAGGTTCGATAATCCGTGCTCAGCAAAGTCGATGGTCACCGACTCTTCATACGTTCCCTCCTAGCTGAGGATTCTGCTTCTGAGGAAGAACGTATCGGACCTTTTAGTTCGTTCAATCTTGAACGTGTTCCGTGTGCATCATGAAACATGGTGCTTCACCGACATGAAACAGACCCAGTGACAAGCACTACTTAATTGCGCCTCGTCGGCGAAAGATGTGGGGAATTATCTCTCTGCAGCGTCAGTTTCCGCATTCCTCAGAGATACGAATAGGGGCATGACTGCTGTGGCTTCTGAATATGATTCCGCACCACTTCAAGTACGTACACATTGATTCGATCTGTGGCTGGTGGCCGTTATGCGATTTATTTGTGCTTCTAGAGGCCTCCCAGTTCAACAGCCGTGTACACGGTAATACAAGTACTAGTGAATCCACACGTCACATGAATATATAAGGGTGGACGTTGACACAGTCCGAATAATCCCACCCCCGGGGAAGTCCACAGCATTTAGCAAAGAACACAGCATTGCGTGAGATGTGCTATTGGGTTTGGATGCCTTTCTTCCATGCCTCGGACGCCTGATGTGATGGGGGGTCGTGCTGCCGTAATATTTCCTTAGACGCAAACAAGAATTGACCCGACTGAGTTTGGGACAATCGCAGCCCAGCACCATATTAAGTCCACCGCGCGCTATTCCACTCTAATGATTTGTGGCAATCAAGCTGTTGGACAGTTGAAGGTCAGCACCGCCGTGGATGGGCTGCACAAACGACAAAGCGTGGCCCAGAATGGCAGGACGTCAAGAGAACGAAGTCGAACGCAATTTATGTTATGCAAGATCAGAGCGGTGTCAATTGCAATCACAATGGATGAATGGCTTTACCATTACCTAATAAGTAATCCTCCATCTCTTCCCAAGTTCTTTTTTCCGCGACCTTGGCCAAGGTCGCGGCCAATATCCCAAATCCTTATTCGCTGCTCGCTGAATAACAGAATCGTGGACGTATATATTCCAACGATTCTTAACAAAATGTCTCCAGGTTCTCGAGCTACCATTGGGAAGGTCTACTGGAACCACTCCAGGCTCCTCCCGAGCGCCAAATTGGTTGACAGCTATCCTGTTCCAAAACTTAGGATCATCGACAATCTTGACCAGCCATGACAACTAAATATGACTTACTCGAATTTGGTTTGCCATCTAAATTTACCCCCGCTTCGAACCATCTTAACATAAGGCCAAAACTCAAGGAACCACCAGAGTACCATACTAGCGAATATATGTGAACTATGTCCAATCCATTCCATTGCCTGCTTCGCAGATGGGAATCTATTCTCCCATTCTTGCATCCCATCATACTTCCATATCTGCTCCCACATCCAGATTCGGTCGGTCATTGGGGCCGCCAGATCCGCTTCATGGTAGTCAAGGTCGATCAAGACATCAGACTTGTACAAAAGGCACCGAGTGAATTTTGCGCGCCGCCGATCGTTCTCTCGTGCCTCGTCTATATCCGGTGTAGACTCATAGTGAACGATTTGCGGAGGGTATGTTTCAAGGCTAGGATAAGGCTCAATGACCCGATTCCCGATGGTCAATGTCGATGATGAGGATATATTGTTGGGGGGATCATTAGTAAGGGGAAGGGGTGGCAAATAAATTCCATATCGTGCTAGCTGGACCGGCCTCCATCGAATATTCAAATTATACCTCTGATCGGCCTCGTATAGTTCACGGATCATCCATCGTAGAGGAATATTTGAGAGGGCAGGCATATATCCAAGCGTGGGGGGTTGTGGGTGCGGATTCCTTGTCTTGACAACATCTTTTGAGTTCCCTCCACCTACATCTAAATTACGAAATGGTCAAGGGATCGTTCATTGGGATCACGCAACTTACCGCCGTGTCCACCAGCAAACCATACCTCTTTGACATCAGGAGGTCTTCCCTGAGGAACCATACTTTTCGCTGGGATGAGCCTTTTGTTATTTTCGGTTTTTAGGTTCAATAGCATTTCCCTTCTCAGTCCCTGAAGCGCCAGTGGCAGCCACCCAATAAAGAGGTGGGTGGGTGTCATCAGTATGTCAACGGCGAATCCGAGCAAGCCCAGGTGCCAATGACGAAAATTGTCCCAATGGGAGAAGTTCGGTGAGGCAAGTCTAATGCCACCTTGAGTTGTCTTCCAGGAGCCGTTCTCCAGTGTCTGTTCTGCAACTGGTAGGGCGTAAGGTGAAGGTGCATATCTAGTAGGATTCAGCTCTCCATACCCAAAAATACGAATGAGGAAAGACTCACTTCATCCTTCGCTCATCTAAGGCAAATGCTTGACGGAATACCTTGAAAGATCCCGACGTCTGCGAGAAGGGCAGTGTTTGTGGGAAGAGCAGCCCCACCGAAGTAACGGTATCCCAAACCCCAAGAAAATCAACCGTGACGTGACGAGAGAGGTCCCGTTTGTAATCATGGCTGGGCCTCATCATTAGCCACGAAGCGAGCACCATTTGTCCACATTACCTTAGATGGGACATTGTAAATTTACGACCGAGGGTCCTATAAATTTCGTAGGCAAATTCCACTTGTTCCGGAACTGTTTCGGGAAGCAAGCCAACCTTAATGTGGTTCTTATCTAAGTGGGTAGAACCAAAAAATGTGCGTAAACTTACTGTCTGAATCATGCCAGCAAGAGCCCGGGCAATGTATGCGCCTCTCGAGAATCCGAAAATGCAAATTTTATCCCCTGGGCGCCAATTCATTTGCAAGAAGTTATAACCGCGGGAAATCTAGCATGCAAAATACGAGTTGGACTCCACGGCATACCGACCGATCCACATACATTGTCCCGAAGGTGCCACGCCAAGGCCTGGTCGATCATCTTCGAAAACCATGTGCCGAACCGTGTCGGAAGGCGTGATTTCGTAGTCGTGCCAACTCCAGTCTTAGCGAGAAGATAAAAAACGCAATATCATGTCCCGGAAAATGTTGAACCCACCTGGTAATACACAAGCTGTTGAGGCTCTCCTTTCTCAAAGCACGTGAAAAGTCGCATAGCATTCTATGGTCAAGAAGAGTTAGCAATACTTATTCTTCCCCTTTCTGAACTCCCCAAAGTTGCCAGCGTACAGTATTCTTTTGATCATAACAATTTGAGGTTCCGTCAAAACAGAGAATGAGCGTCCTCCCAGTGTGTTCCTTCGGCTCCAGCGCGACCGTCTCAGAACTTGTGAGTGTTTCACTCAGTCCTGGAGGCATGCTCCTAACATCTGGAGAGGCAGCCAGAGAGTATCCCGAACCCAGGGAAGGAAACCTTTGGGGGCTGCCAGAGCCCTGCATACAGCGCCTACCGGCTCGTGGTGCCCAAATCGAACGCCTACGACATGACCGCGCGTAACCAGCCTCCGTGACAAAACTAGAGACTGGTGTGGGGGGAGCACGTGGAATCCTGGCTAGCACAAATGTGTTCATGAACATCAACTGGCCACAGAGCAAGGCCCGGGCGGATCCGCATTTGTTGCATGACATCGTTATGAAATTATGTATGTCTGCAACGCCCGGGCGCTTGCTTATGTGGAGGAAGCAACTGGGTTAATGATCGATAGGGTCTGGGGGATAGAGCTAGAGCGACCCAAAATTGGTTTAGTCGATCTACCGGGTTCACTTCGCCGAGGCGGAACTACGTAAATTTCTGACATCGAGTTTCTTTCACCTCCCCCTTTCTCTCTGATTCACTGAAGTATGCGGCTATGCCGATAGGCATAGATCATACTTTCAAATGAATACGACAACAACAACAGGTGGTCATGGACCGTCTCGGATACCACAGCGGTAATAGGCCGAAGAGGTCACTGGATCCAGAAAAAGACTCCCCCCGGACGTGAAAGACGTCTGGTTTGTGGGTGGACACTGCGGTATGGTAGCCTGCCTTCATCCCACGAACACACCCGCCTCATTTCCCAATCCTAGATGTCGGCGGAGGAAACGCATCGGACGACAAGCGTTGTATGAGGCAGACACGAAATGTTGTCTCAATGTTCGCTAATGACCCATTCAACTGGCTTGCTATGGCATCTTGTTGCCCCCAATTAAGTACCCCAACGACGAAGACCAAAAGGACAACCTCAACAAACAAAGCAAACCTAGTCAATGGCTCGTACCCTTCCCCAGAAACGGACGGATCCCGTTCACCTGTTGATAAGGAATCGGATCCCAACACACCACCCGGGCCTCCAGACGCCAGGGAATTTTCCCCGGATGCGGCTGGGGAAGAGGAACGCAAGGCACACACTCGACGAGCAAAATTCCTCCGGTACCAGGAGTACAAGTCTGGCGTCATATACGACCTAGACATTGTCGAGAATGACTTGGCTGCACCAGCGTACGATGAGATGTGGAGGTGGGATGAATGGACATCTGGTGGCATCGCATTCATGTCCTTGTGGTGGTTCCTCGAGTCTACACCTTTCATAAGCCTTGTGCAGGACAAGCACACGCTCTCATGCAGGGAGTCCAAGCTTCGGCATGCTCTGTTTGGTCACTTCATAGCATTTCCCGACTGACTTTGATGGCGTGAGATGTTCAGCTTCGATTTTTTTCGGCCACACCATATTCCTCAAGGTGCAACACCAGACGTATATAAAGGTACTACTATTTCAGACGAATGGGTGAAGTTCTTGGAGGCTCGCTCGAAGCCGCTTTACCACTGGTCTGTCCGTGAGTGTATGAAAATTAAACCCGGCTACTGACCCGGACCTTGGCGCGCCGATGAAAATGTCGAAGACTGGATTGAAGCTTATTGGTGTACGTTTCTCCGTGTGGTTTGCCATGTGGGCCTTTTGCATTATCAACAATTCTAATATATAGCGGCCCTTGTATACACTAGCTATGACCCCTCACTGCAATAACTCGATCATTTGTATCGCACAACCATGTCTAAGTGGGATGATGCAGATGCAGAGCTGTGCAGACTCGACGGCGGAATTTAAGCTTCGTTCGGTGGGAGGCGTCTATTATTGTTTCGTCGCATGTGCAAGGCGCTTGCCCCCGAATAGTTCGCTAAATTCATGAGTGATGAGGGACGCTATTGAACCCAAGAAGATCCAAGGGCGCATAAAACCTGCACAACATATGTAGCACGCTTTACGCACTGCACAAGGACTTTGGTGTGTTTTTGAGGCAGCTGTATTTACAACAGGGTAATGGGAGTGAATTTCAGCAAGAAGATGTGGTGAAGGGATTGCCAAAGCTACTGGTACTGGTTTCAGCAGCGGTGTATGCTCACAAGGAAAGAGAAGTTATTGAACATTATGTACCCGCGATAGAATACCGTTACGTCGTAGCGAATGTCCTCGAGCCGAACCGGTCAGAACAGACGTGGACCAGAGGAAAGTCGTCATCACCAATGAAACCGCGACTAATACCAAATTAATTTCACCATGAATGCTGGCAGTACAATCCCCCCAAGATTCAGCCTAGCAGAATTACGGAGTTTGCCTGGATTTTTGAAAATAGCAATGTCAGAAATTTACGTAATTGTGCCTCGGGCGAAGTGAGTACACTCATTTGGAGGTTGTCTTGTTGAGGCGAGAGTCAGAAGACCGGGGCACCGGAGTTCCCTGCTGGTTTGATGGGCCTTATGCTATGCTCAACAATAGGTCAGCTCCTCTGCGGTAGACGTTCATTGTCCACGGAGTCGCCAGTAGTCCCCCGAACAGTATCTCCTGGTAACGCCACATCAATAACACCAACCAGTTTCAAAAATGGCCGGATCACAACCACCTCGTTGTTGTGTGTCAAATTCACTCCCGTTGATAGGAAGCCCTCCAGATGGCTAAAGAGAAGGCATCATTGCTTCCACTGCGACCCCTTGAACCAGGTCATTGCAGATCACTTACCCGGCGTACATCGGGACAATTTTTGATTCTCCTGTCGCGCGATTCGAAATGGCGGCTCGATCATTACCGCGGACACCGGGATTCATTTTGAGGGCGTGATTATGTGCATCTCTCGGGACCAGCCCCTCGCGCTGGCAGTGTATCGGCCATGACGCGATCCAATACCGGACGAAGGTCCCGCCGTGAGGTTCCCCGACTTCGCCATGTGGGTTCTCAGCATAGCATGTATATGTTCGGCGCTATTGATGATGGCATGGCGTAAGATTTGATCATCTCTGTGGCGTAAGGTAGTACGTTCTCTTGCTCTCTGCTCACACATTTACGATTATGGCCTAACAAATACATGAACGTGATGTGAGTGGGCGAGTGTGATTTGATGTACATTACACGCGCCCTCCGGACAAACGGATCAGAGTGCCCGCGAGTGCGGCTCGATCAATGCGCGATCAAGGTGGCCGCCGGTACCGTGTGTATGCAAGTGTAAATAAGTAACCCAGTACTTAATTCGGACCTCGACGAACTTGACATGACCATCAGAAATCCTCTGAGTGGCCCTCTAAAGGCTAGCTAGAAAATAACTGTCATGTACGTTGTAGTTGGAAATTGGACGGTACCGTGACTAGCTCCATACATGTACTGTTTGGGGTGAGGAATCGCCAACTTACTCTTTTATTTCAACGATCGATCATTCCTTGTACGATCTAACTTATTGACCTTGCGCTGTTCTGTGCAATAAGGCATTTTTGCATGATTCCCCCATCCGAATCAAACCAACGTGAGAAATCACGCACTTTTTATGATCTTGCTTCCATCGATTCAGTCCCCTCGATAACTATCCTGCTTCTCAGATCTTGCGGTTGCGTGTTCCAAAAACAAGGCCAATATTGCGAAAATCGAATACAAGGTAATTATCGGGGCCCATATTCACACGCAGTCAGTTCAAACAGTGTATATATGATCAATTTAGCAATGCATGTCACTGCCGACTGGCCCGCGTGCGGGCGCCAGACACAACGTGAACAAGAATAAATAACAAGAAATCTCACGTCGGTCCCGAACTGGGAGTCCGACGAGAAAACTCCCATCGGTTGCAAGCGTGAAGGGGCCTCTAGCCTTGTCCACGTCCAAAGCGAAAACAGCGCAGATCCCACACCACTTTTTTTTTTCGACTTTCAAACAAGGTCTCCCAAACATTCGAGACCCAGGAATCGCACGGAAAACAAAAACGCGGACTAATAAACTTTGATCCACGTTTCATCGATCTTTTCGTCATAGCCCCAAGGTCTAGGGCGGTAGCCAGGTTTGTGCTTCATACGCTCACGCACAGACCAATGGTAACTCGGCTTCGAGCGATTAGTCAAAAACTCCAGCCAGCGTTTCGACAAAGCATCTGTGTGTTCGGGTACTGCGCCTCGATGAATATCGCGCGCCCGGAAAATGTTGAATCTGAAACATTTCCCAAACTCGTCAGTCATGCAGTGCGATGTGAAGTTGGAATCCAAAACCCAACATACCGAAGTTTGGACTCCCACAAGAATGTGTGCTTGTTTTGCACATGCCTCATAAAGGGCATCAACTCAAGCGTCCACCACAACAACATTGCCGCGATGGTGTCAAAGCTCAAGTTATCCCACCTCCACAATTCGTCGTAAGATTCAGCTTTCAAGTCCCTGTCGAAGAAATCCAAGTCATATTTGACACCGGACCTAAACTCCTTGGATCGAAGGAAGGTAGCCCGTCGAGGATGCTTCTTCAGCTTTTCTTTATCAGCATCCGTTGGTTTGACTACGATTTCGCTTGGTGCTAGCCTGCTGGAGTCTGCAGTCCCACCAACAGGAGGGGAAGGAGTACTCCCCGATATGGGAAGAGCAGAGGACCGGTCATCGGCAGAATTCTGTGTGCGCCTCAAATTCCTGTTCCCGGGGTCATCGTCAAGGGCAACATTCAAGTCACTATCATCGTTGTTGGTGTAAATGATGGGAGGCAAATAGATGCCATAGCGGGCCAGGCGGATAGATCGCCAGCGAATGTTGAGGTTATATTTCAAATCCGCCTCATAGAACTCGCGGATCATCCATCGAAGAGGGATGTTTGCAAGTGAAGGTGAGTACCTTGGTTCGTTCGGGTCCTGCTTATCGATCTCATTCCAGGGCTTGTCATCCGGTGCGTTTCCCCCGCCGACATCTAGGATCAAGAAGTGGGTCACGAATTTTAACGGGATAGAGTTGAAATACCATACCGCAGTGTCCACCTGCAAACCAAACCTCCCTCACGTCGGGGGGATATTCTTCTTCCGGAATCAGGGTCGTGGGTGGCCCATGATTGCCGTGGAGTCCGAGACGGTCCAATATACCATGTGCCCACCACTCGATGAACAAGGTAAAGAAAATGCCGACAAAAAGAGCTCTCAACCCCGATACCCATTCAATCACGGTCTGAATGCCCCCAGTGTCTGGCGCAGTGGCATCTTCTGCAGATTGTTTCGTCTCCCAGCCCCCCCCATCTTTGCGTTGTTTTTTTGCTCCCGAAAGTTTCCACGGCGAAGGAATGAACCTTTATAACCAGCACAGATGTAGAGTTGGCAATCATGCATCAAGCATCAAGCTTAAGCCCACTTACTTGGCTCGTCTCTCATCCAGAGCCAGTGCATGCCTAAAAACTTTGACGGAACTATTACTTTGGGAGAAGGGCAGCGCACGCGAGACAAGAATGCCAACAGATGCAACAGTATCCCAAACTCCGAGGAAGTCAACAGTGACGGCACGACAGAAGTCACGTTTGTAGTTCCGACTGGAGAAGGGGATTAGACATGGCTCGAGGCATTGACACGTGAAGGACTCTTACCCGGGATCGCCACTGACAACATTACCTCTACCCAAGTTCTTGTAAAGCTTGTAGGCGAATTGGACTTGTTCGGGCATCGAGGGTGGCAAAAGCCCAACCTATTCGCACCCCGGATCAGGCAAACATGTCCCCATACTACTGATTAATATATTCGTACTGCATGTAGCATCCCAGCTAGAGCTCTAGCAGTGTATGCACCTCTGGAAAAGCCAAAAATGCAGATTTTGTCACCCTGCTTCCAATTCGACTGAAGAAATCGATATCCTCCACAGACCTGCCACAGACGGATCAGAATCAAGCCAGGAAGACCGCTGTGCCCACCTAAAACTTACATGGTCCTCAAGGTGCAACGCGATGCCTTGATCGATTGCTTTAGATATCCACTGGCCAATAGATGTGCTGTATCGAGTCGTAGTGTATGTCCCAATGCCAGTCTGGTAACGCACGGGCTCTCTCAGTGATCAGAATAAACACGGATATAATCCTAACCTGATAGTACACCAACTGTTTCGGGTGAGATTTCTCGAGGCACGAGAAGAGACGAACGATGTTCTGCAGGGCGATTGCAGTACTTCAGTTAAAATCACGTGCATTCCACAAATCTTACAGTGTTCGTATCGTCATACTCATTTGCCGTCCCATCGAAGCAGATGATCAATGTACGGCCCAGATGAACCTTGGACGTTTCTGACCCTCCCTCGCCTGTTATCTGGTCGATGAGTACAGACGAGAGTCCTTCCTGGACATCGAGAGTTGTGGGGGAAGTGGTCATCTGCGAGTCTCTTGTTGAGGCGACTGAGACCAGAGGGGGTGAAAACAAGGTGTGGAGGTTGCTCGTAGCCTTTTATGTACCCTAGCCCTGGCCGGACAATTCCCTCCGATTCGCCGTGACAATGCATCAGTGGCACGTGTGTCGAATCTGTGACAGGAAGTGGGAACTTCCGAGCGGCAAAAAATCGCGCGTTTTGCTAACCGGCTTTGATGCTATTCGTTGGTTCAGACAGCGAAGAACTCGATGATCAAACTCCCTCCCTGATATTTCGGGCATTGAACCAACTTGGCAAATCGTAATCATACCAATTCAGTTGTGACGAATTGAGCCGGTCACGACCCTTCACCTCGAAGGGTCAAATCATGTGCAACTAATCACATACTTTCGGGGAGAAAACTCCGTCGGCGGAACCCGGGGAACCACAGAAAGAGAATCGCGGTAAAACATTGGGTAACCCGGTTGTAACCCGTGCAGAACACCAATAACTAAGTAGTTGCCTTCCGGAATTTCCGGCCACAGTTCCTTGCCCCGGAAAACCCTCGGTATTTGATCAAGAGGACGTGAACGTGAGTTCAAGCATAACTAATCAAGCGCCTGATGACCACATACGTGGTAAGCTTGCCTGACCGTAATGAAAGCACCCCGACTTGAACCACGGCACCCCTAACCCCGAGTGACCAAATGATGCTCATGGTGACTTCAAGATCCCCCAATTCGTTCTCAACGACCGCGGAGTGAATCAAGTTGAAAGAGCGATCAAGGAGCAATTCATGCCATGTCATTTCATGGCGACGAACATTGAATCTGATGTCGAGGCGGAGCGTAAGTGCCCAAGTCCACCGTGGGAAACCAGCCCTGCCGCGCCCCCCAAGGAAAGCGAGATCAGCTACACTTTGGTGCACGATCAGTTCCCATCCAATCACGCTAATCATGCGTCATACAATGCTCTTCTTGGCTGAATTGATGGAAATCACAATCGAAACCCGTCGCACTCTTTCTGCGCGGTAGAAGCAACAATCAATGGCTTTTTCTGTTCTCAAAAAATTATTATGTCGGCCGTTTAACCCGCCCCCAATGGTGACCTCAGGTGACCTTCTGACGCGGGGAGGGTTGCCCAAAGCAATTAAGGAACGTAGTAGCCTGCATTTGACGTTACCCCGCTCATTTCTATCTGGGGGATGTCCTTACCGTCATTTCATGCCTGACCGACTCGCGAACGCCACCGTCCACATCTCCATCCCGGCCTTCCCTCACAACCGTGGTATAAAATAGGCAGCAGGGCGATTCGCTTACGATATCTCCCGCAGTCCGTGCCCCAACTCATCGCCTTCGCCAGTTCCAACAAGGAACATATATCCTATCAATCCCTAGTCTCTATACTCTCCGTTCCTCCCTATGAGCAACGGATCGGGTCCACTGAGTGTTCGGTGCATCGCTTTGCGTTCTGCAGGATGGATGCCACCGCGCCGGTCGATCTGCTTGTGATGTCGCAGTAGTATCATGTGTATAGTGATATACGACACCAGGATATCTTGTGGTAGACAACTCGGAGAGAACGCCGACGTGAGGATTGCTGAGTTAAACACTTGCGGTGCGATTGGTGAGTTACCCCGCGGCTCCTGGTAGACCGCGTCTGCAAACCAAGGTATTCGGCAATTTTCACTAAGAAAAACTCGATCGAGTTCTCAAGCGCGTGTTCGACTCAGTATTTTACCACTGGACCCGAGTGTTATACTCAAGCATGCAGTCCATTGTAAATACCCCGAATTTGGCCTGGGTTCCCTGTTGTTTCTCCCACTGTGATTTGGCATACGAGCTCACGATAGGGAATTTCCTTTATTGGTGAGGAGTTAACCAGAAAGTCGTAGCCCAACTTACTAGTGTGGAAAGCTGGCAAGCGACCAAATTCGAGCAGCAGACAATTCTTGGGGCTATACTGATAGATATCCGGGTCCGCGCCTCTACAAGAACCCACGATAAGAGAGTTATTTCAAAAGATGTTCAATCAGTAGGGCGAAATGCCGCTTCCGGAAGTAAAGATTTCCTACAAGCGGATAAGGCGATGCATTAATCTTGGAAGTTTTTCTCCAGCCGCGATGAACGGCGGTTTGATCGGTTATGCGGTATGCTAAGTAGATTTCGAAGGACTCGTGTTCAGCAGTACTCAGTGCAGGGAGCGTTCTGAATGCTTTGTAATTAGGGGTGCCTCAAGGCATACATGGAGACGACGAATTAATAAACGGTTAATATACGCTCAGCACTTGCTGCCAAGTCCTAGGCGGCCCGAGTTCCTGGCCTTACAGAGTGAGGAGAAGTATATGGAGTCTTTGGACATAGATTAATCACGATCATCTCGAACGTTGAGACTTAGAACCTATTGGCGGAATAAGGCACGAAATACGTACTCTCTGATTCGTAGTCATTAGGGTCATTAGGGTCTCGATGATGTGCTGAGCGAGGGTGATACCGTGTCAAACCTCCATGCGTGGGTAGCGAGGTGGTAAAGGAGGAAGGGAATGCTTGGACGGCTGAGAGGGTTGGCGGAGGTGGGGCGCAGCGTATACGGCTAGAAGAGAATGGTGACGGAACGTCACCCATGGGGGCGTTTGGCGCGGTTGCCACAATGTGCCCAGACGGGTGGCTTGACGCAGGGGCGGGAAACGAGTCTGATTCGAAGGGGGGCTGGGCGGGCTCATTTTGTGTCATGACACGCCGATACTGATGAACGCTCGCACCACGGGGCAGTTGTTGCGGAGAAGCGGACTGAGGGCAGAGCTCATGAGTGAGACGTCTAGCGGGAAGTTCTTCACGCGAGGCAGCGGCACTGCCAAGCGACAGAGTCGTCGCATTAGAGACATGGTGGGTGAACCAGTCAGTAGGGCTCGGACGCCGCAAAGAGATGTTAGGAATATCCACGCGCCAGTCGTCGTCGGGTCCAGCATCCTCCCAAGTTGTGCGGAAATGGAGAGTCGAAGGAATGGCGCTGCGTGCGGTCATGTCAAGTAATTGTGAAGTCGTAGGGGAGAAAACGAAACTGGATGAATTGGCAACTGGATGCTGGGGTGCGGGTGCCATAGATGTCGCGGGACCGGTGGGGCGGCAGAGGATGGGGGGGATAAGGTCTGGCACCACGTTCCCGCCTGGAGAAGCGTGTTTGATATCGCCAGTAGGATTGGAGGGACATTGCGATGCGGTGGTTGAAGTGGAAGCAGACGAGGTAGAATGGGTAGGAGACTGCTCAACCCTCAGTGACGAGTATGGGGGGGTCAGCTCGTGTGTAGGTAATACGGGGCGCTCTTTACCGTAAAACGAAGCGAGACGAAGCGTTCCTGAATGATGTGGAACAATTTTAGTCCTACAGCGAGTCTGAGGATGAAAGGACATAAAACCTTGTGTCCGTCCACAACTGCGATCACGTATCCACCTTTTTATACTCAATTTGCAGTCTTTAGTGAGTACTTCATTCTTTGAGATTCGTTGGGCATTCTGTTTTAACTATTTATTGAGAATGGAGCCGCACCTGCATCCATTGCGGCCGCTTTCGGGCGTACCCCATGCATTCTATCGCCAATCGAGTGCAAACCTCACATGCGCCATCGGGAGCGCGTCCCGGTTTGCATTTCTGCTCAACACTTTTTAGATACTGGTTACCACTAGGCACCATCACGACCAACCTTACGTCTCAACCGACATGTGAGACAACCAGTGTCCCTGTTTGACGTCGAATTATTGAAATGGGGGTTGAGCGGAGAGTGTTTGCGTGGCACCTGAGAGCGCAAAAGGGAGCGGTCCATGTCGAAGACCCCTCGGAAGAGGGTTAGACACTTGTATTTGTAGACCGACTGCATTTAAAGAGCTCGAGTGGCGACCATGAAAATGAAATTCTACTTGAATTCATCCCACAAATGTACAAATGCATCGCACTGCATAAGTCGGCGTGACCGCATTCCCACCTCGTTTTTAGGACAATCAGAAGCTCAATGAGTTCGAAGATAATTCGAGAGCAACAGAAACTGCTTAAACAAATGACCAAAGGCAAGGAGATCCATGGTGAACGGTATCCAAGCCTCCCATGTGCCTACCTACGTTGAACCCCGTCAATATAGTGAATTGCTCCTCTGGTCGCTGTATACTGGTGCTTCCCCTGAAACAGAAATCCTTGGAAGCACTGATAGGGAACGTGACACGCACCGGAAGTGGCGGTGCAAGCTGCCAGCTGGAGGCCATCAAACCCACTCACACAGCAAACCTTGGGGAATCTGCAGGATTGAGGAGCGGTGCTGCGGGCACCCTTAGCCGCGTGCCCTTCGTGATGTTCACTTGATGGAGACTCTATACCGCTACTTCCATACAGTTGAAGAATGATTCTAGTACCCCTATACGAACCGCAATTAACGAAGCGCCGTCCCATTCGTGTCAGTTTCCCGCGGGGGATCCACATATTCCCCCCTTGAATCAGTAGTTTTTCCAACCCCAAATCTTTCGTGCTCAACAGTTACACATGATCGCCACTGGTTCCTGAGCTTTTCGTATTTCAAACGTCTCCTTCATCAATTGGTCTCTCCGGGCACTTTACTTCCCTCCTGGATTTACGCTCTCCCGCCACATGGCCGGCGGTGACTTTCTACTCGGTGATCTTTAGTCCTTGTCACGCTTCACGGCGAATCCCGTTGGGTCCTCAAATTCAGCAGTCTTCTTCGCATACCCAACTTCTCTTTCATCCTTTCAGAGTAGGCTCTGTGGGCCAGCATCACAAGCCATTGGGATTTGGATTGATGGCACGAGTACAGAAATAAAACAAAGCAGTTCAAATTTACACCGGGAGAGTGGTGCCTGCTGACTCTATATCCAACACAAGATGGGGCCTGACATTGTTGTTAAGATGATGGCTAAATGTTTCGTTCCACTCATCATGTGAACATGTGAATCTACCAGCTCCGAAACACCATCAACTGCTCCGGAGGCAGTCAGCCTCAGGATCCTTCCGCTGCGTTGGTGGGTGGCGCATTCGACGGCACCATGGTTCGGGCCAGTTTCAAAGGAGGCAATTCGTCGCCGTAGAACTCCTCTAGCGACAAACTTCCTGCATCAATTTCTTTATCAACCGTGGTAGTCTAATCGTAACGAGAGTCGACGAACCATCCGTTAGGCCTTGCCTTAGATCGTTGATATGGTCTGTCATGGCTTTCTTGCACGCCTCGACAGTGTCCTCGTCCTTGGTGAAAGCCGAGATCAGCAAACTAGAATATCAAAAGTTAAGAGAGTGAAAGCTGACTTTCATCCACTCGGGGCGCCTTTCGGAGTAACCCAAACACTCCAGCCTCCTTTCTTTGCAATCCGCGCATGCATCGCTAGGGGTGGCCCCTGGAGATGTACATCTCTGTTTAAGGGAAAAGTTAATCCAAGTGCCTTCACGCGGGGTTCTACGAACCTTTCGTCGAAGGCGGCACGTCAAGCATCCATCCCTTGTGCGCCGATGAAGCACCGTTTGCGCAGAGGTGTTCGCGTCTTCAGCCATCGATATCTCAGAGTTGTGTTGGACGAGTAAAATAAGATGAGGTGCGAAGCCAGTCTCTTTCGTAGCGGTGCTTCAGCTATGCAGCCAGTGACGCCCATATTTATGCAGAAATAGACGCGACCACGAGCTAGTGTGCAGGTCTAGCGCGTCGGACCACGATAGTGGCATTTGAGTGCCGATTCGAATTACAACGCGCGGGGCTCGGACAGACTTGCAAAGAATATTCCCCCTGTCGGCCACAGTGCCGTCTCATGTAGCGCCACTTTTTGCGGTCAAGTTCAAGACAGCAGCATATTTTTTGGAATACTGGTAGATTAGGAGACAAAACCATATATACAGATAGATAGAATGGTTTGATGAAACAGCTGACGGTTCTCGGGCACATGCGAATTACTCGTCGCCAATTGCAGACTTGGAAACCGATGCGCAAGGCAGAAAGCCACTGGAACATGCATTGTTCACACTGGTTTCACAGCCCGCACCCGGGCTCATAATCACGGAGTTCTCGGGCGCGGCCTGGATCCTTCCTCCAGACTCGTACTGTGCAATCATCGCTCGATGTTAGAAGCTGAGAAGCCAGTGAGCGCTAATTTGACACATTTTTCTGTAGTCACTTGCCTCATCTTGACTCCAATCGACACTCGAAACTTCCGCTGTATGCGCCTCAAGAATCACAGCTTCTTCTTTTGCATTGATTCCAAGACTAAGTAAGCTCTTTGTATCCCACAGCACCAATCGACCATTCGAGCTTCCCACGGCCAAGAATGCTCCACACGGGGACAACGCCAGCCGAGGATAAAAGGAGTCAACCTCCAAGCAAGGGTGCGTGACAGGGAGAGGAATATCCTTAGGAGCAGAAGAGGCATCAAATAACTGTCCTAAACGGTACGAATAAATGCTGCCATGAATTGCGGCGTCGTCTCAGCGTTGTACATGGTCCGAAGTGAATAGATTGGAATTACCTTCCATTTCGGCTCAACGCCCACACAGAGTCCCCACTGATAGGATCGACGGCAACTGAGGAGATTCCCCTTGCCCTGGAGCCTGGACCCAGATTGGACACGAGATCGCCATGTGAATCCGGCTTTAGAATGGTCGCATCATACGTTAGGTCAAAAAGACTTAAATCCACATCGGTGGTCGGTTTCGACCCCCGTGATGGCGAAGTTCTGAAATCTCCCATGAAACGGGCATCCCATATTTTTAAGATTCTGTGAATATCCGGATCAGTAAATCGGCGTTGAACATCTTGTATACAAGCTTACCCGTCAGCACTTCCACTCGACATCACTAAGTGCTGCCTGTTTGGGAGATAATTGATGGATGTGACCGAGCGTACGGGAGCTGTCTGGGATGGTGGAACAAATATGGCATAACTTAGGTGGCCCGACAAAGTGCTTATGCGGACCTGTTTTGTTCTTCCCTTTCCCTTAAGAGCTATACCTTTGCAGGGATCCTGATGGGCGCCGTGTATGGAGAATACAGGAGCGTACGCTACGGTATGATCGACTGATCAGCGCACGGAAACGACGTTTATGCAGTCAATTATGTCTCACACTGATCATCATTCAGCGGCGTGGTCCGCAGGTCCCAAAAGTGAATATTCCCGTCTCGTGACGAAGACGCTAGTAGGTCTGTGATATCCCGTGCGCCAAGGTTGAGTATTTACGGGTTGTGGTGCCATGTTCATCCACGTACTGGGGTTCAAGGGATTCCACAATGTGCACTTGACAGTGAGGGAATGAGCACTCAGCACCCCAATGTTTCTGTGTGTTGCCACATCGACGATGCAAGACGTACGGTCTCCAGAGGACGTGACCTACAGGACCCCAAGGTTGGCTTGTGCTCGGAGGCTCCTAGGACATGTTTCAAGGTCGATGTACTCACAATACGCGTGTCATCTTCGTTCCACCTTGCATCAAAGATAGAATTTGCATGGACAGGTATCGTGATGCTTTGGGGAGCTGTATACGCGTAAAGCATCAAGAGGCCATGCAATTCTCGTCAGCTCCGATGAAACCCACCATATTCCCAAGGTTGCCTGGGTTTCGCGTCAATAATTTCAAGCGTGCCTTCTTGCATACCGACGGCTAACAAGTGACCCTGACCGCGCTTGGCAGCTGGGGTTATATGTTAGCCGACGAAGCGGAGGTCTCAGTGAACCGCCTACCATGGCTAAAGGACGAAACAAAGGGGGTACGATATGTTTGATCTGAGTCCTCTGATGCATGTACGCGGTACATATCACTCTGGCTCGATGAAACGAGAGATTGTAGGATTGGGCGGAGAGATACTAAACCACACTGAGATAAGTAGAGCTGAGATGCAATAGATTCAACATACATGCATATGGATTGTACCGCCGTGCGAGAGAAATTGTGAAGTGGCTATTCTGACGCGGTATTGGCAGGCGGCGCGTCGTTCTCGAGACATAGAGCGAAAGTCGTGTCCGGGGAGGACTTAATGAGATCCCATCGACTATACGTGTTTGATCGGGTGTTGCAAGATGCCCATCGCATGCCTTCGTTGGCGTAATAGGTTCGGAGCCAAGATTGGCCCCGACGCGTCGACGCTTCCGTGTTCGACCAGAACCCTGGGGGGATATTGGCACGTTCTTCACTGGCGAACGAAATAAAGAGTTTGTAGACTCGTAAAGTACGCGAGACGGAGACGAATCAGGTGAGGGTAACATGGCGATCAGTCTTCGTGGTGAATGGCTGCACAACTATTGAATCGACGAGAATAGCAGGCATGCGAATTCTCGGACTCAAATACCAGCCAAGAGCGACCCATGCCTCGGCACCAATAGAAACAAACAGAGCCGTGGGCGCTTAGCTGGTTCCAAGCCCGCGGCTGCCATAAGCTCCTGATTGGTGATCCCTGCCACGACTCGGACATTCTATTCCAAAGAAATCCCGCGGCTCTCCCGGAAACAGAAACTGAACTGTGGCTTAAACAACTGTGATGGGACGGGCTCGCCATTATGTAATACACATACTTAAGGGGTAGTAAACAAGATGAACGACTTCGTTCGCGGCGTTCGGTAAGACTATCCTCACATTTGATTGGATAGTAGGCTCCCGGGAAGATTTCCTCGGCAGGTGCATGCCCGGTGAGTGGAAAAACTGCCCGCTCATGATCTCATTAGCTTTAGCCGTTGCAAACACGTGCCATAATTTGGTTTATCAGCCAAGAGTGCGATTTTCTCGGCGGCGTTTCCCGCGCGCGTTGCATGCTTCAAGTGAGCTCTGCAAACTCCCAGACTACCGGGATCTGCACACTGATTAAATCTTTCATTGGAAGATTGTCTGGAAGAGCGGGTCCGGCCACAAAGAGCATGGTTCGGCCACCAATGTCCCTGCATTATCTCAGGGGGTAATAATGAGAAACTAGAAAGGTCACCGATATTGGTCATAAATCTGGCAATTCTCGTTGAATCAATCTTAGCCTAATCCCGATAAAGATATTTTAACAGGGAGACGTGAAAAACGGGTAGCAACCACATACCACGTAGTTTCCCTCCACCATTCGTCCATTTCTGAGACACGTGCCCATAATACTTCCTCTGACATGCCATACTGCTCGTATCTCGCACTATGATCAATGGCAACCCCCGTCCGTTTCGCGATTTCCAAAGCTGCCTTGTTTTCTCCACGGAGGACTACCATACGTTCATCTAACTGGGGTGGAACATCACAGGAGAGGCTTACCATCCAGCAACTCTTTTCTGTCTGGGAAAAACAGTCGAGATTCCAATACTCCCAGAACCGCAATCGCCATTCGAAACATAAATGAATCCCCTTCTAAAATGATAACATCCCATATTCTTGCACATGCTTCGAATGGGAGATGGTTCAGGAAAAGGGGCCTAATCCACTCAGGAAGATATAATGAGGGCGAAATATGATGCTGCTTGAAGTTGAAGTACACTAATATTATTTCGTGAAGCCGCCATGAAAACTCAGTAGAGATGGAAAGAACCCGTTTGTCTCGCACCTTTGGGCATACCATCAGCCAATAGTGTGTCAAATATCCTGCGAGAAACTTGAAATCCAAAACCGTAGGGATAGGGGAAAAAAAAACTAACCTGTAGTAAGCTTCAAGCTAATTGTCAGGTAAATCACAACCCGTGGCCGAAGAACCGGTGGGCAAACTCACATCATCATCGGATCCCTCCCCACCGAAAAAAGATCGGAGACAATGCCGTTCGATTAAATTCCTCATGGTGATAAACGCCTGGTCAAGTGGAAGATTTAGGAGAAGCATTGCCCCAATCTGGGACGCTCCTTTCACCTGTGGAGCTGAATGTCAGCGGAGATTGATATACCGAACCATTGGGGCTCACATAGCCGAGCCCTTCATCGGAACGAGCTACTACCCACGAACACATCAATTCCTTCAGGTCTTGGTACATTGGACCATGATCTGGGTGGAATATATGGAGGGTTGGAAGTGTTTTCACTATGTCCTGCTCAATTTGCTCCATAACGTCCGGAGGGAAAACTTTTGAGGCAATTGCTCGCTGAGCTCGGGATCTGCAGGTCCGGAACGCATCTTTCGAAGGTCTTCAGTCAGTGGAGATTAATCAAAGACCCGTTGTTGACAACGAGCACCTTTGCTAAGCGCGAGTCCATTGCCGACAACTTGGAACCACAATTTACCCCGCAGCTTTGTAGGTATGCCGCTCCACCAGAGTCTCCTCAGCTCTGTTTTTCTCACAGCGGCTCTCCAATCAGGGATGATCTCGCGTTCCCATATTCCAATAGCATCTGCCATCGCGACTTCTTTAGAAGCTCTTCGTTCCTGCTGTATTTGTTCCTTCTGCGCCTCCGCCTCTCGGCTGCGCTTCATCATCTCTTCCCAGACCCTCATGTGTTTCAGGTCCTCTTCCCGCTGTTTCGGGGGGAGGTGGCTGGGACGCGTTTTGCTAACCACTTTCTCGAGCGTACTTGGGCCTGCTATAGAGCTCGAAGGGCGGGAGAAGTTAGAATTCAAAGAGGGAGATGCAGGCGAAACAGGGTCCACTGAAGGCGGGGTGGGGATAGTTGAAGATGGGGAAAGATACGTTGGTTTCGGGGAGACACTTCGGAGGATCGGCCCCTGTTGGTTGTGGGACGATTTCGGCGACCCGTGGCTCCCAGAAGAGATCGGAGATGTCGGAGACACCGGAATAGGCACCTGATTTGGAGATAAACCTGCAGTTGAAAAAGGGGAAGGAGGAGGCGATAGTGATACATTCTCGAATCTGTCTCGTTCCGCAGTGGGCGAGTCGGACGTGACTACCCTTAGAGATGGAAGAGAGCCCCGCCTCACCCGTGTGGTTAGGTCAGACGGATCCCTCCTCACAGTTGAGGGCAGAGCCTCTGAATCTTTTCTGCCTAATTCGTTTGAAGATCGAACTGCACTGACAATTTTAGGCAGGTCGATTACATCGGTCTCCAAATCTTCGTCTGTTGAAAACGCGTCATTTATTTCTAATCCGTGTGCATGATTTTCTTCCGGCACTTCGAGATTAGTCCCAGCGTCCAATGCTGTTGACTCCAGAGACGAGCTCGACATTTAGGACTCGGCTGCACGTGACTGTGACCTGCCACAGTTAACAGGCTTTGCTCCCAATTTAGTCAGGACACCTAAAAGCTAACTTTGATTCTTTTTTTTTTTTTTTTTTTTTGGTGGAACCCCAGTAGCTTTCGCGGATACATTGTATTTGGGGTTTGTGATGGGGATCGATGATCCCCGGGAATAGATTGGGACTTGAACCGGGACTGCCACTGTGAGTCAGAAATGCAGTTACGCACGTGGTGTGGGACTCCCGGGCGCCGCCGGTCACGGGGGGTCTGGTATACCCACTAAAACCCCACTGCTGCTCAGCCAGTTGTCCGGTTGACTCTCTTCGTTCTGTAGGTTCCCGCTCCAGGTGTGTAGCACTAGTTTTGGTGGGAGGGCCTTGCGTCCGTACTTATTTCGGTTTGTTAGGGCTATGTCCTGGTGGAGCTTGTCGTTGAGGCCGGCTTTTAGGGCATTCTTAACTTCCTTATAGGTGGTTTGGGGGCGATCGGGGTTCATCACCCTGCGGCATCTGGCTTTCCATAGTTGCCATGCGCACTCTAGGACTACGATGCGGAAAAGTCTTATCTCGCCAACTTTCGATCGGCCACTAGCGGCTTTGATCTCGATGATCGGGGCAGCCATGATGTACGAGATGTCGAGGTTCACGGGCCAGGGAATCTTTCTTCTAACTTTGATTCTGGTACGCTGACATTCGCCCCAGATAAATCCTGCCTCTGTCATTGCTGCCACTCAGGTGGTATATACTCCGTGTTGGCGAAACAAGCTAATCATCATTAATATGATCTACCAGGTTAAATATGTCGTGCAAACACGCTCATCGCTGTCGCAAGCACTTGTCAATATGATTGGTATTGCTCTTTCTTGGAGACGAGTTATTCACTCCACCGCGCGTTGGTCGGTGCGGAAGGGTAGCACTCGCTGGGGTATATCCTTTCCGACCGCAAATCGCCCATTATCCGACAGCGGATTCTTGGCGCTTGTCGCCTCGCCTTGGCGTGCCCTGAGTTAAATTCTTGGCACGCGCCCATGTCTCAGGCTGGAGTTATCCGAGGCCCGCCCTCATCACAAGTACAAAAATGAGATGGAATGCAAAAATCTAGGATACATCATTGTCACACTCTAAACGAGTTGCGCTATTTGTCGAGTATTAGTGTAAAGTAGAGATCTATAGACTGGTAATGTAGGTGTCAGGAAGATATTTTTGCCGCACGAGCTAATGCAGCCTGAAGGGAGAGTGATCAGTTTAGAGCAACCCGAAGGAACAAGGACTTACATCATTCAGCTCGCGGAGGGTTGTGACTGTGTCATCCCAACCGATACACGCGTCGGTGATGCTAACACCGTATCGAAGACCGGAAAGGCCTTCTGGAGGCACATCTTGACGACCAGGATGAATGTTCGACTCAATCATGATTCCAGTAATATTGACATTGCCGTCCCTGACTTGTTCAGCGACGGCGGAGACAACTTTGGGCTGATTGTCATGATTCTTTAGCGAATTCCCATCTACGCTACTTGAATTAGAGCCTAAAGGTGAGAAGCAGAATAAGGCTCACGGGAGGCGTCCACCATAACGCTGGGGAAATTGTTCGGTCGTACTTTCTTAAGCGCAGAGGTAATAGTCGCGATGGATTCCGCATCGTAGTTTGTCCCCTTGGATCCACCGCGTACAATGACATGCAAATCCTTGTTTCCCTCCGTCTTCACAATGGCAGCAAGACCCTGGGGAGTGACACCCATGAAGACATGTGGGTTGGAGGAACTGCGCATGGCATCGATCGCAACACCCATGGTACCGTCAGTGCCATTCTTGAAACCTGACAACGTTCAGATTAGCGACACAGCTCAAAATCAATATAGGATCCTTACCGACTGGGAAAGAGACACCCGAGGCGAGTTCTCGATGAAGCTGAGATTCAGTGGTGCGAGCCCCGATGGCCGCCCAGCTGATGCAGTCCTGTGAGTGAACGATCAGCTTATGTTTGGACCACTGTAGCAGCCAAACACACAGCAAGATATTGAGGCGAAACTGTATCCAAAAGCTCGGAACCGACAGGCACACCCATGTCTGTCAAGTCGCACAGCAGCTGGCGGCCCACACGGATACCCTTATTGATCTTGAAAGTGTTGTTAATGTCGGGATCATTGATGAGTCCCTTCCCTGTGGCGCATAAGTCAAGTAGCGATAATTGTAAAACAGATAGCACGCACATCCAACGGTTGTCCTTGGTTTCTTTCATATTCCAGGAAGGATCAGTGTTAGATTCTTCACCCATAACGAGAAATCTCACTTCGCTGAAATGAACCAAGTGAGTGGCGGGGCGATGGGGAGGCAATGCAAGACTACCCACAAATAAGCACGCATAATTATGAAAAGCCCAGGAAGAGTAGGGAGTATCTCCTTTAACTTTGAGGCGTAGTCTAATCCGGCTTCAGGTGAGTGAATCGAGCAAGGCCCGACCACTACCAGTAGCCTAGTATCCCGTCCATGGATGATATCTGCCGCAGCGGCACGAGCAGCAAGGACAGTCTTTTTTGTCACGTCTGACTGGGGAATCTCGCTCTTTAGCAAGTTGGGCTGTACCAATGGATCATACTACAACGGCAGGGACAAAGGCACCATCAGCGATGGGTTGGAAAATGAGGAGGCCTCTTACACCAATGATACGCGTGTCGTCCATAACTTGCGCCATTTTACCTTATTGGCCTCCTTCCAGCGGTCAACGACGTAGATAGCTTTTTCCATATGGTAGATATACCCCGTATACCCGGAAAATTCAGCATCTCCCTGCGTCGTCGGAACCACGTGAGTCGCCGACAATTAAAGAGGGGATGGCCTTGTCATCTGATTTTGCGGGTCTTGCTATGGTCGAAGATTAAGTCCATTGGCGTTCAAAGATCTCATGGTAGGTAATGTCCCACAATGACTTAGGCAGGTTACCAGCCTCTATTAGTGTAGAACAATGACTCTGCATTTCCGACATTTGTGAAAATGACCATGATGAAGGGTAAGGGCCACAAATGGACTATACACACGCTGCAGGTGGAATCCATGATGGATATGTCCTAAAACACTATTACAAACATCGCCGAGCGCCGGCGGCGAGTCATTCAATTCAAATCCCGGATCCGATTGTTCACCCATGTCAACCTGGTTCCCACCGACGCCATAATCTGAAAGGTTAAAGGAGGGAAATTGACGGGTATTAGGGAGTTTCCAAATTTGGTGCTCCAGCCCCATCATGCACACATCCCGATCCATACTGGGGCCATTCCAATGGCGGGAACGTCGTTACGGCGACCCCAATTTTGAGCACCTAGCTGAGGATAAGTACTCCTAACAACACCCATCCATCAGCGATTCGACCCTCAAAAGCCCCAACATGCCTCGGGACACCGTCTCCGAGATAACCCCAAGACATGATTATTGTTACTACTCCCATGCCTTGCGATGCATATGTTGAGATTGATTGAGTGTATCCGACCAGGGTCGACAACGTTCTATTCAAATCCTGCCACTAGTGGGTGGCTTTGTGCCATTTGGTTCATGATTTCTTATCTCGGCGAATTTCTGACTTGGCTTATTCTTTTGCAATAGGCTGTTGGAAAGGTCACCGAACGCGCGCGCGACCGTGCCAATTTTTATATAGTCGCTTCACAACTTCCGCCGCTCCTCCATGTCGTGCCGCTTACCTCGGGCAAAGGCCCGGCCGGCAGCGAAACGGAAATCTACTTGTTCTTTTCTTTCACTCAGTTCCCCCCATATCGAGAGTGAGAGAGTTAAATTAAATAAATACCCCAATAGACCTCCCATACTGGCAGTACTCCATTGCATGCCCCAACGTTTGTTAAACGGATTCTCTGAATATCCACATGCCCCTTCTACCGCAACCGCAACGGGGGCATGGCGAGAAGACCGCGCAACTATGGGCTCGTTTGCTCCGAGCTTTGTACCTACTTTCTCTCGCGTTCGGCTAGCGATTCCCCGATCGATGAAACCCAATGTATCTACATGCCTTCCTCCATTTTCGCACAATAATAGCCAGCAGATTTGGCTTTGGCTCAAAGGACATCAATCGACCTAGCTCTGGTCCCCCCCCCACGCCGTGGGAGAGATGCAGCCATAGAACTCTTTTACCTAGACCGGGCTAAAAGCTTAGCTTAACAGGCAATCTCCTCGAGGAGGATACATATAGATGAAGACAGTACAAGTTGCTGTAATTATGACATTAATGACATGGAGCCTCGTACTTAAGCTTACATTACATTGACTAAACCGATTCACAAAAATGCAAATAGCTTTGGGAAAGAAAATAATTGCACAGTACTTTATCATATGCCGAGTCACATCATAGATGGCAAGACACATGTACAACGCGAAAGCCAAATGAAAACACTTCGGCTTCAGAACTTCGAAAGTATTGTTACCCGAAAAATGGTGCTTCATAACCGTGCCTTGCTGCCGGAAGAGCCATATTTGAGCTGAAGGAAGTCGTAAATCTCCTTGCCTAATTCCAGTAACCCCGAGGAGTAATTGTCAGATCGAGATCTCCGGCCAGTAATACGGAGGATGAGATAAAGCCGTATAATAACTTACCAACAAGATTAGGCGATTGCTGGATCATTAAGTGCGAAGCCTTTATCCTCTTATTGCTCACATTCACCGGCCTTCTCCAAGCCGCGTGCTGGGTCGTCCTGAGTCCGCCTGTGGCAACCGGATCTACCCCATTGTAAATGTACCTAATATCCGTCTTGGGATCAATCAACGGTAACTGCTCAAACGTTTCAATTCCTGATCTCTTATCCGCGAACGTGCAAGCCTCGAGAAAGACGGGCATCTTAAGTTTGACTGCAGTTGGTCCATTCTTCGGATCCTCTGTTATCCCATACTTGACGAGCATCTCGAGGACTCTTGGATCCCAGTAAGAGAACGATGGCGACGCAGCGAGTAGCTTGTGTGCTTCTTCCCTTGAAGGCCATTGTGATCTTCTCCCTATCGCGCCAGTGATCCAGGCACTGAACTGGGGGCCACGATTAACGTCGGTGGTGAGGAGGATGGGGTCCAAGCCCATAAGAGAGCTGTAAAGCTTGGGTTCATGTATCGCTCCATGGAAGAGGGCAGTCGTGCCTGCACTGTGACCCACACCGACTAGAGTACGGGAAGATCCGAATCCATTCACCCTACGTGAGGTGGCGATGTGATCTGGGAGGCGGGGAAGGTTAACAGGAAGCTCCCCTGAGGTGGATTGGTCTGGGAGATAATGCAAGACGAAATTGAGTATGTCACGACCGTTGTCAGTCCATGGACCTAAGGCAGGGTATGTTTCCCATACACGGAATTAAGATTAAATGGTTTGGAGAGAAAGAAAAGGCCATAGAACGTGACACACAGTGAATGGGCAATCTTCCCTCGTTAATAAGAGCGCTATCACCCGCATTAGTTGCTTCAAAGCCCCAAATCTCGTTGATCTTCACTCTTGAGCCAGACGACTCAGTAGCCTCGATCAACTGAGCATAAGCTGGCTCCCATATCTGAAAAATCTCTTTCAGCGAGTCGATTTCGCGGTTTTAGACACAACATACTTGCCTCTTTGGGAAATCCAACTGCATGAGTGACGATAAGCGTCAGGCCTCCTGGAACTTGGGTCTTTCGAGCATATCGGTTCCAAGCATTGTACAACACTTCGGAGCGTTTCGGCCACGTAGCAACGAGCCCATTATCAATATCATAAGACTGTTGGGCCAAGAACTCGCTGTGTCGTTTAACACGAGCCTTGCGTTCTTCCTTGGTCTCGTTTGGTGGAGGAGCCCACTGAGACTCTACGTAAAGCTCCGAATTGACACGTGGCCATGCAGCAGCGGCGATGTGCGCAGAAAGCACATGTGTCCTGCCGATGGCATCAGGGAGGGAAGACTGCGGACGCTGGCCGTGCGGAAGCTTTGGAAGTTGGCCAACCAAAGCGAGCGGTGGGTTGAGCAATGGGGCGTAAGTTTCGGGAACTGGAGGGTAGACCTTTGGCCAGATATGGACAGGATTTGGAGGAGGGTAAGGAGTCAAGGGTGCCCTCTTCTTTTTTTCGACTTGCTGCTGAGCCATTGAGGACGTAAAGAAAGTACGATGGAGGTGATGGATGAAGAGGGGAACAGTGGCCTAGCGGTAGGGACACGCCTTTAAACTTGGGAACTACATCGAATTGATGAGATCTCCGGATCATGGATGGCTTTGGATGGCTTGGACATATACACTTCGGATCCATATATTTTCTCACCAGGCCATAGGAGCGTCTATCGGCTATGGAGTGAAAGATGAACCTGGTCAATTTCTTTGCGTTTTTCTTTACCAATGCTATTACCGCGACGGAGAAACGGACGAGTTGTCCGGGGATGGCTGTGCTGCGGTGTGTGAGGAGGTTTCCGCAGGAACGTTTATTCCATGAATGTGACAGTCATTCCATTGAAACACTGTTATTGATGGGCATCGTCCTCACTGTTCTGGACATGGAGGAAGGCGAACGTAAAGCAGGCTTCCCCGAAACAGGATGGAAATCTGAGGAGAAGGCAAAAGAACGAACACGGCTAACTCCCAGTCCACCATCACATGACACTAGAATTTCCTGTTATAAATAAATTATTGTTCATCGGATCATGCATCGTTGGGATCCCCTATCCCTATCTCGTACTCCACCTCAGCCATTCAGGAGTTAGAGGCCCAATCATCAGGTTAACGTCGGCCTCGTGTGCGAACTCTCCCATCTCCGTGAAGAAATCATGTTTGAAATGTGGACAATGCTGCAGTCATGCAGTCGGTTAAGTTCGTCATTCTTAGGCGGCCTGTGGCCGTGCTCGCAACGCAGAATATGTTTCCTATGCTACGTAGTAGCGGCCTGTGATTTCTGTCTGCTCCCTCAACCGGTACATCTGGATGCACCATGTGTACAAATGCTAAAACATGTGCCCCACGCACAGCTCACCGATGGAGGGGAATCCGGTCATAAGTATGGGTATTTTCATGGTCTATTACTTCGAGAGGTTAGGGACGAGTACACCTGTCGTTCTTAAGCCAATTTTCAGGGAAGCTTATTTGGAGCCCGCTCCATTTGCAAAGGACAGGCTTTCTGGAACGGCTTTATGGCGGTATTTCTTTCTGTTTGTGAGGGCTATGTCTTGTTGCAATCTTTCATATAGCGCCGCCAGAAGACGGTGTACATTCTTTGGGGAAGATCTTGACATCTCCGTTAGCGCTGTCGCTCAGGACTCTGTAGCATCTTAGTTTCCAAACTTGCCGGGCGCACCCTGTCACAACTATCCTGAAGAATCTCGTCACATCTCCCCGGTAGAGCCAGCCGCCTTTTTGATCAGGGTTCTAGGTCTTCTGGCCGACGGATACCTTCTTCGCACACATTCTTTTGGCTGCGGCCCAGAGATATGGACTCGCATAGTCACCTCTGCCAGACTCGGAACCCTTCTCTAGTACAAACCGTCTTTGTGTGCATCGTATATCAGCCCACAGGAAGTTTCGGATGCTCGGATTAAGTTTTTTTTTTTTTTGATTCTTCAGGATTGATGCACCCTGCGTTCCCCAAGACGGTTCTGATGTGATCAATATTCTCGTCAGACCTGCGTGTTTTCCCTTGTGAGACCTTCGTTGTTCACGGACGGTAAGTTTGAGGGGCGGTTGACCGAGTTGAGCTAGCGCCCATGTGTGAGACGCGCTAGAAGTTCAGTTGTTGTGGGGTTCTGAGGCGTGGTCAGTTCGTCGGCTTCTCCATTTCCTGCGATTCCGTTGTTGGCCCCTTCAGGGGTGAAGCTTCTGTTTTCGATTTTGTGTAAGCTGGTGGCTAGGGTATTTATGCACTATTTGGAGTCAGTTGTTGCACGATATTGTCACGCGGGGATAGAGTTGAACAGCTTTCGCAATGCAAGGATTTTCATAAAGCATATCATGTCATACGATTGAGCCTAGCACATATGTGCAATCCAAGAGCGCGAGAGCCTCAGTAGAAGTACCCCAAGATCTTACCACCAATGCCCCTGCGACGAGCTTGCTCGTGGTCCATGATACCGGAACTTGTCGTCTAAGGACGGCAGAGGAAAAAAAATCAGCCTACTCAAATTTGATGCGGGGACATTGCGATGACGCACCAGAATGATGTGCCCAAAACTACGTGAAGGGAGCAAGTTGTTGACCCAATTCTCAATCTGTTTTGCCTGAACATTATAACGAGGCGAGATGACACCTGCTTTATTCAAGCGTCCATTAAGCTGGATAACGATTTTGCCACAGTGACGGTCATGAACGTGTTCGAATTCACCAATATAGCCTAAGAAGCATTTGACGCCATGTTAGTGAATCGGGATTGACTAGCCTTAGAAAGAGGCAATAAATGGAAATCCCCCAAGCAAGCGAAGGTAAATAAAGTGTTTAAGGTGTCAAGGTTGCCACAAGTTGGCATCTTGGAGCTCAAGGACCCATTCCCTGCAGTTGCTCCAACAGAAAGATGCAAAGACAGCAAACAGAGTAGAACAGTGCAATATGGATTCAAAGCGTTGGGCTCACCATGACGTTGCATGACCAAAAGAAATCTGATGACAACTTTCGACGCCGGTCGGACAAGGACCTGACGTTTGCCTTTTCGCTCGGCATTGACTATGCCGTTCTGAAAATGGAATGAGACACTATGCTCGTGGCCCACGTCCAAAAGCAAATGAAACGAACCAAGCAGTCGTTCTGTCACAAAAGAAAAAAGTCAACTTCAGACTAAACTATGCTTGCCATCATCACTTACGAGGACGGAAACGCGGACCATATTGGCAGAAAATTAGTGCACGATTGTCGGCTGCAAACGGCAAAGGAAACGGGAGTAAGCTCATCATGCCCAGATTGAGTGTCGTACTGTAAAAAGTACGATTCAAACAGGCGACGGTCCATTCCAGCCATTAATGACTGGTCCACAAGCTGGGTGGTCGTCGAACGGTTACAAGAGGAAGAAGAGCATTCACCTTTTGGCTGGAAATGTGAGTGGTGACGAGGGAAGTGTAGGCGTGACTACTGTACAGTTGCCGGAAGCAAATAGTCACATCCTTTAGGTCAAACCACTCGTCAAGCTAGCTCAATATGGTGGGCATTTTTGTAGCAGTTTCGCTGGGCAATGCATTCGACGTTTGTCTTCGGATAGGGTCGCGTGCGCACAAAGACAGTCAAGAAAGCCTCTCGAGTTCTTATTGAGAAATAGTAAGAATATGGCTCAATTGGCTGCTGCCGTCGAATCAATCGTACTTATGCTGTTACTCGTCGATCAGCTACCCCCGCTTGACTTTAGATTTCCACACCAACAAGCGTGTTATCGATGAAGTCGTATGTATTGTCATAGGTTTTTCTATCTTTCTTTTCTCACTTAATCATATCAGGCTGTTGTGCCTTCGAAACGTCTACGCAACAAGATTTCTGGCTACACCACCCATTTAATGAAGCGTATTCAGCGTGGGCCCGTTCGTGGTATCTCTTTCAAGCTGCAGGAAGAAGAGCGTGAGAAGAAGGACAACTACGTCCCTGAAGTTTCCGCACTCGACTATTCCGCTGGTCTTGAGGTTGACCCCGACACTAAGGTTAGACATTTCTCTTCATTCACATGTCTTTTTATTCATGTTGCATCCATCCTGGGAACACTATAGGACCTCCTCAAGCACCTCAATTTCGACCATCTCCCAGTTACTGTCGGTGCTCAAGTCACTGGAAACCCTCTTGTCGAGCGCCGAGGGCCAAGGCGGTATGTTCCTGGTGCTGGGAGATCATAAGGGCTGCCTTTCTTTGCCTTCCACCTTACAAAAGCCCGCATTCCGGTCGATTGGTCACGCATATGCTTGCCTGTGCTTCAGCTTCGATCATGCCAGTAATCACGCTTATGCTATGATATTACCGCTGCAACCACTATCCTGACTGCCTCATGCATTGTTTTCCCTTATCCTTCCCCCATCTTGTGTGAGTTGCGTGCAGGTTGATAAAATCTGGCGTCTTGTGAACGGTCCAAATAAGGGAGAAAGATAAAACGCATACGCGGATGTTAACAAGCTGAGGAAAATCGTGCAACCCTTCAGGTGAAATGTCACCTGCACAGCAGTGGTGAAATTACGCCATTCCTGCTACTTGTGCTGACGTGTTCAATTTCCATTCTGGGTTTTACCCAGATTCTTTACGTACTATTAGTAGACAAATCTTGTATGTCACATGTCACTCACTGTCCCATTCCCGTTTCGTTCATCTTTCAAGGACTTTGCATGTTTCCACTCTTCATATACACGCGCATTAAAAGGTGTAAGGGTTCCTCTCAGTGGTATTCCAATGTCTGCCCACAGATATTCTATGGTTTTCCCTTGTGCACGATAATCTGTAAAGGTGTAAGCAACGTCTGTCCTCATCTGTCTCCTTTGGATAACTTTCTTATCTCCCTTTCGCGTAGTGATTTCCATCGCTCATTGGATTATTGTTGATTCACCCAGTCCACCTCTTCGGCTTGATGACAATGCAATTTGGAGAGAACTTCATGTTTTGCACACCACTGGAAGTTGGTGTTTCTTAGGGATCCGCCCATATCCATACTATTTTAGTCCATGTCTGTGTCCAGGTTTGTGGTTACAATCACCTTGCATCTGATGGCTAATTCAACCATTCTGTAAGCCTGCCTTGACAGAGCAGCATTGTGCTGGATGCCGTTCATGCTGAGTGGATGTCCATTCCAATGGTCTGCTTGTATGAGCTGGCACACAAGTGCTATCTGAAATCTCTTCCAATGGAGCGTTTACCACATTCCACCCACGTCTTTCCCTCCTCCCCCTTGATCTCATAGCTGACTCTGCACAAGCTGATGAACCAACACCGGATCCTGGAGGTGTCCCTGTTGCATCAATGTGGGGCTTCTGGATGTGTCGACTCCATGTCAATACCCAATCCCCCATGCATCAGATTGGAGACACCCTCAGTCCATCAGCATTCTGTTGACTGTGTGGCCTCCAATGCTGATCTGAGTCGCACTGCTGATGACAATGCATCGCCAGCTGTGGTTCAGTGTTCATCCCTCCCTGCCAAATTGATGTGCATGTCACCAGCACGGTCCGACACGTCATCGCCATCATCCAACACGTTGTCCAATGTGTTAATGTCGAAACATCGTCATTGAGGCCGGAAGAAGCGCTGATCTAAGCTGTGTTCAACAATTCTCCCTTCCCCCATCACTCCCCTGCTGTTATTCCCCACGAAAATTACATTAAAATCATTCCTTTCCCTGTTCTGATACGCTGCTGTTGCTGGCAAGAACAGGCACCCTTGTCTTTCCTTCCCGATTCCTCTCCATCTTTCTGGAAACATCTTGGAAACCTCGTGATGACTTGGCAAACCATTCCGCATCTCCATCCAAACATATCCTCTGTAAGCACTATTCTCCACTCTGGTCTGATACCTGACTGACTGAACTTCATGCACTCAAAGAACTTCTGTACCCCGTGTACCCACTCTGTGTACAATGTAACCCTATGGACCCATCTATGTTGCATCCAAGAACACACATCTCCTGTATCATAACGTTTTATGTAAATAGTGCGGGTTCTTTCATGTAATAATGCTTGGATCGAATGCTGTGCATGTTATGGAAATGGGAAATTTCCCAATTTAGACTCTTATGGGCCCTGCACACACCCAAATCACATGATATGTAAATAATTAGAGTTTATCCAATTATTAACCACCTAAACTACCACTTGTGAAAACATCTGTTAAACCACATGTTAAAATATCTGTAAAATCGCATGAGCTCAACCTCTACCCCCTTCCCTCTTCCTGCGCCTCAAACGGACGAAAATGGGCGCCTCCGGCCCCATTTTTGTAACAGTGCAGGTAGCAGCGATGCGAAGCACGCACTCTAGTGCAAATCGTCTCAATAAGAGAAGAAAAACGAATAAACGAATAAATTCAGCCAACTCCGCTACAGTCATTCACGGGCCAATGGTTCACATTTTGTAATTTTGAGACTATGACATTGGATCAAAACCAAATACAAAAATTTTACGATGGATAGTAGCCAGGCTGGGTATGTACATATTACCAAGAAATATAAAGAAATGGATGAAAAATGAACGAGAATAAAAGCAGACAAGGAAATGGTGCTTTCCCGGCTCAATGGTTCAGTGTGACATGGTGTGACAATTAGTTCACACGCCGAACCGATAATTCAGTAATATGGCATGAAGCAAGGGTTTGCAGAATATTTGCTCTACTGCTTGAGCTACTTTTTGCTTGTGAATTCTAAAGGAGTGATTAGTGATACTGGTGAAAGCAGCAGGCACAGAAAGGAATAAATTTGAGATACTGAATTTGGAAACTCGGATGTAAGTATACCTCAGTCTGACAAGTGCTCGTTCACCACAACAAACAAACATGGGCACATGCGCCAGTGGCCTTCTGTTCCTTGGTAACACACCAAGCTGTAGGACACACTGCGGTGTCGTAGCCATGTTCCTGGAGAGTGCAAGATGCATAACTTTTGTGTGCACCATTAACTCGTTGAACAACTGCTATTACTCCTTCATTTTATGTCCGATTTGGTCAAATTTTTGCGTAGTCACAGCCATAGTTATAACATACAAGTGTGCACAAAATAAAAAAATCCCGGGGTGAAATAAGGATGTTACATGCAAATGAACCATTGAGGGGTGTGAACCATTGGCACGTGAATGACTGTACATAGAAAGAAAGAAAGAAAGTCGGAGGTCACGTGCTCATAGGGCCAGGTACGTTCTCCGTAAGAGTCGCTGCTGGATCCAATCCCTGCTTGGAAGCAAGAAAATGCGTGGCAGAGTGGTAGCCGTTATCTGCGGTCAATGAGACGCTCGCACGCCCGCCGGTTGCTCGTTGGGGTGGGGTTGAGCTGTATGCATTTGGCAGGTGTTTAGCATGCCTGCCAGTGCACTTCAGGGCTATCATCCCCTTCAGGAAGACGTCTCAGTCGTAATCACTGTCCAATGCTCGCTTAGGGGTGCTCGACTTAGTCCCCTTAAGGGCAAATGGAATGGCCGGACTTCAACTAGATAGCTTGCTCGTGTGCGCGGTTAAGGTTTCTCCCTTACGCGATTGGATGTTCATTACCCATTCCCAATGTCATTATTCATCTCTGGTACTAGTCTGCCTTTAGTGTTTGCTCGGTTATCACTCGAATCATGCTCCATGCGTTTCAATCGGATTGCTCAAACTTTGATAACGAACACCAATGGGAATGTGTATGGCGAGTGCAGATGAACCACACGCTCGCCCGGCGTCCCTCGTGTCTAAGTTCTGGACTTCATCTCCTTGAGCAGCTGTCTTCTATTAATGTAAACATTCCAATAGAGGCTGATCACCTGCCTATGTGTTTGCGCTGGGGCTATGTAGCTCAACAAGAACGTGGGGCTCGAGTTACGGCTTTTGGGTTTGAAATGCAAAGGGATGAGCGCCCGTGCCCCTAATACTCGAATAGGGGCAAGCCAGGCTAGATTTGTATTGACACCGTTACCAATTTTGTCATTCAATGAGTGAACGTCGTAGGCAGGTGACCAGCGTTTATACTATAGTATGAACGTCCTGAGATTCTGCTCATGCTGTCCTCAAATATCGTTGGGGAGAGCAGCCCAGCTGCAACTAGCGTCATTCCCCACCCAAGATCTTGGTGGGTCTGCCTCGATTCATGCCCAATTCTATGGGATGGCTAGTTGCGTGGAATCGGCCATATCGATCCACTGGTAAGCGTTATCGTCAGTTCAACTGAGTTACTGATCATCAATATTGATGTATGGCTAGGACACGCTGAATAATTCGCCGGCTGCCTGTGCGAGCGCTAAAAGGCTTGGCTCCTCCTTCCAGCCACCTTGCTGGTAAATATATGCTTTCCGAGCGGCTAATGCTGCTAAACCCGCCTCGCAGTGGGGCTCGCCGGCTTCACATTTGACTGGCTGGATTGGACGCTGGTTCGTCAACAGCTCGGCTGGCGATATTTGACAAATGTCCGGCGTCTTCTAGAAGGCCGAAAACTGGGCTTAAACCAAGGCCAGCTGACAGGGACCGGGGATGCCCTTTGCCATCAGGTAACGGTCATTGAACTAGATCTTGACCAATGAATTGCAAAACTGCTTCATATCACCGAACTATTTATTTGACCCGGACACTCGGTTATCGGAATTGTTATCTCTCATATATAGCATGCAGAAAAACTGCATTTTTCGACACTCCCCCTCACACGACCCAAATTACTCTCGACATGTCTCGTGCCTACGTCCTCGCTGAGAGCCAAGGTATTTTCCAGCCTCCAGACAGTCAAGGCAATCCCGCCCCTCGGATCTGGTTCAAGACGGGGCCAGTGACCGAGCGTCTCGTGCAGCGCCTCGTCAGGGTGCAGCTTAAGACGGAGTCGTGTGATCCAGAACAGGTAGTTGTGACATCCAACTGGCGTGATAGCTGGTTCGAGATCTGTATTCTAGCTAGTGATGCTGCAAGAGAGCTCAAGAGGAAAGGCAAGAGGGTTCTATCTTGGAGAAGTCACAGTAACATGTTGGCCTCTGGGGATTCTGGTTTTGTCTTTGGCCGGGAAAGCCAACTGGTTGATGATCTTGAGGCATGTGCACGTATTCAGAGCCTCCTTTGCGGATTCCTGATGCGATCGTCTCTTTTCACAGGTTGGGGACATAATTGCGGTTCAGGTCTGCTCGCCCCTTTCGGCCCGGGGCGCCTATCTTGGGCGTGGAAAATTGATAGTTGAAGAGCGGGACGAAGGTATCATTGATAGTGTGTAAGCGTGATACTAGCCACTTTCAGCCACAATAGTGTTTACAGCCGAGCAAGACCTAGATCTGTCGCTAAGTCGTGCATGCCCGAGCGGTCCACGGAGACCACAATCACTCTTTCATCCACGAATAACTGCGAGGTTCACGCCGTCGACGACAAGTTGGAGTGCAGGATTTGGCTGAAGTCTCCGGTGAGCGGTTTAGCGTGAAAATGCTCTAGAGAGAAATGTCGTTCATGCGCGCTTCGATTCATAGCCTCTTGATAAGTGTACGATATCAAACATTCACACCGTCCAGTTGTTCACGGTCTCTCGTGGGAGTGGGAATTTCAACTTCGGCGGTGCATGCAGCTGGAGTTGGTTTGACATTTTGATTCTGGATTCTCCTGACGCCAAGTCGCCCAAGGTTGTCAACGGTGTTAGCTTGGTTTGGAAAAGTCATCACAACTCCCTTCACAACGGACCCTATGAAGAGCGTCGAGGCGATGTTCTTTACTGGGACAATCCTCTCCTGTTTCTTGATGTGGGATCTGTCGAATTTCCGCAGATGGGACAATCGTTCTAACATTCCCCTCTCAGGACGGGAACGTTATCGCCGTACGTATTTGCGCCCGGTTTCCGGGTTGGAGCAACTATGTTAAGGAGGGTCATCTTTTAATCGGTGTCAAGGAAATAGGTAAGGCTCTTGTGATATCCAGCACCCCTTACTAACTATCTCCGCCACTTGTCTGTCACTGCAGAGGCAGCGAAATCGATCACGACTTCTCCACTTAGCATCTGTGAGCCTGAAAACTTGTCCTTTTCTAACGATTCCTTGGAGACATTGGGGATCCCGAGTGAACCGGCACCTGCATACTCTTCGCCTTCCACTGATTCGATTCTTGAGCAACGGCTCGGGGTTGATCAGACCATTGAATCTGCGCGCCCACTGCGCCTCCTCTCACTTGGTATGTATGCATGTTGACCCGTCTCCTCTATATGCTCAACGACTACAGATGGGGGTGGTGTGCGAGGGATCTCTACCTTGGTAATTTTGAAAGAAATCATGAAAAAGGTGACCAGCGAGAAGGACCCAAGGCCATGCGACTACTTTGACATGATTGCGGGCACCAGCACCGGAGGGTACGTGCGCTTTTCGTGCGCGCGAACACAGTTCAAAGATGATTGACGCTTCTTAGCCTGATAGCACTTATGCTGGGGCGTCTGCATATGACAATCAATGAATGCACCGAGGAATATGAGAGGCTGGCGAAGGAATTGTTCACTCGAGGCCGCCTTGGGAAGTTTGTGGGTGTTGTAACTACGGGTGCGAGATACGATGCCAATATCTTGAAGAATGGCATACAAGACCTTCTCCAAAGAAAGTTAGGCGACAGTGAGGCACTTATGTTGGAGAAAGACCCACTTTGCAGAGTGTGAGAAAAAACGTGCAATCTTGCGGTTACATTGGCGCTAATTTCTTTGCGCCAAACCTGAAGGTTACTTATGGCTGCTCGGTCAGACCGTCTGAACCGTAGGACTGCTGCTTATCTCCGTACATATGACTCTCCAAATGCTCCTCCTCAAAAATTTCCCCCGTTCAGAATTTGGGAGGCAGCCCGAGCCACATCTGCTGCCCCAACTATTTTCGAAGAAGTCCGAGTGGGGAGGCACACATTTGTGGATGGCGGCTTGGGTTTCAACAACCCCGTCCAAGAGTAAGTGCCAGGATTCTTGAAAGTATGGCGTACTCAAAGTCCCTGTTGCAGACTCGTGAATGAAGCGTTCTTCCTCTATGGTGCGACGCGTCCCATTGGATGCATCACTTCTATCGGGACAGGCCTAGGAAAGAATGTCCCCCTCCACCCCATCTCAGTTATTGGATTCAAACATTTCGTGAGAGGGCTTGTAAGCGTCGCATCAGGATGCGAGCGTTCACATGAAAGAATGATAGCCAACAGTCTGCGCCTGCCTCCCGTTGGCGAGCAAAAGTACTTCCGCTTTAACGTCGGCGAGAGAGTTTATTCCAAATGGGTCGAAGAAACTGTGCCTGACTTGTTCAACAACCAGTTGGGGACAGTCATTGACAAACCCGAAGAAGACCACTTCAAAGCGGGGCACATCCATTTAGATGAATATCAGCGTATGCACGAGTTTGCGGCGCTTAGTAGAAAGTACATGGCGGAGACGGAACAACAAAAACTCCTTCAAAGGTGTGCTAAGCGTCTCTATCCAACGACGCTGACTCCGACAGGAGTCTTAATTCGCGGACAGATGAGAACCAATGAGGGCATGGGCGAGCTGGAAAGCCAGAGTCTGGGAGATGTGTGTGTTGCTGGTAGCAAGCTTAGGGAAACAGTGAACGGTACGCCATCTCACCATTGATTCTTGCTATTTCTCAGTCATGGCTCTGCAGAGTCGCTTCTCATTGCGAAAAGACTCTCAAGTGAAATATTGGACATTGTGCGCAGACCCCAACAACCAAAAATGCGCGAAGTATCGGAACGCTCACTGGTTTGCTTATTCGTTTTCGATAGATCGTCCAAGACGAAGACGAGTGCGGTGATCCCCACCTTGCAGTGCCCACGTTGAACTTTGAGTTTGGAACTCCCGAAGACTGCACTGCCGTCAAGCGGCGTAAATTAAAGGTATTGCAACACCGTTTCATTTGCAAGCAAATACATCATCTTTTTGTATTCAGCACCGCTCAGCCTCTCCGTGCCATAGCTTGGGTTCTGTCAACGAGGCACTCGCCGCTAAACAGGGGCAGAAGACGAAAGAATTTGCGATACTCAAGGGCGTAAGGCTCTACTTCACTGGTCGAAGAGTTCTAGAGGTATGCATGCTTCACGTTTGGTTGGGATGGTGATTGGTTAATCCATCCAAAGGCCCAGCGCCGCGGTCCGCGAGTGGCTCCGTTCCAACAACTCTTTGTACCCCTCATCAGGACCCACGTCTCGTCGTGGGCAAAAGTCAGGACACGAGCCCCACGAGACATCTTATCGACGATGATATGTTTCATTCTTATAGCAGTAAGTGTTTGAAATCTTTGCTTCCCCACACCAACGAACTCGCTTCTGATGACGCGTGCTTCAGGTCCTTGTTGGGCTGCTAGTTCGTAAGTAGCAGAATAAAATGTTCTGTATGTTTCTGGGCTCTGATCTTACCGCATTAACAGCACAACGCAGCAATAATGTAGACGGCTTCTGCGCTCTGCCTATCAGGCGGGCATCCACAGCTGGCAAGTGCTTGATTTATATCTGATCCTTCTCCATTCCCCGTGTAATCACTGCAATAACGATCGTTGAATCAATCTTCTGCTCGAGGAAACTATGAATCAATAAGCAGTGTGGTGTTCACGATAGTGTTACGAAGTCATAGAAGCTGGCGGTGGGTTGGAATGACACGAGCCGAAACCCGATGCGGAGGCACTGGAGCGACTCAACGGGACGGTAATTTTGGAGGCCAAAGGCTAGCTTTGCTTTGTCAATTGTTTGTCAGCTCCGAATAGATTATTAATTGAATTCATTTAAGCGCCCAGGTGACCAGCCTCTCTTCAACGGGTTCGAATTTGTTGTCTTTATCCAGCGTCGTTCCGTCCGGTGACTCCTTTGAGCTTTGTATTCTTTCTTGGTGTGCGAGTGTTGAGTCTGGCTTTCGTTTTTCTTATTGTTCAACGAGGTCTAGTTAATTTCGACCTTGGCGCTTGTATTGTAGCGGAGTTGTCCGAGTCATACTGTCATATTCAACACCCACGTCTGTTGTCGCAATCATGGTAAGCCAGCTGTGCCAATGGCTTCATTTCGTTTACTGAGTGATTCGCGGCAATCCAAAATAGTCTTCGGGATGGATTGTCAAGTTGTCTTCTTCTCGTGGAATGCCTTACTTCTTCCATGAACCATCCCGCCAGTCCCGATGGGATGCCCCATCAAGTCTCAGCCGTGATGAAATAGTTGCGCTCCCCGGCGCCAAGGAATACCTTGATGTTGTTGGCAACCCCAAGGAAGCGCCTCCGGCGCCGGGTCAAATGCGAGCTAGCCACCTGCTTGTTAAGCACAGTGGCAGCCGACGGCCATCTAGTTGGAGAGAGGTTCGTCTTAATGGTCGCCACCGCGTTCAAGCCCTTCAATTCAATCCTATTCCTGCACCATAGGCCAACATCACTCGATCAAAGGCTGAGGCCATTGACATTCTGCGAGGATATGCTAAAGAAATCAACAACTCACCAGTCAAATTTGGCGAGTTGGCTTTCAAATACTCTGATTGTTCTTCTCACTCCAAAAATGGTGACCTCGGCTGGTTCGGACCCGGACAGATGCAGCAACCATTCGAGCTCGGAACCACCGCTCTCAACGTCGGACAAATCAGTGACATTGTCGACACCGACAGTGGGGTGCATCTCATCCTTCGGACCGGATGATGCTTCCTGGGACAGGACGAGTAGCTGACGGACATCAAATGCCGGCAAGCATTGCATTTTTACAGTGTACATACATATTCTGCAAAATAGTGGACTCTGTTGATATCGCTCAAACGGTGATCCCCTCTTTTTAATTGGCGGCAGCAAACCAGTAACGCAGGAGTGGACCTACGACATCCTCGGGCTTGGCAGGAGCAGCGAAATCGGACCTTGATACAGAACGCTTCCCATGGGGCGCAAAGAAAGTAGGATAGAAATATTGTTCGTCTTCAAAAGTCTTCTCGATCGGAATAGGAGGCAAAGATGCGTTCGCGGGCGTCTCATTGTAAGATTTGAACCATTCTGGTCGTTTCTCCGGCGTTCTGTGTAAAGGGGAAGGTCAGTGAATCATAGTGTGGCCTAGTGAATAGCGAGTGAACGCAACTCCGCGATATCGCCTTCCCAAGCTGTGATCCTGTAGGCTTTGGCCCGAATGGCAACAGGATTCCCCTCAATGACAACGAGGAAATTCCCTGCATCGGATATTTCAGTGGGCTCGAGCCCTCCTGTTTGGACCTGGACGGAAACGGCATGAGATTTCTAGGCATCTAACAAAAGGATAAATAATGACCTTTACTGCATTCTTTAAAACTTCGATCTCATCCTCTCCCTCCTTGACGAACTCGATGATGGGGACATAATGGCCCACTCCGAACCCTTCCTTGGTCCACAGCAAAGCGAACTGTTTAGATGGAAATTGAATGCTTACACAGCAGTAATGGTGCACGATCTATATCGCTTACCTTTTCATCTTTTCTGTCGTGGATGAAGCCATTGACGATGGGACCTGTCTTTTCTCTGTCGAACGGGAGCCAATTGTCATCCCCACCCTTAGCGGTGATCTCTATCACGTTGTGTTGCTCATCTTCAATACCAGGTGGTACAGTAATGGATGAGCTCATTATAAACGAAAAGGCAACAGCGAAGTCGACAAGAGGGTTGGGTGACGCTGATTCAGGGCACTCAGCCGAATTTATAAACGAATCGAGAGGTGGAGATCGTGGATCTGGGTTGGATCCAATTGAATTGCAATTGGCCCATGCGAACAAGATGCCTAGACTTACTGAATAGAGTAACGATTTCATTTCAGAAAGACAAACTTGATCCCTACGACATTACGCTTCAAGGGTGCGGCATACGATCAGAACCATCACAGATACCCAACTCGAAATTCGCAGGTAGTGACCAACTCAACCAGGCTATGGGATCATGTAATGCACGGTTTGTCAGGAGAGAATTGCCGAAGAGTAACTTGGGCCTCTTCAAATACACGAGCAGTCGCTGTGTCCCTATATATTTGTATTACGTTAGCCACTACAACGGAGATAAAAGGGAAGACGTGCATCCTGTACGCGAGGTTATACACAACTTCTTGAACTCCTGTCTGAACGATCTTGATGGAGCACCTCAGGCATGGACAACTTAGGAGAGAGTTACCTTAGAATACAGAATAAGTAAGGAAATGATCCAACTTTACGTATTGCAGTAGAGGACAGCGCCAGAGCCCACTCTTTCCCGCCCTGCCTCCAGCAAAGCGTTCTCTTCCGCATGAAGGCATAAACATTCGTCACCACTAGCTGCATTGTTCCCGCCGTTACAGCGGGCGCAACCCCCTTCATTGCAGTTTGTAAGGTTTCTAGGAGTCCCATTATACCTGAAACGAAAAAAGGGGTTTGCTGGGCCCATGTAATAATTAATCCAGAGAATACCCAGTAGCCAATATCCTTCGATTCCGGACGAGGATGGCACCAACCCGACGCTTCATGCAATTGGATCGTTGAGAGGCAAGTTCTGTGAGTGTCTGTTCCCGGGAAACAAATCAAACTCCATACTATACAAGACCAGTTTGAAAAGCGATGTCCTGTACCATAAAGTACGAGTCCCAGCCTGGTCGCAGCCTTTCGGGATCTAAGAGGTCCAATGATTCCAAGTGTTGTCGTAACCCGTGTACATCATCAAATGAATTGTTAATCAAGATCGAGCCATGCCCGAATGTATGATGGTCCTGAAGCTGCATATAGATACGATCGTTCTCTTTAAGAAACTCTTCGAGCGTCAGGAGTCTATTCGGCCGTTTCGATCTTCGTGGAATGAACAATGAGCGTAACCCCACCAGTTCGCGACTCCATGGGCATACCGTTCTCGGTCCCAGCGGAGTAACACAGGCGCGTCTACTCTAATAACCACAAAGAACGGTCGGACGAGAAATCCCGACAGAATGGATGGTTCTTGAAGAGACAATGTGACATGATTCGAATGCCAGTTTCGTGTGGCATAATCAAGCATATCGCTAGGTGTCCGAAACGCCTTGGTGGTATCCTCAGTCGAGGGCGTCTGCAAAGGAGAAAATCGGATGGGGGTCGATTCTTTGGGGGGGCTTGGAGAATGTGGCGGGTGTGCGCACGTTGTTGGAGTATTTGGGGCTCCATGAGGTAGCCTCCAGTGATTCAAGTCGTAATTCAAGAAATCCACTTTCGACGAGATAGTCGCGTAGGGAAGTCTTTCCCGAGCAAGGAGTCCCGAGAATTCCAACGAACATGTCAGGCTTCCGTCAGGCTAGCGTAGGTGTGACCGAAGGCCGACGCGATTCCGTCACGCTAACGTCCATTCGAGTGTGCGATAAAATACAATGAACCAAGACGATGAATACTGCAAAGATACGAAAAGGGTAAAGGCAGGATTGAGGTACTACTAGGCAGAATATGCGTCAAGTCCATGATGTATGATAGATACATGGGATATCAAGCACAAGACCCCCATGATATAATTTAGCATTGATAGTCTGAACAGTATAATTAGCGCGCGAATGGTTAAGGGAAGAAAACACACCATGGAATTCTTAGGGAACGTATAGCCTGCCTCCTTCCAGAGGGTATAATTCCGGTTCGTAAATGCATTTAAATGTCTGCATCAATATTTGATCCATAAGTGTCTCTCAATCGCGGAGGGATCCTAAAGCCTTACCTGTTGATGTAATTTGAGGTAGGATAGTCTGTACAATGTGTTATCACGTAAGCGTTATGTAGGGACGGCGAGCCTAGCACCAAACCTTGAGGATCGCACGTCAAATACTCTGCTCCGAGTCCCTTTCGCTGCCATACACGAATATAATCCACTAGATACTCGGACGGGAAAGTCATCGCAGCGGTATTCACAGCTTGGAACGACTCTGCGGAACGAGGGATGTTAATGCTCTGGTATCCATAATGGCATCTTACTTACGTGAAACGGCCAAGTTCAGCACGATTGACTGGGTTCAAAGTGGTGAGCAGCAGTCCTTGATGCAATCTTAGCAACGTACCATCGGTTCTTCCGGTACCAGTCGGTCACTAATCTGAACAGTGGGGTCTGCTCGGAAAACATCTGAGCTGGCGGTAAAGACCTTATCGTTGGCTACCCAAGTGATGTAGCCATCTTTGGGATTCTGTGGATCTGACCAATACTCGAAACCAAACTTTGTGAACTGTGCTCCTCCCTTGGCGAAGACGGTACCATTCAAATCTGTAAGCGCTGACACAGCTTGTTGGCTGTAGCTGTTGAGTACCCTGGCTCTCGATGCAATGCGACTTCAACTTACAGAGGGGATCCTCTGATGAGCGCGAGGCGTAAGTACCTTCCAGACTTTCAAACGAAAACCGAACATACCGGTACGAGTTTAATTTTGTGTGTTCAGGATGCGGGATTGTGATACTGTCGGTAGTGTTGGGGAAATAGTACAAGTAGCTAAATGGTGCCATTTGCACAGACTGGGTGACACGCCCTCCAGGGCCCTCCTTGCTTTTCTGGGCTTCGAAGACATCGATCTCAGGAGCCCCGCGACCCCTAAATCTCCCCTCTGAGTTCAAGAAAGGGCCCGGGTGGTCTTCGCCTTTGCAAGTGCAGGCACTGAGAATAGAATTAATACGTGGCACTGCATGCGTGATTGGCTCGACACTCACGAGAGCCTTTGACCCGGTTGCCAGCTCAGGTTGTTATTGTACTTTGGATTTCCACCGCCCGTGAGTGCTGTCGCAGGCTGCCCATTGAACGTCTGGTTAGGCAATGTGCCGAGATCACATGAATCATAACTAGGAAGGAAATTGAATGGTGCAATCTTTGGCGAGCGGGTAGGAACTTACGAATACGGCCACATGCCCTCGGCAGTCGCCCCATAGCCAGGTCTGCATAGGTTGCCCATGATCCATGCCTATACAACAATCTTGCGTCACCGAAACTGTCCGATATCAGCATTCATATGCTTATGCTTACACCTGGCCACTTCGGGAAGCACTGGAGTCAGCAAAAGCGCCCTGGTGGAAGACGACAGGACTTACATAGCCCGAGACATCTTCGGAACCCGGGAACACAACGCTTACTATGTAACTATTAGGGGGCATGTAAGCAAAAGCCGTTTAGACCTACTGACCTTCGATATATCCTGTTCTAAAGCAGAACTTGTTCCAGCTGGAGTGTCGTCAGTGGTCGGCCGGAGAACTAAATGAGCAAGAGCTCACGTTTGAATCATACCGGACTTGAAGTACAGGCCCGGGTAGTCATCAGTCTGGTCGATCACTATAACTAGGTGGCCATCGCGAGTTGTGACCTGGCCTGACAGAGGGAAATCACGGCCGCGTCGCTTAGAAATGCAGCTCAACGCAATGGCGAAGGGCGTACCTGGTTCGTACCACTCCAGATCCTTAGTAGGATAATACTAGGAACGAGTCCGTGTCAGCATGCACATATCCTAAAATGGATTAACATACCCATAAATCGACAGCCTCCCAAAATGGATCATCACCCGGATAGAAAGACCGACCCGGAGTCTCGAACTCATCCGAAAATACAAGCTCGTACTCCTTCCCGTCGAATCCGGTGCGAGTGTAAACACCCTCCGGTGTATCGGGATCGATCAGTTTTGGTAGAAGGGGCAGGTCCGCTATCTGCCCAGTACCATTCAGTATTGCATTTTCCCAGAGGCCACGATGTCTGGTATAGTGCGAAATGACGGGATATCCCAAAAAGAGGAGAAATAAGGCCAAGATAAGGGTTGCGATGATTACTACGTTGGATATCCCCCGCCAGCCAATATTGCTAACTTCGAGCTTTCTTCCATCCGGCTCATGGATAAAATCATCCTCATCGATGGGGCCGTCTACTCGGTCATAGATGCCGTACAAGGCCGCCGTCGACATAGGGGGTTCAGCGTAAGGTCTGGGGTTGTAATGCAAATAAGGTGCGGCATATTTTGAATCAGCTGAGAAACCAAGCACAGAACTATGGCTGGAAACGGTGGAAAAGCGATGGTGGAAATAAGGCGTGGTGGGTAATGCTGATTTTTCGCTTCCTTGGGAGGCCATTGTCAACGGCTGCCATAGACAGTGTCAGTTAGCAATATGATTGACTCGGGGCCGCATTCCCTCATACCGGGTAAGGGCCAGTCCACGCTCCGCACTTCCAGACGTTACACTTCGTAATTGTTCTTTCTCTAGTAACGTACTCCTTTCTTGACTGTATGTGAAAGACGTATCATGCTCTGAGGAAGTGCTTTCTGGACGTTGAAGGCTGCTGCTAGCAGATGTCCCTTTGATTGACGCATTGCCGATGGGTCATTAGAGGCATTAGGATTGAGAGGTGAAGGATTATAAGGCGCTCGAGATGTTTCTCGGGGGAAAACGTTCGCTGAAGTAGGGAATTCTACATGTCGCGCTTGATAATCACCAGGCGTAGACGGAACCCGCCTGTCATACAAGGAATACTTCTTTGGCTCGTAAGGAAAAGCCTCAGATTTTGACATGGCGGTTGGAGGAGAACGTTGGTTGCTGTGCAGGGACCCACTTTGTTCCTGTAGTTGTACGTATTTCAGGATGAAATTAAATGCTATCGGGGCGTGGCACACTCCGATTGAATTCGGGAGGTTGCTTTGCGTGACGTTGCAAGTGGCAGTGGCGCCCTTGATTATCTTCGCTTTCCTTCCTTCCCACCTCTTTTCTTCCTTAGCGTTTTCCCATTAGTTACGTTCCCTTCGTACGACTGACGAGGATAGCTCGTTGGTGTTACTGTATTGTAGCGGAGCTGGCCGAACTCATCACGTCATTGGCGCCTAGAGATTCGCCATTACCCTCTGCCATGGATGTCCAGCCTGCACGTGTACCTGACCTTCCACAGCCATCGCCTCAAGATTTCACACACGTTAGCGTGGACACCCTGCTTCAAACTTTTCAACCGGCTGGTGTAATCGACTCTGATACTTTGCCCTTCCCGACCTCGGCTTTTGCGAGGTCGCTCCAAGACGTTCTTCATGTTCACCTTCCAATGATACTAGAACAAACCAGGAAAGTCATTGAAGGGGTGTGAGTATTCTATTTCATCGTCTTTCATAACGTAAACTTGTCAAATACAGAACCAACGCCTACGAACCCAATGTTGATCCCACGTGGAGTGCAGGTAGCCTTCTGGGTCAAACCTTTTGTACGAGCTTTCTACACTCTGATGCCCCTTGATTAGGGGATTTCGATACACTCTGTGATTCATTCGACCTGTTGAAAGACGTGCTGGTGGATACAGGAATTGGGGCCCTCCCTCTGACAGTCTCCAAAGCGCCCAACGTAGCCCCTCAGGTAACCTATGAGTATCCTCCAGTAGACGAGGTTACAATGGTCAAGCAGGTGGAGGATAGCTTTGCAAAAGTGATGTCAACTAAGGAGGCTGCAGAGGTCGCTCTTAATACTCTCCTTCATGGTGCGCGATAGTATTTATGCACCGGGGATTGCAGAAGTTTTCTGCCAATAATTTCTTGGGATCAGAGCCCAATTTGGCGTCGCGTACATAATGCCCAGATTCCAGTATCGTTGTAAAGACACATGTAATAATTTCAATTTTTCCTCAAACCGGACATAAACGTGGTTAAGCAAGGGGTGTGGGCATTACGCTATCCAGGAGCGTCATCAATGTCCATCCAACCAAGCTCACTCTCTCATTATCTTTTCCCAATTCCCCGCTGTCTTGCTCCCTCTCTTTCCCCTTACCTTTGTCCTTTCCCCTCACACTCTTTCTTCCTTTCCCTCTCCCGCGGACCTAGGGCCTCGTCGCCCCGGATTCTACTTCGCTCCCATGGCGGTGGACATGTGCGCCTGCTTTCTCCCCAGAGCTGTCCCATCTTCAACGGATTCCGCACCAGCAAATGTTTGCTGTATAATAGGAAAGCCCTCACGTTTTCCTTCTCTCTAGCCTCTTCTTCCATCTCCTCTGGACTCTTCAGAACAAGCTGGTTGAATCGGACACGCCGCTCAGACATGATCCCATGTGGAGCGATCATTTTCTGGCTATGCTCTGAAGCCATGCCAAATTTACTTGATCTGAATTATGAAATATGTCATGTGCTAGCATACCTGAGCTTTCTTTAAATAATATTTCACTTCCGAGAAGAGTTTCGTAGCATCCTTTGAAGATGTTCCCTCCTAATTGGAGGAAAGGTGTTGGTGTGTCCAGACCCTAAAGATGAACAATCCGTAAAGTTAATCCTCCCGAGATTACCTCAGAACCACTACGTACGATGAGACGATAGGAATCCGCATTAGGAATAATGCTGAGATCGGCCTGGCCAAGATCCAGCGTCACCAGTGAAACCTTGACCGACCGTTGTCATAATGATCTCAACCGCGCAAGGATCTGAGACGCGCACTTCTTCCTCAAATCCGGTTTCGAACTCTTCTGAGAACTCTTCAACGAATTTGTAGCCTGGAATGAGTCCTTTTGACATTCAGGCGCCGATCGCTTGGCTGGCTGTAAACTGTATTCATTGTGATGGGATGTTTGCATTTATTCCGGCACTTTCCGGTATCACGAACCCATCGCTTAGATCTCTCGTCCCCAAAAAACTTGTATCCCACGTTCGTTTCACAGAAAAGCTATGTCGGACGACCCCGTCCAACGAGCAGCTTATCTCCTACACACCACCGAACATAGTGAATGTACTACCGAGGACACGCGGGCTCGCGACTTGACCATGACCATGCGGCACGATCCAGGCCGCCAACTACCATCGTGCTCGGCGATCATTGAACAATGAAATGAGTTCTAGAGCAGTTTGGCTGGCTAATCAAAATCTCTCGATCGCAAACGTCAATTTAAGGATGTGCAGAAAAAATTAGAGGACAGCTAGACCGTAGTGGTCTACCACTTTCCAGTACGGACCCACAACAGCAGTCTATTGAAGACCCAGAGCACATCCTCTGCTGTGTTGTCGGGGCTGGAATTGGTCTCTGGGAAATGGAGGGTATGCAGCTCGATACCTTTCATATTGAAGAAGATCGGCAAGAAGAAAGATGGGTGAATAAGTGAAAGCCATTGGTCCAATGGCAATGAACACCGAATTGAAGGACAAGTAAATGGCACATGGACTTTTCGCGCGAGGCTTTCGGATTTTGGTGTCTCAATAGGCCGAAATGGATGACATGAAATCCACGAAGCGCTTTCTTTTATTGCATCCTGCCTTGAGGGGAGGGGGTGCGAGGACCTGCTTGGCGTTGCAACAGGCGAGGCATCAGAAAAAACAGGCCAGTGTAACTTCACAAGAATATCAAGGTGGATCCGTACGTTGAGCTAGGATGTGGTGCCCAAACCCCGCAGCCCAGCAGCAATACAATACGCACAAAGCCTATTTGGCTTCATATGTGGGCTACCCCTTAGAACAATCCTTCCTTATCTCCTGTGGAACCTCGTCCGGAAAACGTCTGATCATGGCGGAGAAAGGAACCAGCGCTTCTCTCATGCAATTTCGTGAAGCCGCTTGCGGCCCCTCGACCGAGCTATTACATAGAAGCTACGGAGAATAGAATGTGGTAACGGGCAAACAATGCACCAGGTGAATAGTTGCTGCGAGGGCAAAGAAGCATATCGGAAAATGTAAACAGAGTTTGTTATCTCATTGCTTAGGCTATCCCTGGTATGACGTTTGCTGTGGAAGGGACGTTTCCACCGGAAGGAGGGTTGCGAGTCTGCGCAGCATCCCGTCCGAGTGTTCTGGGTAGGAGTGTCGGTAAGTGCGTCAAATGGGGTACGAAGAGAGATAGATCTTTTTAGAGGCTGGTACTACTCCAAAACCAATAAAGCTGATGCATGTTTGTAACGTGAGAAGGGAGGGAGGGATCGTATTCGCATTCCTCAGTGTGGACGGGTCCAATCGCCACTTTTCCCTCCTGACTTATGTACCACTTTAATATCGCTAATCTTAGGCGTCGCAACAATAGTGATTCAGAAACTACATGGCATGGGGGGGGGGTCGAAGAAGACTGACACTCACAATCATTTCCTTCCCCGCAACAGCTTTTATCATGTCCCACACTGTGAGTAAACTCACAGATACAGCAGTAAGGCTCCATCTCCACTCCCGTCTTTCCATCACAAGAAACACGGGCCTCGGAAACTATCTTTAACTCGTCAGGAACAGGCAGCAGATTCACGCTTATGCATGTGAGTGGTAATGGATGACAGAGCGGGATAAGGGATGAGGTAGCTTTTGCAGCCATTATCCCAGCAAGTTGGGCACAGCGAGAATGTCGCCCTTTTTCCGGGCTTTTAATTTTGACGTTCCAGTTCCTTGCAGTGGAAGCACCAGACGTACGAAAGAGGAAGTTGAAAGATCAGGTGTATGTGGTGTGACTAGATCCAGAGCATGGGCTGGGATGATGATAGACCCTGTGGCAACAGCCAGGCGGCTAGTGATAGCCTTCCCGCCCACGTCAACCATCCTAGGTTTTCCAGATTCATCCATATGTGTCAAACCAAGCACATCGCTCTCTGGAGAGGAATGCCTGGCACTCGAATGGAGGTGTCCAGGGTTGGTACGGCTACATTGAATTACAAGTGGACGCGTTGCTGGTAGTACACGAGTAGATACAGTCTTGAACGTGCGCTGAAAACGTGATGCAAATAAAGAGGGCGACACGCTCGAGAACAACCTCCTCATGGGCGTGAGGGGCGGCATGACATGTCGGGACTGCGCAAAACCTATTGGTGAGAAGTATGCACCGTGAGCAGAGATGACTCACTTGGTGACACAAATGGGGGCAACTCAACCTCCTATCAATATCATGGGGCGATTATGAACGACATCTATATTTTCCATTCCGGCGTGTTTCGCTTTTTTATCCTTGACAGAAAGTCCAATGGCAGTTTCTAAGTCTCCATCGCTACCACCGCTGCGCATGATATCACGCAGGGATACTTCTTTGGGATCAAAAAGGCATACCTGTGCAAAAAAATGTCAGATGCATGGCGTAATCCGTAGGCTCATCAAATACAGCTCTACCTTAATCATACCATCCGCAGTTATTCGAAGTCTGTTACACGTTCCGCAGAAGTGATCCGACATGCTGCTGATGAAGCCGAATGAGCCAGAGTAACCGGGAATCCGATGCATTCTCGCAGTTCCATTCGGCTCCCCAGGATAAACCGCCTCTGTCTCAGGCCACCGCTCGCTGATTCTCCTGAGCAGATCAGCAGACGGTACCATCTTATTGTGACTCCATTTGTTGCCTAGTGATTGGCTGATGAGACGCTGTAAAGCTGTCTGGACCCAACATACCTGAAAAGGGCATGAACTATTGACCGAAAACAACTCTATTAAACATTTTGTGCCAGGTGTCCAGGTAGAGAGAACGCTCACTTCAATGAACCTAACTGCTATATTCAACTCTTTTGTGAGACCAACGAAGTCCAAAACCTCGTCCTCATTGATTCCTCGCATGACAACCACATTGAGCTTCACTGCCTCGATGCCTGGGGAATCCAAGGAAGTCATCAGTGATTTGAGCACAGCATCATGCCCAGTTCGGCGTGTGATGAGTTGGAACTTTTGAGGATCGAGGGTGTCGAGACTCAAATTCAGGTGCGTAAGGCCGTTATCCACCAGGGCTGATAACTTGCGGTGTAAGGCGATGCCGTTTGACGTGATCCCAATGGATCGCAACCCCAAAGCTCGCAATTCATTGAGACGACCTGTTGCCGCGCATTACATCCTGTCAAGGCGATTGCGGTGTGGGGACAGGGGTTCAGCGGTAGACGTACCTACAAGCTCTACTAGATTCTTTCGCACAGTCGGCTCGCCTCCTGTCAGCCTGATCTTGGTGACGCCCCTTCTGACAAAAAGGGAAGCTAATCTGATGACCTCATCATCAGCGAGAATATGCGCTTTAGGAGATAGTTCAACGCCGTTCTCTGGCATACAGTAAAAACCTGCATATCGGGTCTCAATTCCTGCATTTGGTTCAAACAAAACTATCACATTACGCACAGCGTAGGTTGCATTTCTCCGTGAGGGATATTCGTAAATAATTATGTCGCCTCCCGAACGTGTCGATAAGGGTGGGATAAAAATGTGACTCCTGTTCCCGTTGTTTGATTCTCACCTATCCGATCCACGTTCGGGGAGGGATCAGGGGGACCCGCTCGTAATCTGAGGCGATTAAATTCCTTACTTGGGCATCATTCTTAAGCACCGCAGCTTTTCCAGTCAAGGCGGTAGCTGCTTGGCCAATTATTCGAGAGTCGAAGGCGGCAGCTGTGGACGACAGCAGACGTGATACAATGCCGGAGGACATGCAAGTCCAAGTCCAAGTCCAAGTCAGTCAGCCATGCGAAGTAGGAGGCTGTGATTGTGGAAGACGGAGCGATCGGGACAGAAACACAGCCACGCCCCAACATAGTAATGGGATCCAGATGCTGGTAGCAGTGGCAAAGCTCCCATCCTTGATTCCATTCTATCTTCCCATCGTTATTGTTATTTTTATTTTTTTCATAGTTTACATAGTATGTCTTACGCAGACTAAAAAGACGTGCGCACAAAGGAGACGCCGCAGTACGTGTTCTGCGGTTTCTTAGGAATAAGGTTGCATTGTCGGGTCATGTATTTGAGTCGTATACCCGATATAGCTAGGCTGTGAGTTTTCATCATTCCCGAGCTTTTCCCGCCGCATTCGCACTAGACCAGTTGCGTCTAGTTGTATCAAGGAGTGGTAGGGCCACGTAACGGTTTTGCATATTCCTTCAGTTGATTCCCACTGACAAACGCTTTTTATGTAAGTCCCCGATCATGTTGTGTCCAATGATTATACAGCCATTCTGCAAAAATAGATCCACTTTGCAATATAGCCACGCCGTGGCTGCGTCACCATGATTCGGTCACCAAAGACCTATGATTAGGCGCGCATTTGTTTCGAGTCGAGTCACAGAAATAGGGGTGCATTGGTGGTTAATTGTAGTAATCACTGCAATGGCCGAACATATCAGATTATTACCGAAGATTACAGGGATTAGTAAATAAGGGAGTGAGCGCCACTGCAGCTGGGTGAGAAAGAATATGGTGAAGAAAATTGGACAAAGGCAGAGGCTGAATTATGCCATCTAGTTGTGTTGTGATAGCGTGTTAGTGATTGAGTATTACGAATTAGGAGTCGGGATGCAGTCAGATTACGCATCAGGCCCGCAGATGCTATGATAGAAGGGGGAAATGTTCGTTTGTAGAAGAAATAGGGGGGAGAATATGTCATCTAGTGTTGACTCGAATTACCAATACCCCTTGATGGAATTTTCGAAACCCAATTCCAACACATCTTCTACTCCATGGGGACGCGCCTTCCCTCTGAGTCCCTGGAAACCCACGCGATCGTAAACCGTGGATGCGGCAATGTTCTCATGTGCAACATAAAGAGCTACAGCATCGTATGGTTCGAAGTCCAGGGGTGCTCGACCGAAACGGCTCTCTTTCTCGTGCAGTAATCGATGACACACTCGTCTGACGAGAGTCTCAGCGTATCCCATACTACGGAATCCGGAAGACGTATGAACTTTGGAGATGGTGGCATTTCGGGCAGTGTTCCGTGTGACGGCACAAATGGAGGCCATATGGCGTTCACCATTAGGCAGCTCGACTTCGCACACGTACATCTGACCACGTTTGACGTAAATTGAGGCTTCACGCACAGAGTCATCGGGCGAAAGCTCGAAATCGGACCCATACGCAAATTCGTAGCATTGATCAGCGACAGCTGGGATATCTGCGAGCGTAGCGCGTCGAATGAGGAAGGGATAGCGCTGCCGCGCCGGACGCGTCTTGTCCTCTTCCCGTAATGTCTCTCGCGTGACAAATGTAAGGGCTGCTTCATAATAGGGCCGCGGGTAGGGGTGACTGCCCGTTGCAGCAGTCCACGCAGCAGCGAACGATTTGGTCAAGATATTAGGCCCAAACACTGAAAACACGCGGGTTGCTGGAATTTGGGAGAGCATGGATCTCACAATGACGTTAAAGCGTGGTGCCAAGTAGGATTTCGTAAGTTGGGAGGTGTCGGTCGAAGACCAAAGAAATATAGGGAGATTGTCGATTTCAGAATGGGTGATAGTGGCCACCAAGTCTAGGGAAGGGGAGGATGAATACGAGCGCTGGGACCACACAGTAATCCATAGCTGCTCATGGAAAGGCTGGGCGGGGTCGTGTATGGCTGCTCTCGACTCCAACGGGGTCGATACCCCTCCTTCGATGTCACGGTATTTGAGAGCATGGGGCAATATACAGTTAGCTTCGCGTTCCCTTTCTTGAAGGGCTCGTCCAGCAACGCTCAAGAAGTCGGTCGCCGTGTGATGAACCCGGTGGAAAATGTCGAGGGTTTCCGACCTCACAGGCGTCGCAAAAGAGAGATCAGGCATGTTGAATGAAACGACGAAGAATTGACTAGGTTGTGAGGGCTGGTGATCGCTGAGGGAGTAATGCGCTTGGTGTAGTGAGTCGGCTCAGTGAAGCTGAGTCTTTATATGCGAAAAACTAAGCGCAGTAGGAGTCAGTACAACAGCTGGCGCAGTGCGGATCCGCATGGCCATGCAAGGGCAACGCAATCGCAAAGTAAACAGAGCGAGTCATATTCCATCTCGGACGCGCGGGAGCGGAATACGCGTTACGTGGAATTGGGTATGGAATTGTTTGTATGTTAGGCTGTCCCAAACTAAAATCATGGAATCCTCCATCAATTCTGATCCCAGATTCAAGAAAAACCAAAAATACCAAGTGGACGTGATTCGGGTAAGCAGTGTCGCTCCTGATATACCATCAAGATGCGAGCAAGCGCTCGTGTTTCGTCATGTTTAAGACAAATAGACAAATAGAGGAAAGCGGAATCCGTGGAAGGGGGTCACATAAAGGAGGAAATGCGACAGGGGGCGGAGAAAGGCGCAGTGTATGAGATCCCCAGCGCGCGCAGCCTCCGCGCGCACTCGAAATATCCAACGGGGAGGATGATCATGAGTCGAATGCAATTGAATCGCATCACCATTGGACAAAACGTGACTCAGTCTCCCTCGGCATCTTGCATTATTGTGTGTGTGACTCCTGATACGCAATGGTATCTGTCCTGGCTTCTCCTGTGACGAAAGCTAATTTGGCATGAGTCCATTCTTCATAATTAATGTACAATGTGTGAGGTGTACAAGACGTAAAAAAAGGGCAATGGAAAAGTGCGTTTACCCCTAATCAAGGAAAGCATACGGCAACGCACAGCCTCTGTCTGAGCGTCAAACGGCCCTCAACACCGAGCGATACGCCAGACCTAATTGCGGCCACGGCGTCCTCCACCGCCACCGAGCAAGATGAGCTTCTTGCTTCTCCCGCGCTTGCCATTGAGCTGAGCTTCCTCCAAATCATGCCACGCTTCGTCATAATTCCAGTCCGTGGGAGGTTCATTTCTGGCAAGCCGAGACCGAGGGGGATTGATGGTTTGTCCGATAGAGGCAACTCCCGAATGAGCAGCCGAGGCAAATGATCGAGCGCCCCAAGCTCCCGTGGTAGAAATTGCCGCTTGTGGCGGATGTGCCACTGATGCGCCACTCTCGACATTGAAATCAACATTCCCATCACTATAACCTTCATCGCCATCACCATCTTGAGATTCATCCGTAATCTGGCGTTCATCTCCCCGATCATGCAACAGCACTTGAGACTGAGAGACCGACAGGATGTCCATAAGTTTCGCCATCTCTTTCCCTTCCGCTTTGATGCGAGCTTTCTCCTCTCGTTTCGCACGATCTTTTCGCCGAGAAAGCCGAATTTTCAAAACGTTTTCGAAAGGCTTTAGGGACTCTAGCCCAACAACGGCCTCAAGATCCGCTTCGATGAACACAACATCAGCCCCCTCCGCAAGATGACCCAAATATCTGCAGCGCCTTCTCAAATCATCGTCAACTGTGCTTTCCGAACTTGACGCCACACCAACAGTAATTTCGTTCGGGAACGCCGCGTGGGTGCCAAAATGGGATAGGAGAATGCGGGTGTCGAGCGGATGGAGGAAAGTATTAGCGCCTGTCGCGGCCTGGTAAAAGATGTAATTGGGCGTCGAATGAGGAGGGGGGTTAACGTTTCGTCTTTGACGCGCGCTTCGACCTTGATTCATCGGAAGCAGAATAGGGGCTAACCCTGTAGAAACCAGCGCTTCGGGGCTCTGATACTGAGTGTGTTCGGGAGTAGGGCGTTCAACAAACGTCAGTGATGACACAGCTGCGTGTGGCGCTCGGATCTCAGCGGTGCGCTGCGCCTCCCGGAGTAGCAGGCGTTTCTCCTCAATGCTTTGCATTAGGGAACCGTCCTCTTCCATCTTCTGCGCGTCTCGCAGCATCGCAACGCACTGCTCGCGCGCTCTGTGAACAAAGGAAATTCCCAATGTGTCACTATATGAGAGCAACAGCTGCGCTTCCCGATCCAAGTCCTCAATATCGCGAGATATATCAAGAACTAACTGGTCCGGGGTAGCCAGCATAAATTTAGAGAAATTAAGAACGTCTGGAAGAAAATGGAATGGGGCTTCATGGGGTGGAAGGATTTCTAAAGAGGGTAAAGAAGGCCATGTGCTGGATCGTGGCAACGCTAGAGTCGTGTTATGAGGCCGCTCCATTAGACGTAACGTCAACTTGTGGTGGGGAGCGGGCGGAGGGGAGCACGGAGCGTATGACCATTGGACAACTTTCAGCTGGCCGGATGTTATTGGATCGAAACATATTGGGCATCGGTTCCACTTGGTGTTGTCGCCAGTTTCGAGATAATGCAGTATGCAAGGATAGCAGAACACCTTTCTCATGGCACTTAAGAGGGAGAATGTTGCCATTGTTGAACCACACCTACATGTCCACATCTCGTGATCCTCGGTGCAACAGGCAGCGACAAACATATTGGGCAATTAGCGGCACTATCGCAGCCAGCGCCATTTCCATCGGAAGCCGGTCTTGAAATTATGACTTGAAGAATGTCTTTCCACTGAAAATAACTTGAAGGAGAGGATAGGACAAGAATACATGATCGTCATTGGAGTGATTCAGGAGGCGCACTTACATATCGGGATCCGCAAAATGTACGGTATAATCGCCAGTCGGACGCACTACAAACCTATATTGCGCATTGATGAATTCTGGCCGATGCCATATGTGCCATTTAGGAACGATAAAGCGGAACCACAGGTGATAAGAATCATCAGCTCACTCTCTTTGTTCCAGCTCAGCTGTCGAACGGAGCGTCTAGGTCTTCGCGGCAAAGGAGGAGGGTGCTGTACTCGAGGAGGTAGTGTAAAGTTGAGAAGATGGTTCAGAGACTGCTTCGAATGACGCTTGGAGACCGGAGAGCTGGACTGTATCGGAGTGATACGAGAAGTGTTCATCTTGACTTATGCGAAAAGTATGACTCGCTCTAGATGACCCCCGCTCCTGATGCGACACTCGATCTTCTATGATTAGCAGTGCGATGACTACACAAGCCCGCAAGTGCTGGCCTGGATGGCCTTGAGTCAAATTGATTATATAAGCATGGCACGAGTCACCGACCTGGACACGTTCGTCAGGTGGCCGGAAATCTGGGAGGGAGAAAGAGGAGGCGATGGCTAGACCGGGGAGGGGGAATGTGACTCAGTCGCATCAGGTGGGGGTGCGTGGAGGGTCAGCTCTGATAATTTTCTTCTCTTTCCATCACCGTTTACACCAGCCATAATGGGTGTTGCAACCCTGTTCCCTAGCTCCTACGCTCCCGCGAGCCCATAACCGAGATCCTGTGTACACGCAGCCCCACACTTTTGTTACAAACATTTCACCTCATACACCCTCTCGCTATCTTTGATTCATATAAGTACGGCGTATGCCGACTAGCGCAGCACAGAGACGTTGAATCCATCACCATCATCACCATCATCGTCGTCGTCAAATGTCCAACCGTATACCGGAGGGCGCATACATAAAGGTCATATATACAGAGCTCTATTCTACTTAGGTTGGTGGAAGGAACGTTGTTTAGAAAATGAGTGTGATCAGGGTGGTAGAGTCCCAGAAGCAGCCTCCTCAACCTTTTGGAGAATTGCCAGGAGCTTTTCCTCATTGTGACGACGACCCACAAGTTGGAGAGATACGGGTGCATTCTCGTACGTCTTGGGGTTCCACTGAGAACGTATGAATTCTTCCACATCGTTTCGGGCTGGCGGAAGGCACTCAACGCCCTCCGGATAGTCTTTTACAACGAGGCGTTCTCCAGTGGGGAATACAATCCCGGGATAGTCAACTAGGTTCCAATAAGAGGAGTAGCCCCACCATCTACGAATCCCATAAATGTAAGAGTGCGGCGACAATGCAAATAACTTACCTTGTTGTGTCGTGAGGAGGTGCTAGGGTAGCAAATGCAGGTGTCAAAATCGCGTCAACAGGACGGCCAGACTCTGTGCGACGCTTGGTTTCGTTCCAGTGTTGGAGAGCCGCGGCTCTGAAGTTCTCCCTTTCACAATTTAACTTCCAGGTTTGGCGAACGGTGTAAGGAGCTCGGCCTTTCACATGTGAAAGGATCCAGGCAACAGTAGCAATGGGCTCCTCGCCTCCCTCCCTGAATGTCTCGTAATACTCTTCACCTCCATCGAGGAAGTAAAATTTAACCTGGATCCAGAAGGAGAAATTGGTGAACTGTGACTAGCGACTCGGGGAAAGACTCACTATCAGATCCCAAGCTTCCTGATGGCGCATGGGCACCCAGTCTATTACTTCATGGCCAGCGGCCACGAGAGCCTATTCCACATCAGTAACAGACTCGCTGATATGGACCGGGAAACCCACTTTTCTGTACTTTTCCAAAGCTCTTAACAATGGAGGGTGGGGTCGGACAACCCCGTCGTCTGCAAGGATTGCAATCGAGAGACGTCTTGGCAATGTCTTTCCCTCAACAACGTCGGGTTTCCACGGAATCTCAAGCACCTGATGTTCCGCAGTCCACGCCTCTGCGTCTAACATGGCTCGGGCAAAAAGTGCTAGGTCACGGGCCGATCGAGTCAGTGGGCCTACAACTCCGATAATATTGTCCATCCCATCTTGAGAGCCCATAAGCCCTGTATGCGGCATACGAGCTACGGAACCCTTCATACCATACAGTCCACAGTGGGCTGCCGGCACTCTGAAAACGAAGAGTTAGTCGGAAATGAAAGGCGTAAATATAAGTTCACCAAGGTACCTCTGAGAATAATTTGTGAAAAAACTATAATGAAGGACAAGGATACAAAACTCACGATGCTGCCACCTATATCCGTCCCGATGCCCATAGGGCTTCCGAATGAAGATATCAGGGCACCTTCCCCACCCGAGCTTCCCCCCGGAGACAATTTAGTATTGAATGGATTTACTGTTCGGCCAAAAATGTTATTCTCCGTTTCTAATGACTGGCAAAAAAAAAAAGGAGGCTATGTCAGCACACGTGGATGATTCACACAGCACGCCCCCACTCACAAGAAGGGTTTGTGGGTTGGCTGTCTTGACGTAGAGGATAGCACCGCTCCTACGGAGCAAGTCGACGACAACAGCATCCTTGTTGGCAACGGTTTTTTCAGCCCAAGCGGTGTAACCACTGGAGGTATCGAAGCCCTTAACGAGAATGTGGTCTTTGATGGAGACAGGAAGGCCGTGAAGGGGACCAACGACACGTCCCTCCTTTCGTAAGTATTCGTCAAGCTCGTTGGCACGTTCCAGAGCAAGATCAAAGAAGATTTCGGTCAAGCAATTGGTAAGGTCCTGTGCTGCCACAGCGACTTTGAAGTAAGCAGTTATGACCTCCACAGAGCTATAAGCGCTTTGACGGATATGCTCAAGTAGCGCGGTAGCATCAAGACTGACAATGGCGCGTTCGCGATCGTCGAGCTTGGCAGTCACCAAAGCAGACACATCCTGTGGTATATCGCCGGTTTTATCAGGGCGCCAATGCTGGTACCGGGACAGGATGGACTCTCGAACATGTCGTTTGTGTTCAGCTGCCTTGTGCGCAGGGTGAACGCTGTTGACTTCAGGGGCTGATTTGGAAGTGGAAAAGCCCATGGTGAGAGTCCGCCTTTAGAAAGGAAACGGGAGGGGGGGGGTTTATATCCAGTTTGAATCACAGCCTGAAGAACACCGCGCTAAAAGTAAAGACATATTCAGGGCGGTCAATTTCGGACTCAATATCTCCGGGTGGCCATTCAATGCAATTTCTAACAGCCAAACTTTACGGAACTCCCCCTCTTCCCTCCTCCTCCTGGCCGCCTTGATCGTAGTCGTAGGGTTGAGCTCCTCACCAAGCAGTGCCCTGGGTTCGACGCACTACCTCGATTCCCATGGTATTGCAGCTAGTGCTGCGCAGAATACCGCCACTCGCGATCAACGAGTTCAGGTTTGCAAGGGCAGGTTCTTGTTTTGTTCCCTTTGTCTCCGTGCTACAAGGCATTAGGACAGCTTTTCTGTCTCCACTCTATATTAAACGAACAAAAAAAATAGCATTACTAAGGATATGTCAACGGATTCAACGTTGACGGGAGTCCATCATCCTCTCCGATGCGGATTGCCAGTCCCGCCTCGGTATTTTGCATTACGGATGTCCTGCCATGTGTCTCCACATTTCGACTGAACGTTATTCTGTCATTGTTTCACTATTGTGCGCGAATTGAGCCATGACCTTGCTGCCCCCTGCCCATTCCCTCTCCCCTTTCATGGCTCGGCCTTGTTACCCCAACAAACCGATCAATACAGACAGTCTTCTGAGCACGGTCTTGCACAGCCGTGTCATGAGGATAAAACTTAACATTTATGCCAGCATTCGGCACTCGTGCCCTACCCACATGCTTGCCGTTCCCATCCTCTGCGGACGTCACTTGTCTCGCTTATGTGTCGCAAAACTTCCACAGGGTTCCAATCTAACTAACCTATGTGGCTGGTGGGAGGCCTGATGAAGGATCTACCCTCGTAGCCGATGATCTCCATCGTCCAATCATGTTGTTACACAGGGGAAACAAGCGCTCATTGCGTCCCAACGACCTAGACGTAATTTTCGACGCTTTGATATGGCAAATTTTTACACTCTAACGTCAGCCGGTGCAATTTCTTTCTGATCCGTGATTCAATGGATGGGATTCTGATAAGCGCCCATGATCTCGTGGATTCGAGCTGCAAAGTTCGCCGCATGCATCACTGCATCGGTTTATGTCCTGACCGCTTGGTCTTAGATCGGCTGAGAGGAGCTCCAATATTTTTGTGAATTCAAGTTGAAACCGATATTTAGTCCTGACGCTAAGGAGCATGTTGGAATATTGCTGCTGCCAGCGCGAGCTCCTCGGACTCCAAGTTAGTTTCTTTGTGTAAAGGGTAACCCTAATCACCCAAGAATTTTGTGAAAATGATGGCAAATATCCCTCGTTCATGGTTCCCAACTGATCATGCTAGAATGGGCAATGCGAACGTCTCATCCATTACTGCCATGGTTCACACCCCAAGGGCCACAAATCCAGTGGACTAGGAAGCCATACGGCCCCTTTTTTCGGTAGCTTCGTCCTCTGGGCCACGCCCATTTGAGGCGGCCTTAGAGTTTGAGGGTGAACAACTACAGAAACACGAAAAACAGTCAAGGCAAGTCTATATCAATCGGGATGGGGAAGTATGCCGTACGGCTACCTGAATCTTGGGCTTCTTCATCGGGTACTGAAGCTAGAATCTTCATTGTCGCGCATCACAAGTTGAATTCGGAATAAATTCTCATTCGTGCGAGGCTCGGAATCGCACATGTATTAGACAGTCGGATAATCGGTCTTAGATGCTGCTATGTAGTGAGTGTCCTTTGTCATCAGTAATAACAGAGCTTCATACGGAGATGGGGGGCAATCTAAGTCCTCAGAAGCACCCTTACCCATTTGGTTCATGATCAATGTCGGCCAACCCCGAGGCTTCTCAAGGAACCACCCGCCATGTGCATCCTTCATTCCTTGGGAAGGGCTCTACGAAGCTTGCATACAGTAGCTAGGTATCGAAATGCGGGCACCATGAGTCCACCAAGCCTGCTTGGCGCTGGGAAAGCCCTTGTACCACACAGACATGCTCACACGCATCGGGCTATCACCGTGCAGCTGACCGCAGTATGTGACCTTGTTGTTCTTCAATTTCTGCCATGGAAAGTCAATCATCCAGCATTCTATAGGATATAGCAGGGCTGGGGCCAAGAGGTGAGCCCTCTCTTATTCGTTCTTAGATGGGCCCAAATGGCTTTCCACGCAGGGTCCGTCCATGATGTTGCCCCTGGTCGAATGAGGAACTTTCTTGCACCGCGCAAGCTCGCTCGATACGTATTGAGAGGCGAAGAGCCTGTTTTTGCGGAGCAGCCTGCCGTGAGCCGTTCTGTATGCTTCGATCGCGTTGCGTGACAAATATGTTCGTTGTTAGGCCCGCTTCCAACCACCCCCGTCACAGCCCCCAGCACAGATTACAGATCCCTACTCTATGGATAGGCCCGTGGTGCGTGTCTCTCCCCACAAAGTTTCGCCACTTATCGTATTGTCAGACGTCTCCCTTACAGGTTCGAACAGTTCCTCTGGAAGAGCTCCGTCTGAAACTCTCTGCATTGCCACCGCTGATATTTCCGCGTCGAGTACCGAAGGAGACAACTGGAACTGGATTATCATCGATTTATGGGTCGGTTCGAGTCGCGGAAGTGATTAAACATCTCCAGGATTCACATGCTATCACTCTTGCGCCATCAGACGCTGTCATAAGCTTCAAAGGGACTGACACGTCGAATAGTATACGGCATATCGGCAAGTGGACTGCCGAGGTTCGGCTGAAAAATGGCGATGTAGTCCCCATTGCTATTCATGTAGAGAAGCAGGATGGCGAAAACCCCCATGCAACGTAATAACATTGTGGACTTCCGCTTATTGCTTTACATAAAACATCCCCATTTCATCCAAGAAGTTGTCATAATCATCTTTTGGTTTCGATCCTTTTGAAACTGTCCGCGGCGTAGCGGCGCCGTCCCCCGGCCTGCCGCAGCGTTGCTAAAAGGTCACGCTTGGGTAATACTACGGTATTAAATCCTCGTATAAGCAAGGTAATGTTAGTTCCCAAATTATGGAACCAGGTGGGTTTTATTCAAGTTCAAAATTTTGTCCAAAATAACAAAAAACCAGTCGGATTCGCTAGCTAGAACTAACCATTGGGGGTGAAAACCTGTACCTGCTCAATATTGCTTTCACTTTCACTGGGAGCAGCATTCATTCGTTGGGGTGTAGGTTCTACTTTCCTCCGCTTTACGGCAGTTGGGACGAAGGCTGTACTTTCCCGCTTTAAATCACGTAGTTCGGGCTCGGCGGAGACCGTAGCATTCTCGGACATCACAGCAGGACGCTTTGGCAAAGACGGGGGAGGGGGGAGCAGTGATGGAGATGATTTGGGTGGTGGAGTTGTACCCAGTCGAGGCGAATGTGTGACCAATGGGGCGGAGTTAGAGTGAGGTCGCGTAGAAGCAAGTGGAGATACGGCTTGACCAGTGGGATAGGGTGGTGCTGGCCCTGGTGACGCCAGGGTGATGGGAGGATGCGGAAACCCAACATGGGTGGAAAGCCAGGGGGTGGTGGAGGAATGCTATGCAGCGGGAAACCAGGAGGTGGTGGAGGGATACCTAGAGGCGGAAAACCCGGAGGTGGCGGCGGGATATGAGATAACACAGGGGGTTCGGCAGGCAGAGGCCGAAGAATGAATGGCAGCGGCACTAACGAAGAGTCCGGCAGAGCTGGAGTTGCTAGGGGGTTTAATCAATGGATCTTTCTGCAGTCTCTAAATATCTACTTACGGGGAGGGATAGAGCTTGGGGGTGGCCCTTCAGGCATTGGAATGTCTTCGTTGCTGTCATCGTCGCTGTCATGGATGGGTGGCGGACCGGCGGGAAGAGGAACATCACCTAACGCAGCCCATTTGTGAATAGTGGTATTGTTTTAAGTCCTAAAGTCAAACCTTCACTGTCACTGTCGGTCTCCTGGTCCTCATTCGGGGCGGCGGACACCTCGTGCTGCAGGGGGGCTGTTGGACATCGAGGAGGTCGGTCAGGGGGAGGATAAACAGGTATCTAACTCACGGTGCTCCATGTACACTGCCCCTGGTGGGGGCATACCGGTTGGGTTTAGTAGTTTGTCATAATAAATGGATTTTTCGGGATTCAGTGGGAGGCCGTCCGATCCAAACAGATGCTTATTGTAGTCGTTGATGTGTGGCCTACTTGAGACCTTGGATGGCCCTGACGGTGCAGATTTCCTCCCAGGAAAAACTAGCTTTTCATGTTCTGGGTGGGCAGCAACGTATTCTGTTTTGGTCTTTCGAATGGAATCCACTTCTTTCCGCAGCGATTCGAGCTTTTCCTGTCCATTCTTATCGAGCTCTCCTTTCCGTGCTTTAGGGAATTAGCGAGTCTTCCCATGCTGCGCCACTTACCCGAATCCTCTAAATGACGAATTTCCGATTCGAGGCCTTCCAACTCAAAGTTGAGAGTCGAATGCACCAATGAAGGGGGAGGGCGAACCTGTTGTATCCTTCTTCACAACGCTTATTTCCCTATTCTTCACTCGTTGTTCCTTGTTCTGACCAAAAGACAATAAAGCTTAGCTGAAGCCGACCAAAGCAGAGATGGATCCTCACTTTCTTGAGTTCCTTCTTTCTCTCGGCTTTCCCTGAAAGCATTGCCATCAGCAAGCGAGAGATTAGTGCTTATGTTATGGCCTACTATGTGCATCGACTGGATTGAGCGTTCTCGACCCCTTTGCCATGTTGGGCCTCGTTTGTTATTGGTCGGCGCTTAGAGGTCGGGTTTGCTTCCGGCCCGAAATTTTGTTCTCAGCACAGACACCAAATCATGCCACCAAAACACCTGGCCAGTGGTAGCACCATTCCTCCCCCTCCTCCCTCTAGGCTTCCAAGATTGGCAGCTTTTGCTACTTTTATTACGCTATTCGCATTATTATGTCAATACTTGGACACTATAAAGGTAAAGTAGACTGTATTAGTGTTTGTCGTGTCCTTCCGCTCATCTTTATGAGCCACTAGGATCGTTGGTACATCTTAGACCCTCCCTACCTACATGATCTGTCAAAGCAAGCTGTTGCAACACACCCAGACGATATGCCGAAAATCATTTCACACATCGTTTCTAACCTCACTGCCACATACGGTCCCAAGCACATCAATCCCAAGGAGAAGGAGTGGGTGTTTAACAATGCTGGGGGTGCCATGGGTGCCATGTATATCATTCATGCCTCTATCACTGAATACCTAATCGTGTTTGGAACTCCGCTGGGAACTGAGGGCCACACGGGCCGTCACACCGCTGATGACTATTTCCATATACTCCAAGGGGAGCAGTGGGCATTTGCGCCCCCAAATTTGTCAAAGGAGGTATGTCCGGGGATCGTGTAATTGGCATGATCATACCAATTTAACGTGGGTCCTGATCAGGTATACCCACCCGGCTCAGTTCATCATCTCCCGCGCGGGTCAGTAAAACAGTATAAGATGCACGAAGGGTGCTTCGCTCTGGAGTATGCACGAGGTTTGTTGGAGATGTCAAATTCAAATTCAGTTCCTCCTCTTACATCGATGAACAGGATGGATACCCCTTATGCTGCCATTTGGCTTTGCGGATACTCTCTCGTCCACCCTTGACATTCCGACTCTATATGATACAATCGTGATAACAGGGAGGGAGATGCTGAGGAACTTATGGGTTGGAAAGATCTAAGCCGACTTCTCGTTGTTCAACTTTGAGTGTCCACACCTTGAATCTATTCTCTCCAGAATTTGAACAAGACCACCGTCCAATGCATACATACAATCCAAATTAGGTCTGCTCTTCGGACCCGAACCACGTGACTACCGTCTACCTGTCCAGGGATTGCCGTGATCAAATTGAGCTCCGTGGTGAGGCTCAGCCCTCAGGTCCAACTTCTTTAGCTTCAGAGTTATGAACGAGATCATTGATGTCGATGACCTCAGCGATGCTGACTCAGATATCTTTGAACAGCAACAGCTTGAAGAAGCCATTGCTCTATCTCTTTCGGAGAGCCGCGAGGTAATTGACGTCGGCGACGCTGAGAGTAGTACACGCCAAAGCTCTAATACAACCACAAGCAACCCCACTTCTTTTCCCTCCGACTTTCTCAAAGAAAGAGCACGCCTAGAGGAGGCACGGCTGCAGAGGAGAAAGAGACGTTTTGAGTCGGTGGCAGTGGACGCTCCCCAAAAAGCGTCAGGATCTTCGGACCATTCTCAACAATCTGTGGGGCAGCTTGCCAAGCGTCGGTGAGTTTCGTTAGACCCCAGCGCAAAGGCATGCCCCAATCCAATGCTACCCATGCCAGCAAGATAGAACTACCGCTTGGAGATGTGCCTACTCCCTTGCAGACTTCTATCTCCAAACATGAAAACATCGAGCCCTTCTGGGATGGGACATTAAGACAAACTCCAAGCAGATTCTCAAATTACAAGCCAAAGTTCTCCCTCAAAGATATCATAGGAGAGGTATGAATCCCACAAGTGAGAGAACAAACTGTAGGGTTGATCTCTGCTTGTCTCTTCAATAGAGTAGCGCAGTTGAATGGTCCATTATGACGGCCATGGATATAGATTTTGATTGGGTCGCAACATGCTTTCCAATATCAGTTCCGAATATCCTAGTCTCATCCCCAGCACGATCTAATGGATATACGGAGGCTACAGTGAAGCGGCTGGATACCACATCATGGTTTCACTGTACGCCATGGATGCCTCCAGGCCATGGCGTGATGCACACTAAATTATGTTTGGTATGAAATTATTTCTATGTTGAGAATCCCGTTGACAAGGACGCCCGCTAGTATTTCCGTAAGGATGGGTGTTTACGTGTGGCCGTCAACACAGCTAATTTGCTCGACTATGACTGGTGGGGAATTGAAAATGTAAGATTATGCCGGCCTTTTTACTACCTTTCTGATTTCGACTGTGTAGATGAGCTGGGTACAGGATTTCCCTCTATTGGCTTCCAGCACACAAAGTCCCGAAGCTGAAGCTTCTCATGGGAAAGCTTTCAGGACTACGTTAATCGCTCATCTTAAGAGGATGAATGTTGAAGCGGGTATGAAAGCAGCCGTGTCTTCTGGGGTCATTCGCCTCCCAAAATGTTCCATCGAGGCTGTTCTAAATCGTTATGACTTCTCGAAAGTTAAGATAAGGCTTGTCGCCAGCCTACCAGGGACCTTCACTGGACAAGAGATGCAGACCGTCGGTCATACGGGTCTCATGAGAGCACTTCGAACCATCGGAGCCAGGACTCCACCGGGAAAGGACCTATCTCTCGAATATCAGGTAAGGGCGGTCACCGTAAAATGTTCGTTGTGACACAGTAGCGCTTGTCAAGGGGTCGTCAATCGGGAGATACACTGCGGACTGGATACAAGGGTTTCGGATATCGGCGACAGGAGGTAACGGCTACAATTCGTGGCTTTCAATGAGTGCCAAGGCCATCAAGGAGCAACCCTATCCGAGCAAAAGTTTAATGAAAATATTGTATCCTACCTTGGAGACGGTAGACGCCGCTGGCCGCCATGTGAGTGAAATCATTGTGCCGATTCGACGGCTATCGAACTCGCATTATGAAGCGTGGTGGCTCGATGTTTCTCAGTCCCTCGACGTGGGAGGCGAAGAATTTCCCGAGACAATTATTCCACGACCCCAAAGCGACATCAGGTTCGATACTGATGCATACGAAGGTGCATCCCATCGGGAATAAGCCCAGTACCCATCTTGACTCGTTATTCTCTTTATGATAGATGATGCTGGGGCTATTTGTGTCCAAGAAGAATGGAGTAGGGCCTGATACCCAAGCAGTCTCTGGTATTGACGGCGACGTTGGTGGATGGTGTTACGTCGGGTAAGTGGAATGGATTGCAAAGATTTCCGATTTACACTGTTTCTACACAGATCACATAATTTTTCGCCTTCTGCCTGGGGGACTTTGAGCCGAGAAAAGAGGAAGAAGAGGGCGACGGGAAGGAGCTCAAAGGCTCGCAGAGATATGAGTGACGACGAGTCTCAAGACGAGGATACACCCTCCATCAACGTCCGTATGCTTTCGTTTGTTTCACCCTCCAAGGCTCATGACAGTCCAACGAGTAGATTCGTAACTTCGAACTCGGCATCCTGTTTCCCTTTTTCCAAAACGAGCTGCCTTCCAAAGCTGATGAAGTCGCTTGTTGGAAGAGGCCAGTACCGCCTTACAATAGAAGCAAGCCTTGGGTATGCCTTCGGTTACTCGACAGTATGATTCAGGCATTGACCGTGTCATATCCAGATGCAAGCGATTCACTTGCTTCCTTTGCTTAATATTTCAAGCTGACATAATTGACATGGCGTCTGTAATCTGTTATGTATCGTGTGGTATACAGTCAGTGGATGCGCAACATCCCAGCCCGTCGCTTCTTCTAGCGCTATATTTCTTTATGCCTATAAGGTTAGCAAGAGTACTGTTGGAATGAGAATGGGTACGAAGATAACGCTCCGGCTGAGAGTTGCCCGTGTTGTCGAGACGACAGCCGTGCTGGCCGATTTACATTTTCTCTTTCGGCACTGTCCGCGTTCTCAATGATCGGGTTAAGTCTGCAAACCCCCATGCCTCCAAAGGGCAAGCGACATACCCGAACGCGCAGCCAACTGGTGGACAGGGTCAATAAGCTACCTCCTCTAGTGTCCATTTTTCTCGGTATCATTATTGGGCTCTGTATCGCGCGACTATGGTATGGGGAGGTCAGAATTCAACAGCGTTAACGTCCAGTCGGGTGATACTGATGGCGATGTCACGTCTCCTAGCCATCTAAATCTCGCTCGTGGTCCCCCACTACGTCCCGTTTCTCTCAATCAAGATTGCGCCGAACGGAATATATTCCTTTACCAAATCCCAAGCAACGTCGTCGGATCCTCGAGCTCTTGACACATTTGGGCCCGCATTATACTCGTGAATGCACGCGATCCGCTCAGCCGCTGTATGTTACGCAGGCTCGTGCGCGGTACGCTCCCCTCCGTGGTCTTGTTGGGACCAAGGCCCAATCTTCCTCCTGGTTCAAATACTGGCGTTCAACTGATGACCTGGGATCTGATAAACTTGATGAAGATGCTGCACCGGACCACGCCTTTCAAAAGAGAGGCGTCGAGTACCCGCCGCAACACAAGTACTTCATCGCGATCAATCTTTACAACTCCTTTGACATTATACCAGATGCTTTTGCAACCCTGTTCCGCGTTGCGGCTATTCTCGGTTACGAAAACGTCTTTGTATCCATATATGAGAACGGCTCAACTGATCAGACCAAGGCTCTCTTGCGTACATTCGAATCATTAACTAAAACGGTAGGAATGCGAGTCGTCATTCGTGCCAGCATGCGCACAAGAGGCCAATTCAATCATCGTATCGAATACCTAGCGGAGGTTCGGAATGCAGCTTTACGTCCTCTTCACGAATTACGCGACGCCGAGGGGGAGATCTTTGATACCATTATTTTCATGAATGACGTTCTTCCATGTGTCGATGACATTTTGGAACTTATTTGGCAAAGTCGCCGTCAGAACGCAGCTATCACCTGTGCTGCAGATTACATGTTCCACGAACAGATCGTGAGTCCAGAGTGTTTTTCTTGAATAACATTGGATGACTGTTCTCCGTCTTTAGGGCGCTCCCGTATTCTATGATAACTGGGTTGCACGCGATATCAACGGCACCGCCCTCGAGAACGCTCCTTTTGAACGTGTTTTCCGCGACCCAGAGTCTTCGCTTCGCTTCCAGCGCCATCTTCCGATCCAAGTTCAGTCTTGCTGGAACGGCGTCGCGGTGCTGGACCCGGCGCCGCTCTATGCTATCCCCCCTGTGAAGTTCAGAATGGCAAACATTGCCGAGGGTGAATGTTCGGCTAGTGAATGTAGTCTTATTGGGAATGACTATTGGAACGCTGGCTACGGAAGGATAATCACCGTTCCTCGAGTGAAACTTGCTTATGATCAGGTAGGTGTTTTGGGGCGAGTTTGTCAACATCCCATTACTTATATATGTTTGGTACAGAGAGTTTATGATATTATACACCCTCCTCGACGCAATCTGAGTGTTATTCGGGGCTTTAGTCGCATGGGTGGTCTTCCGGACGATCCACGGTCAGATCCTCAGGATCGCTCATGGTATGGGCCACATGACAGACTGTTCGTGTCTGAGGAAAGCGAGCCTCTTGACTTTGAACCTGGTCCGCGACATGGTATGTCTCAGGGCACCCAATCTTTCACAGGCTGTTCACTGAATGTTTCGCTGTTCCCTAGTTTGGTGCTGGGGATGGGATGGAGCTGGTGATTTGGATGGTCCTGATGTTGAACCCATTTGGGAGAACATGTCGGAACGTTCGTTGACGCAGGAAGCGGTCAGTATCAAACATGACAGGGGGCTGAGAAAATAAATTTCAATAGACTCCTGGACATACTTCCAATACCCTTTTTATTCATTCCTCTTGTAACCCACGATTGAGCTAGATTAATGTTCTGCCATGGCTCATTAAGTTTATGACTGTTCTTGTCTCGTAGCTTGTGTGAGTTCTCGATATTCTGTGTTGGAATCACTGATGATACCAGTGTGTTGCACCAGGTCCCACTGGTTTCAGAAACACCGGTTACGTTCCCAGGAGCGAAACGGCCATTTCTGCAAGTACCAGGGTGGCATTCATCTAAACTGCAACGTTGCACGCACGGGAGTGCGAAAGTGAAAAAAGAGAATCTGTGGCGCGGCGACGGCCCTGACAACCGCCGAAGCTTCTTATATTGAGAGTGACCCGGTAGAGGGGGATGGTGTACAGGCAAGCAGCCAACAGTACAAAGTGAGGTTATGAAAAACAGGAAGAACGAACAAACGGGCTTATGTAAAGGACATAAAAAACCCATGCCCGATATACGTAAATACCGCCAAACACCCTCAGCAAGACCGAATACTTTGGTTCTAATTATCGTCTCTCATTACTAGCTTAATTTCTTTATGTATGATTGTGAAGATGCTTCAAAACCAAATAAATAGGCACGCGGACCGAGGCGTAACGCCAGGCAAGATTGACAGAGTAGGCACAGAAGCCGATGCGTAATGGCGGATGCGAAGAAGGCACGGAGGCCGAAGGCACAAAGGCCGGTGTGTGCAGCGGACGCAAAAAAGAAAGAAGGGCCCATAGGCCGACGCGTGCAAGGGACGCGAGGAAACAGAAGTTGTGGGGAGAGACTAGCCTACTGCCAGACCTGCGAACTGAGCATACGCAGATGACCAGTGTGCGAAGAGCCATAGGCGGGTATGGCGTACAAGAGGCCATCCCGAGGGCATGCAGCGAGCACCAGGACCCGGGGGTACACAACTCTAATTTAATTTCGTGCCTCCATTGAATCCCCACCCATTTCTGCGTCAGGGCACGGATGCAAATTGTGCAGTTGAGCTTGGTGAACATTCCTAAGTCCGCTTCCCGCTTTCGAGCAAGGTTCCATCCTGCCCCGTCTGGGCGGCATTGACATCCAAGCGTGATCAGGGCACCAATAATAATCTAATATCTTAGCCCAAACTGACCACCCCCTTGGCCACCATTCATTCGTAACTTCCTGTTGAGTAATTCTAGACCTTCGTCGCATATCCATGCATCTCCACCGAAGAGCAAACATCCGCGCTCCCTCAGAATCATCTGAACATCACATGAAGAGCAACCATTCATCGAGCTCCAGGTCATCAAAAGCTTTGCACCAGTCCTTGACTCCAAGGATAACAATCTTCTTACTGATTGTTTTCATCCTCTTCCTCTTCACCCGTTTGTCATTATTCCCTTCAGAATCATCCTCTCGCGCATTTGATGTCGCTCCACGCGGTTTATATCGCCATTTCTCCCCACGGGACTATCTGAACGAATCGGCTAATGATCCTGCGCCCTTTCACTTTTGTCCTATTTATGGTCCTGGAGATGTGCTAGCCAAGAAGTATCGCGCAGTCAACCTACAAAAGAGTGTGCTGAATAGAGGCAGCGGAACCCGAATCCATCGCGTCATTCACAAAGCCATGCGCGGCCTTCCTGTCACCATAAGTGTTCTTGGCGGCTCCGTGTCATCGTGTCACGGAGCTGGAGAAGATCCACTTTCCCCCACTTGCTACCCTTCGATGTTCTTTGCGTGGTGGAATTCAGTATTTCCACATCCTGCGTCCGAGCTCACGAACGGTGCTCGACGGAAAACCGACTCTTCTTATTACTCGTATTGCAATGGTCACCACCTTCCAGATCAAACAGACTTGGTCATTCTAGAGTTCGACTCTGATGATGATTAGTAAGTCCACATGTCTCTACTTCCACGACATCGCTCACAGTTGTTGTGCAGCGATGGTGTTTGGTTAGAGCACTTCGAACTTCTGGTCCGCTCCATATTGATTCGACCCGATCATCCTGCCGTCATTATACTGGGTCATTTTTCGCCTCAACTCCAGGGCCTTTATGGATATGCTGGTCCGGAACAATTACATACCCAGGTTGCCCAATTCTACGACACTCCTCACGTGTCGATCAAAGCCTTGCTCTACGAAAGTTTTCTCCACAATCCATCACTTGCGCTCGAAAAGTACTACGCAGACCCAATGTTACCTAATTCGGGTGGTCATCGTGTCCTTGCTGATGCGCTCATCCATTACATGCAAGAGCAAATTTGTACCGGTTGGGCCGCTGTCAGGGGTTACACGTATGATGTGACTTTACCAATGATTTTCAATAGCGATGATGCCAAGGTCGAGGACGCAGTTGGCCTCTTCCGTGGCATGGATGTGCGCAAGGGGGACAAAGCGCAAGGCGGGAAGAAGAAGCTTTGGTCTCCTCCTACCGACCGTACAGCAGCGGCTGCTGTTCCACGTTTCTTTTTGACGACACGACCAGATCCAAGTGGAGGCACTGACCCGTTCCATTTCGAAGAGGTTCAACCGTTCTGTGTTTCAGCAAATGACTTGATTAATCCATTACCTATCTCCCTTTTCGTTGGAACGGGTTGGCACATGAAAAGGCCCAGCCACGCTGTCGCCGACAGTTTAACCACGGTGGACGCCTATTATTGGTATGCTTTCTATCCTGCAAGCAAGCTCCGAGTACCTGTGACTGTAAGTGGTGGAGATGTGGCGATTTGGTATTTGACGCAGGATAGTCGAGCCGGACAAGCGACAAGCGAGGTTAGTTGCTGGGTTGACAACAACTATGGGGGGGCCAAGGTCATCGATGGGGCTGCAGGAAGTGATCCTCGACCCTCGTATGCAAATTTTCACTACACACCCGTTCTCTGTCCTTCTGATGTTCCCTCTAACAGAATACGCATCATTGATCGTTCCGTTGAACCGGGTTCGCACTATGTGGAGTGCCAATTGCAAGGGACTGAAGGCGTTAAGGTTGCACCGTTCAAATTACTGGGTGTATTTACTACATAACACCTCGGGTTTTGAGCCTTCTGTGATATTATTCATATGCGCCTGGCCCGTGTACCTTTGTAATTCCAAGTGGGGGTATCCTTATCTAACCGAATAAAATATTGCACTTTTATTTGGTAGTCTTGAGAGTGACTGGACATGTGTACAGTAATACTTTTGCGGCACAGTGGCACTTTCTTTGCGTATGAAATGCCATGCATGGGAAGATAGGTCACTGCTGCCCAGTGTTAGGGAAATTGTGTAAGCGTTGGGCCGGGAGCAAACCAATGTCTTCAGCTGACTCCGATCCTGACGAACTCAGGTCTCTGTGGAGGAGGATCGATTCCGTCCAAGGGACAGATACTAGTGCCAAGATATCCTCGAGCGATTTGACTGTGGTTGTCCGCTCCTTTGGAGGTTCTAACCACAATTTGGCGTATGGCATCCTGACATCATTATGCACCTCACTTCGCGAACACCAACGAAGTAAGATCTCAGACCAACAAGCCACGGAAAGCATATCGCGCCTCTTTATACCGTTTCTTGAGGATGGGTTTCGTGCAACCATTGTGGATGAGGCCAGAGGCCCTTTGCTGCTCCTCATCGCCCTGTTGCAACTGGATAACGACGTGGGGACATACCTTCTCCTTCGGGAAGGAACGATCCAATGGTTGGAAGAGCTGCTCGAACTCTTTCCTCACGAGTCTTCCGTCATACAGGGGGTTTGCACCGCTCTCTCCATTGCGGGCGGTTCCAAAAAATGCCAGAATCTAATACGGGAACGTTTCCTGTCTTGGCTAGAGGCTCGATGCCAAAATCCCAAGGACGAGCGAACCAGCGCCTCGGCAGCTGTTGCCTTGGCGAAGCTTTCAAGGGTGCAGGACGATGCATCGGCGACTCCATTGACGGGGGATACTCCCGCCACCGTGCGGTCGAAAAGTGACGAAGAGCTTGCACACATTATGAAATCCATAATCACAAAGGACAGGGGGAATGAGGTGAAGGAAGGCGAATTCCAGGCGGTCATAGACTCCGTCGAAGGCCTTGCGTATCTCACTGATGCGACCACTATCAAGGAATCGCTTGCTGCAGATGCCGAGTTTCTACGGCGTCTATTTTCCCTCGTTCCGTCCATCAAAAGGGGGAATAACCTCATTGCGCGAAAGATTGACGAAAGTCCAGAAGCTAGAGCTAACGCTTCACTGATCTATGGAATATGCGTTATCATCCTTCAATTCGTTCAATATGCCCCCCGTTTAACGGAGGAAGAGGGCCAGATACAAAAATTGCGTAAATTGGCGATATCAGGGAATTTACAGAGAGGGGAGAAATCAGAGGAACGAAACACGGGTGACGATGAGCGTGAAAGTGATGAAGTTGTGGCTTCCCGTGGCAAGCGACTCATCTCGGCCGGAGTGCTCCCTGTGCTCGCCACTCTCGCACGCTCCGAAAGTGCAGCCTCGCAGCAGGCTGTGGGACAATCATATCTTTCTTTAGTCCAACCGAAGGAAAACCGCGGAGCCGTCCTTCAAAGTGGGGGCGGAAAGGCGATCCTTTCTATAATCGGGCACTTCCTTGCTCCATCATCATCATCATTGACAAAGACAAAGACAACGACATCTGGACTTCCAGTACAAGCCCTTCCAACTATTCAGGCTCTCGCGAAACTTGCCATCACTACAGACCCTCGCATATTATTTGGGCCATCGGAAACAGGCATATTCGATGCCATTCGGCCGCTCAAACAACTCCTGTTACACCAGCATTCCTCACTCTTACAAAAATTCGAATCCTTGATGGCCTTGACCAATCTAGCGTCCACGTCTCAGACTGCTGCTCAGCGAATCGCAACAGACGATGTGATCAGTCAAATGGATTCGTTGATTTTAGACAACCATCCCCTCATACGACGAGCGGCGAACGAGTTGTTGTGCAATATTGTGGCCACTGAGGGACTGCTGAAGCGATATGGAGCAGACGTCGAGGCGACCGCCGTTCCACCCAAGGGTGTTATCTCCCGAATGCACATTCTTCTCGCGTTGTCGGATTCGGAGGATCTTGCGACCCGTAAAGCGGCATCTGGAACTCTCGCAACACTCCTATCGATCTCACCCTTATGTGTGAAGTCCTTGTTGTCTGTTGAGAAAGGTCCCCAAGGTGTACTTGCAATTCTCGGGGATTTGATCGACCCAAGTCGATCCACCGGCCGAGACAGCTCGCCATTGCTGCAGAACGACACGTTGCAACTTGCGCATCGAGGGGTTGTGTGCTTCAAGAGCATATTCGATAGTGAAAAAGATGCCAGCATGGAAAGGAAGGTCCTCGAAGCTGCCAAAACAGAAAAGTTAGCACCGGCGCTAGTTAGTCTAATCAAATCAATCTCGGATGGTGAGCCAAGCAGGAAGGGAGGTAGCGTGCAGGGTATCCTCTTCACAGCAGCTGAGTGTTTGAAATGGTTAACCGATAAAGGATTATGACATGTGGATATGGAGACATCGAGGGCAAAGCGAATGGCATTATATACTGCGAGTGAGGATTACAATATACAGCGAAAACCGAAATTAGACCCAAAGGATTCACCTTTCGCTCTGAGCGACCCATTAGCGAAATACATAAGCGTCGCGGTTATCCGACCACAGGCGCGCCCATTCTATGCATAAACGATACACATAGACTTCGAACATCATAAGCCAGCGTTAGGATTACAACTAATAAGGCAATTCATACCTTGCATATCAACTCTTCTAGTTATCGTGTTTTTCCATTGTCTTCCAGCACGAGCGATACGACGCAACTTTTGATCGCCTTCTCGTTTGTGTGCAGCCAAAAATTCATTGGTATGATTCCCCAAGAGGCTAAATGCTTTCAACTCAGAGGGGGAGGGACCAGAGAAGTATGCGTGAATGTTGTACAGGTCGTTGTATGAGTCGGACACAGGGATGTAATGTAACCTGAAGCAACAAAATCAGCAACAAAATCTCAGCTTACCGCTTCAGGGGACGCACCAGGGTTGGATCCAATCCGAAAAGAACTCCCTGTACACAGTGGTCTTTAGTACAGCGCTTTCACTGCCCATGAAAGCGAGGAAATGGGCGGAGTATCCCATCCCATCTAAGTCAATCAAGTATTTATACTTGTAATGATCTGTAAGTTGCACCGCATTCGCAAAGCGGTGATCCTCCATCATTTGTTCGCAGCCGCCGCCAACGTACAGGTCGCATCCAATAGCTTTCGTGAAAGCGATATCGAAGATTTCCTTATTGATTTCTGCGGTGGGCACGGCCACAGATATGAACGACGTCTCCGTGCTGGTCGACGGGTCGGGGAAAAGCACCGTTGTGTTCCCAGTTGAGTGCTCTGAGGCTTTTTGGACAAGTCTAACGGGTAAAGCTGATCAAGCACACTGAATCAACTGAACAAAGTGTATCCTACCGATGGCGATGATACTGGTGCAAGAAGCCGGGCGGCGAGCTACCACCACCGGTCGATGCACCTCTCCAGAAAATAACATCCTTCTTTTCGCCCCAGTTCACTTCGAAATTATCCGTTTCTTTCATCAAAAATAGGACAGGATCAATTCCGTACGTATACCTACACGGATTTCAAGCGTGAGGGATCACCTATGCGGATGGGGTAAGCCTTACCGTTTCGTCGCACCATAGTAATAATGACTAGGTATAACGATATCGCTATACCCAGGAGCTTTCGCAGGAGAAAAGACGGGGAACAAGGAGGGGAGAGTCCGCCAATCAGAGAAGAAATGCCCTTGGAGGATGCGGCCTGAAGGTTCTTTGCAAAAATCCACGAAGCGTTGGAAACCCACGAGACCCAGGCTGCTTGGATGGATTGTTGGCGTCGAGCCTTTGTTGAAGAGTAGGTTGAAAGACGATTGGGAAGTATGAGCCTGTCCTCGTACAGAACTGAAGAGACGCCGAGCAGGAGAGTCTGGAGGACACGCTCGTCGGAAGGCGTCCCACACAGTCCCCTCGCCTTTCCAATCTTCCGTAAAAGACCCGCCCAACAATCCCTCACCGTCTGCGAATGTGCATCAGCCGCTTAAAGTGGAATTCGTGAATAGCTTTGGGTACCAGATGAGAGTACAGTTGCATTGGGTTGAAGGGATTGCTCCCAAGGGACAATAACCCGCCCCTCAGATTTGATGCTGATCGGAAACTGCATATCTGGAAGCTGGTAGCAAAGTCAAACAAAGGTATAAGGGCTCAATCCACACCCACCAGCTCAATAAAAGGTTCAATCATTGTAAAGAATCCAATGGCACGGTCTGCGGGCGGGCGATCCTCCCCTTCAAATCCTTCGAAGGGGACACAACACCTTCCCCATTAACGATGCTTACAAGATCTATAGATGGCAATTCTCCAACCTCATGACAATTGTCAACTCTGGAGGGTACATGCTCCAAAGAAACGTTGGACATACTTGTCGTGCGCGTTCACGCAGTTCGTGGGGGGACAAAAGCCAGAAAGGCTCCAGATCCGACATCAGGGAGTCGAACTCATCTACCATCTTGAAATCATTGCTTTTCGCAAACTCCCACCACGCATCGAAGCCTTTGGGTGGGAGTCTGCGATACCGCTTCTTGTATTGGGACACCGCTTGGCGCAAGGTTCTGCTCTGCGATCCTAGCTTTCTCCTGTAAACAATATCGGCCTTTTCCATCAGTTGGGTAATCGGATGTTTCAGCTTGACGCGTCTGACGATTGAGACCGTCTCATTGGGACTTGAGTTTTTAAGCCATGACGTGACGGCGACAGGCTCTATATCAGCCGACAAGACGAACCAAATTAAGAGAATGACGCCCGCAATGGCGAGACAACTACGAGTAGAAGGGAACGCCATGTCCAAATTCAAGAGGCGAAATTCAATTCTCAGTTGTGGGTTATTTGGGCCGAGTCCGCGGCTCTTATGATACAGCACGCCCAAGTGTAGTAGTGTAGTGTCGTTACAACGTTTACTCACTTTGATCCGCCGAATGCGAAGGCAAATGCTTTGACCCATTCTTCACGTAGACTCAGAGCTAGGTCCAACCACCAAATTGCGTTACGATCGACGGGATTTTCTCCGTCTCCCTCCGAATCATGCATGCCTATATATAATTTCATGCATAGGATGGCCGAGCATGCCCACTATCAAGGTGGCTCGAAGGCTTATTCGGCCTCTACATCTAGCGATATGGAAGCAAAAGGGGGAACTTTCTCTGAGGCGCGGCGGCAAAAAGATAAATAATAATAGATAAGGCGTAACGAATGCGCACTGAACAATACATTGAACGATGTGGAGTGAATGGCCAGAATTCGAATTCTCTACGCAAGAAAAAGCGGTCTGCCAAGATCATCGGTATAGACAAGCAGCGAACCTCTGATGATGGGGTGTCGACTGTTTGCGCTTCCACGAGTTTTACTGACCATGCGATCCGCGTCTGAACCTGACGACGACGTCAGGGAAGGCCAACTACCCTTGAAGCTATCCAGAATGGTGCGTATCCGGAGGGCATGCTTCCCATCACACACTAGCCGAATCCACTCGTTTGGCTCCCCGCTATAAGAGGTAGAATTCTGGCTAGACTGAAAGACAGCGCTGATTTCCGGTATTCTTGGTGCCTTTTGGTCGCTAATGTTTCCCCTCACTCCTGGGTTTAGACGATGGACCAGCCCTTCAATTTCGAGAAAGATAGCTATCGGGCCAAGAACTCCCTTTGCTCGCATTAAAATAAGGAAGTCCCAGAATTTCAGTAAGAGCTCTGGCGTCCAAAGGATGGCTTTAGCGTCAGTGGGTGGTGGGTGGGTCGATTCCAGTAGCTTAGGGGAAGCCTGCGAAGGTATAGAAGGCAATAAACATCCACAGGACGCTAATGAGTGAGCGGGGGGACCCCTGACGGGAATTAACCAAGAGCCCCGAGCATACTTTGCATCCCAAGGGAGCGCTAGGGGATGTGAGCTGATGGAGGTTTCAATTGAGCCTAGAAAGGAATGTATGGGATGCTTGGGTATTTCCCCGTAGTTCGTTGTTCCTTGGGCTAGTGATAATGGCGCAGGCGAACATATGACGTGGGGCTGAAGCGGGAATCAGATATGGATGCAATATTTCTATGACAAGGACCTGCCTCTGGTACTATTGAACTCGCAGAGAGGATTTCAATTCGAGAAGCGCTCGACTGTGTTGGAGCGGAAGGGGAGGCAGACGCAGGGACAAGGACTATTGGAGCTGATCGAGCTGGTGTGGCAAGCCGATTTTGATGAAACACGTCCTTTTCGCTTCCTCGCCGTCGTTTGGATGGTTTATCAGTATTTAAAGAAAACATGGGGGCCCTTTTCCGAGGCAGAGAGTCAAGAAAGCTGACGTCCAAGCCCCGAAAAGGCTCGAGAGCGGACGTTCCCTCGTCTTCAGCTTCGGTAAACGGCGCATCCCACTCTGGCGTTCGTGGCTTCTGTGGCAAATCCTGTCGAGGGGGCATTGGTGGGGCATCTCGTAACGTCCACAACGAAACCTCTATGCAGTCCATAGTTTATAAATCTGTGTGGATAATCGATCCACTGGCTTGTACTCACCTGGGTTTGGGGGTCGAGTCTGGGTGTCTGGAAGACTTACAGACGTCCACGAGTGGAGGTCAAGGAATGCAGAAGCAACCAAGCTGACCCCGTCGTCTATAATGGAGCTCCCAGGGTTCTTGTCATTCTGTACAAACTGGTGAACTGTGATATCCATCTTTGAAGACTTGAGAAGTCGCGATAACGGCGCCAATCGGCCCGTCACGTGTAGGTGTTGGAATTGTTGGAATGTCTGGTCAAAACTTGCGGCGATGAACGCGCCCACCGAAACTATGACGACTGTCAGGCGTTCAAGCCGTCAGTCAAGGGCTTCAAATGAGTTAAGCATTGAGGAGAACTTCTCTGGGTCTCCGGTGCCTGCGCTATCTGAAAAAGCGCTTGGAAAGCGGCCAGAGCATCCACTACGCGCCATCGCCGCTACTGAACACGTTCGAACGCCTCCAGCTGAGCCATTGTCTAAGAAAGCTACGCGAGTACTTCCTTCTAGGTCATCGAGACACGCTTTAGGATTGGGAAACTCTTCCATTGATGAATTGATTGCGGATGCTCAACAACGGGCTGGTGCGGGGTGCATATATGGATGACATTTCTCATTAACTAACATCTGGGCCCGTATGGTAGCTGAAAATAAACCGATTTTGCCCCCAACTGCACTGTTCCTTTTAGTCACCGATTCTACCCTTGTTCCTCCTTTATCCGAAGCCCATAAAATTCAGAGCGTGTTTGATGATCCAAATGTTCAGCGCTCATATAAGGCGCAAGAGCAAATTCAAACTCCAGAGTTCTCGATGTTACCTGAGACGTTTACGGTTGGAAGTCGTTTACGAGCAAGGGAAAATGACGAGGTTAGCTCCTATTTTATAGTCGTACCGCATTTCCTAAGGTTGACAAGCAGTCTTCAGTCTGTTCAAGACACTTCTGATCAAGCATATCTGGCTCGCCATCGGAAGTTTGAGACGATGGAGAAAAGGCAGCGACTTCGGGAAAAGGAGAAGCTTCGTTATGAGCACTACAGACTGAAGCAGCGGATCGATCAGCTCCGTTCCATTGGCTCATCTTCAAATAACCCTTCCTACTATACTGGTCATTCTGCCGCAGAATCAGCGGAGAATGATAAGAAGAGAAGAGAGCTGCTTCGAGAGGCTGAGGATCTGGAGAAGAAGTATGATCGCTTGCTCTCCGAAAAGCAGGATCCATCTTCCTTGCACGCAGAGAGCATCTTGCCAATCAAGTTCAAACTGAGATTCGGTGCCTCCGTTAAACGCTCCGGGAGTAGCGAGATAAACTCATCGTCTGCCCCTGAAACACCCCACCCATCACCCTTTACTCCCTCCCCCAATGTCAGTAGCCTCATCCTTCGAGATCCGAACATGAGTATGGTTGGGCATTTATACTCTCCAACCCACCGAAATCGCCCGAAAACAGTCCCATCTCCCAAATCTAACCGACCAATAAGACCTCGGCTCTCTAGTGTCTCTCATGCCAAAACTCAGCGTCCGAACTTCGTACCTGATATCATCCGCGCTGCAGAATTGCATAATGTTTCGACTCGGGCTGGTTTGCGGACCGCTTCCGCATTCGGGAACCAATTGCCCTCCATGTTCGACCCAGAGGGCACGCACTGGACAGACTTCGAACTACCTGCAGAGTGGTTTCCTCAAGATTCTGGTGGCCAATCTGATGAGGAAACGCTGGGCATAGTATCTGCCCCTTTCGACATCGAGCCTTAATCGTGTTCACCGTTGAACTTAAATTATTGCTTTGTAAGAGTGTCAGCACTCATGTTGTTGTTTATGACATTATTTATCACGAGTCTCACTTGCATTTCATCATCGCTGTATTTGCTTGATGAGGAAATGGAGAGCTTGTTGCAATATGGGCATGCACCATAGCATAATAACATGTGGTACAAGGGTGGGTGAATGCGAGGAGCGAAAACCTTTACTTCAGTTTCTTCTTCCTGCACACAGGATAAGCATGTTAGCATCGCACTGCACAATATAAGAACTAATGTTCACGCACGGGCGAAGCTGGCTCGAATGACCACATGAGCGCTTGCGGCAGTTCGATGCACGAGGAGCGAGCGGGCATAACACTTGCGGCAAATCTGCTTGTCGCAGCTACCAAACAAACCGACGCCATGAATAAAGGGGAAAGGGGGTGAACTATAGCAAGACCCACTTGTACTTCGAAGCTAAAACCTTTAATGAAGGCTCAATGATGCCACCTCGCAGGCGCAGAACAAGGTGCAACGTGGATTCCTTCTGGATGTTGTAATCTGAAAGAGTGCGACCATCCTCAAGCTGCTTTCCAGCGAAAATCAATCTAGAACAGGCATAGCATCGAAGTCGATTTCGCAGTTTCCTTAGAGTGAACTGACCGCTGCTGGTCTGGGGGGATCCTGAATGCACTCTGTCGGTATTGCATGTAAATAAAATGAATAACTGAACGCACCCCTCCTTATCCTGGATTTTGGTCTTAACATTATCGATGGTATCCGAGGACTCAACCTACATATACAAAGATGAGGGTGGCGCAAATAATAACTTGATTGGGTGCGTGCCTCGAGGGTAATGGTCTTCCCCGTGAGTCTAACAGACGAAAAAGGACATCAAACTCAGAATGACTAAGACATGAAGTATGCTAACGTCTTGACAAAGATTTGCATGATTGGTCTGCGAGAAGAGTGAGTGAAAGTTTGGAGATTTAACTTTCGCCAAACCTTTGAGGGTGATGACAGCAATTAATTGAAGTGCCGCGGAACTGTACAGTATCACCACGTGAGTTTTGTTTGATTCCGAAAAGGTATATAAGGCCAAGGTTGGTTGTTCTGGTTTGCCCTCATGATTCTTCTGTTTCAAAACGTCATTGATGATTTTGCAGAGAGATGACAGAGCCTCTTCGTGAGCTGCTCGAATGACATCGCTCATCCGGCAATTACACCTTGTTACGTCGAAAGGGGTGAGCCATAACGATCTGAGGCGTTTTTGGTCAGAAAGAATCACAAATTTTCTTGCATCTTTGTGTCAACTGTTCCCTGTATTTCCAACAAATGCGATGGCTCTTGAAAATTTCCCGCTGCAATCTGTACATACATCCTGTGTTACGTTGTACATATACATTTTCCACCAGTTGCTAGTGAATGACGTCTGTCCGTTGCTGAAAGTCAGCGCTTGAAGGCTCGTATTGCACCCGTAGATGTGGCCAATCAAGATCTCAATAAAATTTCAGGTTTCCTGTAAACACAAATATTAACTGGCGATTCGTGAACCAGCTGGCTCTTCGCTGCTGGCGCGCGCTTAGAGCTTTGAACAATATGATCGGTTAACTCCGATCCACGGACATGCGGCTAACAAACAAGACAAGTTTGATGTCGCCTGGGCATTGCAACGAACTAAAGCAAAGGAGGTTAATGATCATGGATTCGGAGCAATTGGCCAGTAGCAATGATAACAACTAAATGACACACAAGCCAAACATCGTTGAACCAGTGAGTCACAAATTCACAATAAAATACTCAGGCCTAGAAACGAAGCGATCAAACACACAGGAAGGCACACAGTACTGCAACTGAGGCTGAAGAGACACCCAGGTCAAACTCCAAAGATTCATGGCGTATCACGTGCTGATTCAATCATTGAATCCCTTGACACGTCCAATTTTGTTGCGAGCCCAAGTAATCATCCATGGTGCGTTGTTTCTCTAATGGGAAAATATCGATTGACGATCCTTCAATATAGGTTGTCCTTGCGGCTTCAATTGTAACAAAAAGCGGGAGACCAGTCATTTCTCGACAATTTCGAGAAATGCCTCGCTCCCGAATCGAAGGATTACTCTCCTCGTTTCCCAGACTAATCCCCACTAATAGCCAGCATACGTCCGTTGAAACAGCCGACGTTCGATATGTCTATCAGCCTCTCGAAGAGCTATATATCCTTCTCATCACCAACAAAGCATCGAACATTCTCCAGGATATTGACACTCTCCACCTCGTCACTCGCGTCGTGTCTGACCATTGCCGGAATGCTGACGAGAAAGAAGTTTCTCGAAATGCATACGAACTCTTAAACGCGTTCGATGAAGTGATTAGTCTAGGCTACCGGGAGAACATCAATTTGATGCAGATACGCAATGTTCTTGAGATGGAAAGCCACGAAGAGAAGATTCAGGAGATCATTTCTAGGGTAAGAAGAGGATAGCCGCGTTCCTTGTGCTCACTGACGGAAATACCTGCATACACAGAACAAGGAGGCAGAGGCGAAGGAAGAACTCAAACGACGCGCAAAACAGTTGGAGCTGCAGCGTCGCGAACAAATGAAGCGCGCACAAATGAGTGGCTCAGGTGCCGTTCCCGGCGGTTATTCAAGTCTTGGCGGTGGTCTCACTGGCTACTCCAGCCTTCCCCGTTTCGATTCGCCTGAGCCAACACCAAAAGCATCTACTTTCACTGCTGCCAGCAGCACACCGAAAGCACCGGCCTTTAAGGGAAGCGGTATGAAACTTGGGAAAAAGCCGAAACAAGCTGGCCTTATCGACGCGTTGGCCGACGAGGTTGCTACGCCCCCAGAGGAGCTGTCGGCAGCATCACCTGAACCGGAAGCTCCGCTTCAAATCACCCAGATCGCCCCGCCGGCCGTAACTAAACAAAAGTGCGTTGCGATGAAAATTTTTGTTCACTCGATGAGCAGCTGAACTTCTTCGTAGGGTGCACATCAACACGCGCGAGCAAATATCCCTCACACTCCTTCAAGCTGGAGGTCTAAAGTCTTTCGAAATTAAAGGCGATCTCAACCTTTTGATTTCCGACCCATCCGTCTCTCGTGTCAAGCTTTCGCTTTGCTCTCCTTCCGAGTTGGCGTCCTCTCTGGGCTCCAAGGGTCTCCAGTTCAAATATCACCCGAATTTGGCACGCGGCGGCGGGTCAGGGTTGGAGAAAGAGATCAAACTCAAAGACGCAAACCGCAGTTGGCCAATCGGGACACCTTTGGGTGTGCTAAGATGGCGTGCCCAAAGCAAAGATGAGAGTCTGGTACCCCTGTCAAGTGCGTTTCAGGTTCGTTCCCGATTGAAATTTCAACATTTGACTTGAATCTTTCTAGTCAATTGTTGGCCGTCCCCATCTGGCAATGGGACGTGCGATGTGAACATTGAATATGAACTTGAGAACGAGTCTCTGGAACTCATTAATTTGGTTATCTCCATCCCTCTTCCGTAAGTATCGTCCCGCTAGTGCACCTCGTGCTGGAACCGACATGTAATCTAGGGAGGGAGGCTACCCGACCGTTGCCTCGTTTACGGGTGATTGGGCTGTAGATCCATCTACACATTCACTTCTCTGGACCGTCCAGCGTATCTCGTACAACGATGACTCTCGCGCTGGCAGCCTTGAGTTCTCCGTTGGTGGGGAGGAGCCGTCGGGTTTCTTCCCTGTCAAGGTGAATTTCACGGGATTAAGCAGCCTATTAGGCATCACTGTAAGTTTAGATTTCCAGTGGTTACATATGATGTTAAGATACAACTTTTGCATAGGTGGATGGCGCTTCTCAGCTTGACAGCGGTGAAAACGTAGAGTTCTCACAAGAATTGTCATTGACTACAGATGAATATGTTGTCGTCTAGATCAATCAAGTAGCTTATCAGGGTGTAGTTAATGATTATCTCTTTCATTCAGCGCGGACCATGGTCTCCGTTACCCTTGTGCACGGGGGCACACTGGTACTGGCGTGATGTTCCCCAAACTCGGTATCCTCTGCCACAAACACGCTGGGAGGCCGCGGGAATATGAGTGCCAACGTAATGCCTGGATCTAGTATGAAGAAGGTTAAGCTTGTTTCAGCACAGCAGCATCGTTGTTGGCAGTGCAGTACCTCCGCGCGCGAAAAAAGCGCCATTAGTAAGTCGAAGAGATTCCGCTGTCACGTAGCTGCTGCAGCTGACCCTTCAACGTACCCGTCACACACGGCAGGACCCCAGAAGCTAAGCTGTGTCAGGGCAAATGAACCTTTTTTCGGGTCGGAGTGGGGAATTTCGGGAAAGTCGCGTTTTCAGATAATCAAACCCCGGAATTCCCTGCAGGCCCCCCACGGAAACACCCGGAAACCAGGCTGGTTCAGACATCTGGGATTGCTGGGAAGGGAATATAGGAGAGAAGGAACTTTCGGTTTATAGCTGCCCACGCACGCAGCTGGCCGGGATACAACACTACCCGATATTAACGCTCAACACCCCTGATTGCTTTGCGACTCTCCAGGGAACGTTAACTCGGAATCCAGATAATACATTTTGTCCAAAATCCAGAGCTCTGCGCGAATTACTCGAAATACACAACATTATACTACAATTGGAAAATTTTTTGAAGGGAGCCATACACCTACGCGAAAGGTACAGGTACGGAACATTATATCCAATTGGTCTGGTAATATGGTGGAAGGTTAAGGGGAATATGAATGAAAGAGGAAGATACAGCACTGCCGCGCTTGCCGGTCCGAACAGAGACAAAATAAATCCAAAAAAGGCGTCAATTATCGGTAGCGTTGCGAGCAGACCTGAAGAAACGTTTGCTTGTTGTCGTACGATGATTGCACCACTAGAGAAGTAACGGAGGGGGAGACGGGAGTCCGGGAACGTGTTATTTCGGGCTGAGCGGAGCGGAGGTGATACAGTGATGGGGTTCATGATGATGGTCTTAATCCTCATAGCCTCCTGAACCGAAAAAGCTCCCATCAGGAAACGTTCAAGAGAGGGTAATGGATGGCGATCATTGATGCCAGAGGCGGAACTCTGCAGACATGGATCCGTAGGCCAGACCGGTTGTCTTGAAAACCTATTCCCAGGAACGGAGTGGACTCGGGGTTGAAGGAGCGTCATACAATTTGCCCTTCATCTAGCTGACGTGTGCGTTTAGGGGGAGGTGGTAGGTAGAATAAGTCGCGCGCGAATTCATCCGACGCGTCTAGATCAATCGTCCGCGCGGATGGAACGCTGGAACCCGCAACGTCTTCTTCATCGGAAGCGACTTGTCCAGCTGGTGAGGATGGCGATGTCGGGGACGTAGGAGGGAAACTAAATGGGGTGGTGGGAGGAGTTGTTCTTGGTGGTGAACGCGCGGAATCTGGGGGGATAGTGGGGAGAATGGTGACTGATGAACCTGGTCTCTGGTCGGTATGGGTGGACTGAGCGTATGGACCCGTGCGTGTCCGGACTGTTGACATTGATGGATGTTGCGTGGAACCGGGTATGTATATGGGTTGGAGTGGGATAGCCCTTGGTAGCTCACTTGATGGAGTAGCCGCCCGATCGGGAGGAGCGTCAGTCGGTCTATATCAAGGTACTTAACAGCGAAAAGCAGCAGGGGGTGGTCCACGTACAAATTTCGAGTCTGACTCGAGCGCTCATCAGAGGAGTTGGTTTGGGATAGACGGCGATAGCGCCTATAGACCGCGGCCAGTGTGACGAAGAGAGTAAAAAAGAATAAAGGAATGACCACGCTGAGGACGATGGCGACGGTCGACGTCATTAAAGTTAGGATTGAGAAAAAGAGGAGAGGGCTTGTTCAACGAAAACAGAATTGTTTAAAACCATTAAGTAGTCAAATGCTATGACCGTCGTGAGATTCCGCTAAATACTTCGGATGATGAAACGTCCAGATTTGTCAAGAAAGCTAGTTCACCAGCGCGCTTGCACCGCGCGATCGAATGATTATCAAGCTAACACAGCATTGTTGAAGAGAAGAGACCGCCTCATGGTAAAGGAAAATGACGCTCCAAAGAGAAAAGGTAAACACGAGGAGGGAGCGCCCCGAGTACCAAATAGAGTAATTTTGCACGAAAAATGAGAAGGTGATGATGGAAATAACTCAGGGCCGAGCGAGTCATATATATCGAGCTCATGGCATCTAATTTACGAGCAACGTGCACAGGGAAGCAACGCCATCCAGTCAGCCAGAAGCGGGCATGCACGTCGTCGGTCCAAGCTACGCGCGGAGCAAAGGCCGCAGATGTGCTCTAGAAGGGGAAAAAATCCTGCAAATATAAGCGTAGGTTCCGGTGACCCAATGTAACCCATCGCGTAGCAGAGCGAAGCATGTGGAGGAAAGCGGCAACGGTAATTGTCGGGCGTGGAGAGCGTCGGACGGGGCGATGGCGCCGCAACAGAAGTACCCAGTACTGCACCTGGTAAGTGAAGAGATCAGAGCAGCAAGCCGCCAGGACACAGATCACGGTGTTCGCGGTGTATCCCTCACTCAACCAGCATGATGAGGCGATGCTGATTACGTTGATGCGAGCTGCGGCTATTCCCGATTTACCGGAACTTGGAGAAATCACAAGGCCAGCGCAAAGTCAAACGACTCGGAGGTCTGCATCCTTCTTCTCATCAGATCGTAAGCAATGCCAGGCGCGTCGCCACCAAAGCCTTGGGAGAGAGCGGGGACTGCAGCGGCACTCTCCTCTACCGCAGCTCCGCCTGCTGTTCCAACAATGGCTTCTGCAACCTCCGCATTATCGGAATCAGTACCCTCCCTCCCCAGCCGGCCTTCCACCCTCACTCCCTCAATTGCAACGACACCAGCGACCACGAACGCCCTTAACCCTTATGCACAACCTTATAACCGCTTTGGCACGTACTCGTCGCCTTACTCCACTTATGGAGGGTACAGCGGCTATGGAGGATATGGCTCTACATACGGGGGCTATGGCGGGATGTACGGCGGGATGGGGTATGGTATGCCAGGAATGATCGGGATGGATCCCAACAATCCCTCGCTTGCTCAACAGCTAGGCTCAAGCACATCACAAACTTTCGCTCTCATCCAATCGATCGTTCAAACTTTCGGTGGATTTGCACAAATGCTGGACTCCACGTTCATGGCAACACAGTCATCTTTCTTCGCCATGCTTGGTGTAGCAGATCAATTCTCTCAGCTGAGGGGTGCTCTGAGCCAGGTTTTTGGCGTGTTTGGCCTCGTCGCCTGGCTCCGGGGATGGTGGAAGGGCGAAAAGCCTAGCATGTCGGAGGAGTTCAAACGTTTTCTCTCCACCCCACAACCGCAACGTGGAGGCACTCCTGGCACTCCTTCACCGAAACCAAGCAGAAAACCCCTTCTAGTTTTCCTCCTCGCCGTCTTTGGCCTCCCCTATCTCATGCATCGCCTCGTCAAGATGCTCTCGCGCCGTCTTCCCTCTCCTGAACAATTAGCAGCTCAACAGGTCCCCATTGATCCCTCAAAACTCTCTTTCGCAAGAGCTGTCTATCCTTTTACGACACAAGATCCCGTCGAGTTAGGTCTCGCAAAAGGCGAGATTGTAGCCATTCTGAGTACGTTAGACCCTGTTACGGGTGCAGAAGGAGAGTGGTGGAGAGGACGAACAAGAGATGGCGGGAGGGATGGTTCCCCAGGGATTTCGTCGAGATTATCAAGCAGAAGGAAGCGAGTCCCCTGCCTGCTCCCCTGCCAACTTCCGCCCCCACACCTGATGCGGCACTTTTGGCCCCGAAAATTGTTTGATTGCTTAATGTTGGATCGATGCGTTGCTTTGACTGACTGTTCTCTTATTTACTCACCACGTCGGCTTTTGGAGCTTGGACGATTTCAACACTGTATATTCCCCGTAGCATCGTCGTCCGACTTCCTGGCCGGCGTATATTGTCCATAGTGTGCATCTAATTATGACGCTTTTGACAAATGACCGTGTCATCGCGACTGGAAGTGCTTGTGCATCGCGCTTCACTGGACCCACTTATTTCGTTCTGTGACGTTGCAAGGGTTACATAATCAAATTCATATCACAACACAAGATAATACAATCAAAAAAAGGAAGTGGAGCCTTTCAGAGTTGCTTTTCATCGATGAAGACAAAGACAATAACGAAAGTGATTAGGGTATTGTAGTGAAGTGGCCAGGCTTCCACAGCTAGGTGATGGGACACCGGCGCATGTTGAGATAACAACCAGCAATGGCTGAAGAGCCATCCTCCTGAGCTGAAGAGCCATCTTCCTGAGCTGGGGACGACATAGAATGCATTGCCTGTGTCGTTCCTATGCGTACGGATGGAGCTGGTCGCCCACGAGCAGTGGTGGAAGCCACTGGACAGTTTGACCTAGAAAGGGTCAAAGCGCGAGGGTGGTCAGTCGGCCTGGGGTGGGGAAGCAGTCATAGGAACTACCACTGGTCTCTCAGGATGAGAGGAACAGTTGGGGCAGGAGATTCGACAGCAGCCTCAGAGACAGGGGATGGACGACAGTCGGGTAGACTGTCTTTGACAGAACGAGAGGAAAGAGTAGGGGCATTTGACCAGCCCAGAAAAAGCTGAAGCGCGCAACGCTTCGGTGAGCCGGCACTCAGCAGATGCTGAGATGGTCGCCTGGACCATCTTAGACCTCTCAGAGCAGAGGGATGGATATGGGCAGTGGATTTGGCTGGCCCAGGAAAGGTCGAAGCGCGGGGCGCTTGAGAGAGCAGGCGCTGAGATGCCCTCATCCCCACGTGGAACGGGTGGGGAGGCGGTCGTGTAGTGACCTCTCACGACAAGAGGGAACGGTTGAGGCCACTGCTAGCACCACCTCTACCAGCAGCGATATACATGCGAGAATGTTTGGAGTGGTACCATTTCAAACGGAATTTAACCGGTTTCACGTCGGGAGGAAGCTTCTGCTGAGTGCTAGCTCACCAAAGCGCCTGCGCTTTGGCTGCTCTGGGCATGAGCGCACATCTGGGAAGAGGTCAGCAGACAACTGGGATGACGTAATGGAAACGTAAGAAAATACATAAGGGCAAGATGATGACAAATTTCAGTGTCCTAATATTGACGCGTGCCAGTCCAAATAGATCTACATACTTCCAGAAACGACTGGACATCTTACATCCTACGAGAGGTTCAATTGAGGGAGTGGGGGGACTACAGTAACAATGCCCTATGGGTAACCCAGCGCTAGGTTCTTAACGCTCGCCAGGCAGGACACCAACATTTATCAAAGTGGAGCACTGAAAAACCAGTTGGCACCGCCAGCCACCCACCAACACTTGGATCCCATACCCCTAAGGGTCAAATAACAGTAGCAAATAGGGGCGATGGAGCGGGGAGTCAAGGAGTGCTTCGAGTCTCCTATTTTTAACTGCAACTCGTATATCAGATCCTGCAGAGCGAAACCTTTTACAATAAAGAAAAACGTGTCTCAAAACTCCTAAGGGCTTGGCGGAATCGTTTCTCACGGTCTTGTGTGGGACTGTTTGCAAGTCACGTTACCAGCATCGCTCCAAACACTTTTGGCCGAACACCTCAATCATCGCAAAGCTTGCCTCCTGTGGTCAAAGAAACCAGTTCTAGAGCGCCTCAGACATATCAGGACGCAGAGTTCTGAGTCGCACATTTCCATCATCACTTCCCCTGAATACCCTAGAGCTTGAGTCGCTCCGGTCCAGATGGCAAGCATTCCTTTCGGGCTAGGCGCCACCTCTCTTATGACATTCTTTCGAACACTCTAGGACTCCCGCTACTCAGATCCTGAGGATTTTTATGTAAAGCAGGACCGTATAGGTACGATGTTTTCCAGGACGACCAACATTCCGATCATGCTGCGATCTGACGTTCTTTGGCGTTTCCCATTAGGCAAAGGTTCTTTCGGAGAGGTATACAAAGGGTCAGTGCTCGTTGACGCGTACTTCCACGCGTGGCTTGATTTCTTGTGAAATGGAATCTCGTTTACTGATTATTTGGTGGCCGGTCGGTGCCACAGATACGATAAACGGACCCAACAAACTGTTGCTATCAAGATTATTGATCTTGAAAGTGCGGAGGATGAAATTGAGGATATACAGCAAGAGATTCAAATCCTTAGCCAGCTTGATTCGGCGCATGTAACCAAGTGAGTGATCAGTTTGGGGCAATGTTGGGTGCGTGATTTCACACTTTAGGCGTTATTCAGATATTACGGGTCGTATCTAAAAGGATCGCATCTATGGATTGTGATGGAGTCCGTGTCTCTTAGTCCGCACTCCGCTGAGGCTTTCGTTGACGTTGCTCACCAGATACTGCTCTGGGGGATCATGCTCAGACCTTGCAAGTGTTCATCATTTAACCCACGGTCCTCTTAGTGCTAAATAGCTGCATGTTACACAGATGAAACCAGGAATTTTTCGGGAAGAGTATATCGCAATCATAATACGTGAATTATTGAAGGGCCTAGAGTACCTGCACGTCGAAGGCAAACTGCATCGTGACATAAAAGGTACGAATCACCAAACCTATAGGGAATCGTACCACCAACCACCTTGACGGATCCAGCTGCGAATATATTACTCAACGCTTCCGGAGAGGGTAGAGTGAATATGTGGTTTCGTGACACTCCGCAACTGATCACAGCTCGTCTCCAGTAAAACTAGCAGACTTCGGAGTCTCTGGGCAGTTAAGCGGGACATTGTCCGCGAAGAAGAATACATTCGTTGGCACGCCATATTGGATGAGTCCGGAAGTGATCAAGCAGTCAGGGTACGATCATAAGGCGGATATATGGAGTTTAGGAATCACTGCGATCGAGCTCGCGAAAGGCGAGCCCCCGTATGCTGAGCTTCATCCTATGAAAGTGAGCATCGAATGCTCTACGTGGTATTTTGTGTTCTGATACTTGTATCCGCACATAAAAGGTTTTGTTTTTGATACCCAAAAATCCCCCTCCTGTTTTGGAAGGCAATTTCTCAAAGCTTTTCAAAGAGTTCATATCGCTGTGTCTTTCTAGGGATCCTCGCGATGTAAGCAGTGTGCCTTCCCCCTTCTGGGTGCTTTCCTATCTCCATTTTGTATTTTCCAGCGTCCAACCGCTCGAGATCTACTAAAACACAAGTGGATCAGAATAGCAAAAAAGACGAGCTACCTAACGGAACTGATAGAGCGCCATGAACGGTGGCGTGCGGAAGGGGGTGGGAGACACGACGAGGACGACCGGCGAGGGCACGAGGAACAGTGAGTGTTATGATTCTCCTCCGTCTCTTATCGTTCTAAAGTCAATCAAGGGATGAAGACGAACCAGAAGAGGACATGTGGGATTTCGGCACCGTCAGAACTGCTTCACGGAAGCAAACAATAGGGAAAGGGACGAATCATGTGGCGGTAGCCTTGAGCATGCAAGGGTTGTCAATAACCGAAGAAGATATTCATCCAAACTCTCACCCGAAAGATGAACTTTCAACACCTGGGAATCGTTTCGCTCCCCCCTCATACTCCCAAACGCACAGCACGAAGGTAGCAGCGGCTCCTTCCTCTCCAGAATTCAAAGCAGGACCCCCATATCAAAGCGGTAGCATGATACGCCGTGCAAGGCAAGCCACGATGAGCAGTACATCCTCAGGTTCATCAGCATTACAGAACCTACCATCCGAAGAGATTGTGGTCAAAGGAGAGTTGCCGGGTATCCCTAGGGTCCGAGCTGCAGGGGCGTCGGCGGACTCACCACAAGGGACAGTGAGAGGTGGCCCCCATCATTGGGACGATGATCCTGACGATGATGATTTGGCAGTGGGTGAGGGACAGATTGATGATTTGGCCGATCGAACGATGTTGGATTCAGTCATTCTGCCCATCATTGCGTCGGTACGTGCCATACCTTGCTTAAAACAAAAACACCTCACGGATATCCTCGTAACCAGTTATTCCCTCGAGTCAATACCCAAGAAGCGCGTGTTGCGTTAACAAACTTACAGCGGGCATTTACAGACGCAGAGCATATCATTCCGGGGTTAGCGAACGAGTTTGTGAACGAAATCGTGGACTCTGTTGAGCATGTAGATGAGTGGGAAACCGCCGCTTCTTCGAGATGACACAGTTTGATTGGAGGGTGAAATTTTTTTCTTGGCTTGCATTCGTTAGCCAGTTTCTTTTCTTTTCTTTTTTCCATGGGGCCACTTTATTTTCCTTCCCTTTAATTTGAGCAACTGACTTTTCTTGCGTACCGTCATGCGTCTTTAATTGATAATCATTGTTTATTGGTTGTACATCTCCACCTTCCGTCTTGGTGTAGTTGCGATAGTCCCTGAGCCAGTACGCGCGTGTTCTTTCAGGGTAGTCACGATCCGTACGAAGATGTCACCGCAGCGGATGTTGGACAGATTGACGCCCAGTGAGCGGCGGGTGGCGGGGCTTGGGGAAGGAAATCTTATCTCAATAGGCGAATTTCTTTGCATCAACCTAATTTAGGCTGGAAACCACATGGATGGGGAATGAGTAAATACAAGTCGGATTCATGGAGAAGGCGGGCCTGCGGGCGTGACACCGCAATATGACGAAGAAAAGATGCACTACATAGCCGAACAAAAGCAGGAATCCCAGCGGCTCACAAACGAAGCCACGCATACATAATTCGATTGGATTGACACTGGTATTAGCATTGCATGTTACTGAAGGGACGCCAGAAGTCACAATGGTCTGATGGCACTGGTGAATTTTCAAGGATGATGTTGAAGTCGGCTCTGCAGGGGAACAAGCGTGTAGCCCAAACTTTGGGCTATGGCTTCGAGATGATACAACGTGGGGCAGTCGGTGTGCAGCGGGGTGCTTTGACCATGATACGCATTGGGAGACACGGGCGGAGACGGAAGGGGGCAAGTGTTCCCGAGAGCCCCACTCGCCATTGGAGGGGTGGGGATCGAAGGGTCATGATTGGTTGGGGACGGAAAACTAGATGCCACGCTGGTGCTAGCGTACCTCGCATCGTAGATGTAGCCGGGGTTGAGATCCGCATGTGTAGCGGGCGAGGGGGTTGGCGGGAACGAGTAATAGTTCACACAACGGTTCGGTGTGGGGTAAGTGCCAATGGTTGTATACGATAACATGTTCATACCAACATCTAATGCAGGCGGAGCGCCCAGAGTTGGTTGGTTTCCAACACTATACTGAGTGCTACTGGATGACTGGGGAGGAGTGCGCGGGGATCGTAAATCCACATTGTAAATTCCCTGGTCTTCAAGTAGTTGGGTTTGGTCCCCCACCAGGTTGAAAAATTCCCGAGCGAAGGCACAAGTCTTCGGGAGTTTGGCTATGTTGAAGTTGAGTTTAAAAATGATAGACTGTAGATACAGGACAACCAAGATTTGTACACTGACCTATGCCAACCCGATTTCCGTTCGAAAGGGATCGAATTTCAGTGACGCAAGCCTTTGCTTTCGGACATTCCTGAGACGAAACTGAGGCGGAATGTTTTGTGATTGTAAACGGTTTCACCACTCACCTTGATTAATTTTGGAAGTGGTGGTGGACATGGAAGGCACTCCACATGTGCAAAGCGACACATGTCACATCCATCATCACTGGAACTTCGATGGCATCCCTGAGAATTAAGGCGATTCAGCCAATTTTTGGCATTCATGTTTTGTAGGATAGGTGTTAGAGAGGTTTTGACGCCGTAGGGCCGCGAAAGAGCGAACGCATGCAACAGTGTGTCATGGATCAGGGAATATGGGAGCTCTACTTGCCTTTCCTCTGAGACGGCATGCAAAGCAGCCCGGAATGTCGCGCAGTGGGTTTACGACGTTGGGCCTGAGGGACATGTTGGCGGTGCTACGCGAAAGTGAAATCGGAGAGAAAGGTTGGAAGGGGAATGCACTGATTTGTCAAACTTATGTAGAGCGAATTTAGAGTTATCGTCAATCGAGTGAAAATCTGGGGAGGCTTATAGTGCCTGTACGAACCGACACGTGTGTGATCGCGGCGGCCAATTACTCGGCTCATGAGATGACCCTGGGTGAGAGGAATGAATGCTGGTGCTACGGGTGTGCTGAGCATGTTCCGGCTTTTCGAGCGTTTAATTTCGAATTGCAGCGCAACTCCTCATGGATCGGGATGGTTCACGATCTACGGAAGCTGGTCATGTCAGCACCTGGTTCGTAATGCGAGCCAGTGGGTGACGCAACCGTAATCACTCATGTCAATGGGACAGACAGATACTGTCTTTTTGAAGGCAAGACGTAGTGTCTTTAAGCAACCCAGAGTGCGGATGCCAAGGAAGAGAACTAGGCAGGGACATAGTCATTTGGCTGGAGCCGGCCTTTCACGCGCAATCACTGTCGCGTATTCCTTATGCCGATCCTTGCCGTAGGGGGGGAATGTGGAGGGTTCAGTGACAGCATTGTGCTCAATAAACGAAAAAAAAAATTACGCTGAACCTGTAACACTACATAGCTGTAAGAATTTCTCAGTTGCCATGGCAGGCGACTGAGAAGATATCTGAGACAAGCGTAGTGATTCGGAAACAATAGCTTTTCCTCTATAGCATGAGTGAGGTGAGTAAGAGCCAGAGAGTTCTGAAAGAAACTGTAAGTGGCTTCATTGATTTACAATCCTTCGGTTGGGTAGGGAGGCCCAGAACCGAACAAAAGCCATCTCAGAGCATCCCTGTAACTCGACAATTGCAACCGACAGACATCCACATGGTAACCGCACGGCTGGCGGATTATTTCATGATGTCAACTCCAAAATGGCTGGGCTGACCAATTGATTAGCAGAGAGTAAGTTCTGGCGAGGGCCGAGAGACGGGCAAGTAATCCGGCAATCTAGGCTGGAACCGGAGTAAGAATGGTGGAAAAAAAGCAGACGGCAATCCGAGCATGGACCAATGATGGTTCCAGATGGCCATTGCAATGCTAATCTTGGATGCGGCCCAATCAGACCGCACAAAACTTCAACTTCCTAACTCTGTGCTGGCAGGTCACTTGGTCCCTGGCAACTTATCGGCGTCTGTCGTCATTGGTCGTTTGACCTCCCAAGGAAACAATTTAGTTCCACAAGAAGAGACTAGGATTTTTCGAGGTAGTCCCTGACAGCCTGCTGGTTGTCTGAAGCCTGTAAGGCTGGCGAACTCCATCAGATCCACTACTTTCCAGAAAGTAACCAGTGGAAGGTTGTAATTCAATCGGGGATCGCCGGGCGCTAAGGAACGCACTGCTCGGAGATTAGCGTGCTTAGTCGAGTCAGCGGGACTAAACTAGTGTGGGACAGACACATGGCATGCAGGAGACTACTTCGATTCTATGTGGACCTAGTTTTGAATCTTCTGAGGTAGCCGTGAGAAGCCCTCGTGTTGCTGGGACCGCGGGCGGTACTGCAGTGACCCTCCGTCATGCCCGAGCAGCCACTGCTGTGCATGCCAGGCCCCGACTCTTCTTTTTTTCTGGGAAATACCTCTGGATCTGGCGAACCCTGGAATCCGTGATATGTCTCTCTGGTGTTACTCGCATCTCATGACCCGCTCGCAAAGCATGGAACCTCGCCGCCATGCCACACATGCTAACCAGACACACTTTATTGATGGCGCCATTACAGTGGATCTAGATGCACGCCACATAGTCGCGCCACATTCGCCTTTATAGGAACAAGTCGAGCTGCCATATTTCTACTTGAAAGGATCCGCTCCTCAAATCAAACCGGGGAACTTTGCTTCAAGGAGACCATTTCGCCTCTCACTGCTCAGTTTCTAACTTTGTCCCAACCACTGTTCGAATATAATTTGCTGCATGCATCCTTTGTCACTGGCTATACACACCGTCCGCTACCCATATTGGTCTATTCTGCATGTATATGGTATATGGAATGGTGTATCGATCTCAGCCCCTGACACTGGATGCTGCCCGGACCGCTGCTCAGCTTTTTCTCTGTTAGATCTCGGATCATCTCTTAATCACGGATAATTGAGTCTATGCACCTTACGGAAGCCCAGTACTGTCTTTGAACTCGGCGCTATCGAAACGACTAGCAATCAATCAGCTAATTAGCTTTCAACCAATCTCCTAATTACAGGAGAAAGATCTGAGATCTGATATTCCAGCCGGTCCCGTTACCGACTACCGAATGTCCATACCCATCTAGATTATATTTGCGGTTTTCTTCACGTTAATCTGGCCCGCATCAGTGTCCAGTGATCTGATTAAGTTGACTGTTCACGCGTTGTCCTTGCTGCTGCCAGCTACTGCCCGCCACTATCCGCTCAATACAGATAACTGTCGGCCCCACTTTTTAGTTCCTCTCCCTTCCATGGCCTTCCACAAGCGAGAGGGAAAGGGTATGGCGCAAGCCATGGCAACTTCCTTGCCATATCAATATTGTCATCTCCAAGCACGATCACGCGCCCTTTAGCCACAGATCGTTCTAGACTCGGCAGGTACATTGATAATCACTGCACGCCCTCAGCCCCCACTGGTGCAGTGCCCTCAAGGAGCACATATGTGGTGCTGCTGTAACAGTCCCCGCCAGCATGGTATGCGCATGGAATTGGATGAGATTGCGGCTTTGGCTCCACTTATTTTCACTGGCGATTCGCTCGCGCCCAAAAAGAGATACCATAAAGCAGTGCAAGTTTTGTATGCATGGGGGTTGATTGTATACCGGGACGAACCAATCCACTTTCCCCTCCCTACGCTCTCGGATCCGAGCTCGCCCCCCTCTCTCTTGATCAAGTGTGAAATCTCGGTCCGTGCATACAAATAGACGGTCTGATTCAGCGAACGCGTGGCCCTTCTATCCCAATCGTTCGATTCGCCCAGCCCAAAAGGTACTTGTGTTACGAATAGATTCTTTTTTTTTTAATATCGAGCAATCTTGGACCTGACCCAGACACGCCCCGACGGGGATCGGAATTGGTATTATCGATCAACGATCATTCCTGCCAAGATTGCGATGGTTTCTCTCAATGTCAACACACGTGCTGCATCAAGCGACTTCCATCTTATCTATTCAAAGGTCAGTTTCAGGGATCATGGGGTATTCAGCCAAAATGGTGCCCCAATGCAAGTGCAAGCACCTTCCACCCCTTCTCGTACGCATACTTGCATAGAAGCATATACATATGTAAACCCTTTCTTCATTCAGGATTCCTCAGTTTCACATCGCTTAAGCTTGCTGGCCAGAATGGCTAACTACAAAAGGACAAAACAAGGACGGCAGATGTGATATATTAGGGAGGGAAGGGTTTTCTTTATGTAAAGGAATTTCAACCAAAACCAGCCCATTCGATAGAGTAATAATCTACGATGCCCGTCTCGTCATCGTATCCACAAAGAAGGTGCGTTTTTCTCGTTGCCGTTCCCAATCGACCAAAAGCCACGACATCGATTGGTCTTAACGTTGATGTGGGTCTTGAAAAGACCGTCGCGACAAAGTGGGAATGGTATCGCAATGGATCGCCTCATTTTTTCCAACCAAAAAAGGGAACAGCGAGTGAAGGGGAAGGAAGAAAAGAAGAGGGAAAAATCGGCGAATGTGAAATCGGTATAAGAAGAGATACAAAAGAACAAACTCACCTGGATACACGAGCCAATCCCCACCGAACTTGAGTCCGCTTCCCATATAATACCCTTTTTCGGATAGATCACGAAAAACGGCACAGCGCGCCCGCTCTTCTACGTTGGAAGGGTAAGACCATATCCCGGCGATTCGCGCATCGGCTAAAGACGAATAGACTCGGGGATTGTACCATGGAAATGAAATGGAGGTCGTTGGGATCTCGATTGTACGCGCATTCGATGCTGACGCAAGCGTTGGCTGTGCGGATGTGGCGGCGGCTGGCGTTGTTGGAGTGTTAGGAAGGTGAAATGATGGAGATGAGATAAGAGGGATACTGAGGGGGGAAGTAGGGGAGGCGAGTAAGATGGAGGGTGGTTGTACTAGTTCATCGTCAATTGCGGCGGGTACAAATGGTTGATCCCGTTGTTTCAAATTCCCCTCCCTGGCTCCATCTTCTGTTTCAAGACGCGGAAAACTGTTCCCCTCAACGGGTAATGATGCTATGGAAGAAGGGGGAGAAGGGGGACGTGTAAGGACGTATGGGACGATTGTGAAGGGTAGCGAAGTAGAAACAAAGTGGCGATAAGTCTTACTCGGCTTTTTCCTGTCGATTTCCTTCTCACCATCTTCTTCCACTTTATTAACGGCATCGTCACCCTCTTGTTCGGTTAGGATGTTGTTGTCGTTATCGTTGTTGCCATTTGACCCCAACTCCAACTCGGCCTTAATGGACATTGCCAATTCCGTTGGCGGCTTGGGCTGTGGCAACAAAGAGTGCGGCTGAGGAAGGGTGCTAGACCCATCATCCCCCTCTTCTCGATCCATCACTGGTGCCGCATCTTCCTCTAACATTTTCTTCGTCGTTTCTTCTTTCTCTCCTTCCTCTTTAGACTCATCACCTCGGACGGACGACACCATCCGGGACTCCGTTAAGATCGATGATCCTGAGCATTCCTTTGCCACTCCCATCCCTGCAGCTGCTGCTACCGCTGATTCGATGGAAATTTGAGGCTGGGCAGATTGGTCGGGTCGGAGTTGGATGGATGTGGGGCAATCGTGGGAATTGGACATGGTGGAGTCATCATGGAGTTCAGCGATACCTATTTCGGCAGCCGTTTGTCGATTGGAAAATGGAGTTGGCCGGTAATTGGGTGAGACCGTGACAGGAAAGCAGGGAGTTGGATGAAGAGAAGAAGAGAACCCCCCCCCAACGGGACGAATCATTTTCAATTAGATGAGGGCGACGAGCGGGCATCCGGAACGTGTGCAGGAGTCCAAGGCGGGGCAATCGCAATCATGTTGATTAGCCAAGTATTTCATTTCGGCAAAAAGAAAACAAGGAAACTAGCATGCATGCAGGCATGCAAAAAGAAAAGCAAGCGCGTGGGGTGGGGGGGGAACCCAAATGGGATTGCCAGACTCTGATTCAGTTTTTGAACAGCCGGAGCGAACTTTTGCATTCAGGCTCGGCCGGCATCAGGCCGAACGGTGGCCAGGCCCTACGGTCGATGGGATCCATTTGGGTTGAATCTGGAATACCCAGCCTGGCACCCCTAGATCCGAAAGAAAAGGAGGACAATATCACTTGCCTTTATCGACAAGAAATGCTACTTCTTCAGGGAGAAGTAATAACGGCAAGCCGAGAAACACGTTCTGCTGGGCGATGCTGGGCAATGTCCCAATCAGAATGCCCGCCACGCGTGCTTCAGATCGTAATCGGGAGACCTCTAGCTGGGCAATTTTCGTCGTAAACGAGGAAGTAAGCAACTCGATCGCGTTCAGTAGGAGGAAGACAAGGGAGAGAGGAGAAGAAAGAAAGAAAGAAAGGCACCTTCCGGTGTCCATACGTATCCTCGATGATTTGATACGTAAATCGCAATCTTCTTCCTCGAACTGGTCATCCGCGCCAAGCAAGGTTTTAGCGCCCGAAAGCGAGGGCGCGTGACCAAATTTCCAAGATCGTGAGAACATTATGTCCAAGGCTTAGGGCAATCAGTTATTGGGGGGTTGGCAAATGACAGAACTGAGTTATGCTGATCACAAGTGATCCGCATGTTTTCCTTGGCACACCTCATCAGCAAGCCAGCCCAGTGAGGATTTTCCAGCTAAGAATTACTTGGAGCGAGGCACCAGAGGAGGAAGAAAAAAGAAAATAAACAAAGAATGAAAAGAAAACGTGGTGTGCTTATTATTAGTCAAACACGGGGGGATCTGTTCTAAATGAACTTAAGGAAAGGATCGCTATCGCTGGCAAGTTTGGCCCAATATACACATAGCTTACGGTACAATTACACACTTCTGGCACCGCTTTTGATGGGGATGCAGGGATTTGTGATAAAATTAGAGGGGGGCACATGTTCCCCAAGAATCAGCTGCCAGCTGTCTCTTTGTAGGCATCTTGTCGAGCTGGGTGGATAGCCTTTGATACATAATATCTACTGATTGTTGAACACCAGATTGCGTGGGTGCATTTCCAATTTCCAACTTCGTCAAAGAGTGAACATGACGGAGCCGAACAGCCACACTCATCGATCTAGACCCCCATTGCCACATGTAAACTTAAATGTGGTGCTAGTATATACTTTTGGTCAAGTGGTAGGATTACTACTACTGGCGACATGAACTGTCCCACCCATGTCGTTCTGATCCAACTTTGCACCAAACAAACTCCCCCGTTTCTGTAATTCCTCTCGCAAAAAAGCGAACAGTCGCTGACTGTTCTCCCCCGTTGGCTGAAGAGGTAAGAATGTGTATGAGCATTGTTCGGTGCCGCAAAGCGAAATTCATCAAAATGGCAACGGGCGGACGGGTCATTAGTAAGATAGAAGATGGAGATTTGGGGGGCGAATACAATAACTTGCCTCTTTACAGCATGCTATCAGTTTGTCCATTAACTTCGTCTGAGAAGAATGCATCGCTTCTATCGACTGTTGCAATTGTTTATTCTAGAAATGAACGTCCACGCGAACGTAAATCATAAAAAAAGGGGGAACCCAAAGGGGAAACTCACATCCGATTGCACGGCTTTCAACCCATCTTTTTCGGCTTCGGCAATATTCTTCTGTTCCTCCGCACGAGCCTTGGCTAGGAGAACTTCTAGTTCTTTCGAACGCAAGATGGCTTCAAAATGCCGTTCCCGTAATTCGTATTGTCGTAACAGGTCAATGAGGCGCGTCTGCACTCTGTTCCATGTCCAGGTACAGGTTGGTGATCAATAGAATGCAGTGATTGACGTAGGGAAAGGAAAAAAACGGACATTGTGTCAAAATTTCGTCTACTGCTTTCCTCGCTCTGATGAAGACACGTCGCCACGAGGGAAGGAGAATCAGTACACAGCAACAAGTTCCGAAGGAAACGCGTGTCCATACTCTATCGGATCTTCTTGCCAGTGTTTCTTCAACCGTTCCCTTTGACTCGTCAGCACAAGATCACCCTGAATTGGCACGCATGAAACGGTTAAAAACAAAAGAAAATGTATCAAGGCGTACCACACCATCCTCCGTAAGATCCATCATTTCAATAGCAATGATCACATCGTTCTCCTCGATCCCTGCTTCTTCAACCGTATTATCCCCATTGAGACTCCTCCCGTAGTGCGTAAAAATGAAATCAGCAACAGTGACAGCAGTAGTTGCAGGGTGAGAAAAATATTCCTTCACTAAGCTCGCGGATTGGGGTTCGAACCGCTGCTTTTAGCATCAGCGTCGGTGGAGGCATTGACAGCAGAATTGTCCGAAGAGGCCATCCGCATAGACCATGCACTGAATAACCTCTCGAGTTTCATCTTACGCGTTACTTTAAAGGCAAGCTCAACACGATATTTGCACATTACTTTGATGAAGAATTCGCTCTTGGGAGATGACAATGATGGTGACAGCGGTGGCGACAGAGACGGCGGCGGTGATGGCTGAGCACTGTTGATGTTCGTAGTGGCAATGGTGTTGGTAGCGACGATACTCTTTCGTTCAGGAGAGTTATTTTCACCTATATTACTACTCCTATTGCTATTGGTAGCGGAATGGCGAGCGGGAACGAGAGCCATCGTTTGGAACGAGTCGCGAAAGCTTTGACGACGGGATTTAACATCATCGACTCGTCGTTCGATTTCGTTCTTCATGGTTTCGATCTTTTCGAAAAGCTTTTGATCAGAAAATGTGAGTCGACAGAAATCCCCAGAGCGGGCGCATTTTGGAAGGGGTACGAGTTGGTAATTGCAGAGACAACCGCTTACCACTTCTTGGGCATCTTCAACACTTGAAAGCAATCGCTTGCTATCTTCCTGCTCATTAGGAATTCGGAGAAGAGAGTTCGAAAAAATTGGAAAAAGGGAGGGTATTAAACGGCGCGATGAGGTTCTAAGGATGAGCAGCAGTTGCGTACTCTGAGCCGCTTGTTGTCCTGTATAGTCAGAAGAGGAAGTAATTAGTGCCGTTGCTCTTGAGGACCGGGGGGAAAAGCTCATGCGGATCGGCAAGTGTGTATGGATCAGTCAACACACCTTCTGAAGCTCTCTGGCCAGATTCTCGAGCTTAGTACGTGCTAAATTGGCCTTATTCAATTGGGACCTGGCTAGCGAATATGGAAGAAGGTAAATCATTAGCGTAACTCCAAAAGTGGGAGCCCTTTACGGAGATAGGAAGTGTAATGTGGAAAACTCAACTGGCATCTTTATCCTTGATTAATTTCTGCCTTTCCCTAACGTGTTCTCGCTCGACACGCTTGAGTTGTTGATACTGTGCGGGTTGGATTGAGATAGGTGCGAAACATCTTTCTTGTGACGGTGTAACAATGTGCTTACAAGCTCGACGTATTTCTGATGAATAGCTGAATCAGACATGTCTTTCACTCGCAAGTTGGCCTCCTCGGCTGTTCGAAAAAGAAGAAGGGCTATGAGAAACACGCGTTCGTTCTACCACGCATGCATGCATGGCATGCACACACGGAACCCCATTGGTTCTACTTTTTGGCTCAAAAGGAAGGCAGAAAGAGAGGTGAAAGGATAAAAGTAATTACCCGTTTTCTGGTCTTCTTCCTCCTCGCGATTTTCAAACTCTTCAAGCGCTGCAATCCTGTTTCGCACGCTTTCATATATGGAGACAGGATCGGGTGGTTCTGGAGCTTTCTTTTTCGGGCGACCACTAGCGGTGGGGCGGGGAGCATCAGGGGTAACGAGAGGAGGTCCGTTTGGGACAGGAGGTGAAGTGGATGGAAGGGGCCTTCTTGTTGTGGAAGATGAGCTAGCGGCACCGCTCATTGATGATTTGTAGATGCCAAGAAGAGAAAAGGGGGCGTGACCTGTTGTCCCAAAAGGTCAAATTGACCACTTCACGTCACGGGATCTGGCCGGGAATTTGTGCGCATGTCCGTGTGAAAGAGGAGACAATAGTGTTTTGAATTGAAGGCTTGGTCATCTGGAATGGAAGGGCCAAACCACGTGACATGTCCATCTTTAGTCAAAGCTCATGACGCGTCTCACTTGTCGGTGTTGTCAAACAGTAATTATGGGCCATATTGACAGGCGGTTAGACAGAATGTTGGCGCTTGTCGCAGAGATTCCAATTGGGCTGGAATGAGATTGAATGGACGAGATCTGGAGGGAAGGATCTACGCTTTTGTGGCGCATAAATCCCCGTATTTCATTCTATTCTGAGGAGAAGATCTCATTAAGCCTCGATAGTGCCCCGCCATCGGAACCAATCAGGGTATCCTCAATGTGCATTGCCATAAGGGTGTGACGAGACCGTTAAGGGTTTAAAAAAGCAAAAAAGTAATGTAAATTTTCATTTTTGGCAATTTAATATTTTGTTTTTACAATCACTGACTATTTTCTCCCCGCGCGTTTCAAACAATGCTTAAGCAGCTCATCAGCCTCGCCCTCTCCCTCCAACCCTCCCTCCCCCTTCTACCTTGCTTTAACCTCGTTATTTGACCTATATTTGTTCCCTCCCGGGCCAGTCTTCCATCTTCACCTCGAACAATGAACTCAAACAGCAGGTCCTCATCTTCACCAAGGCATCCGATCCATATCGCTCACGGTGCTGCCGCTTACCGTCACTTGGCTGGGATGTCTCAATTGTCCCCCTCCCCTGTTCTCTTCTCCTCAAGTGGTTTCGACATCATGGACACCATCACCCGTCTTGTCAATCGGCCCAACCCGACAGTCGCGCTTGGCCCCGTCGATTTTTCATGTGCCTTCCTTGTTGCTGACGCCCTCAAGCCAGACCTCACCATTGTCTACGTGAATCCTGCATTCGTATGTCCCTCCGTGTTCGGCTTTGAGCGAGTGGATAACCCCAGCTGACCATTCTATCCCCAATATGCGTAGACCCGGCTCACTGGATACGAGTCAAGAGAGTGCATAGGGCGCAATTGCAGATTCCTCCAATGGCCGAATGGTGCACTTGACCATCGAACGAACGAACTTAACGCCCTCAGCCTCAACAGGATTCGCGCCGCATTGAGCACCAACTCCGAGTTCCAAATATCTCTGATAAACTATCGAAAAAATGGCGATCAGTTTCACAATTTGATCACCGGGATTCCAGTCCGAGGGGATACAGATGAGGTGCGGTATTGGGTGGGTTTCCAGGTGGATGTCCAACGCCTTGCTCCTGGCCCCCCATCCCGTGTCCAAACGCCCGCAGAGAACCCCTTTTCGAACCGGCTCAAAGAAATCATGGGGTTGCCGGACGATCCTAAAGACCAGCGTCGCCACATTAACAATATCCTGGTCGAACAATCAGACGGTAAGGACTTGGTCTCCTCCCACTTGTTATCTTTTCTCCCTCCCTCTCTTGGGATTTGCCGGCTGAAAAACACTTCCGACTATCCCACTGCCTTCAGACTTCCTCATTGCCTTCTCCCCTGAGGGCGCCATCCAATACGCCTCCCCTCGCGTCAAATCTGTGCTTGGATATGACCCAGAAGAACTCACGTCCCAGCGACTCGATAAACTCCTACATGACGCTGACCTCGATCCTGTTATGAAAGAGATTCGTGCGGTTATTACTCTTCCCAACTTGCCTCAGTCCGCCACCTCGAGCGATATCGCCGCTTACTATCGACGGCGTAACCAGCCCATTTGCTTGATGTTTCGAGCTCGACGGAAGCCGATGGCTTCTTCGTCCTTGGCACAACATCCCCAGTACGTTTGGCTCGAGTCTGTCGGTCGTGTACACATTGACTACACGGATGAGGCACTTATCTTACTCTCGTCCCGGGCACTCACCATCCCTCGCTTGTCATGGTCTCAGATCGAATTTGGAGGAGGGGATGGAGATAATGAATGTTGGGCGCACGTCAGCCTGGAAGGAGGGTTGATTCTTGGCGTGGCCTGTGGGGCTCGAAAGATTTTCGAGAGCCCAAAGGATCAAATCATAGGTACGCGCTTACATGATTGGGTCCAAAACGAATATCATCAAGCTCTCGAAGAAGCTTTGGATGATGTGCGTGTTGCCGCTAGGGAAGTCCCGTCACCTTCTCCCTCCCAAGTAGCAGCCACAGAGAATGTCCGACCTGCCCAGTTGACGTGTATGAGAGCTGCTATCACGAATGATCCCCGTGCCATTACCATCACTTTGTATCCTCCCTGTTTTTGGCCAGCCGCTAACACCGCGGAGTACGACGGAAGCGGAGGTGCTAGCGTTTCGAACCCCCACGACCCTTCTGCTTATCCACCTCCCAACTCTATTTCGCCCCCCACTGCTCGTCCAACATCGTCTATCATCTGTCGAATACGATTCCCTCCTATCATTCCGTCCACGGGAGGCACCACGACGAGGGATTATCTCCTTCCCTTTTTCTATGATGATTTGCCCCCTCAGGCCCGAGCTCCGTCGCAAATTTATGCCGAACAGATGAGAATTCATCAGGCGGATGTGAAGCATATGGGTAATCTCGATTTATTTCAGGAGTTTAGGACTACAGGATCGAATGTAGTAGGCCCGAGGGGTGAGGGCGATGGGGATGGGAATGAGAACCGTGACGTTGGGGGCGAAAGGTGGGGTGTAGAGATTCAACATCTTCGCGCGAATAATAGGGCGATGAGGAAGGAGATTGAGGAGTTGGTCGCGAGGGGGGAACGCGAGGGATAGGTGGGTGAAGGGGTAGGTGAGTGGCTCTGTGGGGTAGAAGCGATTGTCCCCAGATGTTTTACTGTCCGGGTTTGGAGGTCCCCGGAGGGAAATTCGGGACGGGGAGTTGTGATTAGTTTTTTGCACTTCTGTCCCCCCTTTTTTTTCTTACTCGGAAGAGTATTGGGGTACCCCGCCGTATTTTCTCTATTGATTCGCGCGATGGATATTTTAGGTATGGGGGCCCATTCTCTTCTGGTATTTATTCTGGGGCGTGGGTTGGTACTTTCAAGTCTCTGGGATCTTCTTTTCGCTCTCCAGATATGGTTATTGGGCGACGAACGGCCGGGGACTAGACTGATGACCACCCATTCACCACGCGCGATTTCATTGATTTCTTTGTCACTCAATACTTCTAGCCCTGCACTCAATCCGTTTGTTCTTTTCCACGTTTCGCTCTTATCATTTCATTATGCTCAGCTGGGCCGAGCCATTATATTGTACTTTCTTCACTTCGAGCGTTTTTCCACCATTTTCCTCCTTGCTGTCACACAATACAACACTGCAATTGTTTCCTTGGTGACAATGAGGCGTCGTGCAAAAACGATGATGCTCCCGCCTAGTTTCATTTGGACCTGGAGAGATGCTTTCCAATGTACCGTCCCTAAACCAGTAGGTAGGCCATGAAATGACATTAAGTCGTCATGCAGCTGACAGCCCTCTACAAATTGCTCCATCGTGTGGGAATTAAGGCACTTTGAATGAATTTGAAAAGGTTCTCTCTCGATCACATGAGGGTTGAATTGTCGGTGATTGCCGTGATGTCCGATCTTTTAGTACTTTTGTGCAACGGTAACCGCATATCAAAACGCCTCATTTGTCTCGCCTCCTTGACGTTAACTTTTACGGTCTCTTGGCCTCGCCTCTAACTCGTTCCTTCTCTCTGCTCTACGCACGCACGCACACACTCTCACTCTTGCTCTTGCTCTTGCAATCACCTTCGCTCGCCACGCTTAGCCCATTCGCTTCATTATTCTAGTTTGCGAAATCAATCGTTTATCACAAATACAAAGTACTTGCTTCACGATGATGATGTTCTCATCCAAAGTGGTTCCTGCTCTCTTTGCTGTTACGACGGTTGCTGTTCTTCCTGCTATGGCTACATATATGGTCCCACCACACAATGTCCATCAGGTTTGTGTCTGTGTTTGTTGTTTGACCTTAGTCATTGACGCACGGCCCTTTTTTCTTGGCAGTGCATGGGCTCTGAGTTAACGGTTCTTGGGAAGCCTCCGTTCGATATTAGTATTTGGCATGGGTGTGGTGAGGACTCCAGTACTGAGACGCCCCTGTGAGTGTTTGTCCTTCCCCCCCTTTTTTCCTATGGGTTCTAACATGTATTGTTCTTGTTTGGGCTTGGGTAGTGCGTCGTACAAGTGTAACCAATCACATTTCGTTTGGAACGTGAATCAGAAGGCGGGATCTTCTTTGATGTTCACTGTAGTGGATGCGGATGACAATGAATTCTTTTCTGATGACGTTCGTACCTTTTCACACACACATACACACACGATGCATATTCTTGCTCTCTCTCACTCTCACTCTCTTCTTGTGCTCTTTGGCTGATTATTTTTTTTCCCCTTTGCGTCTTCCTTTTGCACTTTGATCCGGCATTCGTTATAGCTTGTTGTTGGGCACAGCAAGGATAGCAGTTGCCTTGGCAAGGATCCGGAATTCGCGACTGGCTCAGATCCCAGCGTTCTTGACAGGTGAGTTGTTCTCCGGTCCCCTTCCTCGAGTTGCCTACTGACTGGTTTGGTCGTGGCTTTTTGTCCGCCAGCACCACTTCGTAAGTACACCTGACTTTGTTTTCGATCCAAGCTTATTTCTTCCTCTCCCTTGTCCCTCGCTATCCTTTATATCAATCAGTTCCGCTCCAACATCGACTACTGAAGCTCCTGGAAACGTTGGTAATGCGACACCTACCACCACTTCCACCACTTCGAAATCAGCCATCCGTGGAGGTAACCTTGGTGCCGCAGTTGGAACGTTCAGCGTTCCTCGTTTGGATGTTACGGCTCTTTTCGTCGTCGCTGGATCGATGTTTATGTTCTTCTGAACTTTGATCCTCTTTTCATCTCTTCTCGATAACGTCATTTTGGCTTGCGCCACTCTCCGCCTCGCTCCTTGCCTGCATTTTTTCCCGACACACGGATCTCGGGCGTGTGCGCCCTTTTGACTCATCTCTTTACTAACATAATTTTCTACGTTAATGTTTGGGCCATTGAGTCGTTGGGTAAATGCTTTTTGTCGCGTTCCGTTACGGGCGCAGATTGTGTATTAAATGTTTTTGTTCTTTTCTTTTTTGTGCGTCCGTAACTCACCCCTGCGCATGCGTTCATTTTACATCCCTCTCTTTTCTTCGTCCTTTTCGTTTACCGTTTGCTAGTCAGGGATACATTTGGCTAGCTTGCTAGTTCTTTTGCATTCTCTACATTCTTCAAATAATATACCCTTTTCTTCCAATATGATTCGACGTACATGCGGTCATTGTTGTCGGAGGCCACGGTACCACTAATTGTCCCTTGTTCCTATGGCTACCTTCGGTGATGATGCGTTAGATTCTAGAGGATAGCCAGGTCCTGGGATTCGAGTTGGAATTCCGCTGCCCTCGAAAATCGAAAAGAGGGTCTTCTGCCAATGCCAATCTAATTGCTTGAATGACGCGGCATCCGCATGACGACTGCCGGCCCTTGCGCCCTGAGTTCTTGGCGATGATTTGCGTGCATGCATTGAATGCGATGATATGAGTGTGGTTCGAAAATTCTGGGGCCAATCCAATTTCTTGACTGTCGCATATATGGTGGTCAGGCCTCTTGCTGTTGGGGCGTTCAGTTATGTAGTTGCGGTCATGTCCGCTCTATGACAGGCAGATCCCGTTAGCGTCGTTGCCATCGTCGCATAAAACTAAATCGTGAGAAAAGATATGATGCTGCTTTGTATTGACTGATGCAAACGACTGGACTTGGGCATAGTCGGGCTGCAGCCATGTATTAGCACTGCCGCACAAGTACTGTCTGCGACCGTATATTGGGACTCGGTCGACGGGGCCAGGTGTGCACGGATGGGCTCGTGTTGTATGATTATAACCTTGTTCCAGGCCAGTGTGGCGACGTTCGATCAGGAGACAATGAATCGCGTTTCCTTTTCGTTCAGCCATTCATTCAATTCTAAGCTGTTTTGCAGCAGCGGGATAGTGAAAATCTATGTTAGCTATGCATTGTTCGAGCCCACTTGCAGTCTAAGTAGAGGCTGGATCCTGCTAACTTGCAGCAAGTGATTTGGATGAACGGCCAAGTGGGTCATGTGACCATCCCTATTAAAATGGCGGTCGATCCATCATTTATTTGTTACTATTATGTTGAGATGGTCACATGCCTGTATGGTCATTCAACCAAATCGGGCGCGCCGACGTGTTTGCAACTTGCTGTGAAGAGTTTCTCCTGTTGTTCGCGCAAAAGTTAGTCAGGATCGCCTATGATTGCCTCGCTTGTGGCAGTGCAGCACAACGAGTTTCGATTCAGACTAGAATCGGATCACGTGTTGGTCTCTACCCAAGACAAAGGAAGCCTCCGTTTAATTTCCATTCCTTGTCTGATTTCTTTCTTCTCACTTCCCTTCCCCATTGTTCGTGTTGCATTCGCACCACTTGCACATTGGTTACGGATCCATATTCCGATTTGAGCGTTCTAGGTGTGCTTTGTTCTCGTGTTCGCCACTTTAACTTGTGTTTGTATTTATAACAACACCTCGTTGTTCACTCGTTCTTGGCAACAGTGCTTTTCTTTCCCTCCCTCTGCAGCCCTTCAGTTTTTCGATCTTTCCCTTCAAGCATCAAGTGCAACCGCAACGCCCCTTTTTGATCAACGTACGTGTTTTGTGTGTTTCAAGTCGGGGAACAACTCAATTGATGGACTGCCGACAGTTTTTTTTTTGTTTTCAACCAACTTTCATAATGATGATCATTAAACCCTCAACGGCATTATTGCACACTATATTTTCATTCTTCTACATAACCCTCGTCTCCGCCCACGGATTCACCCAGAATGTTGTAAGTGTTTACCCCCAGAGTGCGGCACATGTGATTCACGCCACATTTTGCTCTTTCTATTACAAATCTGAAATAGACCATTGCTGGCAAAGTTTGGTATGGTTGGGACCCCTTCAATGATCCATATCAAAATCCTTTACCTCAAGGCATCGTTCGAAAGCCAAGGGATGATGGTCCCATACAGGACATCAATGATCCAGCACTCGCGTGTAATGTGTATGGTATCCAACCTGCCGATCTGGTAGCGGATGCGAATGCTGGGGATCTAGTTACGTTCCAAATGAATAGATGGCCGTCTGATCACCTGGGTCCTTTGACTGGGTGGATGGCGAATTGGTAAGTCGATGTCTCAGTGGAGATGGAGAAAAGAAAGTTGACTTGTACGATGTGGTTTCTATGCAGCGGAGGCGACTGCAAGTCGTTTGACCCTACAAAGGGTAACGTCTGGTTCAAAGTCAGCGAAGATGGCTTGACCAACGGACAATGGGCCTCCTCAAAGCTCATTTCTCAAGGCGATAAGTGGAGCATCACGATACCGCCGACTATCAAGGCAGGCCAATACCTCATGCGCTTTGAATTGCTTGCGTGAGTTACTTTCATTTCTCGCGTTGCACAACCCAATTTCACTCACTCGAAATCTCGCGTCCCACTCTGGATGTTGTAGCTTGCACAGTGCTGGTCAACCTCAGTTTTATCCATTCTGTGCCCAGCTGGACATCAAGGGCACTGGCTCATCCGTTCCTGGCCCTGGCGACCTCACCTCGATCCCCGGTGTGTACAATAATGCAGGACAGGCTATCTACGGTGATATTTGGAACAATCCTACCTCGTGGCCTATCGCTGGCCCGCGTCCCGTTGCTTTTGCTGGTGGACCTGGTAACCCTAATGACGGTGGTGGAAATGCGACGACGACGACGACGCCTGCCACTTCTACGGGGGATGCTGGAAAGCCGAAGCCGACGAGCACGACTGGCGCAAATCCAGGCATGAACACGCGCAGGTGCCAAGCTAAGAAGAGAAAGAATGTGTATTTGAAGAGGGCAGCCCTTGCTCGGGCTCAGGGGTCGCATGCGAAGATCAGACGGTCAAAGGAATTGTTAAAGTTATGGTTAGTTTTTTTTTTCGTTTCCATAATTCCTTGCGGATGTTGATTGTTTTCTTTGCGTTCGTGTTAGAACGTCACGACAAGAGGGCAACACCCGACACCATCTAGTGTATGGTTTGTTTTTTGGGTGGTCGAATCCTTCGTCTCAGATCGGAATACTCTTTCTTTTATCATCGCTCGACGACTGCTGGTTGGTCGTTTTTTCCCTCGCCTTCCACGCTGTGCGTGGATCTCTCTCTGCTTGATCTATGTGATTTAGGTCATGCTTTCATTGGTTTTTGGGTCTGGTCACCATCATAATGTGCCATGTCAAATCATTCTTCGTCTTTCAATCCTCGAGGTTCCATGTTCATTAGTGCACGAAAACCGATTGATTATCGGTAATGTATGGAACTGTGTTTCGTACATGTTCCCCTCGCTCTGTAGCCTGCGTGTATATCAATTCGGCAACCAGTCCATCACTAAACACCATTTTTTAACGATGTGTTCGAAACGTTCGAAGATTACCAAAGATCCAAGAGCATACGTGTTATATCGTACGCTCCTGAAATTCCTATATGTACTTGTAACGGATTCCGCAAATCGAAAGGCCGCGCCCTCCGAGTTTGTGCTCACCTAACTCTCCAATCTTTCATGATTGAACAAGCGCTGAAGTGGCGCTGAAATGCAGAAATACTCATGATACTGCATAGGCCTTATGATAATATTGGTTGTGTCGAATGGACAACAGAATAGCGGTGTCAGACGTCCAGCCTCACATTCCCACCAAATGTTTATCGTCGTTTTCCCCAAAGCTGATGATTCACACGATGAGCATGGTATAATGACACGCTGAAAAAGCCACACCCGCTTTCTAAGGTGGCGTTTAGGGGCGCGTCCAAGGGAAGGGAGGTGAGTCCATCTTTCGTCAGCATCTGATTGGCACTTCAAGCGAGTCCTTGCAAAGCAAAATTCCCAGAGCTCATCCATCCATCCGTGGGAAAACTCCTCCCTTAATATCCACCAATTCGCGTCTGTATCAACCAGGATGGGCGCATCGGCATTTTATGTGCAAGAAAAAGTACCTGAGGCGAGTTTAATTGTAATGGAAGAATTCGCACTGCCCATAATGAGCCTCTACTGCCGTCTGGATTTGGCTCTGGATTCGAGTGCGGATAATCGACTTCCCGCACGTCCAGCAGAAATGCCTAGAACAACGGAACGGAAAGCGAGTTTATCCCTCACACAATACAACAAAAGCTGGATTTTGGGACGTACGTGTTACAACCAGGAGCAGAACATGTCATATGATTACATCCGCCAGTTTTCTCCGTAGGTGTTGTGCAACCTATGTAGAGAGTCATCTGGTAAGAACTAAAGTAATACTTTATCAAAACAAGGGTGTCAAACCTGGGCAGCGCTTTGTGGCGGATCCACTCGCGATATAGCGATCCATTTCAGCTTGCCCATCACATGAATGGGTGCCGACCGCTCGATCGATTTGGCTCATGCATTTCTTGCACCATACACAGCGACATGTAGGAAGCGGACATTGAAGCTCCGAACTATCCTGGAAGTCGTCGCGGTCCACGAGTGATGACCTCTTGCATCTAGTAGCCGACGTTACAAATGCACATATACTAGGGGAACCTAGCTATTCACTCACCGAGGGCAGTCAATCCAAACCGAGTGTTGAGCCAAGTTGAGCTTTTCCCACATAACGAATTGTCTTTCAGACAGCCCAAGCAACTCAGCCATGGTGATTGAAATCTCTGTGTAAATAACGGAGGGTGAGCGTGTGACATGACACAACGACGTTGATGCCAGACCTCCTTTTTGATCTATGTTCTTGTCTGCAGAACAGATCGGGCAAAATATGGGGTGACGACCTTCCTCCAGCCTGGCAACAACATGGAACTTCAAGCACATGCGACAAAACACATGCTTGCAGGTCGTGATGGACATGGCGGCTTCGGTTGGCTGGGCTTCCATGCAGATAGAGCATTCAAAGATCTCCTGGGGCGAATACTGAGCAGACAAACTGTCATATTCACGTTTCGTTTCATAATCCTGGAGAGCAAGTTGAAGAGCAAGCTTGCGATCTGCTACCTCTCGTGCTTCATTCTCATGGATCCGTGGCCCCGGCCCGGCGGGAGTCCTCTCGGGCTGTCCATTTGCCAGAGATACCGAACGATCCCAACTGGCTGCAGCTGCAGGGTTCCGAAACAGCTCGTGGAATGTGTTAGGAGACTGGTAATCTGGGATAGCTTCGTTTCCTTTCGTATCTCCGCCCACATCATTCCACTTCCTTATTTTTTCAGGTTCACGGAAGGCATGATTCCACTTTCCTTGGTCACGATATAAAGGCCGCGATTCATCATTCATCAAATTTTGTGTCCTGAGAGCAACCTCGTGCTCGTCTTCATAGGGAACTAAGGTTCTAGAGCGCCGCAGAGAACGCGAAAGACTGCGCGGGTGTTCAAAGCGCCGCTTCTGAGTGTCATCATACGCGGCAGGGACGCCCTCGAATGTGGCATTTGGCGGGATCTAGATTGAAAATGAGTGTGACATCCTAGTTTGCATATCAAGTACCGCTCACGGGAGGATTGTGCAGTGCTAAATTATTCGGTGCTGAGGTTGCACCAGTTGCTTGACACGGAATCGAGAACGGAGAACCCGAAACTGAAGCCACATGGCTAGGGCCACAATTGAAATCAATGATGTCAGGCGGTGCAACAGTAAGTTTGTAGTCGTTCGCCAATGTCGGGTTTCGTAATGGATGATCGCTCAGATCAGTGAGTGGGTCTACTTCCTTGGACTTTCCCTTTGCCTCATCCACAATGCTATATCCCCAGGCTGGACTGTCCTGAAGGTTCTGGCGAACACACTCATCACGCCAGTGGTCGATTTGAGCTTGCAGGTGCGTGTAAGTAGATTGTGTTGTGTGTGCCAATGATCTTTGATACCGCCCAAGGCTGTCGTGGTGGGATGGTGAGTTAATGTTCCCGCCAGGTGGTGTGGGTAGAGCCCGCGATCGTCGTCGCGTCGTGGGGTTTGGTGCTGGTGGTGGCAGTGGATATGGCCGCCGGTCCCTCCATGGAGGAAGATTCCGGGGACTCTCCGCATTCTCTAAGCAGAAGTTGGGTGGCTGATGTTATAATGATGTTATAAGAGAGGATCAGTCAGACGTAAGACATTAAGACCTACAAACAGCTGTGATGGTAAATATGGTTCCGTCTGTTTTTCCAATAAAGAGGATGCTTTCATTGCTGAAAGGGGATCTTGTCTCGATCCCTGATAAGAAGGCGAACTGACCTGACGAGTCGCCCATGCAGGGGCCCCATTGCAAATGTTGTGTCTACTAGTGTCTGCATGAAGTCCACGGGAATCCATTCCCCTTGCTGGTTGTCGGGAGGCAGTCATGTTCGCCTCGTTGAGATCACCAGTCACTGGAGGAATGGGGAAGTCTATCCGGTCCAGCATGGGAGGGGCCCGCGAAGGTGCATATGGTCTCATCGTGAATGCCTTGTCACCGGAGAGTATAGCGGGTGTGGCACCATCACGCTTCGTCTCCGATATCCCCCTAGAGCTTCCATTGGGCTCGCACTGTGCACTATCAAGTGAGCTGGAAGGATGTGCGTCGGCAACCAAAACTTCTGGAACGCTGTCCAAAGCAGTACCCATTGCATAAAGTTGATGTAATCTTGGAACTGGTGGACCTTGGAATTGCCGGGAAGTATTACCAGCCGATGAAGGCCCTGAAATAGTTGAATACCGCCGATGGGTAGGTGCTTGAAGCGCTTCTCCAAATTCTGCAACAGGGACACCATATATCTGTCATCCAGCCACATGCTAGTTAGGATGTTATAGAACAGAAGAGAGTTAACCCAGTCACCGTATGGGCCCGTTGGCGGTACATGTAGGGAGGCATATTTTTCCCGTCTGGCTCAGTCACGGATTGAGGATAGGATCTTTGGATTGGAGTAACAGGAGCAGGCACCGGTGTTGTTGAAGGATCAAACTTGACTTCTCTAACACGTCGTGTCACTTCTTCAGCGAGGATGCGGGTCTCTCGATGGGCATCGTAGCGAGTGCGCGGCTGCCCAGGGTTTGTTGTGTCCAGGGGTATTGCTTTAATGAGCAGTTTTCCGACCGTTCCGACGATCTGAACAGAGAAACTGTGAATGAAGACTTTGAATGGCGGCGACGTTACATCCTGACCATTGCCTTTTCCGCGAACTCCAAAAGACTGCCAAATTTCAACATAAGAAACTCTTTTAAAACTTGCCGTTTGAAATCTCCCAGCTGGGTCTCGTCGGTCATAATCTGTGTATCTAGATGTCTCATCTCTCGTTGAAGCTGGGCGAGCAGCTCTGTTTGTTCCTGGAATCCTCTGTGTTCTGGGCTCATTTTAATAAGTTTCTTCTCCAAATTCCTCGCCCTATAGTCTGATATACAGTCAGCAGCGGAATTAGGACAAGAGTGAGGAATGACGCCCACCAACGACCCTCCTATGCCTTCGGAGTCCATCTAGTCCCTCTTCTTTCGAGCGGATATCTTTGAGATGCGTCCGCACCGATTGCTCATGCAATGCAAACTGATCCAGAGATTGGGAAATATGCGATAGCATAGCAACTGCTTGAGTTGAGATATCCTGGCGTTGCGAAGTTTAATCTACATTCGGTTGACAGAGGATCGAGCCTACACCTAGATCATCATCCTCACTCAAACTCCATACTCGTAGCGCATCAGCAGCTTTAGCCCAATCGAGAGACAGTTTTTGAAGTCCTGATACAACTCCTTTCTCATCTGTGATGAGGTCTTGTAATGCCCGTAAATCCTGGTTTCCCAGCAGAGAAGGAAACCGCGTTGTATGCGCAATCTTGGATGAGAAACCCGACAACGGACCTCCCCCAGCTAACGTACGTGACCTAAACATCTCTCAGAGTATGCCCTGAGGCGACATTAGATGGAGGGTCGCTGTGGTCGTGATAGATCGAGACGATTCAGAGTGCCTCGTGGCTTTGTGCGATTCATGAATGAGGGAGTATGAATACCCCGTGATGAGTGAGTGTATCAACATAGATGGTACTAGTACTGGCGGTGGAGACACTTGAAATACTGTAACTCGTCAGACTTAGAGCTGGATCATTCAAGAGCAGAAGCAGCGTCCCAATCTGTTCACTTAATTTGTAGGCGTCTCTTCAGCCCGTTCTGTTTTGCTCCTGCTGTTCCTGATTGGGTCAGTGAGGATCGACGTTGGATCCAATCTTAGCAGCAGCAGAGTTGGCCAAATTTGGTTGTACTGAGACATGAGCTCCACATACGGCATCCCCCGGCTGTGTTGGGTTGCGGGTATATAATTTTGAACACTGACGACAAGACCGTCTTGTCAACGTTGATGGGGGATCAAGGTTGCCTGCCAAGATGTGATCGATGATGATGATGATGATTTCATTTTCAAGTACCTGTGCCTATCGACAAAGGCTACTTTTGTTATGAGGGTCCCCCTCAAACTGGATGGGTGCAGCGCAGCGTCTGTCTCCAACCTGCAAAACAAGTGTTGCACATTTGGATCTGTGTGCACGGAGGTGTAGATATTTGTCGGCCATTTCCCACGGGCCACTTCTCACGGCCATGCGGATTCCCACAGTAAAAAATTCGAACCCCTCGAGTTCGGGAGGTTGATCGCGGCTGGCTGAGACATCGAGTATTGGGAAAAGTAAAGTGAAGTAATAACGCGCACGGCCTGATCACTCCACCGTTCCACTGTGAGAAATCTACGCCGCGCACTCGCGTGTCATAACTGTCTGCTGGCCCCTAGGCAGGGTACCAGCCTCTATAAGAATAGAGCTGGCCCCCGCAACCAACAACCTGTCTGCCCGCCTCACCGCCTCAGTTGATAGCTTCCAGAGAAAAAATTGTTGAATTGTCCCTCGCTTGCACCCCGACCCAGCCTGCGCATGTCACTTAACGTGGGACAGTCGACCTAATGTACATCATTCTTTTAATCGTGAAGGAGGAAAACGTTCGTAAATGATCCTCCGCTCGATCGGGAGCGCGCGATATTTAATATTATGTATGTAAAGTAAAGGTCGTACAAGCAAAACACTGAAGTGAAAGAGGCATATAAGTTTTGGGGCATACTCAACTCTCTTTTTAACAGTCTCTCATTCTAAATTAGTCGAAAACTTCCCACTTCCATACCCAGCAGAAAATGAGCCAATATTCCCTTTCCCTTGGTCGCGCGATGCCAGTATTGCAGGCAGTGGTTGTGTATACGGAAGTCCCCCACTCCCAACGGGAGAAGGTTCGCTTTCCAACTCCCTCATGAATTCCTCTTCGTTCGCTAACAATGAATCAACCTTCGGTTGACCAGGGCTGTCCCTCGTGATTTGGGGAGTTTTGCTGTACGAGGGTGGGCTATCCGTGTTACTTGGAATATCAGATCCAAATTCTGTCTGAGGAGGATTGGTCGACGATGGGCTAGAACCAGGCAACGTAGGTAAAGCCTTCTTTCTCAATTGAAGGGGTGTCGTGGAAGCCAGTGAGACGTCAAGAGCTCCGCCAGCACTTGCGTTCTCATCCTCACTTTCTGGTGGCGGCGGCCGTGATGCTTGACGGCGGAATGCTCCTGCCGATACTGTCCTTGCGCCTAATGGACCTGTCGTAACCAAAGGGAGCGGAAGAAGCGACCCACTGCCGCTTCGGACACGGAGTTCGAGTGGTTGATTGTACGGTGATGATCCAAATGGCGAATTAATTAAAGGTGGGGCATTGGAGGGCACAAATGGTTGCGGTGGAAGCTGTGAACTCAACGATTCTGGCTCGTTCTTTAATGAAGGGGGTACATTCGCTTCTGAGGGGGAAGCCGGTCTCGAGCCCTGACGAGAAGGTAAACCCGGATGACGGGTTGGACTCACAGAAACACCATCACGGGTATTACTCCTGCCCCTATTTGCTTGAAATCCGAGAGAATTTATTTCTCTCGCCGCCTCTCGTGAGGCTGCCGCATTTGCTTCCTCGTCAGGATTACCAGCGGCTGGAGGCGGGGGAGAGTATTCTTCGTTGGACACGGGAGGCGCTTGTGAAACTATATCTGGCCTCACCGTCGATGTCTCCTGATCATCCAAGGTCTGGCAGAAGTCGCATGATTTCGAACAAAAAAGGCTGATGACGCATTGCAGTCAACACACCGTGAGACATCGAAAAGAAGCACTCACCGTTATCCTCATAGGGGTAATTAAAATCACTGCTTCCTTTACCACGACGACCAGCTGCAGCTGCATCCTTCGTATAAGGGAGGCCAGTCACATTGCGCGAGTCAACTCTTATAGGAGCAGACACGAGCTTATTGTTGTCATCCCAAGGGTTGGGTGTCATAATGTCACCCTTTGGATCCGATATTCCCCCATAGGCAGAATCCTCATTAGACTCGCGTGGTGCACCATCAACTGAGTTGCGAAGGTACGTGTCAGCAGCAAGAACATCCGCGACTGTCTCTGAGAAAGCTACTTCAGGCTTCGGAGCATATAGTGGCACTGCGGAAGGCTGCGACTGTAACTCCGGAACATCACGACGAGGGCCAGAGTGAGGGAATGTAGCGAAATGACCGCCCACCGCACCTGCAGTATGGTCTTGAGATGATCTTAGAGGCGGAGGGTCTCCATGTTGTTGGGGCACGCTTCCAGTCGACAGTGGCAGGCCGGCGATAGTTGAATGCTGCTGATGGATAGGTGCTAGAGGCGCTTCGCCGAATTCCCCTACAGGGTGGTTATAACCTGGTTGCCCCACTGCATGCTGGCTTGGGTGAGGTAGGGTATATGGAGAATTGGGAATAGGGGGTGTCATATACCCACCCATCGTATGAGGCTGTTGATGGTGTAGATGCGGAGGCAAACCTTTACCGTCAGGTCCAGAAGCAGATTGTGGGTTTTGAATTGAGGCGGCAGGAGCAAGCACGTATGTTGGAGGATCAAACTTGACTTCTCCTACACAGCGTGTCACTTCTTCCGAATAATTAGATGTCCTTTCATATGCGTTGTAATAGGGGCGCGGCTGGCCAGGGGTCGATGTGTCGAGTGGTATCTCCTCGATGAGCAGTTTTCCTATCTCTCCAACGACCTGAAAATGAAGGGTGAATGGAAGGCATGAGCGAGGATATTGGCTGTGCTGCACTGACTGCTGCTTTTTCCGCGAATTGTAAAAGACCACCAAATTTTAAGGCCAAAAACTCCTTTGAAACTTGCCGTTTGAAGTCCCCCAACCTAAGTTCGTCGGTTATGATCTGCATATCGAGATATCGCATCTCTTCTCGAAGCCGTGTGAGCAGATCCGTCTGTTCCTGAAGTCCTTTGTGTTCCTGGCCCATTTTAGAGAGTTTCTTCTCAGCACTCTCCGCCTTAGAACCTGTCAAGCAGTCAATAAAGGGACGTGTGTATAGGCTAGAAATAGTCCTTACCAACGTTTCTTCTGCGCTTCCGAAGTTCGTCAAGTTCCTCTTCTTTCGTGCGGATACTCTTGAGATGGGTCCGGATCGATTGCTCGTGCACGACATACTGATCCATTGCCTTAGAAATATGGAAGAGCATAGATGCTGCATGGGTAAAGATATCCTGCGTCACCAAATGTAATCCGTTGTTTAGTCGGCACGCGATCGCGAAGTGGAATCTGGAACGTACCCCAAGATCGTCGCCCTCACCCGATCCCCATGTTCGCAATGCATCAGCGGCTCTTCCCCAATCGAGAGACAACTTTTGGAGTCCTGATATGGCCCCTTTCTCGGCAGTGATAAAGTCTTGTAAAGTCCTTAAATCCTTGTTTCCAAGGGAAGGAAGTATCGTGGTGTGTGCGATCTTGGATGAGAAACCCGACATCGGGCCTCCCCCTGCGGACTTCCGCGACTTAAACATGGCTCAAAAGTTCTACTTTGGTAGAGGCTGGGATACTGCCTACTCAAAAGTCGAGATCAAGTGAAAGGCTTTTATGAGTAATTGAGCACAGCCTTCTTATGTCAGATAAGCATCGGCATCCTGCGGCTGCAAGCTTGTGACGTAAGAAGAAATTGTTGGGTATTTTAGATCAAATTCAGGTATTTAGGTACAACCAAATCTTGTTTAGCCCAATGGCAGCGCATCATCCATTTGAATGCGGGCTGATGTGTTGATGTTCAGCCTGGAGGGAAGGATTTGCATTGCCTGTTGGCAAAGCCGCGTCCGTTGAATCAGTGTTTCAACTTCTTTTGATGGTGCATGACCTTGTTTCCTGTATAACTCTGTGGTAGCAGCGTCAACCGAAGTGCAGGGGGCGAGAGTTACAAATTGTTCGTACGCACCAAAAAGTCGTTCTCCACTCCAAAGCCCCAAAGGCGCATTCCCAATTGTTTGTGTCGTTGGGTTCGTGCCACTACTTGCACCCATTCCGGCGGCTAGACGGTTGGCGGTCTTGAGCATCATGAAGGCATGCTCGCTTGCAGTATTATGGTAGTGTGCGGATGTCAAAGCAACGATAAGCGCACGAAGATGATTATCTTGAGCTGTTGTTGCGATGTCAAGAGATACTTTTAGTCGTTGCCTAGCGAAGCAACAAATGATTAAGGATGCATCAGACAAGATCAGTGCATTGCCGGGCTCACTTTGCCCTGACTATCTCAGGTGATGTCACCGCCTCAAGGAGTTCACCGATTGCACGTAAAGTTCCAGGAAATGTTCTACATTCAACGATGACTGTTCTTGCCATTTCCTCCAATTCAGGATCATTGCGGAGCTGCATTCTCGGATTGTCCCGTTTCCTTTGAGCTTGAAGACCAAAGCGTAAGGCAACCTCTCCCGCCCTAGCCGCCACTCCAACAAATCCGGGAGCCCTTCCTCCGCTGGAAGGCCTATTGCCATTCCCAACATCGCCGTCAAGGATGGCAGCAGCACGATAGCACCTGAGAGCACGGTCGACATGGAGTGTGGCATGGGCAAGATGTGCTTGATGAAGCGTAATGCGAGGTGCATAATATGGGAAAATCGAATATGTCCGCGCGTGAGCAATGAGAAACGAAATATGATGTTGGGCCTCCTCAAATTCGTTCCTGGAAATGCAGACCTAGGATGAAGAATGAGTTATTTATATAAACTCGTCTGCTGCGATCAAAACATACCGCGGTCATCTCGCAAAGTAAATCAGCTTTCACCTTGGCAAGACGATCTTCGACTAACTGTGCATCCGTTAATGACGCCCAAGGGGGGACTAGGGAAGGACCAATGGGGAAGAGTCTGGGATATCAAGTGAATATTCTTACATGTAGCATCGTTTATCATATCAGCTGATGCAATGAGACCTTCCTCAGCATATCGTTTACGCTTCGGATTCGCTCCAATTGAGTCCCGCCGCGAAATCGATGAGACAGAAAAAGCAACCTCGTAGAACACGCGGGGATGGGTAATACGTATTATCAAAGGGTAGTCCCTCTCCAAATGAATCTCCAGTTCGAGCATTAATACTGAGTAAGGGCCTCTAAACACAGGGAATCAAGACATGTACCTTCAGTGTAGCAGTGCCATCAGAACCACTGAACGCATCATCGTTCAGCGCATCTACGAGAGGATGGAAACGTTTCAATCGAGTGCTGGTATCGGAAGATCTCCCGATTTGGGTGTAAAATAAAATAGAAAGGTAAAGGAGTTGAACTTGGAAAGTGGCTTCAACCAGTGAGAATGGGGCCGTGGTTGGTCCAACGGAAGCCGATCCCGAGGATTGTGCGCTATTCCTCACAGTTCCCGGGCTTTCCTCCTCGAAATTGAGTCCCAGTTCCGCCTCCGCTGCGGCGATGCACCCTTCCACACTCATGTCCGGAGCATGCCCTGGACGGCTACGCCACATGTCCCCACGAACTAGAGTCCTTAGTCGCATAACGACGGAAAGCTTTACAATATCTGGATGGCCAAAGAATCGACCTCTTTGTGCCAGTTCCTGAGTCACATCAAGTGCTGAACGGATATCCGAAAATGAAGGTGCGGGAGGTGACGAAGGGACTGAATCCGAAGGTGAGCCACTCGGGGGTGGGGTGATGTAGTTGGCGTGCTCGCAAAGTAGGATTTGGTAATGGATATGAGGGAGATCTGACCTGAAAACCAAATAATGGGTCCATGAGTGATGATGATGAACTCTAGAGATCAGACAGTTACTCAGTTAAGTGAGTCTTCAGTCGGGATATAATTGAGCGCGAGAGCTTGACGTTCCCTTGACGGTGAGTGAGGTGAGAGTGGAGTAAAGTAAGATGGAAATAATATTCCCGCAAAGATGTCTGTGACGAAAAGGGTGTTCGGGACACGGATCGCAGAACATGCCGTTATAAACGCACTCTCGACGAATGGCATAAGTGGAGTCCTCTTTGTATTGCAGATTCAATCTGGACACCGCGAATATGAGATCCCGGGTAGTTGAATGACGAACGCTCTCAAGCCCACCTCCCCTTCAATGCCACGACACCACATAGGTGCAGTGCTGCCACCTAGATCAGCGCCTATTATCTGCAAACCTATTTCAGCATAGATCGTGCACGCTTGACACTCCATTTCTGGAGTCAAAGCTTCTGCATAGATCGGCATGCCATGGTGAATCTGGAGTGACTGCTCCTGAAAACGAAGACACTTTCGTATGGCTAGTAGCGCAGTGTAGAGCGATACGATGTGGTTTGAGTGGTTGGGCGGATGTAGTAGATAGCAAGGCAAGGACAACAGAAGTTGTCCGGTGTTATACATCTCAGACACGAGGCTAATTGTCTCCAAGTCGAAACTGGACCGTAGTAAAATTAGAGACGGAGCAGTGGGAGTGACAAGCACATTGACGCCCGAATCATAAGTAGCAGGTTAACTAGAGGCTGGTAGTAGATTCAAGCGGCGGAAGTTGAAAAAATTGATTCCGGAACCGGTTTTGGCTCTCGGCAGCGGGCACACGATAACATCGGTATCGCTCTGTCCCGCCATTGCCTAGGCAGGTTACCCTATTGGAATAGATCCGTTGCCAACGTTATACTACACGCATTATAGATACAAAATTTGGCTAATACGAGGGAACATGACACAAGAGGCGAAACGTGCACTTCAGGCTAGGCCTGAGGCCATCAAAAGTCGAGGCTTCTTGCAGCAGCGGCTACAGCGACATGTCAGTGACACGAATGCAAAGAAACAGGTGAAAATCTACCTCGGTTTCCCGATCGAATTTCTTTCATTATTCCTGATGTGTACTTATCCATCATTTGCACGTAGGGCTTCAATGAGGTCCTCTCCCAGTCCGAATGGTGCTCTGCTGCACCATCTTCCTGCATCATTTCATCCAATTCTCGGAGAAGTTTGTCAACTTTCGGTACTTTCTCTGGGTCAAATGAGTGAACTTGTTGGGGATCAACTGGAACACATATGTTTCCTGAGGGCAGGAAATTGTTCAATGGCTCAGGGAAAGCGATAGTATCAGCGAGACTCGAACCTGTGGCAGGATGTACACAGAATGGAGCCTTCAACAAGTGGTTGCGCTTTTTCGTCACTTCCTCATCAATGCGAGGATACGTGTACTGGAGAATGATTTCCTCCATCGCAACGGTAAAGAGTCTCTGCAGAGGGGTGGTTTAGTTGCATTCTTTTATTATGGGTTCTCCCCGGTCTTGATAGAAACGTACCCGCGCGGACTACTCTTCGGTATCTTACTGGCTTTTGAGCGGAGAGAGCCCCATTTATCCACGGAAGAGGCGTGAATTCCTTGGCTTCTTCATCTTCCCATTCACTTCTGAGGTCCTTAGTCAATTCTGTTCGATCGTAAGCGGGGGACTTTCGTGAAAACTACGAACTTACCATCGTCGTGAGGTAACAAATCAAGCAACTTCTCCCAGCCTTTCCTGTCCTTGAAGCAGTCCTGATCCTCCAAGCATAAGTCTGAAAAGCCCTCCTGAAGAGTCCCTAAAGCCTCGAATAACATGGGATGCATGGGTCCTGTATTTCCTTTGTATCGTGTACGAACACGCTTCGCCTCACCCGAACCGCCTTGGATAAGCTTCACAAACTCAAGGAGGGAACGGCGAGCATCATCAGTGAGGGACATGGCGGCCTGGTCGGAAACCCAACAATGAATGCCTCGACGACCTGAGTAAACCCAGAGTAAATGATTATATCCGAATTGCTCTTTCGAAGCACCGATGAGTTCATGACATGAAAGCAAAAGTAATACCAAAGATTAGGCTAACCTCGCAAAACATGATCAATCACATCGACAGCCGCGGCAATGTATCCCCAACATCGCTTGCAGATGCCTTTCCCTGAACAACATGTTCGGATCTCATCATAGTCAGTCATATCGATATCGAAGACGAGCTCTCGAAGGTGGGGCGTAAACAATTTTGGCTGTACGGTCTTCTTATCCCGTGGCTGAAGAGAGGTATTTCATTTGGTGATCGTCTCAGTTTCTGGCAGAAGCGAAGGGGCAACATGGACTGACTCGAGCACTATACACAGCGCCCACCTCAAAACGCGACGGGTTTAGTCTTATTACTTCCTTCTTAAGCTCGTCCGCGTTGGAAAAGGACAGCCAGCGGAGGTATGCTTCGCCGTTCGCTCCATTAACCGTAAATGCAAACTCGCGGTTGGTCCATAATCGTGTCGGCGGGTGTTGATGATTCAGCCACGCGTAAATGCTTTTGAAAGGGAAAAGGCGCTTGTAGTACGCAAGGATGACTTGCGAATCGGTTCCAGACATTACTTTAATACTTCAGTATCGAGGTGGAAGAAGCGGAAGCAAATTATAACGCGACGCGTTATTAACGTGTCGCGTCACCATACACTCAAGAAGATATTTCTTGGGATGTGGGCACACAGGCACAAATCCACAAGTTAAGGAGGCGCTAGATCTTCTATGTTATTTTTACTAATTTAGGTCGGGGAAATTCATATGCTCACAATCAAGTCCAGCGGGCATTATGTACCTAGTTCTTTCAGTTGGGATGGCCGCACTGCCACGTCGTAAACGAGTAACAAACTAGAGTACAGCAACAACAACAACAACATTGTGCTCGCCCCCATCACCTTGATCCAGTTTCACTGTATCTAGAGTTTGCCATACTTAGGGCCGTCCTTAATGTAGCCTCAAAATGTCCGATCTTCGTGCAGACTGGTGGAGAATTGTGCCATGAGCGCCACATTGTTGCTTTGCGTCATAGGAATAGCGCCTTTAATATAGTTGGTTCCGAAGCGCCCATAGAGATTAAACTGTTTCACAGGGCCTCGGTTTCGACACTTGTATACTTGGGAGGGTCCGCAGCTCTTTCAGCCGCATACTATGACAGACTCCGGTTCGGTTTGTGCAGAATTGTGTTGTGCCAGTTGTTGTAAGTCCCGTTACTCGCCTTGCCTGGATTATCGCTAACATACCATCATTCCAGGCGTTGCAGCACTGGGGTGCTTGCAGCAATGGTGTTTCTTGGGTAAGCAAACTGAACGATTACGAAGAATCTGTGCCGAGTCCTTGAAAACACGGCCCTTCTTTCCTAGCGCCCTGCGGTGTCCGAAGGTCCCGCGGGACAACGGGTTGCTGCAACAGTTCATTTGGAGGTTTTGATAAAGATGAGGACGACATAACCAAGGCTGAACGAAAAGACAAAGAGAAGCAGCAAGCCAAGGAGGCGGAGGGCAAGAAAGACCCGACTTCACAACAACCTTCGCCTCATCCAACCATGATACTCACCCCTCCAACGCCCGTAATCCAAGACAGTTCCAATGTGGCATTTATATCGATTGATTGAACGGATGCTCATGATTTCAATGTAGGCGTTTGGCTGACTATTTATGTAGTATTTATTGCATTTAAACGAGTTCGATCGTCTCAAAACGCTCATGTCGCATTCCTCACTCCGGCCAATTCAAAAGTCAACAACATGAGCATACCAGCACGAGGCAGCCCATGATGGAGTGTACAATGTCTACAATGTTTTCTTCGACTGTATTCCATAATGATCATACTTGGACAGCACACAACAAGAGCAACGAAACCGCGAAACACGAGTCAACGAAAGCAGCATAAGAAGAAAGCCAGAGAGGATAGGGTGACGGAGAGCAATGTCCCAGACCAGGATCATTTTCGGCGGCAGCGCGGATTGATATCTTCGCCGGTGGAAGTGAGATTGAATTCTTCCCAGCGGTCCTTGCCTGTCCGTCCTGGAAGGCCATGATTCCAGCCATTGACTGGCTTCTCGGCAAGCTTCCCCCTGACATGCTTCTTCAGCAAGTCTCGACGTGCGTACGCTTTCCCGCACTGGCAGCGATGCCATTCGAGGAGGTCCCCAGTATGCTCCTTCGCAGTCCTATAGAGAGTGGGGAAGTTGGAAGTGGAAAACGTGGACTGATTACGGAAGGTAAGGGTGGCGGGAAAGGGGCGCGAAGGGACGATGGAGGCATGGTCGTGCAGAAAGGTTTGAATCTCCTTTTCGAGCTCCTCGGAAATCGCAAGATGTCCCCCTTGCTCCATGAGTTGAAGCTTAGGAACCATGTGGTGAAGAAACGAAATTTGTCTGAAAGTGCTGCCCTGTCTTTCAATGATCTTATACGTCTCCTGGAAGTGACTTAGAATATGTCTCTTCATAGTCGATTGCGTCGCGTCAGCCTTGGAGGCATCGGTATACTTGCAGATAAAGCATTTTGTGTTGTTCAAGCGAGCAGTCTGGCCACGAACCTCAGACTGTGGACCGAAAAGGGCACCTAACCATTGATGAAGGTCGCCGCAGTCTTCATCAACAAGGAAAGCTTTCGGCTTATGTGTCCTGATAGTCGGCTCGAAGGCCTTGGTGGGCAGAAGTCGTGGTGGCTGAATGCAAGGCGCACGGATGGTGCTAGGACCAGCACCGGGAGTCTCAAGCGGGGACGAGGAGGATATCCTGGCACGTTTATCGGGACGCTCCGGGATAGCAAGAAGCGAGGGTGGGGACGAAATGGACAGAGGAGACACTGTCCGTGGATGATAGAAAAGACGGGAGCTACGAATGGTAGGTGTACAAGATCGGTCCTCATCCGTCACACCGATAGTGCCATACATTAACTCAGATTCAAGCCCTCATCACGTTTACGCTTTCCCTTCGAAGTGGTGGTAATGGCGCAAAGCTCAAGCTGCGCGGACGCAGGAGTCGGAGGGGAAATTGAAGAGGGAGTCGGAGTACGAGAATGTGTGGTGCAGTACAGAGTTGTTGGATTGAGGAACGAAGAGTCTCTTGGGTCAAAAGGCGAATTAAGGACTTCATTGGCCCACTCTTTATCTCGTTCCCATTGATGGTTTTGACTCTCTGTGAGAGTCTCCATTAGAGCGGGTTTATCACCAGGCGACAAAATTGGCGATTGGGTTTCAATCTGAAAAGGTAATGTAGACGAGTGGGGGGGAACTGGGGAGCTGCTAAAAGGACTGTCTGGGTTGTCAAACAAGCGATCGAAGCCATTGGAAAACGAATCGGCGTAGCGAGCACTAGGTTGGGACTGCCTTGAGTCACTGTAGAGCAGAGGATAGTTTGAGCCACTTACCCAAGCTCGCCATATGGGTTCCGATTGGACATGACTCTAGGACGTTATAAAATAATTAGGTAGTATGTATTATGAATAGTCCAGCTATGGGAGTGCAGTAAAATCTAGCTTCGCCCAGCGAAGTATCCGTGAAGGAGAGAAGAAGAAGTGCGCGAGTCGGCGAAAGAGGATTGCGCAACCTCAAGAAACCATGAGAGTCCTGTCTAGTATTTACGACGTCGGTAACGCGGCGATAGCGCGGGAGGGCAACATGCGAAACCGCAAGAAGGGCACAGAGCGGACTTTATAGGATATACAGACCCCATAGCGACAGGCAATCACGCCCAAAGATAGGAAGTTGGAGTTTGCTAACATGAATCAAGGTGTAAACAGGGGTACACCAAAGCTTGCCTTTCAGGATCTATGCTGGTTATCGGAAAGTTCCAGAGCCAGAACCCATCCTGTGCCAGGGGTTTGGTAACAGGCCGAGTAATCTTTCAGTGCGCTTCAAGTGTCGTTCATGTTCAGGGAGGGGGTTGAAGGTCAGAAGAAGGGTGGAGTGTTGTTGAGAGTTCCCCGGACGGATGCAAAGTCCCGCCAAGTAGCTTAGACTTCACCCTCGTGCCATGGATATTTCGTACGTCTGTCTCCGCCCCTTTGGGGATCTTCCAGATTCAATCAAACTGCAGCTCGGTCCTTCAGGGAGGCTATCATCACCCGCTCTCCCGGGAATGGCAATCACGTCGTGAATTGACAAAGAATATGTTCATGTATCCCATTTTCATTACAGATGAGCCGCAAGCAGAGGTAGAGATAGCCTCCCTTCCTGGCCAGAAGCGTTGGGGTATCGAGAAGCTTGACCGACTTCTTGCACCTTTGGTTCAGAAGGGCCTCCGAAGCGTCATCCTCTTTGGTGTGCCCGTAAATTGCCAAAAGGCACGTATGGACACACTCCGTGGTTTATGGTCGCAATCTTCACTCTTTTTGCATTAGGACCCACACGGGGGCCCTGCCGATGACCCGTCTGGACCTGTCATCCAAGCTATCCATCTCATTCGTAAACAGTACCCTTCCCTCTACATCGCCTGTGACGTTTGCCTTTGCGAGTACACCTCCCATGGTCATTGCGGCTATCTTGTCCACAATCCTGATGGGTCAACCACGATCGATAATGCCGCCTCTGTCAAACGGATTGCTCAAGTGGCACTGGCGTATGCGAAAGCTGGAGCACACTGCGTTGCCCCGAGTGATATGATGGATGGGCGCGTCAAAGCAATTAAGAGAGCGCTGATTGAAGCTGGTCTGGGGAATCGATGTACACTAATGAGTTACTCCGCCAAATTCGCTAGTGCGATGTATGGCCCATTCCGGTGGGTAGCCTCAATCCTCGGCTTATTATTCTCATCTCATGTCTATTGCATGGGGCAGAGACGCTGCAGGAAGTACTCCATCATTTGGCGATCGGAAATGCTATCAGCTGCCTCCAGGTGCTCATGGCCTGGCCCAACGTGCTATTGTGGGTCTTGTCTCTTACGCTCCTGTCATCATACCTCACAGACATTCTCTCAATAGATACGCGACATAGCCGAAGGGGCCGATATCATCATGGTCAAGCCAGCCTTACCTTACCTTGATGTTCTCTCCCAAGCTCGTGATCGGCTTGCCCCTTCCCATCCCCTTGCGGCATACCAAGTCTCAGGAGAGTATGCTATGATTGTGGCAGGTGCGCGTGCTGGGGTGTACGATTTAAGAACGATGGCATTCGAAAGTGTGAATTGTATAGTTCGGGCTGGTTGGTATAATTTTTAAGATGTTCGCGCTAGCATCCTTACTCAGTTTCTGATTGTAGGAGCCACTTTAATTTTATCGTATTTCACGCCAGAGTTCCTTGACTGGCTAGACTCCTAGTTGCACGAAAACACGGTTCTTATCTGTATTTGATAGCAGGTCATGTCAATGTTTAACGTCAAGTTATTGACCTACGCTGCAACTACTCACATTGTTGAGGGTGTGGCGTAGTGTTACCTTGGTTTCTTGATTATCATGTTTGTGAGCTACTAGAGGGGTGGAACGTATTGACAAGTGTTTGAGTGCTTCGGACTCCCACGGTCACACAAAGGCTTTCGACTCGTCCTTGACATCCGTCTCGCGATCAATCACTTCATCGCCCCAAACACAGAGCCCATCGACATGCCTATACTCGGATGCTGTGGAAAGGAAGTTTACCTGGAATGGCTATCGCCAAACCACGGCCACATCTTAGACCGTTCTGGGTGGCAACTCTCAAGACCATTTGTGGGCAGTTAAGTTCGTTTATTTGACCACGGTAGTAAGCTAAGGCCCTCCATCAATGCCTGCTACTTGAGTAAACTGAACGTCGCCCGAATATATATGCACGCAAACTGACAGTGAGAAAGAGAGACTCTGTATTCATTGATGAGCCGCATCGATTTGACGTCAGCAAAGTAAGCAAGGAAGATCGACAGCCCAACTAGGGGAGCACTTTGCAAACTATTTTAGGCTACGGATTTTATGGAATAAAGCAGGTTTCTCCATCTCCGGCACCCACGCACCCGTCCATCATGAACTGAAGAAGAGGCTTCCGTGTGAAGGTGAAATCAATGACTTTTATACTCGCGCAAGCAAATACAGTCAGGTTCGATCGTGAATACTGCGGGCCGCAGCTGATCAGCCGATTCCCCTGTACGTTGCACAGGCAGCTAAGTTGGTGCCTGGTAGGAGGTTTTTTTTATTTTTTCCCAAATTGCCGCGACCTCTGGTGCCAGTTCCTAGACCTCTTCAAGAGCGATTTTCCGGACCAAATGCGAAAGTCCTAAATCATACAACCGCCTGTGAGGGATTACTATTGTCCGACACTGTCTCGGGTGGAAAGGCGGTTTTTTTGGGTCGCATAAGCATACAAATGTGATGGAGAGATGAAAGGGAGCCTGCTATCGTGGAGAAAGGGTGAAGAGTTCATTAAGCGATATGAGAGAAATTGCAAAATGAAGGATGACCCATGAATTGGAATAGCAGTTTTCCCAAGTAGTTTTTATGCGCTTCAATTTCGGACACTGCAACTTGAAGCGGAAGGCGCAACAAGTCAATACTGTGGAAGACGAAGCCGCATGAGTATGTCCCCCGCATGGCGATGTACCTAAACAAATAAGCCTCATTGAGACTGTAGCGAAGACCCATATCCGATATCGTAGAACAACCAGAAAAGAAGCGTGATATATGCGGTCAGTCTGAGAAAGTGACTGGATTTGTGAGAAATAAGATGGCTTGCGCGGTAACTGACGAGGAAAGTCTACCTCATCTAGCCCAGACCAATCAGAGTTTGATGGCCAACACCACGGTATCCGTGATGAATGGATTTGTTTGATCTCCCGGGCCACTAAATATAGCAGCGTTGGCGGTGAAAGTTTGCTGGACACCTGATCCAATTAGAAAAACTCAAACAAAGAATAGGAATTAATTTATGTAAGGAATTAATATCACTCCATACAAAAGGACAAATGCGGAATCAACCGTCGCATCTACAACAACTATCGAACCACCTTGCCCCTCAGATGCCCCCAGTGACAAACCTATCGTCCGTCACTGGGCTCCCCGTACCAGACTGGTACATACACACTACCGATGCTCGTTTTGTCGATACAAATGGCCGGACCCTTCTCCTTCGTGGAGTGAATCTCTCTGGTTCCAGTAAGACTCCGGTTGGCTGCCCAAGCCAGGACCTCACTGGCTTCTGGGAGACCGCAGAAGCTGGCGGGGAGAGCTTTATAGGGCGGCCGCTCAATTTAGATGATGGGTCTGCCGATGTTCACCTAGCAAGATTAAGAGGATGGGGTTTCAACATGTTGCGCTATGTTGTTACTTGGGAGTCTTTAGAGCACCAGGGGCCGTATGTTTTCTATATTGCCTTTCCTTCCCTTATCAATTATGCTGATTTGTGCTTTCGTTCATCAGTGGGAAATATGATTACGATTTCATGGATTATACCGTTCGCGTTCTGAGACGGTGTAAAGACTTCGGATTCCGAGTATATCTCGACCCACATCAAGATTTGGTGCGTTTCTTGTCTCATAATCTCTTGCATATATGCCCATCTATCTCATAGTGGTCACGCTTCTCCGGCGGGTCTGGAGCGCCTTATTGGACTCTGGCTGCATGCGGCTTTGAGCCACGAAATTTTTCGGTCACAGAAGCAACACTCATTCACTGTGAATACCCTGATCCCAATAACCCGATCCCGCATCCTTCCCTGCCATGATTTGGTCAACAAATTACTTCCGCCTCGCTTGTCAAACTCTATTCACATTATTCTTTGCTGGTCGAGATTTTGCTCCAAAATGCATCATCAACGGGATGAACATCCAAGATTACCTCACCACACATTACCTTAATGCTTTTCGGAAACTAGCAGAAAGGATACGAGATGCAGGTGACCTCTACGGTGAATGCGTGATCGGTGTGGAATCGCTTAACGAGCCAAGCGAAGGCTATCTCAGTCATGAAAATCTGAATGACTACTCATCTGAACAAGCAATGAAGAGGGGTACTAGACCAACACCTGCACAAAGTATGCGTCTTGGCATGGGCGTTGCACAAACAGTGCAAAATTGGTCGTTTGGTTCCACGGGGCCAAAACGGGAAGGCTTGGTAACAGTTGACCCCAAAGGGGTTAAAGCTTGGATGGATCCCTCTCACGAGCCTAATTGCGTTAATTCACGGTGGGGCTGGAAACGTAGCAAGGGGTGGAAGCTGGGCACGTGTATTTGGGCGCTTCACGACGTCTGGGATCCAGAATCAGGCTACATACTGATTCCAGATTATTTCCACTCTCCACCCTTCGACCCAACAAGGCGGATAGATTTCGTTGCAGACTATTGGCGCTCACATTGGCGGCTTTGGTCCCAAATGCTTAGGGATGTTTATCCCGAATGCATTCACTTTATCCAACCCCCTGTCTTCGTCAAACCCCCTAGACTTGAAGAGGAGGATTTGCATGGGAGGTGCTGCTACACACCGCATTATTACGATGGACTTACCCTAGTGACTCGGCATTGGAACTGGTTCAATGCGGATGCACTGGGTCTGCTACGTGGTAAATATAAGACTACTCTGCAGGCACTTCGAATAGGGGAGTGGGCAATTCGACGTTCTCTCCAGGATCAGCTGGGTATGTTCTTGGAGGATGCCAAGGAGTCGTTGGGTGCTTTCCCTACGCTTATCAGTGAGATTGGTACCCCATTTGATATGGATGGAAAGCGCGCGTATCAGGATGGGCCGCACTTTGGGGATTACACGGAGCAACAGAAGGCTCTTGATGCCAGTTTGAACGGCGCCGACGGAACGAACTGCCTCAGCTGGACTGTCTGGTCTTATTGTCCCGATAATAATCATAATTGGGGCGATGGCTATAATTTGGAGGATCTGAGCATATGGAGTGCCGACGACTTGGTATTCCGTGGCGGGGTCGAAGGCATGGATCATCGGATAGGTGAAAACTTGGCATCAGTACGTCAAAGCATTAATGACCAGTCGAATACCCGTCTCCTCTTGACTGGCAACCTGTCAAATTCCAGTCTGAAGAACGAATTATCCGACCTCCCTCCTGTTGTTCCACCAATCACGCCTTTCACACCCTTCCATCTTGGTAACCCTTCATCGAGCACCGTCGAGACGTTTGATGAAGCCCAGCTTCCCCGAAGCACAGGCGGTTATCCTCTCCGTAATCTGCCCGCAGATGACTCAAGCAGCATTGCCTCGACCACTAGTGTGTATGACTGCGGCGCTGAAGCGGATAATCTCTATGACTTCCTAACAAATGGTGCCCGTGCCGTCGGTGCATTTTGCCGGCCATGGCCGATAGCGGTTGTTGGAGTCCCAAAGGACATACAATTTAATATCTCCAAGGCGGACTTCAAACTCGTTGTCTCCGTCACGGATGCTGATGTTGCCGCTGCCTCTAAGCACCGGGTTAGCCCATCGTCATCTGCGCGCTCCCGAAGTTTGAGCGAAGACACCGAAAAAGAGGCCATATTACCTACCGAGATCTACCTTCCACTCGTACATTACTCTGCCGACCCCTTTACCAAACGATTAAAACCCTTATCTCCTTTCCGTGACCCCTCAGCACCTAACCTCCCTGGCCTTCAATTGACCCGTCCTTCCGTCGAATCTCGTACATCCGCTGATCCATCCTCGACAGCCTACTCTTCATCTGGCTCACGGACGCCTATCCGAACACCCACTCCTGCAGGCGGATTAGGAGACGCGCTTGCAACGATGGCTGTGGAGGGGCATGGGAACTCCCAAGCGCCTGTGTGGGCGACATGGGCTGGTCGTGATTGTCCCCTCGCGCTCGTCGTCGAAGCTAGTGAAGGCAGTCGATGGGAAGTGGACGGACAAGTACTCAAATGGTGGTATCCTGTAACCGCACCTGCTGTGGGCGAGAAGTCTGTCGACAGTGCACAGGAGCATTGGATCCGCGTCCGGAGAGCTGAGGGGCCTATCAAGGGTATTGGGAGCGCGGAGATTTACCTCGATGAGGAAGGCACGTCGTGTTGGGATGCTTGTTGTCCCAAATGGATGTGACTACACTCGGTGGGACTGTTTCTATCGTGGCTCGTTTCGTTCCCTCTGCGCTTGTTTGGATGGAGAAAAGCATATATAGCTTTCTAATTCGTATGACCATGATTGACTTTGTTTTGGTTGTTTGATGTTAATTCGTCGTTTTTCGTGCGATCGCTACGCATTCAGGGTTTTCAAGCCTGTATACCGCAGTTTGCGGTACTGTCATCACTAACTTTGACTTCAGTGCATAGTGAATGCACATCTCCGTCTGTGTAAAGTGTGTAGACGTACCCGGACTATATGCTAGACAGGACTCCAGCCTCTATGACTTCGACCATATGCGTGAATGATGACGATAGTTGTCTGGTTTGAAAATGCAACGATGCGGGTGACCCTTATATAGGCACTGATGCTAACCCTTTCATTCAGAAAGAAAACGTTATCCAAATTCCTTATATATTGCATCAACTGAGTCCATTGTGTGCCAATGTTACATGCACCCTCGTCCTCTGGGACCAAGCTGTGAATCCTGAAGCCACAATGGGATTTCTGATAAAAGGACACTCCTCTACGTTCAATGTCATGAGGCCTGTATCCCCAATTCGATGGCAACAGCTCCCGCCTTCGTTCTCGCCCACAATACTTACGCCGCGCCACCGGCTTCTTGCTAAATATACCACCCGCAATGGGCCTCCACAACTGCCGAACCATTATGGATCATCATCTATGTCCTTACGATACTGCATTTGGACGGCAGCTTCGCTCTGGAGAATTGGAAAGTGAGTCCTAAATTTCGGACCCGGATTCGGAGATAGACAAGGAACTGAGACCCGTTATCATGAGGATGGACATTTGCACGATCGATTGATCCCCCCCGACTTCCGAGGCCAACGCCGATCAAGTACCACTCTGGGTCAGGGATCAAGTCAGATCTGACTCACCCTGTGGTGGATATTTGTCCTTTTTTTTTTTTTTTTTTTCTTTTTTTTTTCTTTTACATCCCCCAACCCCGCTTGTTCTCACCCCCCACCTCTTTGCGCTTCTCTCCTCCTGGTTTATATCGAACATGATGGTCTTTTATCATTAAACAAAATAGAAACTGCAGCACCCAAGATTCCCATGTAGTCCCCTACCATGGTACTAATTGAGCGGCACTCGGCTTAACTTCGCAGATCAGACGGGATGCGGTGCTTTCCGAGTCCTATGGCCACAGATGTCCGGACTCTCATTCCCACCTCTGATGAATATCTATACCACTCGAGGTTGACAGACAAAAGCAACAGACTGAAAAGCCACTGCATAATTCCGACGTGATGGCAGTACGACGTCAAACCATCAAAGTTCGCTCTAAAGCCAGCGAATGAGGAGGCCAGAAAGTGTGGGAGAAAGCGAGGCGAGCCAATCAGAGCGAGGAGGCCAATCAGAGCGCTTCGATCGTAGCTCGCCCCATTTAGTATATGTAAACATGTACTCTGACATGAGTCTTCTTCCCAGATGAGAACAGCAAGTTGCTGCGCGGTATATTGGTTAGGAACAAAACACATCCAGGTGAAATTACGGAAAGAACAGAGAGACGTTTTAAGTTATTGGCCCGATGATGCGATCTATTCAAGGCGACCGCGCTAGCTTCTTGGATGGATGGCAATGTGCGCGTCCGGCATGCCCCCCCCCCCCCCCCCGACGTGTAGTGACGTTCTGCACCCTTTGCGCAGTCGTCGAGTCAACAGAGGCAGAAAAGAGTCAGGAGTTTGTCATTCGATGGTCTCCGACGGGTACACTATCCGCTCTCGATCCATAGGGTCACACAGTGTGATTCGTTCACAGTATCTGCGGCTTGGACGGTTGCTACTTGAGGTTAGATCCAGATCGCGCTGGACAGAGATTTACTGAGTTCCAAGCCGAACAGAGATGAATGTGTCAACACGAACACCTTAATCTGGGCACCTTCGGGGAAGTGACCAGGTTCGTGTTGAGGACATCACGCTGGTAGCAGTCAAGAAAGCGTCGCGCAAGAGAACAGTACTGCTCAAACACCGACCCTAGCCACGTACCACGTTGGAGGGCATTGACTTTCCTGTGTCGAATGCCTTTTTCTGGGCATAAATTACTTTTTCAAACATCACCTTTTTAATTTTCTCCGCGGGAGTCAGAACCGCCAAGCTATCAAGACAAGGGATTCCTAATGCATTGAAAGGGTCCCCGAATCCATAGGATTAGTCTGACGGAGGTGTCTCCGCCTTTCAATTCACACAATCGTTATCCACATTCTGAACACTTTTTTGTCCATTGGTCGATCAGCGACTCACAAATCGCTTCATTATACTTCAACTGGGGAATATTTCAGTGATGCCGGCTATCCGAACTTATGAGCCCCGCCAAGGCGGAGCTGGTGAACCGGTGGCCATGTCTGGAGTGGTGTTGGGCTGCGAGGTCACAGCAGGAAACTGGCGGTTGTCGATATTCTCGACGTTTCGGCTGCCAGAATAGCTGGAACCGTCTTCGTTTCCGGGGGACCTGTCTGTTTCTGGGCCCCACCATCCTGAAAATGTTCCTCTCCCTACGGTATCGTCAAATCCTGTGAGACGGATGCTTGAGAATGAGGCACCGATGCTGAATGGAAGGGAGGTATTACTATTGTAGCACCGATGAGTGAGAATGGTAGCAAATGCAACGCCTAGAAATAGGGGGGGTGTAAGAGCAAAAAGAGTCGGCAAAAACACTCGCACTTACCACAGCATGTATTGAAGTTCTCACAGCAAGTATAGGATTCGGCCATTGTTGAGGATGATCATACGAAGCGTGAGAGGAACGACGTATCTGAGGGGGGTAGCACGGTAGGACTGACAACATTACATTAAATAATCATGGTGGAGCGTCGTCCAATGTAGATCAAATCCAGTAGCACTTGTTTGGAGGAGAGCATGTGAACACCAGTACATATGTAGTCAATATTTGGTTGACCTTAGCGTGGGAACCTCTTTCGTCAATTCAGTCAATGCACGCCCTTCGTCGTAGTTTGGCGCTGTCATCCAGGCAGGCTTTCCTGCCTACCCGTGTCGCCATCGTGCCTCTAGCATTGAGTCAGACCAGGCATTTTAGGCGACCCGAACAAACTTCGTTTGAGGATCCGGAACGGCGTGGTCTTTACTATCATCTCGTTGGCGCCACCACCAACAAGGAATTATCCTCATATGCTGTTTCGTTCCTTGAAGAGCCACCCAGAAATGTATCGTCTCCCACCATACTTGGGATACTCCCTGCTGTCTCATCGGAAGGCGAAGAAAGCCAAGAAGCTGGGCTTCATGATTTTCAGCCCAATTGTAGGTGCACCTACGCCCTGCGTCTTCATGCACGAAATCCATCTGGGCACGTCTTTAGCGAAGTTCCTCGATATCCTGCATGACTCGATTAAGGTTTCCCTGGAGCGTGACACTGACGAGACGATTCGGGCCGAGGCTCAACAACGAGGATCAGGGTGGATGCATGTCATAGGTCAGTATTGACACTAACAATTACGCCACATCCATATCACACATCTATACTCATAACCGCCTTTGCGAAGACTCTCGCAACGTACCTGCGCTGAATCGTACAGGAGATGCAGATGACATCATTGGCACTGTTCGAGTTGAAGACGGCAAGGTGACTGGGCCAGGTATCCCCACTCGCAGAGATGCGTCGTTGACACGAATCCCTAGGTTATTCCCTCTACTTACGAACGTATGCCGTCCTACAGGTGCGTAGGTCTCGGGCTGTTGGCCGAGGAATAACACTGTGGCTTGTCTGCAATTAAGGGCTTACGCGATACTCTAGAATCTGTACATCTGATGGCTTGACCACGCTATCAGACGGCCTCGCTTCGACGCTTGTTGGAAAACTTCTCGAGACTCATCGCCATGAAAGACTTGAACCCTGACACCTGTTCACCGATAAACTGATATGAAACTTCAGAACCAAAATGGACGTTAGCATGCCACCGCCCTCTATTCATTCTTGTCATTCTAAAGAACTACACAACGTAATGTAATTGTGTGCCTCGTACGAGCGTTCGTATCGCGGCAACACTGCGGAAGGGAGTCGGTTTCGCGCTTGCATCCTCTTCACAGATAGACATGGAAAGCCTCTCACGCGTTTGATTCACGTCCATACTCACCTCGTAGTAGAGTCCGAGATATGCAGATGTTAAGCATCTCTACCACAAGTGGTTCGGTAGCGGAATGGCTGGAACGGTTTTTTGACATATCAAGCATGGAGGGAAGCGTCGAATTAAATGACAAATTAGACGTCTGATGTATGGTGTGGTTCCATTTCCCTGTGGGCTGCCGCTGCATTGTAGAATGGAATCCCAGGCACCTGAGATGGGCCGATATGTAGTGTGCATATGGCTGGTCACCCGCCAATATGCAACGTACAGTGGATGCAATCTTTGTCTCTTGCTGAAAAAGTGCCGAGACAAATGAGGGAAGCCTCTGTCGCCATTCTGTGTGAAAAGCCGCATGATCTGGGAAGCTGTGGGAGCTAAATCATGCGGAGATGAGGAGGACAGTATTTAATGGGAAATTCTACGCACACAGCACGTGGACACTAAGATCACGGGACTAAAACCAAGGATTTCAAGGAATAATATTTTTCTTAAGCGCAAATCATGGTAAGTCCAAATCCGAGTTGTTGAAAATGACGTTGAAGCTGTTATACGTATGTGTGACAGGCGACCCAAATATCAACTGGAACTTCAGAGTTGCGAGATATCACTCGTATGGAACGCATAGGTGCGCGACTGAACTCTTTTATTTGTCCCAACTTTTCCAATTAACGCTGCGTGTAGGTGCCATTCGCACGTACGCGGCTTGGGCCTTGATGAACGGCTCGAGCCACGCGATAACTCGCAAGGGATGGTTGGCCAAGGGAAAGCGCGTAAAGCCGCTGGGCTTATCCTCAAGATGGTCCAAGAGGGTCGGATCGCAGGGCGAGCAATTCTTATGGCCGGTCCGCCGAGTTCGGGGAAGACGCTATCGCTATGGGTGAGTGATTGTGCATTCTCCGTTGCAACAATGGTTAGCTTTTAAAAAAAATCCAAACACGAATTATTCGATTCGATTCTAGGCATGGCGCAAACATTGGGGACTGACGTGCCATTTACTATGATTGCTGCCAGCGAGGTATTCTCGTTGTCGATGTCCAAAACGGAGGCCCTCACTCAGGCCCTGAGGCGGAGCATTGGCGTGCGGATCAAGGAAGAAACCGAAATTATTGAAGGAGAGGTTGTTGAGTTCAGGTTGACCAGAGCTTAACAGGGGTAGGTGATGCTTTCGTTTATTTATGCCTAGTAAACATCGGTTGTGCACGTTTCAGGCGACAAAAACAGGGAAATTGACAATCAAGTCAACGGACATGGAAACTGTGTATGACCTTGGCCACAAGATGATTGATGCATTACGGAAAGAGAAAGTCATAGCTGGGGACGTCGTCATGGTCGATAAGGCTTCAGGGAAGATCACCAAGCTGGGGAGGTCTTTCGCTCGCTCTCGAGACTATGATGCAATGGGAGCAGATGTACGTACCACTTGTTCTTGCTCTTCATCGCGCTATTTACTAAGATCATCCTGTAGACAAAATTCGTCCAATGTCCCGAAGGGGAGATCCAGAAGCGGAAGGAAGTGGTCCACACCGTGTCATTGCATGAGATCGATGTCATTAACAGCCGAACGCAAGGATTTTTGGCGTTATTCGCTGGCGACACTGGTGAAATCAAAGCCGAACTACGAGAGCAGATCAATTCCAAGGTTGCAGAGTGGAGAGAGGAAGGAAAAGCGGAGATTATACCAGGGGTAAGTTCCCAGTGCCGCAGGTCCACTTAAATCCCCCTTCAAAATTGAGGCGCATCTGTTCTAGGTTCTCTTTATTGACGAAGTACACATGCTCGACATTGAATGTTTCTCCTTCCTTAATCGTGCTATCGAAGACGAACTTGCCCCGATTGTTATCATGGCTTCGAACAGGGGGATGGCCCCGATACGAGGCACAAACTTCAAAAGTCCTCATGGATTACCTGTTGATCTTCTCGACCGAGTCCTCATCATAAGTACCCGACAATACGAACCTGAAGATATAGAGCAAATCATAAAGATACGGTGGGTCTTAACCTTCCAACCGTGATTTGGAATATTGACAGCTAGTCCCCAGGTGTCAGGAAGAAGACGTCACGCTAACGGTTGACGCACAAGCAGTGTTAACTTCGATGGCTGTACAGACAACTTTAAGATACGCTCTAAACCTTATTTCCTGTGCCGATATAATCGCTAAGAAACGGAAGGCGACGGCTGTGGACACTGATGATCTTCGACGGTGCTATACGTACTTCTTAGATGAGAAGCGGAGTGTTCAGTGGCTGAAGGAGCAGCAAGGGAGTATGATGTTTGAGGAGACTCGCGATGTCGAGATGCAGTCTTAGAGCATGTAATTCGAAAAGTATCATTAGGCATTACGAGTTGTGTAATTTAGCACTCGCTCCACAGTAAAATGAATGGGTGATAACAAATATTTAATGTATTACATAGATCCTCACTCATCTGCCCGACTATCCAGTTCAGGAAATAATGCCTCGAATACCTAGGAGTGGTTAAGTGCTAAAAGGACAAAGGTAGGAGCAAGAGGACATACTTCATCAAGTATGGTATACGCAATGTGCTGGTTCAGCCGACGGTTCTGCAGTACTGCAAACATCCTTCTTGCTCCTCGCCGAGCATTTGAACGGCCAATCATGTTGGAAGCAAGTGCTGCATCACTTGTCAAAGCAAGGATCACCTAAGCGACAATGCTTACTTACCTGGCATCAGAGTAGATAGTTTCTGTTGTGCATCATCGCGAGTTTTGGCCTTATCCTCTTGAGTTCGCAGAGGTGGTGGTGATCGCCATTGATCGCCTGGCCATAATGTGTCCCTAAGGAGCTTCACATAAGACCAGAGATGTGAGTCATCGAGACATGTCGCCAGATTGTCTCTAAGTTTGCTATCCAGTGCGATTGTTAGGGATAGGGATAATCAAATTAATCAGAATTAACCTACCGTTCGATGGTGCCTCCAAGGACTTGTTGCAGTATGACCACAATTGCCTGACGCCTCAGCCAATTCTTCTTTGTGTCTAGCTCAAACACTGATAGAACCAAATCGCAGATGGGGGCGGTGAAAGATGTGACACTAGCTTCCCCATCAAGGACCTTCAGGTCGCCAGGAAGCTGTAGGAGAGCTTCATCGGGAGACTTGACAGCATTGGCGATAAGGTCCTCATCGTTCGCAGCTGAACCAATTATGCCTGCCACTTCTGCCGCCTGACGACTCAATCGCTGAATCATAATGTCCATCATGGATGGCCCAAAGAACATGTCGTCGATACTCCCTGCCACAGATCGATACACATTCCGCACAATGTCTTGTCCTGGAAAAGAGGAAGATTTGGGGACTATTTGGTTTCCGGCTTCGGTGAAGGTTGACTCGCGTGATAAAAATACCCGAAGCTCATCGCTTTCGCAAACGACGGGGTTGAGAATCAAATCCTAGAGACTCAAAACCCCTGAGTATAGGCGAGGAAGGAAAGGGGCCAGTTCACACAGACCTGAAGATATTTTTCTAAGGCGATACGTCTACCATCCAGGAACGAGCTCGAAAGCGTCGCGACAATTCGCTTCCCAGGAAAATCCAAGTTGCGTACAGAAGCATATTGCTCCTTAAGCTTCTGATGCATAGCAAGGAATTCGTTGTACCTCCGAGAAACCACCCAACCAGAAATTGGCTTTCCCTCAGGGTTCGACTGCTGAACCTCGACGAGGTACTTAATGACCTGCTTCCCTCCCATCTCAGTGGCCACAGAGGACGAAATGACGACCCGAGTACGATCTGGATGAAGGCGGTTTTCCTTCTCCTGAATTTCGTACTGTGTCTTCTGGAATGACAATTCCCTGATCTCTTTGGCCAGTGATGCTTTTGAGCGACTTAATAACTTAAGTTCTGCAACATCACCCGTTAGGTCCGCCTTCCGGCTCAGTGCTTCTAGCATCACTTCTTGAGACTTAAGTTTCTGTATCTTGTCGGCCAGTCGTGATATATCATAGGACAGCAAAAGATCCCCCGGCGACGCTACGTGTACGCCGCTCTGAACGTCTCCATCATCCTCATCTTCTTGATCGCCAGGATCCCTTATCAGGAAGTCTCGGTCAGGGAGGTCCAGATCTTTGTCCATCAGCCTCGTATCTGCCACGCTGCCGTCTCGACCCATGTTCGCGGGCACTGACCCTGAAGGTCGACCTAGTCCGACTTGGTGCTCGCTTGCCGGGCTTAAACGCAAAACTTCATCAGTCTCCGAATTAGAGGGTCTCTGTCGATTGTCGTCGGCTATGAGATCTGTCAAGGCGGTCTGAAGGGCCTCCATACGCTCAGCGTGAGCTTGCTCCTCCCTTAGCAAGTCTGGGTCATCGAAAAGCGGTGCACGGGTGCTTACACCGGGATCAGCCACCAAAAATTCCAAAGCGGCGTTGAAGCGCCTAGATTCCGGAGACGGCAGGGATTCGACAGATCCTGAGAGAGGGGAGTCTGTGGGGGACCTTTCCGGCACTCTTTCTGACTGAAATGATCTGACCCGCGGTCGGGGACTGGAGCGAAGAGTTACATCGCTTCTATGCATTCCTGGCCCACTAACAGTTGGTGGAAGAATGAATGTCGGGAATACACGAGATCGCACGGAATCCGGGATCCTAAATGGAGCCCGGCTTGTTCTGATAGGGCTTGGGCTTGTAATCCGGACAGCGGCATCATTAGACACAGGCTCCAGGCCAGAGTTGTCCTCCAGACGGGCGAGCTCATTTACAACCCGAAACCACAGGTCGCTTTGTTTAAATTCCTCGAAGTCATCCGCCATGTCATCCTCGGTTTGCTTTTGGGTAAGCAGTACCGCATTTCGTACCTTTCTCGCGCGGGTAGGGAAGGCTTCGCGTTCAGTGACGAGTGGGTTGGCGACAAAGGCTTGAATCACATTGACGTGGTGGGGTGAGATGGCATCCAACAGTGCATTTTTCTTGCTTCGGTCTGAAAAATAGAGATCGTGTACCATTCGCACATCGTCTACGATAGAATTCAGAGGGAGTGGCTCCGCAGTCTCATCTGAACGGCTCAATGGGAAATCCGACTCTACAACAACACCCAATGGATCCTTGAACGTTTCGATCGTGAGCCAAAACTGAACGAGAAGGGCCCGTTGGCGACGATCCATAAACTCCATAAAGTAGGAAAGTGTCGCAGGGCTCGATAACACATCCCGAAGCTTAAGACCAGCCGGTACCTTTCCCGGATGCAGCACCGCTGGCGACTATCTAAACGTGTCAATTAGAGAAACCCGCCCAACTCCAAAACTGACCGTCTCATTGGCTCCGCCGAGAACTGTGATGCGGTGCTCAACCTTTGCTTTCGCCGTACAAAGGCGTTGCAGATAAGCAGCAGGGCGTTCCGTCGGGATGTTTTTGGTCGACTCGTCATGCGAGGGGAGCACTATTCATAAATGAGATTGACAACATGCACACCTGCTTGGGAGAAACTGACTACCAAGTAATGTTTGTACTTTTCGTATTTCGGCGTCCACGTCGTTCTTTATTCTTCGCGCGTCTAGTAAGGAATCGCAGCGCTCGATGCCCTTGAGGAATGAGTCAAGATGGGGGGCCCAAGTCGAGTGCTTGATGAACGAAACGAGCCCGCATCACTTGTGGACTTCCGCCGATTGTTTAGGTGGAAAGTTAGACCATGCGTCGGCCCTGGCTGGGATTCAAGCAAATGGCGAACACGAGAGACAAGTTTCCTGCGTATTACATGTGGTCAGCTTCCGCTACCCTCACATGCCAGTAAAGCATACTGTTGCCGGATAGCCGCCCCTGCCTGTAGATAAAAAATCAGACCGAAGTCCCGACAGATAAGGCTTGCACTGCATACCAGTTGATCAATTGTACAATTCCAAAAGTCTGGATCGCCCAACGTGTCCATGATGGGGGCGAATACAGTACAGCAAAGTATCTCCCTAATAGCGATGATAACTGTCCGACTCATGGACTCCTTTTTTGGAAGTAGAAGGGGCAACGCTCGATCTACCAACGAACGGATATAGGCAACTTCGGAATGCTTCGTCATTGTGGACGAGAGATTGTTGACTGCCAAGTGTAAACGAGTGCCCCCACTTGCATAGCGACTGGCAAGCAAAATGTCAAGTTCGTCGGATTGTGTGAGATGCCTTTCTAATCCGGCGCCTCGAAGGGTGTGCTCGGAGTCTCGAAAACGATCCACATGTACGTTAATTTTTGGAAGTATTTGTCGAACAAAAAGGGAGGGAAGGTCTATCGCTTCTGCCCTCTGCGCCAAGTTCTGGACTGACGCTCTCATAGTATCGGAGACAGCTGATGGAAAGGATGGCGATGGCGAAACTGACGTATACCAAGTGAGAACAAAGTCGCGAACAATTAAGACCATAATCTCGTTAACCGCTTGTGAGAACTGGGGATAATTAGGGATAACGGGAGGGAGGTCATGAGGACTGCTAAAGGACCATTGAGAACGCGTCAACACTGCCTGCCAAGCAGCCGGAGTCGTGAAATGAAAGGATTTAGCCGCCCCTTTAAGCCCTCCGCTGACGCTCAAGCGGGTCGCCACAGCATCAATTTTTAGGAAGAATTGTGCTTGAGCGTATAGAAACCATAGAAAGATGAGAGGCGTGCAAAGAACAGCCAGGAGGACAAACGAGAGCGATAGGAGTCTGAGGAACAACACAACAGAAGCAGCGAGCAGCGCGAGAAAACCGAAGGCCTTCGGTTCTGTCAAAGCGCGGGGAAGAGGTGGGAGCATCCCATGGGGCGCCTCACCGTTGCAAAACCCAATAATGGCAGAATTACAATGTAAGTCCGACCTCGAAGCGTGGCAGTGCGTTATCACGAGACAAATCCGTCTCCAAACATCCGTTGAGGCATGAATCTATTGCATCGATTACCCAAATTTCAATACACATTCAGCTCGCTATGTTCTCCAAAGCGAGTCGTATGCTGAGTCTAAGGAACTACTCTGCTACTCTGGATAGCCAGGATATATGGGAGCTAAAACAACTAACTACTCTTGGCCTGAACGGCAATGTAACCTCAGCTGCGCTTGAGCCCTTCTGTGGTCTCCTTGCGATAGGGACTGATCGAGGCTCTGTCCTCTTGCGAGGGAGCTTAGCGGCGTCGTACGATGTTGTTCTCCCGGCCCCCCGTAAACCCTCTGTCAGATTCATCAACTTCCTAGCCAGCCTCCAAAGGATCTTAATAACAGGCAAGTGTCTTCACAACCTCTAGCCATTGCAGCGGTATCGAAAAAGCCTAAACTACTGCTGTTTGAATAATAAGACTCCCGTAACTCGTTTTATGTGTACGATCTCAACAACTCAAGGGCACCATCATTGATTTGGTCCACTGCTATTTCTCACACTGTGAAGTCAGTCAGGTATCACAGATAAAGTTCCATTTGACGAAATCCGTCCATTCCAACAGTGTTGTTGTGACCTCTCCATGTCACTCCCATGTGAGAATTTACTGCAAGCTTTAACCTCACACTAAAGTTTATCATCCAGGCATTTGTTGGTTTAGACAACGGTCAATGCATTACCTTTGATATGGAGCGCTTATGCTCTTCACCTTATACCATTCCCAATCTATGGGCTCAACATGAAGACAGCAAAGGGGTGTTTCGTTCCCGTCACGTCAAGAAGGAGTGAGTGTCGATTACACCTCATCATCACGAGCTGTGTTCATGTTACCAGGCCTACGCTGGTGGATGTGGTTCTGCACCCCCGTGATCTAAACAATATTTTCCTGGCGTATGAAGGTATGCTCGTGCTCATGGCTCTGTTGTTACTTGGCAATCATTCAGAGTGACTCAGGCGGAGTTATTTTGTGGAATATTGTAGGTTATTACCTGTATCTAGGCGCTTCTTTTCTAATACTTAGAACTAGGTCCGCAAGGAAATAGTAAAGACCTATGAACTGACACCCACGGAATCCAGTGTGAAAGGGGTCGACGTGAGTTTGCGTTTGCCGCAGGGAATTAGCTAGGAATACCGATTTTATTAGAGCCACTCTGTGACGTGTCTGACGGTGCATCCGTCGGGTCAGGTAAAGTTTGCGTTGAAGTGCCTCCGAAACGAAGCAGTTAAGCTTTGAGCAGATATTCGCTGTGGGACACATGGATGGCAGTATATCCTTTTGGTCGCTCGAAGAACACACGACCCCACTTGCTTTACGCGTACTTCCAACTTATCGCAGTAGTATTGAAGGGGTTCGTGAACCCATTTTTAAAATGGCCTGGAGCTCATTCCCAACACTGGACGAGTGCAAATCGCTTTTGATGGGTTTGGCATCAGATATGACCACAAAGCTGCCTCGTCTTATTGGGTCTACCTTGGACTACGCTGGGGGTGAGACCGCATTGACCGTCCTTGGAGGCATCCGTAGTAGCGAACCAAAAGGTGTCACGATCGTCCAACTTCCTCCTTATCATCCATCAAACAGCGTTGCCTCTCAACCCAACCATGCGGAAGCTAATCGGAGCGGTTTAGTCGCATCTCTCCAGTCGATTGGCGTGCATCGCTACGTGTCCTGGGAACCGGTGGATGATTTCCTACTGGTGCCGCGAGAAAGTCCACATTTTAATGCAGCCCATGACCCATTATGCATTATCCTCTTCTCCAAATTGCCGAGCCAGTCGTTTGTGACATCAGTTATTCAACCCATGGAGTTTCCACCAGCGTTGGTGTCAATAGATCATGTTTCAGGCAGCGACGAGGGATCACTTCCCGCTGGCAATGCCAAGCTAGAGGCGATCCCCTTCGGCTCCAGTTATCCTAGCACTGGGTCCACGATTCCGAGCCGCTTCAGGATACCGTTCAGCCTTCTAACTGCTGACGATGAGATTCTGGGTGCAAAACTCATAAAATTCGATAAAGCGCTATTTCTTCGCCTTCTTCGCCACTGGGTTGACAGCGGAGTCGATGACGAGGCAGAAGGCATATCTCCAAATGGACGAATCCCTCTTCGCGCCGGAATGGCCGCGCCGAATGATTCAATTCCCCGCGCAGCAAGAGTGAGTCGATGTTCTGACCTGAGGTATCCAGAATCGCCTCATACACATGTACCCACTAGTTTGACCCCTTCCATTTGATGATCACGCACAATCAAGATCTCCACATAAAATTTTATGACTTCAGCCAGCACTTGCTATCATCTTCTGCACCTCTCAAAAGCGAATATCCTCAGCCCCTTCCCCATTTGGAAATCGACCTCGTCAAGTTCATCAGTCATCCGTCGCTGAAGGGTGTTTTTAACGACAGCCAAGATACTGAGGTCAAGTCTATTCACCTCACGAACGAGTCTCTAGAATGCTTGATAGAACTCTCGAATGGCCAAATCTTTGCCTTTGTGTTCAGAGATGGAGACCAACGATACCACGCCGTGCCTAAGACTCCGACCGTCACGTCGGGTCTCGATGATGACAACCTTATCATGATCAGTGATTTGCGTAAGTTTAGCGTGGAGGGTTTCTATCCATCACTGCTGTTAGATCTCAGGCCCTTGGCGGTTTCTTTTATCGTGGTATCCAATGTCGGTACGTCACCTGCGCTCTCTTCTCTTGACAGACCATCAGCAGCGTTTCCCCGTACCAGGTTTCCATGCGGTTGCGCTCAGCAATGGGTCAATTGCGGTTGTCGATATGCGGGGGCCCCGTCTCATCAAACCTCAAAGGGTGACGGAAAATAAGAAAGGTAAAGGAAGAAGTCATGCTGACACCATATCTGTAATGGGCTGGGCGGTGGTTCTGGACGCCGATGGTAAGTGGTTCGATCATTGTCTATTGCACTCCAATAACCGTCCGGCTCAGGATCCGATGAGACGACGCTGCAGCTAGTTGCGGTGACAATAGACGGCTTCTTGGAAAATTTCGTGTTCCGTATAGATGACGAAGGAGTATGGATGATGCACTCATTAATGAAGGACATCAAGATGTCTATCCCAAAACCCGAACACATTTTTCTCATTGATGCTGAAGGAAACGACATTTCCCCGACCCCTTTAACCCTCCCAACGCGATCGTCAAATCAGGCACCAAGATCATCGGTATCCGGGCCATCCCATATAACAATGATCATCTGTTCTGCAACTGAAGTTCGATGCTACAATGGAATCTCGTCAGATAAAATAGCCAAGAATGATTTCCCAGAACCTGCAGAAACTGTTGACCTTATAACGAAATCTGGTCAGTACCTAGTAGCGCATGCTGAGCATCAGCTGATCCGAGATAAAGGACGCCGTGCCTTGGCTGTTTTCTCCAGAACTCGACGTCTTTACGTTTTTTCCGTCCCTAACCTGGAGCCCCTCCACACATTCGCATTACCAGGCGATGCGCCGAGGTTTGTCTTCCTCCCGACTGACGGATACCCTTTTGCACTCATCGGCCTGCGATCCCACAGGCTAGGGGCCATCGGTAGTGACGGAACAGGGCACTACATAGAGGTGCTTCGACACACTACGCAGCAACATCCACACCCTGTCACGCTCAATACCATGTTTGTATCCCAGGAGAAAACACGAGCCCCACCTTTCGTGCACTTCTCTGAGCCCAGTCGCCCACTCCCTCCGCACCCCGTCCCCAATCCGTCGAAAGTTCGTATACTGCATGGCTGCTGGGGCCGAAGATCTACACAGGGAATGAGATCGACGCAGCTAGTAAGCGAGGAACAATACATACACCGCACTTTCATTGATGTTCCGAACAGTTGCTGGCCCGAATCGTCCACCCAAGGCAAGTGATCTTCTGGGCCAGGATCCAGCAGAAACGTCGACCCGCCAGTCATCCGTGCAGCGGTCAACATCTACGACTTCTCAATCCGTTGGCAGCTCTGGCTCGCTGTACGAAAGGTTAACGGCCGCTGTTCAGGAGAGAGGGTGAGTTATCCCCAACATCCTTCATCTTATCTGTTGGATCCTTGATATCTTTCTCAGGGAATCTCTGGGAGGCCTGGAGGAATCGTTCACCTCTCTGGAGAACAAAAGCAAGGACTTAGTGGAGCAGGTAAGATCAGCGTGCCAGTGGAAGAAGCTGTATCTCTTGATTCACTGAGGCATATTTCCAGGCTAAACGGCTAGCTGCACAGAGTAGCGCCCGACGTTTTTTTTTCTGAAGGATGCATAGGTTGAATGCGATGGATCTCAGATATAATTGTCCTTAATTAACTTTGATCGTGGCTGTGCCGTCTGGATCGGCCGAAACAACTATCAACAAGTGAAGGATGTCTGCTGATGCGGCCGGAAAAGCCCCCAATTCGTCTTCGGCGAAGCAGGGAAAGAGAAGCCTTCTCGCTACAGACGAGGACGAAGATGAATTCGACAGTGGCTTGGATGACGAAGTGAGAGAACATCATCGTGACACGAAGACTTCCCCACACAGGGCTTATTCTCACTGGTAGGAAGGAAGTGACTATGAGGAGGATGAGGAAGATGAAGAGGCAGGGTTTCTCACCGAGCATATTTAAACCTTACCTCAGGAATGCTTTCCGCACAGGGACCTGGCCTTTCTGACATCATGGACGGGGTTGGTTTTGCAAACAATCGACTCTTCCCCACCGCTGATTGAGAGCTTGCTCTTTGCAAACGCTGCTTCTCTTAATATCTGCTCTCTTAGGACCTAGAGGACGAAGAAGAGGACGAAGAGTATGACCCTGATTCCAAGGAGGAAAATGGCGAAGATGCAGATGCCACTAGCACCACACTTGACGACAATCCTCCTGCGGGAGATGCTGAGGCCACTGAGTCATCCGGAGAGCCGGGGTCCAGCACTCAGGACGACACCAGAGGTATTTGTTTTTACTTGAAATTTGCTCTCGCTTGAAGACGACTTCTGGGTCAAACAGGAGAAGACAATGAAGGGGATCAGCGACCTACTAAGCGTCGTAGAACTGCCACAGAGGAGGCTCAGTGAGGGTGTTTCCAGCACAACCCCCGCAGCAACTAGGAGTACACAGCATGGACACGAAACTCGATTTGTACTATTCACAACCTGTTCATGGATCCACCGTGCCGCTTGGCGAGATAATCGGTCGGTTTGGATGCCCAGTGCCTGTGGTGTAATAACGCAATTTTCTTCCTTATGTGTATGGCGAGGCTATCCATATTTATCACTCAGTGTTCAGATCTTGATATGCAGAACCGCAGCGACTTGTCCGTTCCCATGAATAGGATGACAAAGTATATCTCCAATTCTCGTTGCGTCAAGGTTACCGCAGTTGAGCCATACACGCCTGATTCGATATTATTTTCAATACTCTGATCGTGGACGCTGAAACAATATAGACGAATTGTAGTGTACTCTGTCAATTACATATGCGTTACAGACTGGAATCTCTGTGTCCGTGTCCTGGCCATCCAATAAATAATGCAAGGCTGTGATCATGGTTTCGTGTATCAGCCCTTCCTGTACCCGCTAACAGACCAGGGGCATCATACAACCGACCATTGCGAGCCGGTGGACCTAGACCATTTCGACAACAGTTTCAATGCAAAAACAATCTCATCTCTAGCATCGCATCCATCCCCCTCCGCAGAGAATGCCCGGGCAGCTGCAACCCGTGCATATGGTAAAGCGATATTGTAGAGATTTGGCCGGGAAGTGTAAAAGAGGGAAGCGACAGTGCAAACTACAGATTACTCATAGCGTTAGTCAGTTCGCACTGGAAATGGTGGAGAAACGAACCAGCAGTGAAGAGTAAGGGACAGCGCATGAGACAATAGGAAACCGTATGGATCTCGGGATTGAGGATCGGGGGATTATTCATTTGATTGTAATATCTAAGCGAAATGGCGCTATCAAAGTGTGTTCGCACGTGAAGGAATGGCAACTGACAAGTTGAATAGATCAATCACTTCATTATGGGTGACGACTTGTTTGGTGATTAGCTCGGGTGCATGGTACGATACAACGGCCCTCTGCGGTGTCGGTGGTGGTATCGATTCGCCTGAGAGTGAGGCCTCTGGAGCATTTCTTCTCGCTCTGGGCCTGGATGTCGACCTTGGAAAATCCCTTTAGTTATGGCATGAACCTTGCAAAGGAACGGATCGTGACCACATACCGACTAGAAGCTGGGTCAGAGAAGGCACAGGGACTGTCACTTTCCCCACATTTCAAGCACTTCTCGTGTTCCTGGGCATCGATAGGGAGGTTGCATTTTATCTTACATTGCAATCAATTCAATGGGACCAACGGAAACGATGAATTCGGCGCTTACATGTAGATTCTTGCATCGCTCGCACGTTCCATTTGGGTGTGCTCTAGTCGTACGCCTCCTGCTATATGCTGGTCGTTTTCTAGGTAAGAGTGAAGGAGTATGAGAAACGGGCTCTGCCGAGGGATCGCGCATGGTGACGTTCTCGACGATCGGCGAGTGGGACTCGTTGGATGAAAGTTCTTCTTCGTTCCTAATAAACATGTTGGTTTCCTCGTCTGCGAGTAGTGTTTCAGGTGTTGAAAATATGGTAGAGGCGCCGAAATTGTACACGGTGTCGGACGGGGAAATCAGGGTGCTCCATGAAGCGAACGATGATGTTTCCGATACATGTAATGAATGGGTGTCTACCCCAAAGAATGAAGATGCATCTAAGGGAGACGATGGGGAACCGCCGAAGGAGGCGTTGAACATAGTTTCAAAAATGGATTGAAGCTCAGTCTCAAGCGGTGTCGTTGGGGGTAGTGGTTCCACTTTGGAAACAATACTTAGAACGAAGCTTCCCGGGTCAAGCAACTATGCTCACCGTTATCTGGAGCGATGGTATGGGGCTGTACCGCGTCCATATGGTCCTTGGAGTATACATCTGACGCGTCGGGTCTCCCTGCTTGAACATCGCGAGCTATGCTGGCGGCACGACGCTGTTGGAGCACGAGCGGATGAGGCATATGATGACAATGGAGGAGGCAATTGGCGACAGCAGGAGGATGTGTTGCATTTTGGGTACTTATGCTTCAAGGAACGATGGAGTAAAATGAATTCGCAGCTCAAAAAGGAAGTCAGATCGTTTTCTGAAAAATATAATTTCATCCATTGGTATTTTTTGTAAGAATTTGTGAATGGATGGACACTGAACTCCGAAACGTTCCCTTAAGTAGATGCATCTTACTAAGACACGAAAAAGATGATTCTTGGTTAATGGTGTCGGGTGGTCCGAGATACCTGAATGGGGAGTGTCGGCAGCCGAAGAACTGCAGACACGTCTCGATCGCGTGATAAGAGTGTACTTTGATGAACGGCTCGATTAGTGAGGTGAAATATCGGTGATGTGCAAGCCTAGGAGTGAAACGCACTCTGGCTCATCTGCTTTCCCTTCGGTACCAAATACCCATGAAATAACTATCATGCACTAGGCCCGCGGGGTCCGATCAAGCTAGAAGCCCAGGAGATCACGAATGACTCCTGTTCACGCGACGGCTTGAGAACCCACTGTTCGGGTCCCTCACCCATTCTCGGGTTGAATGTGCTCAGACTGCTGAACAAAGGCATAGACATTCTGGCTATACGGCCTCCCCGGCGCTGAATGAACAATCCTCCTTTTTGAAGAAGCACTTTGTTTAGTCTGTTAATCACCAGAGTTGACAACGCTACCCTCCTGAAAGTTGATTGTGGACAAAGCTCAAGAGATGTCCGACACGGGTGGAACCGAAGAAATAAAATCAGGCAATTTCTGCTTAAATATATTTCCAGCGCCGCAAGGCGTGTCGGCAGGAATCGACATACGCTCGTAGCGACCATTGCGTTGATTGTAGACCGCTCCAAAGAGAAGCAACGCCATTCTCCTACGAGTCGCAGCCGTGAGATGATAAAGACTCCCCGCTGGTGTTGCGTCTATCTATAGAGGCTGATATCCTGCCAAGTGTTGTAGCAGCGAGGTATGTTACAAGCTGGAGTCCTGCCTAGCGATTAGGCAGCCTCAAGGGACAATTCGGATATCACGTGGCGTTCTTGTCCAAATTATATTTATATTGTTATATTGTTTTCCATAGAAGCATGTAGACCATCTTGTGCGTACCTAGATAAACCATACGCACACAGATCCAGGAACGCGGCGATTCTTGTCTAATGGTCTATCCTGCCTACGCCTCTGCGACGCCGGATGCGGAATTGAATCGCTATCTTTGCAAAAAAAACCACCTTGATTCATTCCAGTTCATGCCCCTGACTCGCAGGCAACTTCTAGCCCCTGATAAGAGGTCTTCGTCTTCGTTGGCGAGAACAGTTCGTGCCATTCATAACATGCAGGCACAATCTCACGCGTATTGCTGAGACCGTTCTTGCCCAGTGCCCAATTCCCTTCTGGCAGATCACTAACCTGATAAGCCACTATGAGTTTAAAGGAACTGCCCTGGCTCGTGACCGTGGGATGTAAGAGCAGACCACGCCCGTGCCTCGCCCCGCTTGAAGGGTGCTACACACCAAAAGTGGCTGCATCTTGGATGCGCTACTTTTGAGCCCGTTTTCGTAAGCAACCGCTGCCGCCGGAAATTGTCAATAACGTAACTTGTTGCAATGTCCGGGATCTAGAGAGTGGCCAATCGACTGTTTATCGTACCGCCTATCGCGCTGCCATATTTAATAGTAGTGATGCCTTTCTTTTGGACGGACATCAGTAATCAACCAACACACGGGCCACGAGGGCCACGCCCGTTGTTCCGGTGGGAAATATTGATAACCACAGCGCTGCTATATTTGGTTCCTGTCATAAACCTAGCTGTTGGCTAGCAATCGGCAAGGTGCGCGCGCGGCTCTTGTGGCCTCGGAACAAACGCTTTAAGGTATGTGTGCTGGAATGCCGAGTGCGTGGCTGACACATTCATGTAAAAGATGCAACAAGCGCACACTCGACGGAGATGTGGCCTATAATCAAACCATCAAACCATCGTGGATGATGCGTGTCGAGATGTTGCCGAGACCGCGGCTCGTTACAGTCATCTCAATTCAGAAACGCCCTGGTTCAACAATGACCGGATCGCTAGGTCCGACTGACACTTGACTTCGACTAAATTCGCACGAGCCTTCGAATCTTGCCGCTCTTGCTCAAACGAGGCTGGACAGAGGATGAATTGAAGACTTCTGGTTTCGCTCATTCTATCGCCTATCATTCATTATCATTTCAAGCAGGATTCCACGGCGACGATAATGGTGTCATTGCTGATTAACACCTCTGGCTGTGAAACAGCTTATCGCTCCCCTCTCACGCAGGACCATGAGCTCCGCTGAACGCGGAACGGCGCTGCGTAGTCACGAAGGATACTTGGTTAGAAGTCGATCTTTCATTTAATTTTAATTTTTCTGGTGAAACACGTGACGGGTCCAGGGAGGTTCTCCTGCCGCGCCTGCAAGATCAACTCCCTTTAAACTAAAAAGAATCGAGCTGGTAGGGGAAATGCAGGAGCGGCATCCAAGTGCCCCTCTGCTTCCCTTAAATGAGTAAGCCCCTCACTTTTCTCCAGTTTCCCTTGGTCTGACCAAAGGCTGTTGCTTTAGATTGTCACTAATTAAATCCCCCTCTTGGTGGCGAGGAATCGCTACCCATGAAGTGTGACTCCTGACCTACTTGTCTCTATCTACGGCTTGGATACATATGCAGACCAATTGCTCGCGGTAGTAGTAATTCTTGGTTCATCCCCGATGCTTTGCATTTCTCCTGAAGAATCCCTTTGTTTCTACTCGGATATACTTGGCGGTAGTGACTGTTCCTGTGGCCCAAACGCTCTACGCAATTTTGAAACTGATCCGCAATAAGACGCCCGTCGGGACTCTGGTGCCACCATGTTGTGTGTGGCCTGCGCGTTGTCCGAAGGTCCGGAACCTCCTCAGTTTTATCAGTAGAGTAGCTGGCACCTCCTCTTTAGGGGATTCAACCTTTGCCTTTGCATGGCGAAAGAGCTTACCAACATCCTTGGGGCATAGGCCCATGCAACTCCAGGGAATCACTTGGGGACCTGAGCTCCGTAATTTACACAGTTCTCTTGCATACTCCGAACAAATTTCTCGAGTTTTTGGGTGGCCACCAGCGCTTATGCAATATTTGTCCTGGGTAGTGGACACTCGCTGTTCCTTCTCACCATTCCATGCGTACCAGTTGCTGTTGTCAGTCCTCCATTCGGTGTGCGCTTATTTATTCCAGGAATTGCACCTCGGAACGCTTCCCAGCTAGTAATCTCCGTCAACATATTTCGTTTGCGCTACTAGATCCATCGGACAGATTCGCTGATATACTCGTGTTTTTCTTATCACCCGAGAAATCTCCCATGGCCGTGATCATCATCGGGGGTCCTTGCGTCGCTATGGTGTCATAGACGACACCAATACAACTGGCTATGACAACGTTTGTGAAATGCATGCTCGCAAAGCACGCGCTTGATTATTTACTTTCGTTCCTTGTCCCTACTCTCGTTGACCGTGTGCATGCATGTTTCGGCGGAGGCCACTGGCGCATTGACGCCCTTACAGCTGAATATGGAATAGTACCGGTTCTCATCTTAGTTGCCGCTCATGGTAATACCAAACCCTTCATTTACTAAATAAGGGAAGGTCTGCATCAAGGCTTTAGCTGAGTGTCACTCGCCTTACCTCATCGTCATGATTCATGTATATGACGTCAGGCTTTCGCCTCTCTTGGTATACGCTGTGACACGTCCAGTGTGTGCTCCAGTCGTCCCAGAATGATTCCGGGGTTCCATGATGGTTGCTACCCAGTAAGCATTCATGTAGGACAATAATGACCGTTTCCCTGCGTTATTGGGGAGACTCGTGATGCTTATGGATCAAAAAATCAGAGTTGGCGATAAAAGGATGGTGGTCAATTATATGAAAATGGGGCCACCACGGTCGATCTCACTGACGGGTCTGAGAAGGAAGGCCGTGAGCGCTGAGAACGTGTTGAAATGGTCGACTGGTCCACTTACCAGTCCAAGCCTTCACTAACGGCATGCCACGTGGCCAAACTCGACGTTCCTGACACGAATCTCATTAACGAAATTCAGGCCAGGAACGTCGAGTCGTATCCAACCAAATCGTCTGAATTGGGATCTGTACTCGGGAACTCTCGCACCTTATTTGGACAGTCCGGACAGCTACTCATTAGTCATGGGATTTTTGAGGATCCGCATATTTGTCTTTGGGTAGTGGACACTCAGTTCTTCTTACCGCCCCATTACCGCCCCATATGTACCAGTTACTCCACCGACTCACTCGTAGCACTCCCGTTCGACTTTATTGACCTCCCAGGAACTTGCACCTACTTTGCTTGCCATGGTGGCCCTTAAAGTCTAGCTTCAACACGCCCCCCTTTTGTTGTTAGGAGCCGCGAATTGGTTTCACCGGTACGCTCGTATTCCCCTAGGTCGTCAGTAGGGTTCTAGAGAAATTTCCCATCGTCAACATGAAAAGTCCTTGTACCCCCTGGAGTACTGTGATACAAACGGGCTATGACAACGTTTGCGAAATGCATGCACTTGCTTGTTCTTGATATGTACTGTCGTTCCTTGGTTCCACCCTCGCTGATCGTGCCCGCCCGTAATGAGATTGAGATCTGTGGTGCATTGGCGCCCATTTTACTTGCCACCGCCTGACCTTATGCATTCAGTTTCTAATGAAAGCTGATAGAGCGGACTCAGCCATCAGGACCGATGCAAACAGCCGCTCCAAACGGCATACGACAACCAAAAGGAATCGTTCCAAAAGAGGTGTGTTGTGTATAGGTTACGCAAACCCGCATGGACCAACATCATACTAGCCGCGAGCCATGCCCCTTTCACGTTACGCTGGAATTCATATCGGCAGTAGCGCATGGAACCAATCACTGCATCTGGATATGGGGCCGAGCGCAGCTGGCGCGTCCACAAAAATCGCAGGCGAACCCCTCTTGAGCGACCCAAACGCGTTGCAGTATTTTCCGTCATCCAATTTCCCATCCCTGCAGCAGCGCGCAGTTCAAATGGAACATCTTGTAAAACACTGACCTCGACAATATTTCCGTGACATGTACACGCTTGGTTCCACATATAGGTAAGGAAGGGGCTACACCAGGAGGGTGGTCTCGATGTGGAAATCAAAACTAACATTATTATTGTTACAAGACCCACATTCACTCTCATGTTACAATCACACCGTATTTGAACAATGAGCGAATCATCGGATCGAATTGCGCCTAAATCCAAAAAGCAGAGCCGACCCGTAAGTTGTTGGAACAAGGATGGAGAAGGAATAATATAAGGACCTTGACGGCGATCGCTTAGCTTTTTGGGGGATAATGGATCCCAGAGCTAGGACAACTGCCAGCCCTTGGAGCAGCTATAGGTGGTAAGGTCAGTTGTGAAGACAATTCGGCTCAACACTGGTATACGCACAAATCGGCACGAATTGACCATCGATCAAGGAACCCTTCAAGTTGAAGTACCAGTAAATTTGATAAAGCACATGGCTCTGGGAGGTGGTGATCATGTCCGTGCAAACCCCTCTGGGAGTATAAGTAACCATTAACTCACGCTATCACAATATAGTGCTGGTGTGTAACCTCCACTTGCAGTTGTCAGGGCATTAGTGAGGGATGACAATGTGAAGGTGGCAGTGGAGCTCGGGGTAATGCCGGCATTAGCTAACCAGGTGTAGGTTGGAAGGGTCTGCGTCATGACCGGCTTTAGCAGAAGTACATGTACCACTTTGCGGGTACACTTTACCTGGAATAATGCTACCGCACGCTCAAAGAAAATGACAGCCTAACCAGCAGAGTAAGCATTGACTCCCACATCGTCAGGAGGATCTAGATGACGTGCCTCTTCGCCAGTCGTGTACCCCGTGATACAGCTGGGCTGCAAGGTGCTATAACACGTTCCATGTGTGCTCCATTCGTGTTCCCAGAAAGATTCCGGAGTTCCAGAGTTGGGCACCCAGTAGGTATCCATATAGGACACCAATGACTGCTGCCCGGCATTGTCAAGGAGGCCTGTAATGTCCGTATAATCGCGGGAGGGATCACACGAAGTGTCGTACGTCAAATCACAGCTGACGATGAAAGCATGATGTTAAGCCATAAGAAAAATGGGGCTCCCATTGATACCACTAACTGGTCTGAAGAGAGATGATGAGTACTGAGAATGTCCTGAAGCCATCAGTGGGCCTACTCACCAGGCCACAATCCGTGGATAGTCCATCTGTAGGCATTGAAGATCCTGAGCAAATGGAAACGACACAGCTATAAGCTCGGACTCACGAGTTAAGTGGACCAGTGGATGGATTCGTATCCCTGGGTTCCATTGAGATCGTGTTTCATCACAGGTCACAGAACATGCCCACCAAAATTGTGTTTGAACGAGTAATCCCTACGGATTGATAACATATGAGCGATGATTCAAATCGTATGGGCAGAGACTCACTCCTGGAGCCTCAAAACAACAGAGGTTCGTCTGGATAGTTGTATTGTGGCAACTGGCTGGTCCCGATGTTCCGCAGTTAGTAGTGGTTCGACCGAACAGTCCCGTCCCGACATCCCTCGGACTCATGTCGGAGCCCAAATTCTGCCTTTCACGTATATACGTCGCTTGAGCGACGTCATATAATTGAGACGCGGCAATAATCACAGAAACGGCGAAGGAACCAAGCATCGTCTGAAGAACGCGACTCAGAGGAGTTCACGAAGGTCCCCCGGGTGTCCTACTCCCCGCTTTTAAGCGCACGGAACGCGTAATATCTGAAGCGGGTTGGGAATAGAAGCGAGATATAGCGGTTGCAGACCCTCTGTATGATATTACGAAGCCATAGGAAGCTGGCGCCCTCCCTATTGGAGACCTCTGCCGTGATTTTACGTTGGGATTGGTGTGCAAGGTAGTGCGTGGTTGGCGTTATTAATTACTCCCCTTGTGCGAAAGGGAGCACTCGAGGCCTCCCATGATATGCCAATTCCACAGCCGAGCGAAGCAGCCAATGATCGTAAGGTATGTAGTATGCATCGCAAGCGAACCTCTCGTGACCTCCACTACCTCATCATACTATAGTGAAGAACGTGCAAAGGAGCGATCCAAGTGATTGCTAAATTTAACATTTTATGGAGCTCGGCAGCAAAGGTTTGGGGGGCTGGGGGTCCACGATTACAATTATGCCAGTTGAAGAGGTTTATTGTGGTCGGCCCATTTTGCTTTCGCGGACACTTGCGTGGGGTCTGGCACACGGCGTCTATTCTTGTTCTCACCGCCACCAATGCATTCCTAAGACATTGGCTTTGTTGCCCCACCGAGGTTTTAATTCAATTGTGGTGTGTCGGGAACGGCTCGCTGCGCTGTGGGCTCCAGCGCACGGCATCTATTCTCGTCTCATCAAATATCCAGCTGAACTGGGCTACTTTTATCTACCGTGCTGTCAAGTGTTAATATTGGGCACCTCTGGTTCTCTTGCATTGTCTCCGACAAGTTTCGGATTGTCACGCCCCTGCCGCCACTGCTGCACCAAAGTCTTTAAAACCCCACTTCTTATGCCGGTCATTCTCGATCGTCTGCATGGCGCGTAATAATAACCCAAATGGAAAAAAAAAATCACTATGGCTCCACCTGTAAGCAGGATTTGACTTCACTCGGGCGGGATATGACATCGGCTAAGGGGTCCACCCATGGCATCCTCTTGTAGAGTGGCTCGGATGTGCGCGAGCGCAGACGTTTCGATCTCAAGTCTAGATAGGATGGTGAGTGACATACAGACAAGAAACCGTGAAAATAATACTTGCCACTCTCCTCCGAATCCTCCGGGATGAAGCCCTTCCTTTTCCTACCTTTCTTTGGGGATGCAGGGACCTAAAGTACAAGTATATGGATGAGATTGGAGAGAAGGCACTACCCTAAACCTTACAAGCCTGCTCAAGTCATAGCAGATGCGCAAAGTAATCCGCCGCTCCTTGACACCATCTGGGCTAATGCAGGCCCTGAGAGCAAGGTGATTGAATAACTCGGCAATGGTGTTCCCGCTCCACTCGGACATTGAGAGTATCGCATATCGTTTATCATTTACATGCCAGTAGAATGTGAGGATGTCGCTATGAATGTTAAATATGAACACCAAAACGATGGAATGGAATGGAATAGAATAGAATAAATTCTACTCACTTTTCGATCTCCGGCAATGAAGGATATAACTTGCCATGACTCCGACAAAATTCGGAAAGGAGGGCAGCCTCCACTGCGGGCACGAGAGTCTTGTTCTCATATGTTTCACAAAGTCGCAAGGGGTTGAGCTGTAGACAGCATATTGGCAATAAGTTAAAACTCAACTATGGGTCATACCTGCACCAATTTATTCTTCTCAGTACTACGAAAACCAAGAACGTAAACCCTGATTGTTTGCCTTTTGACTGTGGCAATTCTCTGCTGATACGCTACACGGTAACGTTGGTTTAACCGTCTTTTAGTTACAGCGCGCCGAAGGGCTTCATTTTGTGACAGACCTTTTGCAAGGCGCTGGTTTAAGACACTTTGATGATGGTGCTGGACCCGCATGTCGAGTCTAGTAACAATATCGTCCGGACGCAGTGTTGGTACACTATCCACTGGAGCCTGAGTGGTTGTGGGGAGTGGTGGAGGATGTGATGGTGCAGGGAGAATACTACCGGAAGGTCGTATATTGAAATGAGCTAGCGTTTCAGCGATGACCGGATCCCTAAATACGCGTTCCGGAGTCCCATGTTTCGCTAGAAGAACATATGAGAGTGTATATGAGACCGGACAGAGGGAATGGGCGTACATAAATGATCAATGCAAGGAGAGCATACAATAATTTCTCGTCGAAAGTAGATACCGCAAACTCGGCATTGCGAATTTCGTCGGGCCTTTACTTGCTGTAAGCCTGAATCGTATCCGTCAGAAGGGGTCGGGGCAACGTACCTCCACTTCCTTGATATTTTCTGCGTCCTCCTTAGGCAAGGCATCAAGAGCGATGCATATCTTGCAGTCTCTGTTGGGTTCCTTGAGGGGAAAGTCCTTCCCACAACCATCGCAGACATTGAACAACATGATATGCCACTAAAAAAATGGCTTAGAACTGGACTGAAGGCCTCTTATATGTTGTGCGTGGCTTAAAACCTTATGAGTGGTTGACAGCCGAGTGGCGTGTGGCGTGTGGCTGCTCAATGGTGACATTAGATTTTCATGATGTGTACATTGGTACGGTGTGCCTCAGGCAAGCCAGAATTAGAGGAAATCAAGACATAAAGGGATGGCAGGCAGGCAGGTATGACTAAAGCTTGAGAATGCAGTGAAGCACAAGAATAGACGCCGTACGCAAGTGTCCGCGGAAGCAAAATGGGGCCGACCAGGGATCAATAAACTTCTGGGTACAATCGTGGATTCTCAAACTTTGACCTAATCGCTCCCGAGCTCCGTACCTCATGTGCGGCGCTTGTGGTTGAACATCGTCGCAAGAACGTCTCATCCGAAGACAGGAGAAGGGCAACCAATGACAGGACGGGACAGCCTTTGATATTAAATAATAGCCGAAGCCGAGGGCTTGCTTAATTGGCCTAGACCGTGCGCAAATTAAGAAAGCTATTGTACAGGTTGTTCAGTTTCCGAAATTACATAAGTGGATCACTGTTATCTAATGAAGCGTTTGATATGCCACTCTGATAATATTGGCCAGGCGCCTTTCCCTCCATCCGACCCGTGATCTCCCTCTAATTCGCTTCCATGGAAGCGGGCCACTAATTTGAAGACCTACGAACCCCTCGTGTATGCTACGATGTAAGGGGACAAAGAGCCGTCGATAGCCGTGCTGCTATGCGACAACAAGATCGTGGTCCAGGGGCAAGAGCAAATGGCGGGGACACCGGTCACAATTCACTCATCCGTGAACCGACCCGCGGAGTTCCAGTGCCCCGTGAACTTCACTGAATACACAGTCGGCGAGGAAGATAGTTGGGAGCTTTATGTGAGTACGCAACACTGTCATCCACTCGAGTGGCTCAGGCCTTTACGCTATCTATCGGAGCCATTTCCTTGTAGTAGGCAGCTAGCTAAACGCATGTGCATATTATAGCAAAGGAAGACGCGAACGACTAGAAAGCAATTCATTACTTGACGCGCGGTCAGCGTTATTCCTGCCTATTAGGTTCACTAAGGGTGAGCTGCCTGCCACCAAATGCCCCCTTCAACACACGCCTCCGTGATCGCTAACCACGGATGCGCCATGCGTAGGGATCCCAAAATCCATTATTTTCCCTCTTGGTTCAAGATACTACGGCACGCTTTTCTGGGCCTCCTAATGATCGCTCGCAGGCCTCAGCTCCCCCTCCAAGCATCCAGATCACGACATGGATGAGATATAAGCCTGAGGAGATCAATTAATCCCACAAGCCGGCGTTCATCATGGTAATATTGTGACGTGCGCTGCACTCTTCCCTGATGATCTTCTATTGCACTCGGGTTTGGCAGTGGTATCATCGAAGCTGCTGACATTGACCATCAGCGCACAATCTGCCGATTTCAGTGCGATCCAGCCAATCTCCCGGTCTGGATTGAATTTGTCCATGGTAGCCACCGAGTTGCTACCGGGGATAGTGATGGGAATATCACAGTCCTCGGGTATGGTGCAACCCCTGTGAAGTTTGGCATTCTTCTCACTGGTTCCAGCCCTGCTGGAACCGCTATCTCAGACAATGGATTATTCACCGTACGAGTCTGACAACTTTTGGTGCGATGGCACATATCTATGGGGATCCATCCATTCGGCTCCTCACCCATTCTCCAACTTCAAGTTATCATATCTGCTTTCCCTAGTATCCAGAGTTCCTCACCGTCGGTTCTCTCCGGGGGGCATGATATGTCGGCGCGTTCTCAGCTTTCGCGTGGTCAACAGAATCATGCGAGTTTATTGCATGTTATTATGTGATGGTGTCCAATTCTTGGATCATCAATCCCACCGTCTCTCCAACTTGCTCATATCTTATCCCTGATCCTATGTTCACTCCCCTTAGCGGAAGGCAACACGGCTTATGTACATTCCGAGGCAGATGCAGGGCGTGACTCTGAAGGATCAAACGCCCAGTTTATGACCTCTCGCCAAGCAACCCGGACAAAGTTGGGTTCTTGGGTACGGGGGGATGCGCCACCACTCACAGAACGACAAGAGATGGTCCCTCCGTATCCATTCATCTGCAACAGGGGGAAACCCACTCGTCGATTCCTCTCATCAGTGTGCTAGAATTTCCACGGGAACATCGACCGATCACTTCCCAGAAAGCCTGGTACGGTCATCGAGTTTCGTATGATGCTCTGGATCTCTACCGCCCTCGGTCCAGCAGGGATGGAACTCGATTCCTGCTCCAAGGCAAGCTGAGAGCCCCAATTGTCGTCGATATCAGCCAAATAGTTTTGCATTTACCAGTGTGTCCATTATTGCATACCTGCCACTCAGTTGGCTCTTGAATTGTGAACAGTCTTTGAAGTGGATAACCTAATATAGCGTAGGAATAGCCGAGGAGGTCTTGGCGACATTGGGGCGTTGATTTTCCCAAACAAGCTGCTCGGAAGGTTCCCCAGGAAATCCTTCAGTGAACGCGAAGGGCGTGTCACGCGGAGGCACTGGGGTGATAGGACTCCCCATGAGCAGAAGTAGTAGAGGGAATCGAGAACGCACAATTTCCAGGTAGGGACACCCATTGTGGCGCGCTCGTGTGATTGTCATCTGAGAGTACAGAGATCGAGATAGTATTTTGTACGGATGGGACTTCATCACTCGAAGTATTAATCCACCCAGTCTTGAGGACGAAGACTAGGTATCCCATGTTTTAGAACGACAGCGAAATAGGATACCTGGATGTCTGCTTACGTAAGTAATTGCTGCAAGTTTGAGTCGGCGTCACACAAAGACATTGATGCATATTGCTGGAGAGCGGATAACCGAGAGGGGTGACGAGGTGGACACTAGATGAGACTCTGATGTTCGTATGTGCAATCAATTCGAATATTCGGACGAGATTGCGTTTGGTGGTCCGAACCTCAACGATGAACACCATCGCTTGAAGGGAGCGTAGTAAACACAAGTGGGTTTTTTGGATTTTGTTATTGCTTTTGGTGGCGTAGTTAACAAACCATCGCCGACAGAAGGTGCTTCAATACGTATTGTCCTGTTTTGGCAGTGGTCACTGCTGCCTTATTTGTCGTGCAGCTCAACTTTCTTCTTTGCTCACAACACTCTCTACGATTGCTGATATACGATGCCTAATCGATTGAAGTTTTTTAAAAGGGGGCACTCTCCTGTGCCTCCCGGCGGCCCATCGCCACCCTCGACTTCCGTTCCCAACCTCCAGATCACTTCTTCTCCAATTGAAAGCGATGCAACAACTAGCACAGACCACGGTGGATCTGATAGATCTCATCTTAAGCCTTTTACTGCTACTGGTGGTAGTTCTCGAAGCCGGAAGCAGCGGAGGTCTGTTCGGCACGCTATAGATCAGCTGTTCAGCAGAAGTCCCAGCCCCGATCCCACTCATATCGACCAATCGAACTCCTCCGATCCCAGACAATTTGACTCCTCTGCGCCCGATCTGCCATCCCCAACCGTCCCTGCTGGTGACGGAAAGAAAACAATCATTGCCGCCACAAGGCTCGTCCTCCAAACTGCCGCCTCTGCTCTTAAGTTCGTCCCTATTCCAAACCTCGATCAGATACCAAGTATACTCCTGACATGGCTCCAAGTTTACGAGGTTCGCAGGTTGTTGCGATTTTGCGATCTAATGAAATAACCTCCATGTTTTCATGCAGACGATTGACAACAATGACGAAAACCTCAAGGGATTAGACGATGAAGTTAGAAAGGCTCACGAAACGATCTTTAGACCTCTCCAGTTGTGGACTGGCCAAGTTCCTCCCGAAATAAGTGATCTGATTCAACGATTTAATTTGTATGTGCATTTAAATCATCGTTCTCTCGCCCAAATCTTGACCCTCGGTTACAGAGCTCTAAAACAACAAGTAAAGCAAATAGAGGCACTCAAACGTCAAAAGCTTGCCAAGAGGGTAATTTTAGCGACTGAAATAACCCAGGAAATAAGCGCCGTACAGTCGTGCATCCGTGATGCCATCTCCCGCTTTTCGGTTCGTCTCTTCTACGTTCAGGCCATTAGAAGATTGACTGGGGGATTCTCCATAGACTGCTGCGACAACTCTAAATCTCCTTCACACAATTCGGTTATCGGTGGACTGTTTGTTGTTCTCCATTGATTTCACCGTTTGGAATTTAATGAACATTTCAGATGAACTCTCAAAACTCCACAAAGCAAATGCGGGATATTCTGCCGTGAAAAGCAAGTCGGAGTGCCTGGAAAGTACGCGTGTCCAGATCCAGGAATCGATACTCGATCATTTAGAGAACCGGAAGCACCGATTTGTCTGGCTTCGTGGCTCTCCGGGTACGGGGAAGACTGCTATATCAATGAGTGTTGCCTCGGCTCTTAACAAGCAGGGACGCCTGGCAGCATCTTTCTTCTGGGACAAAAATCGTCAGGGAGAAGGACTTGCTTCGATTGAACACTTTCCCTCTACTCTTGCACGTCAGCTTGCCTTGTTTAACGCCGAGTATGAAGGTCTTCTTGTCAGCCAACTCCGACAGTCCCTGGCACTGAAGGACCTCCGACTGGAGGAGCAGATGGGATCTTTGATTGTCGATCTCATACACAAACTCTTATCTTTGCGCAGGGAGCGCCCCGTCATTATCTTGGATGGACTGGACGAGTGTGGGGCTCAGGAAGAACTTAAGTCCTTAATGAAGCTAGTACTTATCCTTGATGAGCTGCCTCCCGCATTTGCCGTGTTGGTCAGCTGTCGGCCAGAGTCATCCGTTGTGTCGGCTTGGGTTAGAGCTCGAGCTCAGGGTCTTGTCATACCTTGTGAAGACATGGACATTGTCGCCGAGGAAGAGAAGTTTCACACTATCCACCGCATGGTGGAGGAAGGCCTTCGGGATTGCATCGATAACTCTTCCTGGAAACCATCAAAAGAAGAAGTGGATGTGTTTGTCTCAGCATGTCGTGGATTGCCAATTATTGCCTCAATCCGAGTCCGGGATGTCTCCTTTCAAACCTGTCGTGGTGCAACCCTTCGATCCGAGTTCGAATACTTTCGTGATTTGATCGATGCCCCTGAAGACATCAATAAGGAGTACCTGCGTGTACTTCGCCGTGCCTATATAGTCGGTTCATCTAGAGTCCGTACACATACAGCCCAGAAGTACCGCCAAGTGGTTGCGACAATCAACGCGGGATTCGAGCCACTAAGTGTGTTTTTTATATCGCAGCTGTCAGGAATTGCCGAGGAAGAGGTCCTAGCCATATTGGATCCAATTCGCTCAATTGTTGATCTTTCTTCAAAGAGTGGCTTGGAACGTTCTTCGGAAAGTCCTCCAGAAGGTCCTCCAGACAGTCCCTCAGAGGATATCCAGAGTGTCAAATTCTATCATGCAACGATGAAAGAGTTTATAACGGGGGATCCGATTGGTGATGAAAATGACGAAGTATTCTTTATCAGGGATGCGAATAAGTATTTCATCGGACTGCCACTCCTCCGATTTTTCAATAATAGTTGTGAGCAGGATGTGTTTGGGTTGCCCACTGTTCTCCCTTTAGGAGATAAGGGGAAATGGAGCGATTTTATGGGGGGAGAACGCCATCTCCCTCATCATCTCCGATATGCTCATGAATACTTATTGAAACACTTGGACTCCTCACAACTCTTGGCACGAGGGTCCGATTTGCAGAACGAGTTTAATACATTCCTCACACGAAACTTGGTTACATTTATGCACCTGGCACCGGATGATGAATTGGGTGGGGGATTCCCTGATCAATTGGGCGGGGAATTCCCTGATGGATTTGATGAATTCAAGGTAAATAAAATCGTTGTGTCGCGATTATTTTAATATGATGTTATTTTTGACAGAATTCCGATTCATTCAAACTTTTGAGAGAAGCTCGAGAAAAGCAATCAGTGAAGTATTCGTCTTTGAAGGATTCGGTATATAGTGTAATTTCCTGGGAACCATGGCACCTCTATCGATCGACCCTTCCTTTCACCCCGTCCTCATCACCTTTTCACAAACTGTATGGCCACCTCTCCGATCCTGTCCGGATCTTCACCATTTCCGGCGAGTTTTCTGGGCACAAAATCCCATTGAGTGAGGATTTACTCGATGCTCGAATGGTCATGGAGGCGAAGCTAGGTAATTTGCCAAAGAAGGCTGATAGTCAGGATGTTTATGATGCTCAATTCAACGACCGTGATGTTTGTAATGGTATCGTGACATGCGCAGCACTCTCCCTTGATGGTCGCCATGTAGCTCTTGGTTTTGGTAGCGGTGTCGTCGAGCTTGTCGATATCGACCATCAGTGTACGATTTCCCGATTCGAGCTCGATCCACCCAACCATCCAGTCTGGATCGAATTTGTCCATGGCAGCCACCGAGTTGCTGCTGAGGACAATGAGGGGAACGTCACCATCCTTAGCCACGATATGACTTCCATTAATATCGGTACTCTTCCCAACAATCCTCTTCCTGCTGTAACTCGAGTATCAGATAATGGATTATTTATCATACGGGTTCCACGGAACGCTGATAGTTCTTGGTACGACAGCATGACCCTCATATCCATTTCGGGTGACCCGCACATGCAGCACCTTGCACCCCCTACTTCCAATAGTTTCACTCCAACTTCCAACCCTCCTATCTTAGCTTCCAAGTCTTCTACTAGGTCCTCTGCATTCCCAGTGATCGCTATTCCTCACCGTCGCACGCTTGGGTTTTCTCCGGCCGCACGCTATATCGGCGCTTTCGATGGCCTCAGCGCTTTCACCTGGTCGACAGGTTCAGGTGAGCTCATTGCGAGTTATCGTGTGACGGATTTCGATTTTTGGATCATGAATCCTGCTGTTCCCCTTGCCTGCTCTTATCACATCCCTGATCCTGTATCCACTCAGCCTACCCTTTCCTTGACAGAAGGTGAAGCAGCAGATATACACCATTCCAAAACGCGCACAGGGCATAACTTGGACGAATCCTGGATCAAGTGCCCATTTTATGTTCTCTTGCAAAAGGAGAAAAAGCGGGGGATCCGGAAGCAGCCATTTTATTCGTCCGCTGCTGGAAGAGCTCCACTGCTCGGAGCCAGTAGAACACCCGGCGAGCTATCAATGTTCTTCAATGGCAAATTTGAGCTCGTTATTCCCGAGCAGTACCACCCAACCATCCTTTCTGGTGCCGAACGTCCACCTTGGTATGGTGATAAAGTGCCGTCTGATCCTACCCATCTGTACAGCCCTCGGTCCAGCAGAGATGGGACTCGATTCCTCCTCCAAGGCCGGCAGACAGCTCCAATTGTTGTTGATCTTAGCCAAGTCGTTTAGGATGTTCGTGGTCAGTTGCAATATCTTCCTATTTACCTTTGCGCGTTCTATCCACTGTTAGAGGGGAATCGCAAAGTTTCACTAGGTCGCCCTTCCATCTTTCTGGACTTCCCTCGGACGAGGTCCCCTTTCCCTAGGGTGCAGTAGGTATAGATAAAGTTTGAGGACTTCAACAGACCTATGACCATTCCTTACACTGTCGTTTAGTCTCAGGTCGAGCAAAATGAGCCAGAGACTTTTTCGATTTTACTCTTTTCATGGCACCTTGATACGCTTTCACTCTGTATCAATATACCTGCCCACCTGACCGAAGCAAATACCCCGTTACCACTCCTTCGAACTTGCTAAATGATCGATATTTCCTTTCCCAGTTCAATCATTTCACCCGACGTTCATCCTCAGCTGCATATAAGTAATGTAACAAAAAGATTGACGTAGTAGAAGTGCTAGATGTATGTGTGGGCGAGCATTTAATGAAGATCCCTACTAATACTCACGAGATATGGGGTCAAGAGTGACAGTCTTTGCATCGTGTTAAATAACGCCAACATATGGGCGACCCTGTCGCCCACGAACTTATGAGACTCGAAAAGTACCTCGTTCCGCCCCCTGTCCCATCCCAGCCTAGTTGCGCCGAAACCTGTGGCCAGCAAAAGTTGGAAACCAAAAGAGGATTTGTGTCGCATTCAGATTAATCCCAAGACTAATGGGCAAAGAAGTATCCTTGAGCCCTCCCACCCACGGTAGCAGTTCTCGATGACTTTCATCCTGGAATCATGCATGCCAGGAAAGAGCAACTTTTTTTTATCAAACTGTTTATTGTGTTCGGAACCCGACACGCCAGGATCCTCGACGTACCAGCATCAGACTGGGATGGCCATTGATCCAGACTTAAATGGGAAAGTAGAGAGTGTAGATCTACTCAATCGTTCCAACTTATGATGGCAATTGTGAAAGTACGTCCGAGTATCTGTACGTGATGACTCACCAGAGGAAAATGGTCTGGGGTTCACTCGGACGAACGAGGACGAGTAAGTACTCCCACCTATTATTGGAATATCAATGTGCATGCGTACTGATATTTTCTTTATTGACGCGATATCAATTGAGGATATCGTATATACCTCTTTGTCTTGATGCACTCTTCATTGCCGGTTATAGCAGGCAGTCGCTATAAGCGATATTAGCGCTAGGTGTATAAAACACACTGTGCGCGGAAATTTTTCACACCCCCTCAGTTCTCTTGTTCGAGACTGAGGTGATATCCTTTTTTCTTTTACTTTATTCCTTGTATGCGAGTTCTGACTGTATTTACAGACCGCGCGTATAGGTAAAGGAACAATAAACTTAGTTCTCTTGTTCGAGACTGAGACCGCGCGTATAGCTTCTTTACTTTACCTATCCAGATCTGTTATTTTCTACGTCCGCTGAAGCTTGCAGATTGTGAGAGTAAGGAACAGAGAGCGAGAGCCAAGCAGCATTGATCTGCGCAAGCAGAAATAAGTGTCACCATTGAATACTCTTGCGACGATCACTTGATATCATCTGTACTGTAGTAGTCAGGGCTTGAAGCGAGGGTGTGTGTGTCGTGCGCATTGTACCATTGCTTCCGGGGCTCCCCTGCTTGACTTTGACCTCGACTTTTATGTATATTACAGCGGCGCACGTAAATTCGGCCAACGTTCCGTTAGAGCATCGGGGCCCTTGTTCGGTATGCTTCCCATTAACAGGCTCGCTCAGAGTTCTGCTTGTCCCTGCAACGCGCAATCAACTTACATCAAGAATTATCCCTTCTGGCCGTCTCGTCTCGCCTCCTGCCGTGTTTCGTGGGGGTTTGGCGCATCCACTTAGGTGCCTTCGGCCTCGCCACGACCTAAGCCCTTCTTACGAGAAAATTTCCTCCGCAAGTGTGGAATGATTGCTTTCTATCAGTGAAAGATACATTCCTGGGTGGTGCGAGAGTGCTGCTTTCGGATATGTAGAGCTCTTGCCAACTTCAAATGGTAGCCGTTCAGAAGTTCAATGGTGGGGGAGTGACGATCTACGATTCCCGAGTACCATTGCTTCTCACTGGCCTCACTCTGAAGAGTACGAGCGTGCGATGAAGCATGTGTCGCCAAGCAGACCTTCAAAGACCATGTGGGTTGGAACCATCATAGATTTTCGAATTAACAATGGCGTAATCTATCTCTTCCTATTTAGAATGGCGATATCCCTTTCTTCGAAACAATCATTCGCTACCTAGGCACGTATTGAACAAGTCCCTTGAACACCGACACTCGACATCGACACACGCTATCCGTATTCTCTGCCATCGCTGACCAACTTATCACATCAGCAATCACACAACGTGTTGGTCAGGAACGATCGATACTCCTTGCGGGGGTCGCCAGATGCTAGACGGAGTTCAAGTACTCCTCGCGCATCTTACTGGACGAAAGGAGTATTTCCTTAGATCAGACAAAGTCATCGACGTTCTGCAGGAGACGCAGACGAATGATGGGTTGTAGAGTAGATTTTTTGGAGGTTGGAAAGCGGTACTCAGCTTGGTTGTTGGTGTGTCACATATACCTTCATCCAACCGGCTTTGAAGACAAATGCCGCGATCTGGACAAGCCCAAGACAGCGCGGTAAGTGATAACCTCATCCCATAGTGGCATCTCTGATTCATTGAGGTGCCTTCCAATTTCAGTACGAATATCTGCTGAAAGGTTACCTCCTCTCTGGAAAGTTCGAAAAGCGACTTTTGGACATGTGTAAGACTTCCGTTGTTTACAGCCCTTCATAAAACTGCTATTTAAATCTCGAATCCGTAGAAGGCGTTATAAACAATATCTCTCTCCGACTCGTGATCTCCTCTACGTCACTGCCATGGAAGCGGGACGTCCCCACCACCAATTCGAACACCTCGCGTGCTTTTTACGTGGGCCTCCTCGCGCTCGGCGTGGAGACACTTGGCTCGGGACTGACACAAGAACAATCAGATCCCACTGGGCCGCTGAAGGACTAACGACTTCGTGCCACCTGGTATATGCGGAGGTGGAGAGTGGTTTGGGTACTAAGGTGGCGCAAATGAGGATTGACGTGAAGACGCGGTCCGTAAAGGAGTTGGAGGAACAGTGGACGTCCAGGAGGAAGTTCCACCGGGTGAGAACCATGGCTTCGGCGCGCAGGGATTGCTATATAAGAAATAATGTAGGAATAACTGAGGAGTTAGGTCCTAGCAACATGGGAACCAATTAGGTCCTATCGCCACTCGGATCGTTCCCCAGGAAATTCTTCGGTGAACACGAAGTGCGTCACATCCTATCACGCACAGCGGTGAAGGGATTCATAACAGGGGATCCAATTGGTTGTGAAAACGACAGAGTATTCTTTTTTAAATGGTATTTCCTCGGACTGCCTGAGTTGTCAACAATAATGAGCCAGCTGTATTTGGGATGCCCGCTACTCCCATTTTAGGAGAGGGACGGCGATTTCGTTCATTTACATCATATCATGTGGGTGATATCGTGCCTAAGTGCTTTAACGATGCTGATGTCATTTTCTGATAGAATTGCGATTCATTCGGGCTCCGAGAGGGGCTCAAAAGAAGAATCGCGCATGATTCCAATTTCGGAACAGTCATCTTCAACTACCGAACTGTTCTTTGCTTTCATGCCCGTTCAGCCGCTTCCCCTCCTTCCGTCCCTTCCATTTCCATCCTTCCATTCAAATCCTTTGTTAGCCAACCCTCATTGCCGCACGTTCGGGTTTTTTCTCGGTTTACAGAGTTGGTTGCGCGTCATCATGAAACTCAGTTCTTGGATTATGAATCCCCCTTGCTCATATCTCATGTATTCCTGATCCCGTGTCCACCCGACTCACTGAAGGACATGCGACAGACATCCATCATTCCGAATTAGTGGACGCAGAGTAGACGGGTCCTAGGTCAAGCATGCATGAAGACCTTGGCGTCTATTCGCCTGTTGCCGGAAGAGTCTCGCTATTGTGCACCGGAAACGAGTGAGGAGCTACTAATATGGTCCAACTGCAGAATAGAATTCTCTGCCGCGGTGATCTTAGGGTGCATGGCGACAACCGTCTGAGAGCGCCTTCGTACGGTAATCGAGCGCCGTTTCTCTTACCGCCTTCCATCCAGCAAGGATGGAACTCCAAGGCCGGATGACGGTTCCAATTGTCGTCGATATTAGTAAAGTCGTCCAGGATGTCCGCGGTCATCGTCACCCTTAGCCATGGTATCGTCCCCGTGAGTCTTGATATTCTCCCCAACGGCCCCTTCGTGCCGGAACATTGATGTCAGAGGCCTTGGTACGACAACATGTCGGCAACATGACGCCTATACCGACGACCCGCACGTTTTCCTTCTGACCCTTCCACTCCATCCTTCCACCCAAATCCTTTGCTAGCCCTTCCTCGTTGTCGCGCGCATTGGGTTTCCTTCCGGAGCATGGTATTTTGGCACTTGCGATGGAGTCAGCGCTTTCACTCAGTCGACCGAGTCGGGCGAGTTCATTGCCCCTTACAGCGTTACGAATGTCAGTTCTTGATTTATGAATCTCACAGATCCCCACCACTTGCTCATATCTCATCCCTACTCCTGTATCCCCTCGACCCAATCCTCCCTGGTGATTCAGCAGACATGCACCTTTCCGAACTGGATGCGTGACTCAGATGCATCCCAATTTACGGCCTCCCACCAAGCCCGCACGAGGACCTCGGCGTCAATTCGTCTGTTGCAGGAAGAACACCCATTGCTCTGGATAGGAAACATGGTTTGATGGCGGAACAGAGTCCACTGTCTCCATGCGGTACCCGCCGGTTAACGTGGGTTGCGTCAACCAACTAGGAGCCTCATGTGGTGATCGAATTGCCGTTTGATGCTACGAATCACGAATCTCTATCACCTCCGGTCGAGCACTCCAATTGTCGCCGAAATTAGCGGGTCGTTTAGGATGGGTCACGGGTCATTGCGATTCCTTCTTCTCCACTTGTTAGTCGCCTAGTTCGAGCGGTTTTCTGTCACTGCGTCATACATTGTCCTCCGATTTGTACATCATTTGCGCTTGACATTTTATAATATTCATAATAACCAGTCAGTTGTGAACGGCAGGTGAAGGGGGAACAGCATCCTCTTGCTCTGAAGTCAAACGGCGAAGCGCCACCACCCCAAACAAGGATCATACAAGATTTCCTTGCATGGGGATCAATTGAGCCAAGCGTCCTCCCGGCATGGGTTGCTGCACTCATGGAATCCCCATCCGACAACCTATGGCCCATTGATAAACATTGCTCCTACGATACTGGCAGAGATAGTTTGAGGACTGAAGGTGCTTGCGAGCACAAGGAGCCGCATTCCGAACAGATTGTCTTTCGTTTGCCATGAAGCTCTGTACTTGAAAATTTCTGAGCGGCCGTTCATTGTTATCATCCCGTTTATTTGACCTTTCACCTTGCCGGTGATGTTCGATGTTTTGGATAGATTCAAACAGGTTGGAAGTAGAGTGGGTTTGTTGGCGGAAAGAAGAGGAGACAAATTACCTTTTGAACGTTGCGGGGACGCTTTCCAGTCGGTGGCTCTGAGGGAGAGCTAGTGACGGGAAGGGATGGACGGACCGTTTAGCGTGTTAAAGAGTAACAACCTGATGGAGCTATGTTGACGCGTCAACGCGGAGACGGTGGAGTGACATGAGCAGAGGACACAGAGGGAATCGATGAAGTAGAATTTCTAGGGAGGGGAAGGACTAACAAGAAGTCCATTGTGGTGCGCTCGTGTGATTGCCGTCTGAGAGTATAGAGCCTGAGATCGAGATACTCTGTACGGATGGAACTTCGTCATCACTCCAAGTATTAACATCTTCTACCCACCCATTCCCAAGGATAGTAGCACTTGATATGCGGGGGAAGACTTAGGTAAATTCATGTTTTAGAACTCCAGCAAAATAGGATACCTCCGATACTTGGATACCCGGAGGTGCGAGGTCGCCAATTAGAGTTGAGGGAAGCGGACAACCGCAGAAAGGAGTCCAACAGTAATAGTGCAAGATTGGAATATTGATATTTTTCGCATCAGTTCTATTACTGGCCAGTGGCCCGACAAAAATAGTGGATGCCTTGCCTGGTAAGTAATTGCTGCTGAAATTTCGTCTAGGTTTGTGTCGCCATTAACACAAAGCCATCCAGTCAGACACAGCCCACCATCAATGGCTTGGATCCCTATACGAGGAGCTGGGAAGTCATCTAGAGCTGTTCTGGAATCGAAGCAACCGGGCTGAAGCGTATTGCTGGATGGCAGTGGAGAGGGAACAACTGACAAGGTGGACAACAGACGAGACCCTGATGTTTGTGTGTGCAATCAGTTTAATATTCGCGTATAGGACAGTTCGCTATGGCAGGAAACACAAGGCTGCGTTTGGTGGTTCGAACCAAATAACTATCAACGACAGCGACAATGCTAAAAAATTACTTACAAGGGAACGTAGTAAACACAAGTGGTTTTTTTGGATTTCGCTATCGGCCCCAGATAGCGTAGTTAACATTCCATCGCCAACAGAAGGGTATTTCAATATTTGTTGTCCTGCTTTGGCAGTAGTTAGGACAGTACTGCCTTATATGTCGATGTGTGGTCGAGGGCGGTTCAACTCTCTCCTCTCTGCCCACAACGCCCTCTGCGATTGCTGATACACGATGTTTGATCGACTTAAGTTTTCTAACAGAGGACACTCTCCTGCGCCTCCCGGTGGCTCTTCGCGACCCTCGACCTCTGTTCCCAGCCTTCAGATCACTACTCCTCCCATTGAAAGCGTTGCAACAACTAGCACAGATCGCGGTGGATCTGATAGATCCGGTCTTAAGCCTCTGACTACTACCGGCGGTAGTTCTCGAGGCCGGAAGCAGCGGTGGTCTGTTCGGCACACTATAGCTAAGCTGTTGAGCAGAAGTCCCGGTCCCGATCCCACTGATATCGACCAATCGAAGCCCTCCGATCACAGACAATCTTCCCCTTCTACGCCTGACCCACCACCCCCTAATTTATCGCCATCTCCCGTTCTCCCTGAGGGGGCCATCGATATCCCTCACATGATGCCCCACGAACCCATCATCCATAACAACACTGAGACACCCCACCCACCACCAGGACGCACAAGCGTGAACTCAGATGCCCCATCGTCAACAGATCGGACACCGTCATCTTCAGCTGTCCCTGCTGGTGACGGAAAGAAAACAATCATCGCCGCCACAAAGCTCGTCCTTCAAACTGCCGCCTCTGCCCTTAAGTTCGCCCCTATTCCAAACGTCGATCAGATACCAAGTATACTTCTGAAATGGCTCCAAGTTTACGAGGTTCGCAGGTGTTGTTGCGATTTTGCGATCTAATGATATAACCTCCATGTTTTCATGCAGACCATCGACGACAACGACGAAAATCTCAAGGGATTAGACGATGAAGTTCGAAAGGCTCACGAAACGATTTTCAGGCCAGTCCAGTTGTGGACTGGCCAAGTTCCTCTCGAAATAAGTGAACTGATTGAACGATTTAACTCGTATGTGCATTCATTCATTGTTCTCTCGCCCAAATCTTGACCCTCGGTCACAGAGCTCTAAAACAACAATTAAAGCAAATCGAGGCACTCAAACGTCAAAAGCTTGCCAAGAGGGTAATTTTAGCGACTGAGATAACGCAAGAAATAAGCGCCGTACAGTCGTGCATCCGTGATGCTATCTCCCACTTTTCGGTTCGTCTCGTTTATGTTCAAGCCATTAGAAGATTGACCGGGCGATTCTCCATAGGCTGCTGCGACAACTCTAAGTCTCCTTCACACAATTCGGGTATCGGTGGACTGTTTGTTGTTCTCCATTGATTTCACCGTTTGGAATTTAATGAACATTTCAGATGAACTCTCAAAACTCCACAAAGCAAATGCGGGATATCTTGCCGTGAAAAGCAAGTCGGAGTGCCTGAAAAGTACGCGTGTCCAGATCCAGAAATCGATACTCGATCATTTGGAGAACGGGAAGCACCGATTTGTCTGGCTTCGTGGCTCTCCGGGTACGGGAAAGACTGCTATATCGATGAGTGTTGCCTCGGCTCTTAACAAGCAGGGTCGCTTGGCAGCATCTTTCTTCTGGGACAAAAATCGTCAGGGAGAAGGACTTGCTTCGATTGAACACTTTCCCTCTACTCTCGCACGCCAGCTTGCCTTGTTTAACGCCGAGTATGAAGGTCTTCTTGTCAGTCAACTTCGACAGTCCCCGGGACTGAAGGACCTCCGACTGGAGGAGCAGATGGGATCTTTGATTGTCGATCTCACACACAAACTCTTATCTTTGCGTGGGGAGCGTCCCGTCATCATCTTGGATGGACTGGACGAGTGTGGGGCTCAGGAGGAACTCAAGTCCTTAATTAAGCTAGTACTTATCCTTGATGAGCTGCCTCCCGCATTTGCCGTGTTGGTCAGCTGTCGGCCAGAGTCATCCGTTGTGTTGGCTTGGGTTAGAGCTCGAGCTCAGGGTCTTGTCATACCTTGTGAAGACATGGACATTGTCGCCGAGGAAGAGAACTTCCACACTATCCACCGCATGGTGGAGGAAGGCCTTCGGGATTGCATCGATAACTCTTCCTGGAAACCATCAAAAGAAGAAGTGGATGCGTTTGTCTCAGCATGTCGTGGATTGCCGATTATTGCCTCAATCCGAGTTCGGGATGTCTCCTTTCAAACCTGTCGTGGTGCAACCCTTCGATCCGAGTTCGAATACTTTCGTGATTTGATCGATGCCCCTGAAGACATCAATAAGGAGTACTTGCGTGTACTTCGCCGTGCCTATATAGTCGGTTCATCTGGAGTCCGTACACATACAGCCAAGAAGTACCGCCAAGTGGTTGCGACAATCAACGCGGCATTTGAACCACTAAGTGTGTTTTTTATATCGCAGCTGTCAGGAATTGCCGAGGAAGAGGTCCTAGCCATATTGGATCCAATTTGCTCAATTGTTGATCTTTCTTCAAAGTTTGGCTTGGAACGTTCTTCGGAAAGTCTTCCAGAAAGTCCTCCAGAAAGTTCCTCAGAGGAAATCCAGGGTGTCAAATTCTATCATGCAACGATGAAAGAGTTTATAATGGGGGATCCGATTGGTGATGACAATGACAAAGTATTCTTTATCAGGGATGCAAATAAGTATTTCATCGGACTGCCACTCCTCCGATTTTTCAATAGTAGTTGTGAGCGGGATATGTTTGGGTTGCCCACTGTTCTCCCTTTAGGCGATGCGGGGAAATGGAGCGATTATATGGAGAGAAAACATTGCCTCCCTCATCATTTCCGATATGCTCGTGAATATTTATTAGAACACTTAGACCCCTCACAACTCTTTGCACAAGGGTCCAATGTGCAGAACGAGTTTCATACATTCCTCACACGAAACTTGGTTACATTTATGCACCTGGCGTCGCTTGATGAACATGGCAAAGGATTCCCTGATGGATTTGATGAATTCAAGGTAAATAAAAATCGTTGTGTCGTGATTATTTTATATGATGTCATTTTTAACAGAATTGCGATTCATTCAAACTTTTGAGAGAAGCTCGAGAAAACCAATTTATGGGGTATCTGGATGCGATTTACCTGATGCCATGGCACCTCCATCGATCGACCCTTCCTTTCACCCCATCCTCATCACCTTTGTACAAACTGTATGGCCACCTCTCTGATCCCGTCCGGATCTTCACCATTTCCGGCGAGTTTTCCGGGCACAGAATCCCATTGAGTGAGTATTTACTCAATGCTCGAATGGTCATGGAGGCGAAGCTACCTAATTTGCCAAAGAAGGCTGGTGGTTGGGGTGATGAGGTTAATTATGATGCCCAATTCAATGACCGTGATGTTCGTAACGGTATTGTGATATGCGCGGCGCTCTCCCTTGATGGTCACCATGTAGCTCTTGGTTTTGGTAGCGGTGTTATCGAGCTTGCCGATATTGACCATCAGTGCACGATTTCCCGATTCCAGCTCAATCCACCCAACCATCCAGTCTGGATTGAATTCGTCCATGGCAGCCACCAAGTTGCTGCTGAGGACAATGAGGGGAATGTCACCATCCTTAGCCACGATATGACACCCATTAATATCGGTACTCTTCCCAACAATCCTCTTCCTGCTGTAACTCGAGTATCAGATAATGGATTATTTATCATACGGGTTCCACGGAACGCTGATAGTTCTTGGTACGACAGCATGACCCTCATATCCATTTCGGGTGACCCACACATGCAGCACCTTGCACCCCCTACTTCCAATAGTTTCACTCCAACTTCCAACCCTCCTATCTTAGCCTCCAAGTTTTCTACTAGGTCCTCTGCATTCCCAGTGCTCGCTATTCCTCACCGTCGCACGCTTGGGTTTTCTCCGGCCACACGTTATATTGGCGCTTTTGATGGCCTCAGTGCTTTCACCTGGTCGACAGGTTCGGGTGAGCTCATTGCGAGTTACCGTGTGATGGATTTCAATTTTTGGATTATGAATCCTGCTGTTCCCTTCACCTTCTCTTATCGCATCCCTGATCCTGTATCTGCTCGACCTACCCTTTCCTTGACAGAAGATGAAGCAGCAAATATACATCATTCCAAAACACATGCAGGGCATAACTTGGACGAATCCTGGATCAAGTGCCCATTTTATGTTCTCTTGCAAAGCAAGGAGGACAGGGGTAGGATATGGCAGAGGTTTGAAATCTATTCATCTGCTGCCGGAGCCCCGCTATTTGGAACTGTTATTGATAGTGACTACACTGGGCTATTAGTGTTCTTTGATGGCAAATTAAAATTCATGATTCCCAAGGAGTATCGCCCAGTTGTCTTTTCTGGTGTTGAAGGTCTAGGTGCTTGGTATGGTGATCAAGTGCCATCTGATGCTACTGGTCTGTACAGCCCTCGGTCCAGCGAAGATGGGACTCGAATTCTCCTCCAAGGCCAGCAGACAGCTCCAATTATCATTGATCTTAGCCAAGTCATTTAGGATGTCTGTGGTCAGTTGCAATATTTACCTTTGCACCTTCTATCCACTGTCAGAGGGGGAATCACAAAGTTTCACTAGGTTGCCTTTCCATCTTTCTGGATGTTGTAAACACGGTGTTCCAAATATGGCAACCTGCTTCAGCGGTTCACTCACAACCCAGATGTAATAATAGAAAGAAATATATCTAAAATACACACGGCGCTCCAGTGCCCATATTTATACTCCTCAACAATATTCCAGGCTCTTCTATGCCCAGCGCTTATGCAGGCGCCTAGTAACCCATAGAATATTCCCAGATATTCCGGTTCAGTTTCATCATGTGACTCGTATTCCAACACTGGACTTCCCTTGGACGAGGTCTCCTTTCCCTAGGGTGCAGTGGGTATAGATAAAGCTTGGAGACTTCAACAGATCTATGACCATTCCTCCCTTGCACTGTCATTTAGTCCCAGGTTGGACAAATGAGTGCTCAGCATTGGGACTGTCTTGATTCTGCTCTTGTCATAGTCCCTTGATTTGCTTTCACTCTGTATCAGAATGAATATACCTGTCCATTTGAGGCATGAAAAGGCTTGACTGAAGCAAATTTCCCATTATCACTTCTTTGAATGTACTAAAAGATTGGTATTTCCTTCATTGTTTCACCTGACATGTGAGGTCTCAGGGGGTCGCTCAGCACACCAGACCATAAGTGATACAATGGTGTTAAGCGGTTACCGGAAGTTGCCGCTTAGCCATGTGACTCTATGTACACCGTTGTTACATCAGACTCGGGGTTTGGGGCTATTGCCCTGACATTCTCCCCCTTTGCATTACATGTGTGACAAATACATGGTTTTAGGAGGAAGAAGAAAGAAAAGAAATTGAATTCAAGGTGAAAAATGTATTTTTTCTTTTTAAAGAAAGTTTGTTATCGCCACTTTAAAGTGGGTGATGTGTACATTTAGGAAGAGGATGGGAAATAAGGATGAAGAAGAAAAGAAAATGAAGGGGTGTGGGGCCATTACTTTAAAGTAAACAGTGATACATGGATATCACAGGAAAGGGAGGAAAGTAGAAGAAGGAAGTTTTGAAAGTGGATTTCAACCCAAAGATTGTATATCTTTGGTATTCCTCCTCACTTGTTCCGTGAGGAGTCGTGTGTAAATAGTGTTTACACATGAGCGGTGGTGGATGTGGGTTGGATGGAGTAGAAGTTTCTGCAATTGTTACTTGCAGTTCCTCGCATACAATATTGTGTGCAGGGCCTCGAGTTGGGGGAAGGTGTTTTCATGGCGCCTCAATGGTGTATTACCATGTCACTTTCCCTTTCTTTGAGGGTAGAGTTATTGCCCCAGAGGAGGGTTTTCCTCCAGGTTGTTCATCTGGACATCTGATTGCTGCATCGGATGTGATGACGTAGCCTGGGCTATGGTGTCGAGCTGTGGACTTGATGAAGTGGGTGCTGAAGGAGAGAACAAAGGAAGGTCAGTTGGGAGGTTCAAACGAGACCACCACCAAGCTGTTCCCTGGTTCTTTAGTTAGGATGGGGAAGTGTACTAGTAATATTTGTTGTAATTATAGTACCAATCCAAGCGTTTTGGCTAATTCTATTTTATGGGTTAGTCTAAAAGTTTCTGAGAATTGACTTACAGATAAACCAAGCCCTGCAGAGCTGTTCCTCTATTGTAATTTCTCAATTTGTCTGGGTGTAATTCTGTGTTGGATCGTTTAATTTGGATTTTAACTTGAATGAAATCTTCTACTTGGTGAAGTTTCAAAGATTCTACTCAGTTAATGGGTTTAGATTGTGTCTGAAGTGTCCCTTGAGTTTGTTTTATTTTTGTCTTATTTTATTGCTTGTTTTAACAGTAGCAAAATAACTGTTTTGTGTTTACACTTTGAAATCTGGAGTGTTAACCAGCTCTCCTGTTGAAATATTTACTTAATATTTCTCTCCCTAATTGCTGCCTTTTACTACAGTGGCAATCTTAACTGTATATCACTTTTTTGCACTGGAGTGACAACCAGAAATGCTTGAGAAAAATAATACTCTATTTTCTTACTTCTCTGAGGGGGGTGAAAAGTTGCAGAAAGGGTCTCCCTTTTATACTCCTTGGGTTGCCTTCCTTTTTCATGCTCTACCTCGTATTTACAGGATTTATTTACAGTGTATTTTCCTCAAACTGAATAAAAAATGAAATTTTCACGCTATAGTTCTACTGCGCTCTGCTGTGGCTCTACTGTGGTCAGACTGCGCCTAGAATCCTTATTGTCCTTCCTTGCCTAAGCTATTTTAATGGTTAATTAGAACTTGACTGCGCTGCATTTGTCGCAGTTTTCTATTTCAAATTCCCCATATTTACCATTAAGTTCACTATGACTCAGTCATTCTGAATTCAAACTTTGCATTACTATGCGTACAGCTGTGCTGAGACCTTCAGCTGATTTATTCTATTTTTATCCAGTAACATTTAGTTGAAATGAGACTTGAAATGATAAATGAGTGAATTATTCAGGTTTAGAACTGAAAGAAAAAGTTGCTAGTAGTCAAGAATTGTTTAAACGAATGTATTATAGCTCTCCGCTTCATTGGTATATCATTCCCTAAAATTCCCGCCATGGTCCGTCATAGTTTAGTGGTTTTCGTGGATTTCATCCATCTGCCCTGATTCCCCTTTGTATTATTACATCCTAGTCCTCCATATGTATTGTTCGTTGTTATAGTAGGTCGTCCTCGAAGATATCATATTTTTATGTATTTTATTTGGGGCTCTGGACCTCTAGAAGCTGTCTTCCCACGCATTTTCAGGTTTCTAACTTCATGTCCTTGTATCTCATTCATTTCTGAATGGTTTTTCACGTTCTCGGTATCATAAATTTCCATTTATTCCCACCTTTCCAATGGTACTAAAGTTGTATTCTATTTCTTGGTATTCGTCGAGTTAGCAAAAGTTCGTGCACACATTCGGTAATCACGTGCATCATTCCTGTAGTCGTTCATATGCAGGCACTGTAACGGGTCTATCGCCTAGACTCGAGACAGAGAGAAGGGGGAGGGTGGTAGTGTGTGTGGGTGTGGTTCGTGGGGCCGGGTTTTGGTCCTGGGGCACTACCGGGTCTGCTAGAACCTCAAACAAACACTCACCTACATCTCTCTTGGACGTCAAGGCTGAGGATTCTGATAAGAGGGGTCTTAGACGTAAGCAACTAACTCAGAGGGGGCGTTAGGGTCATGGATGGCATCTTTGCCACTTGGATGTAACTTCTGCTTGTCCCTTCACGGGTCTATTCAGTACTAACTTGTTATGTACAAGCTATTATCTATTTTGTGTGGATTGGAAATGGGGTGGGTGGAATGGGGGAATGTAAACGGGCCGTTAGGCAACCGTAAATGATAAATATCCAATTGGGAACAAAGAAACAATAAAAGGAATATGAATGAATGGAGAATATATGACAACGGGTCCGAAATGGGAATTGTGAAAATTAACTTCGCCACAGCGCCCGCCTATCCTCCCGTCAGCAACCTCCTCGTCTCCAGCTTTCCAACGAGCCCTTATTCGTCCCAATTGGTGCAGTACTTCTTGAGATGTGGCCATTGACAGGTGCTGTCAAGACCACATGAGACTATACTCCATGCTGAACCATCCGGGTATGGGATTGCCATTCTGGGAAATGCTCCGGGGGTGAAGAAGGATGGTAGAGCATCATTATCGGGTAGAAAAATGGCTGGGTTGTATGTGTGGTTATGGAGATCTAGAGAGGGGGTGAAATTGGCAGCATGGTTGGGCATGGGAATTTTGCTTGGGGTTGTCGGGAATGATGGGGAAAATAAGGAAAAATAAGGAATGAGTTTATGGAGTGTTGGATAGTGATAGAATGAGCATCGGGAGCATCAGCGGATATGTAGTGGGTGTTTGTGGCCAAATTCCGCAGAATCTGACTTTTTGCGGTACATGGAGTTGTCCCCACAACAGCGCCGTTTCTGTTTAATTGTTCGGGATTTATGGTATGCTCGGGTGTTTGTATCCTTTATACAGGCTTCTGTGATTTATTTCAGATTTTTCCCTCATGATCTAAGGTTGTTTTGTACTTTCTGTGCTTTGTTTTGACTGGGGTCTTCCTTATTTGGACGGAAATTGGTCTTTGTGATCTGCCGAAGTGCGGATCTCGGTTCCGATGGCCAGTTCCCTTTGCATCGCCACCCTCACATGTCTTTAAACATGATGCGGATTTCTATATTCCCGTCGTTGGTATAACTTCACAATAGCTGGACCATTTGAGCTGAAAATTTGCATAACTATAGTTTCCTATTTATCATAATTTCCATGTGAATTTCGTTGTGTGTTTTAAATATGGATCCTACGTAAACGTCGCCTTTTCCCTGAGCCCAGACCTTTGATGTCACTCTTCCCATTATTGTCAGAGACCAGACTCGAGACGAAGGAATGTCTCCGTAACGGAGGGCTTTGGCCTCAGCGACTTCTGCCAAGAGCGCTGTGCCTAGTGACACGTCCGTGCCCTAACTTACTGACTGGCACTTAGAACCTAGGGGGGTAACTCTAGTTGATTTTTCTACTGGGGCGTAACCTATGTACAAGTGGGGATATATATATGGTTACAGCGGGGACGGTTCCGCAATTGGCGGAGCCGACGGAGCGGAGCTAACGGGGTTTAACCATTAGCCGACTGAATATTACTGACGAGTCGGTTCACGGGGTTAGCGGAAAGGCAGGCGATAACCCAGAAACGGAAAGGAGGGATAGGCCCGAAGGTGGGCTCTGCAGGGCAGGCAAGTGTATTGCCCAGTGGAGGCGGGAGTGCGCTAGCGGACGTCGGAGCTGTCCGGAAGTCTTCGGGGCTCTGTACTTAGGGAGGCGTAGGTAATAAATTGAAATGAGGGGGTGGTGACCGTTGAGGGGTACCGAGAGGTTTGTGGAATACGGGGGCTCCGAGGTTGGTGAGGGAGGAGCGGAGTTGGAACGGAGGGGTCGGAGGGACCGGAAGTCGATGGCCGGGGATGGATATGACAGTTATTGGATATCTCATTGATGCGTGATCCTTTTATTATAAAAATTTGGGTGGATTAAGATCAGATCCCTTCCTTTCTAATGGGCTATCAAGCTCGTCTCGGTCGTTACTGCTTGTTCTTTGCGCTTGCCTTTTAAATGTTGTCCTCGTTTTCCGAGAGTTTTGGTCATATCTCCATCGTTTATGGGTAGTTTTCCCTGTAATTACTTTCATTGGATCCGTTTGTAAGACATCTACATTTCCTATCATAAACACGACTTTGAATTTTGCATTAGTTCCTAAGGAATCCTTGTTCCGTGGTACTTCCATCCTCGGCTACATGTGTGGGCATGGGAAAGTAGTTTCCGTGGAGGTTCTCTGGTTGTTTTTATAGTCAAATCTTGGTCGATTGTCCTAATTATTTGTTTGATATTTGCTATAAATTCCCCCGAGAATTCCGTCTTGTTGATGCTAAGCTTGAAGTATTTTTGCTAATTTTCTTTCTTCCAATTTATTGTATGTAGTCGTAATAATTCGTAAAAATTCGTTAAAATTCAGGTTCTTCTATTTTCTCATATCTACTTGTCGTATGGGGTTTTGTGATTTATCTGGCATATTTCCATAATGGGTTTCCATAGTGTGACCGTTATTTCTCCTACAACGCTTGTCCACCAAGCATATGCAGCGTTGTGTGCCACTTCTGACCCTGCTGTTCTCCTCATGGGGAAGTTGGGGTTGATTGTTACGTTGTAGGAGAAATAACGGCCACACTATGGAAACCCATTATGGAAATATGCCAGATAAATCACAAAAACCTCATACGACAAGTAGATATGAGAACATAGAAGGACCTGAATTTTAACGAATTTTACGAATTTTTACGAATTATTATGACTATACACGATAAATCGAAAGAAAGAAAAATAACAAAAATACTTCAAGCTTACCATCAACGAGACGGAATTCTCGGGGGAATTTATAGCAAATATTAAACCAAGAATTAGGACAATCGACCAAGATTTGACTATAAAAATAATCAGAGAACCTCCACGGAAACTACTTTCCCACGTCCGCACACGTAGCAAGGATGGAAGTACCACGGAACAAAGATTCCTCAGGAACTAATGCAAAAGTCAAAGTCGTGTTTATAATAGGAAATGTAGATGTCCCCCAAACGGAACCAATGAGAGTAATTACAGGGGAAACTACCCTTAAACGACGGAGATATGACTAAAACTCCTGCAAAACGAGGACAATGTCTAAAAAGCAAGCGCGAAGATTAACTAGTAACGACCGAGACAAGCTTGATAGCCCATTAGAAAGGAAGGGATCTACTCTTAATCCTCCCAAATTTCCATAATAAAAGGATCATGCGTTAATGAGAAATCCAATAACGGGAATAGCGACATCAAAAGTCCGAGCTCAGGGACAAGACGATGATTGCGTAGGATCCATAATTAAAACATACAACGAAATTTACACGGAAATTATGAAAAATAGGAAACTATAGCTATGCAAATTCTCAGCCCAAACGGTCCAGCCGTTGTGAAGTTATACCCATGACGGGAATATAGGAATCCGCATCATGTGTAATGACACGTGAAGGTGGCGATGCGCAGGGAACCGGCTGTCGGAACCGAGATCCGCACTTCGGCAGATCGCGAAGACCAATTTCCGTCCAAATAAGGAAGAGCCCGGTCAAAACAAAGCACGGAAAGTGCAAAACAACCTTAGAACATGAGGGAAAAATCTGAAATAAATCACAGAAGCCCATATGAAAGAAATAAACACCCGCGCATATCATAAATCCTGAACAACTAAACGAAAACGGCTCCCGCATACGAACAACTATGGGAACGACGCACGTGATTACCGAATGTGCGCGCGAAACTTTGCTAACTCAACGAATACAGGGAAATAGGACACAACCTTAGTACCAGTGGAAAGGTGGGAATAAATGAAAATTTATGATCCCAAGAACGTGAGAAAACATCCAGAAATGAATGAGATACAAGGACATGAAGTTAGAAACCTGAAAACACGCGGGAAGACAGCTTCAAGAGGTCTAGAGCCCTAAATAAAATACATAAAAATATGATATCTTCGAGGACGACCTACTATAACAACGAACAATACATATGGAGGATTAGGATGTGATAATACAAAGGGGAATCAGGGAATATGAACGAAATTCACGAAAACTACTAAACTACGACGGACCATGGCGGGAATTTTAGGGAACGATGTTCTAATGAAGTAGAGAGCTATAACACATTCGTTTGAGTAATTCTTGATTACTAGCAACTTTTTCTTTCAGTTTTAAACCTGAATAATTCACTCATTTATCATTTCAGTCTCATTTTAACTAAATGTCACTAAATAAAATTGGAATAAATCAGCTGAAGGTCTCAGCACAGTCGCACGCATAGTAATGCGAGGTTTGAATTCAGTATGACCGAGTCATAGCGAACTTAATGGGAAATATGGGGAATTTGAAATAGGGAACTGCGGCAAATGCGGCGCAGACAAATTCTAATTAACCATTAAAATAGCTTAGGCGAGGAAGGACAATAAGGATTCCAGGCGCAGTCTGACCACAGTAGAGCCGCAGTTCAGCGCAGCAAAGCGCAGTGGAACTATAGCGTGAAAATTTCACTTTTTATTCAGTTTGAGAAAAATACACTGTAAATAAATCCTGTAAATAGAAGGTAGAGCATGAAAAAGGAAGGCGACCCAAGGAGTATAAAAGGGAGACCCTTTCTGCGACTTTTCGCCCCCTTAGAGAAGTAAGAAAATAGAGTATTATTTTTCTCAAGCATTTCTGGTTGTCACTCCAGTGCGAAAAAGTGATATACAGTTAAGATTGCCACTGTAGTAAAAGGCAGCAATTAAGGAGAGAAATATTAAGTAGATATTTCAACAGGAGAGCTGGTTAACACTCCAGATTTCAAAGTGTAAACACAAAACAGTTATTTTGCTACTGTTAAAACAAGCAATAAAATAAGACAAAAATAAAACAAACTCAAGGGACACTCCAGACATAATCCAAATTCATTAACTGAATAGAATCTTTGAAACTTCACCAAGTAGAAGATTAAATTCAAGTTTAAATCCAAATTAAACAACGCTACACAGAATTACACCTAGACAAATTAATAAATTTCAATAAAGAAACAGCTCCGCAGGGCTCGGTTTATCTGTAAGTCAATTCCCAGGAACTTTAAAACTAACCCATAAAAATAGAATTAGCCAAAACACTCGGATTGGTACTTTATTTACAATAAATAACACTAGTACACTTCCCCATCCTAACTAAAGAACCAGGGAACAGCTTGGTGGTGGTCTCGTTTGACCTCCCAACTGACTTTCCTTTGTTCTCTCCTTCAACGTCGACGGGAGCTTTGACTTTGCCAAACTTGTTGAGTTCGGCGGTCTCGTATAACATGTGGACACTTCCCTGCAGGGTAGCTTGCCCATAGGGTGCTGAGGTACTCAGTGGCCTGCTGCCTTGTAAGGGATATAGGCTGCATACTCGCGGCCTACCTTATTCATTCTTCATTCTTTATTTATCGCGTCGGGTTTGTACCCGATGCGACACTTCTATTCCCGAACCCTTCATTTCTACCATGTGGTCCCAAGCCGCAACTATCACATGTATATACAATATTGTATTTAACCTACATGCAAGGGGGGTAAAGGCTTCCCCAGCCTTTTACCCCCCCATTGATAAATACAGCTTCATACAGTGTACTTCAGCGGACTGGGAGTGTAAGGCAAAACCTGACTATCGCAAGATCACTTGTGAACTCAACCTTTAACAACGCTTACACTTTTTTACGCTCAGTGAGCAAACAAATTTAACCTTTCAACTTCTTCTTCGATTGACGTCGCGAAGCGCACTGATCTAATTGAAGTTCCCAACTTTTCGTTACCACCATGGTAAAGAAAGCTTTGGGTTTGCCCTCTGCAAAGAGGACGAGGGCAGCTGCGTGAAACAACGCACAGACTTCGGATAGCGCTGGGGTTCCCAGCGTTAACATGCCTGAAATCCCTCCCGATCCAGGAGAGACAGACGACCCCAACACATCTCCTGGTCCACCAGGAGACCTGGATGCGCCAGGCCCTTCCCAATCCACGACCACGGTTGTACCTGCCATGGTCGCACCTCTTCCCCCTGAGGAAGACCCACCCGATGTGCCAGTTGGACCTGATCCGTTCGCTGACGCACCTGGTTCCCCCGATCCTCTCAGATCGGGTGAAGCGTTAGGGCTTGGTGATGGCCCTGACAACTCAGTTGAGGTCGTCAACATGGGTGGTACCAAACCATGAGCGAAAACTCCTGGATCGTCGAACGATCAGCATGATGAATTGATGATGATGCTAAGAAGCATCGATCAATGGCTGACTCACCACAACAAGGCTATAGAGGACTTACGGGCTTGGATTTATCACCCTAGCCCTGGATTGGCTGGAAGCCAAATCCCTCTAAACTCACCCCAGTTTGAGGCAACAAGTGTGCCTCCACCCGTACCAGTCAGGGGACGGGACAGAGAACCCATCCAGCAACGAAACTCGCTGGTGGACGAAGTCTCTGCTGACGAAGACTATGTCAGGACGACCACCTACCTCCCTGTGCCCAGGCATCCCAGTGTGAGGATGATGACATACGTCCCTCACGCTGATGAACCCGTGCCTGGGAGTTCTTCGACCCCATCGCCAAAGAGAATCCCTTCTTATCTGAAGGGAAAGAGTGTCGATTGGGGCCCTCAGGGCCTGCCTGTTGTCCTCAGAAGGACACAGCCACTTCCTCAGTCGCTTCCTGTGCCTGAAGCACCTGTCGTTTTGGAAAGTTCGACGGACAAAGGGGAGACTGATCATGATCCATGATTGACCCGGAACCTACATCACGGTTCCAGGCCTGCCCTTGTCATGAACGCATGGGGTGAAATAAAGAAAAAGCAAAGAACCATCTTTGCTCCCCATGCACTTAGTGAGATGTCTGTGGAGTATGGGACACAGATGGACAGCAATGCCATCTACATGCACAGACCTGAAGGTCTGGATGATCATGCCTGGGAGATCAGACGTAGGCTAGGTTCCTACAGTCGATTTACCGCGCAGGACCCATGAAGTGGGGCCTTTGAAAGATTAGGCCAAGATTGGCCCAGTCGGGCAGATGCCCAACAAATTCCTCTCAGGGCGTCGAGACAAGAAGTCTTGACCCCACAGCCAACCATCTGTACCCTCCAAGACCCTCTTGGAGGGGCTTCACATCCCATAGTGGTTTCCCCAGTAAAGAGGGAAAGTGTCAGGGACAGCTCCGAAAGCGGTGAGGTCCTGGCGCAAGGGACTCGATGGGACAGGTGTTGGCTATGCATAGCGACGGTCCTGTTGCGGGGTGAGCGTCCCTGACCACTTAGTCTGAAGTGGGAAGTTGAGAAGAAGGCTGCTTTGTCTGTTCCCACCCCAGGTGCTATTATATACATGCGGTCGGGGTCACGTGGGAGGAGCCACGTCATCCCCGCACACAGCCGCACTCCCCTGGGTATCTCCGTGGGAGATCCCGGAGGTGTGCCGCTCTGCGAGCGGGAATGCGCGTGGCGGGCGCGGCGATCGGGGGAGCGGGGTTAGGTGTGTTAGTAATACATAGAGAAGGGGAAGTTGACCATAGAATGGAAATAGAAAGAAAGAAGGAAAAGGGGGGAGAAGAGACAAAGGGTGATAGCGGGGAAGCGGAGTAGGGCGGCACGGCGCGGGGTCAGGTGGGGTGTGCCCTGACATCACCCCCCTCTTAAGCCGCTTTGCCTCGAAGCGGCTGGGCGGTTCTCTCTTTCTCTCCCTGGGGCATGTGGGTGTGTCCGGTGGAATTCCTCGACTAGGTCCAAGGCATGGGTTAGGTGGTCGCACGTGAACCATTGGTTTTCTGAGTGTGGCCAGCCTGTATACTTTACCAGGTACCGGAGTTTTCGGCGTAGCCACTTAGAGTCCAGGATTTTCTCTACTTCATACTCCTCTTCTCCATCCACGAGGTCTGGGCCTGGGCGGGGGTTGGCGGGGCGATCCGCGATCTCGTCAGGGCGGTGCGGTCTGATGTTTGTTACCGATACGACTGGGTGAATCCCTCTTTGTTGGGCGGTGAGCCGGAGTTTGACAGCGGTGGGGAAGACGACTTTAATAATTGTGAAGGGGCCGGTCCATTTATGGTCCAGCTTCTTGGTTGGGCGGTCTGTCGTGTAATTTTGGGTGCTGAGCCAGACCTGGTTGCCTTCTTGGTATGTAGGGGCCACCTCGTGGTTCCGGTCATAGTAGCGGGCCATCTTGTCCGCTGCATGCTCTAGCACCGCCTTCGCCTCTTCCTGCATCTTCATCATCCTCGATGAGAAGGCGTCAGCAGCTTCTACTTCGGATGTGTGTGTGGGCTCTGTCCCCATCCTAGGGTGTTGGCCAGTGTCGAGCTCGAAAGGGGTTCGGCGAGTGGAGGAGTGGATGCAGTTGTTATAGGCGAACTCCGCTAGCAGGAGCCAGTCCGCCCAGTTGTCTTGGCGGTGGTTGACAAACACCCGGAGGTAAGCCTCTACCTCTTGGTTTACTCTCTCTGTCTGCCCGTCTGTCTGGGGGTGGTAGGGCGTTGAGGGGGTGAGCTTGATGCTGAGGAGGTCCGCAAGTTCTTTCGAGAATTGCGAGACAAATGCGCTCCCTCTGTCGCTGAGGATCTCTTCAGGGAGACCGTGGTGCTTCCAGACATGTTCGAGGAAAAGCCGCGCGATCCCCGCTGAGTCCACTGTTGTCACCGTTGGAATTGCGTGGATGCGTTTGGATAGGCGGTCTACTACAACCAGGATGGCGTTGTAGCCCTTGGACTCAGGGAGTTCTCCAATCATGTCTACTGAGATCACTTGCCAGCGGCGGGCGGGGATCTTGTTCGGGATGAGCTTTCCCACTTTACGAGAGGGGAAGGATTTGACACGGTTGCAGGTGTCGCATCCGCGTACGTACCGCCCAACATACTCCGCCATCCATGGCCACCAGTAGTCACGGGAGACGAGTTCCAGGGTCTTCCACCGCCCTGGATGCCCTGTCGTGCGCGCGTCATGGTACAGGTGCACCAGGTCATGGCGGAGTTGCGGGTCTTTTGGGACGTATACTTTTCCTCTGTACAGAACCAGCTCTCCTTGTTTCTCCCACTCGTCCGACCTCAGCGTGCCCTCTCCCAGTTCCCGCATCGCCTTTACCACCTTCTCATCTAGGTCCTTTGCCCTGCTGATCCTCTCGAGGATGGTCACCCCTTTGCCTTCTACCGTGACTGCCTCCGCTGCGCAGGCCTCGAACCAGGCAGGTTGGAGGAGAGTCAACCCATCGTTGTCGTCCTTGCCTTTCGGGTGGTCGGCACAGCACGAGAGCGCGTCGGGTTTCCCCATGAGTTTCCCTGGGCGGTGGATGAGGGTGAAGTGGAATTGAGAGAGGAAGAGTGACCACCGCGCTTGGCGCCGATTCAGTCGTTGCGCGGTGTGGAAGTACCCTAGGTTGCGGTGGTCGGAGTAGACTTTGACTTTCTCCTCTGCTCCTTGTAGGAAATGCCGCCACTCCTCGAGGGCACGTACGATCGCGAGCATCTCCTTGTCGTACACCTCGTAGTTACGCTCTACGTCCGTAAAACTCTTGGACATGAAAGCTACAGGGTGGAACTCTCCGTCTGTCTGGAGCTGGGATAGGACCACCCCGGTCGCGAAGTTAGAGGCGTCGCACTCGAGTTTGAAGCGACCTGTATCAGTGGGGAAGGCGAGGACCAGGGCGGAGGTGACGGCGTCTTTGAGGGCCTGGAAAGCGCAGTTTTCGTCCGGTCCCCAGGTCCATGACTTGGTTTTGCAGGTCAGCACATGGAGGGGACAGGCTATCTCGGAAAAGTCTTTGATGAACCGGCGATAGAAGTTGACAAACCCCAAGAAGGACTGTACTTCCTTGACCTTGGTTGGGGTTGGCCAGTCAAGGACTCTGCAGACTTTCACGGGGTCCATCGCGACGCTTCCCTCGGAGATGATGAGGCCGAGGTATTCGATCAGCTTCCACTCGAACTTGCACTTTTCCGGCTTCAAGAAGAGCTTCCGCTTCCGCAGCGTACCTCTCGGATGACCTTCCGGTGTTCTTCCAGGGTGGCAGTGAAGATCAAGATGTCATCCATGTAGCAGATGACGACCTCTCGGTCGATGAAGTCTCGGAGAATGTTGTTCATCATCGTTTGGAACGTCGCCGGGGAGTTACACAGGCCGAAGAACATGACGGTAGGCTCAAATAATCCCCGGTTGGTCGAAAACGCTTCCACTCATTGCCGTCCTTGATGCAGACATTGTTGAATCCCCAGCGCAGGTCTAGCGCCGAGAAGTACTTAGCGTTTTGGAGGCGTGCGAGAACGTCCGAAATGAGTGGGAGGGGGTATGAGTTTTTGACTGTGATCTCGTTGAGCTTTCGGTAGTCCTGGACTAGGCGCAAAGATCCGTCCTTCTTCTTGACAAAGAAGACTGGGGCTCCCATCGGGGATTTGGATGGTCGTATGCGCCTGTTCCGCAGGTTTTCGTGCAGGAACTCGTCCAGCTCCTTCTGTTCCGGTCGTGACAGGGGGAAGGTCCTCCCTCTCGGGAGTTTGGCATCCGGTGCCAGGTCTATCGCGTGGTCCCAGGGCTTCCGGGGGGGCAGCTGGTTGAAGGCCTCTTTCGAGAACACATCCCGGAAGTCCTGGTACTGTTCTGGGACTAGCGCCTCAAACGGCGCAGGTTCTACTTCTAGTTCGTGGGCTTCCTGGGCCATCCGCTGAGATGGCGTCGTGGTTGCTCTCAGTTCGTGTCCCCACCCTGGAGGGATGATGGCCACCATGGGGTCCAAGTCGGCGTGTCCCCGCGCCGACTGGCAGGAGGATGGTGTCAGGGCACACCCGCTTGACCCGCCTCCACCTGGGCCCACCTCACCTGGTTCCCCTTCTCCCACCCTGCACCCCTCCTTCATACCCCTTCCCCCTCTATCCCTCTCCCACTTCCACTTCTATTTCCACTTCTATTTCTATTTCTATTTCTACTTCACATGGACGACCTTTCCCTTATATCCATGTACTATTGACCCGCCCACGACGCGCACACGACATGCCTAGCCCCGGATGACCCCGGATGGCTCTAGGGCGCAACCTAGTGCGTGCGCGTGCAGCATACACCCTCGGGATCCCCCACAGGGACACCCGGATGACTGCGGCTGTATGCGGGGTGACGTGGCGGACCTCATGTGACCCAAGCCGCATGTATATAAACACACCTGGGGTGGGAACCGAAGAAGTAACCTTCTTCTCAACATTCCCACTTCAGGTAAGTAGCATAGTTCCCCTTTTAATAATAACTCAACATTCCCACTTCAGTCTAAGTGGCCAGGGATCGCCGTCCCACATCGGGGCTGCCAGTACACATGCCTGATCCGCCCCCCGTGAGGTCCTCGGCACTGGACGCTACGCCTGGACCGCCTCGACCCCGGACGCGACCCTGACAGCAGAAGAAGGTTTCAACTACCCTTCCTCTATCTCCTCCCCTGCCATGGTGTCAGAAGAGCAGTATGACGACCTGTTGGCCCGGTTTGAAGAACTACAGGCCATTGTCGAAAGTCATGCCCTGAACCGGGCCGCACCTGCACCCGCCCCCATACCCGCTCCTGCCCCCCCACCTATGCCAACACCCGCACCCAGACCTAAGGGCCCCAAGGTTGCCCCTCCTACCCACTTCTCGGGAGCCAGCGAGGATCTCGACCACTTCAAAGCTGAATGTGGTATCTACTTCCACGTCTGCGCGGCCGAATTCCCCAGCGCCCTCTCGCAGATCCTCTTCGTGCTCTCCTATATGAAGGGAGGGACCGCA